TGTCCTGGCTTAGGTAAAGCGTATGCTTACTCTACTGTAACATGAAGCAACCTTTTTATTTTTAAAGGTGTTTGCTAGCTAGTGATATAAGCACTGAAGTGCAGGAGGGAATGCTGAAATGTTTGACTAAGTATTGGAGAAGTGGATTTGAGCTCTTAAACAACAGCAAAAGTCCCTGGCGGATAGGGCTGGTGGTGAATATGTTACCACAACTACATTCAAAAAGGATCTAGAAGATTGATTTCATTTGGCAAACTGATACAGGCGAGGGAGAATTTTCTCTTGCAAGCGCACAATACAGAAAGGGTGCTGATGTAGGGACTAAAGCAATGAGAAACTATGACAGCGGTGCCTGAGATACCTGCCAGAGCTATGCTATGCTATGCAATGCTATGCTAGTCATGAAGTCGTGCCTGACCCATCTCAACCCCATGGACAACATTCCTCCAGGTTCTCCTATCACCATCCCCTGGAGTCCCCCTAAGCTCACATCGACTGCTGCAGTGACTCCATCTAGCCATCTCATCCTCTGCCGGCCCCTTCTGCATGGCAGTCAATTGTTCCCAGCATTAAGTTCTTCTCCAGTGAGTCCTTCCTTCCCATTAGCTGGAGGTAATGAGACAGAGAAGTCACTGCAAGCCCCATTGCCTGCTTGCAGTACCATGGCATGTTTAGTGAACAACCAGCCCATGCTGACTTATTCACAGGGATAATGATGTGTGAACATGTTCATGATGTGTGAACATGCCCTGTATATGGCAGTTTCCTATGTGCACTACACAGAAGCCCCAGCAGCAATGCACTGAAGAGGAAAAGCAAAACAAGAACACATCCAGGTCAGCTAGGGATCTTTACAAGATCAAAGGAAAGCAAAACCAAGAACAGCTCATGTTAACAAGTGTGTCCTGGGGAGACAATTTGGTAGCATTTTACAACCTCTTGACTCCGCTTATAGCAGCTAAGCCTGAAAAAATGGATCTAAAACTAGACAAGGCTTGAAGGTACTATGGGCAGTACTTTCAAAATGAGATGGCTGATTCTGCTTATCAATTTTGCAGACACAATGCCTACAGCAAAGATGACAATATTAAGACTCCGAATAGTCTTGAAAGGCAGGAACACTATGCCAAATCCTATTTACAAGATGAAATTCCAGAGATAAATTTAAAGTAGTGCATTTAAGCTCAACCATCAGGCAAGACTTGGCCCTGCAGCAGTATATATGAAAAGAAACTAGGTGCCTTAGTGGATTACAAGCTGAATATGAGCCAGTAGTGAGATTCAGCTGTTTAAAAAGCTAAGGTAATCTTATGCTGCAATCTTGAAGAGAGAACTGAGTAAGAGTTCTACTCATTCTGTGTTAGCCAGGACACATTTGGAATATTGTGTCCAGTTCTAGGTACCACAACTAGAATGGTGAGAGGACTGGAAACCATGTTCTAGGATGAATGACTGAAAGAGCTGATTAGGGGAAAAAATCCTAACAGTGAGAACAATTTTTCAGTGGAATAGACAGCCTTGGGAGACAGTGAGTCTTCCTTCACTGGAGGTATCAAGATTTGATGGCAAGGATGCTGCAGATGCATTTACACTGAGCCTGGGGTTGGACTACACAAACTCCAATCTCTCTTCTATAGCTATGATTCTAAAAGCAGATTTAATTAAGCAGCAGAACAAACTGTAGCTATAGTTCTTGGGAGATCAAAGACAACAAAGGTTTTAAAATACTAACTTCTAGTATTTTTAAAAGATTCTGAACAACAGCTGCTCTTGCCTCTTAAGGAAATTATAAAAGCAATGAAGAATATGAATCTTGGGAAATCAACTGACAGGACAGGTTTATTATTTTTATTATTTGCATTTGTATACCACCCTAATAACCCAGAGGGCTCTCAATACAGTGGTACAAAACATTTTCCAAATAGTTAGTTCCAAAAGTTAATTGTTGTACAGCTCTATTGTTTTGAATCAGGGTCCTTTTCTTCCTTGTTAAATGATACTTTATATTACTGTGATTCCAAGGTTGGCAATGATCCTACTGTACAAACTACTGACCAAGTTTGTTAATGTAGGTATTAAAATGTTCACACCAATGCTGACCAATCTTGATTGCAAGATGTTATGGCAACACTGATTCAAGCAAATCAGGAGGGATTTGGATAGGTTTAAACAATGACGGAATACTCCAGGTAGCCATTGTTTCTTTGGTTGCTGAAAAGGCCACTGACGATAATCCCTGACACTTTATATTTCTTATTAATAATGTTTGCTATCAATCATTTTTGAAATGTACTGGAATGTTATATTCAATCCCAAGAACTATAGTTATGACTAATGGTTTTGATCTGGCTTTTTTTCTCTTAGGAAAGCTATCAGACAGAGATGTCCACTTTCTCCTCTGAAGTTTGCTTGATGTTTCAAACCTCTGGTTTGTGCTACTAGACTGAATAGTAATGTTCATGGCCTTGTGGACTGTTGTTCAGAATTTAAAATCATTCTTTATGCCGATAACTGTTTATCTGTCAACTTTGAGGTAGGTGATTAATACTTTGGGCCATATGTCAAGCTATTCAGTTTACTGGTCAAAGTCTGAACTAATGCCAGTTGAAGATATCTAACGTATGTCATTTGTGCTCAGATTACTTATTTAGGAATATCTATCCCTAGGGGCATAACTCAGATGATCAAGCTCAGTGAACAAGATGATTTATAGGATTTCATGGGATTTAGACAGATGAACATTCTCTAAAGTTGAGTTTATGGGGAAAGTGAATAGTGTCAGGATTGATACTTTACCATGACCAGTTCACATATAAATAGAGTTCCTTTATCCATACTTGTCAAATATTTTCAAAATCCCCATGTTCTGGTCTGTAAACATTTTCAGGGGAGGGGAGGTCATCATCACACATGTCCTTGAAAAGGATACAACTTCCATTTAAAGAAAATGGGCCAAAGCTAGCCATAGCTGGGAAATCATATACAGCATGCAAAACAGAGGATGACAAAAATGTATCATCAGTCCCCACTATTTGATCCAAGTTAAAAATCAACTTATCTGCTGAAGTCTTCCACAAAATTTTTTCTTAGCAGTTTTTAAATCTGAGTTTCCCATGGATTAAATTTAGCATGACAAAATAGACTAATAATGTAACAGACACAACAATATACTTCAGACATTAACAACCATAACTGTGGAGGGTATTAGGAAGAACACAAGCATGCACGTCCATTGATAATAACAAGAAAGAAGAAAGAAAGATTCCATGCTCAGGATCATTAGGAAAGGGACTGAACATAAATTTCCTAAAGCATAATGTCTTTATCTACATTATCAACAGTGTAGTCCTGCCTCTTCAAAGTATTGCATGCAACTGCATGACCGAGAACATAGCATTAGAAAAGGTACATAAAAAGGCAACCAAAACCATTAAGAGGCTGGAACACTTTCCTGAGACGGAAAGACTCAAGAGGTTACCTTCGTAATGCAAATAGCAGGTATGGGCAACCCATCTGTTGTGCAGAGTGGACTGTAGTTTGGGTAAGGACTGAAACCCCTTTCTCTTCATGTAAGGGCATTTATCTGGAATGGACCATCTGTGCCTGCAGGTTACCACTGCTGATAAACTGCATGGACAGCATCTTGCTTAGTTTGGTCCTCAGTTGCATTCAGAATGATCCTATGCCTCTTTGTAGGCCTGATAAAGTTGAGGACATTATTTGGGGGGCATTTAATCAAATTTGGATATAGACCACATGAAAAGCTCTAGATCTATCATTGTTTTGTCATTATGCATCTGAAAAACCACATCCTCAGGAACCAACTAGCACAGCAAGAAACAGCACTTCCGGACATAATGAACCTAACATCTGTGCACTGGTACTTGAAACTGAACAGCCAAAAATTAACATAACTTCAAATTGTCACAATGAAATAGGAGACATCAATAATAAACTTGGTAACAATGAAATGCACAAGATTATGGCAAACAGAATTGCTTAACATTATGCGATATAATGATGTATATCCCCTAGGAATTGCTACCAATTTCTCTGATGTTTACTTTTTTAAGAACAAGTTTGCCTGTATCCGTATTTGTCTTATTTTTTATTAATCTACAGTGTTTACAAACCTGCTTTCCCAATGCATTTTTATAGGAATATTTCCCTAATATACACATTCTATGTCATAAAATTCCAAGAAGTGCAAAAACTGAAGGATAGTTACAATCTAACTCGCATACTGGTCAGGGTAGTGAAAATTACCTTGCTTTGTATTAAAAACTCTTTCTTCTGGTTAATGTCATCCCAAAATCCTTGGAAAAAGGTGGGATACAAATGTAACCAATTCTGAATGACTTGTGTGCACTCAATGCAGGCACACTGAGAGTTATTTCTTATATGCAAGGATTAATGTATGTTCCATGTATATATTGGAACATTCTGTGAACTTAAATGGAACTATGTGATTCCAATGGTTCTGTGCACACAGAAAAAGTATAACTTGGCCTGGATCTCTGTATTTAAGTAACATAAAATGGATTTGCTAATTCACAGACATAAAAATGTTTTTATAAATACATACATACATACATACATACATACATACATACAGTTGCCTAGCTTTCTTTATTGTCAGACTGAGACATCTCTGGCATGCCAGTGATGGAATGTGAGACATCTGAAGTAGAGGAAAACTATCCTTGCGAAACATTTAGTTTGTTGGGATTTAGACTGGATACATGAAAATATGCTAAGTGAAACTGGTAAATGAAACACTGGGACTATATACCCTTAAAAACCTATAGTCATATGTTAAGTGACCCTGGCAGCTTGCTGGGATCAAAACAAAACCAGAAATTGTCAGAAACAACTGATTATAAAGAATAAGTATCAATAGTGCTGATAGCTAGCTAAGGCAAAGTTTCAACTCTTTGCCCAGAATCCTGTGATTTTAAAGGACATAGTTCCATATCTTATAAAAGGTTAATCTATTTTACCTGGCTGCAATGAGGTCTAGAAGATGCTGCCACCTGTCATTGACCTTGCCAAGTTTATACTCAATCTCCAAAGCTTTGCTTTCATGGCTGGCTTTAGCAAGACGCTCTCCCATTTGCTGGAGCTGGATTTTGTTCTCCTGGGCAACTGCAATTTCATCTTGGTAATCCTGGATAACAGAGAGATACAAGGAGAAGGGAAAGCTTATTCATAACACCTTCCTGCTTAAGGTTATAATAAATACAGCCCTTAAAACACTTGTTTGGGAAGAGTTCAATAAAGACTTACAGAGGTTAGTACTTATATGAAGGGATGTGTGAATCAGTAAAAGTCAAGGTTGCTAAAATTCTCCAAATGCCAACTTAAATTCGTTCTGACTCAAGTCTACATTAGGTTGCAAATTTTTTCTTTTCACATGAAAATTTGTGCATATTATTTTCTGAATACACACATAAGTTATGCATACCTTTGAACTGTGCATACCTTCGTCCAATAATTTTGGAACCTTTTTTCAAATGTACATGTCTTGTCAAATGCATTTTTGAGAATCTGCAAATTCTAAGGCAAACTTGGAAATGTATACAGTTCGACTGCAGATTGCACCCAAGTCTTTTTTAGTCTGAAGGTGTGAACTGGGGAAATCCTGATCAAAAATGATCCAATTTCCCATACATCCTATTGATATGTACATTGTATCTAAAAGCAATGTGTGTGTGTTTAAAATAATGTTAAAGTTGGTAGCAGAAGATAATGGCCTAACTTAAATGAGCAGAAATCTAGAATGAAAGACAAACTGTAAGTGCTAGTTGTTATATCCAAATGCTTACCTTCGCTATCATCTCTGTCTATGGCATATTTGGGTTTTGATAAACTTAGAACAGTTGTGGAAAGGGGAAGGGTCACAAAATAAAAATCAGAAGCAATGTACCTTTTTGAGTTTCTCGATCATTTCTTCAATGAGGATATCTCCATTCTGGGAAACTTTACTCTCCATTTGGGTCAACCATTCACAGAGCTCCTTGTTTTTCTCACTGAAGACGGCCCACTCATTCAGCCTTTCACTCACCTGCTGTCTCCGCAAAGAAACCTTAAAGCATATGCATGAGAAAATAAGAAAGTCAGATTATGATAATAAAAAGAGTCCTTGAGCGCCAAGCTTCAAGACTGCAGTAAGGGTATTTCTTTTGTTAAGGGAGAAGTAGAGACATAACCTGCCATGACTCCTTTAGTAGGAGCTTAATGTTCATTGTTAAGCTCAGGGCACTTCTGGGCCAAATCCTGTTTAAGACAGGTAGCTATTATACAAATGTCGGCGGTCACAAGGTGAGCTGCCACTTCAAATAGCTGTAGTTTTCAGCACTCTCTACAATGTCTGGCCAAAGATCACTGCAGTAGTAGGTGGCAGAGCGAGGGGGGGGGGTTGTCTCAAGATATCCCTGTAGAAGTAGACAATACGTTCCAGAATCTAAAAACAAGGTATTAAGGGGGATGCTTCCATTGGCAAAGGGAAACAAGTGCTGCAAAGAATTACTCAGCTGAGAGCTACAAACTGTCATAGCTCTTTGATGAATGTGCTTGCATCCTTTACAATTTCCTGACAAAAAGAAAATCTCTAGATTTAATGTACGATGCAGCATTCTTTATTGTGAAATAAAACGTGGGGGGCTTACTTTAGACCCCTATCAATTAAATCTAAAATACTTTTTTGAGCCTATTTCTGTTACAATGGTTAATTTGCTAGGCACTTCAAAAATCTGCCACAAGTAACTCTATTCATACTTTTGTCCACTTTGGTATCAGACAACATGTATTTATATATAAGCAGTTTGCACTTTGAGCTCATGTTCAATGAATGTCGCATGTGCAAATTATATCCCCCTGGTAAACGTATTTGTTGTTATCTGCCCAACATATAGATCCAAAAAGTGGAAGAATTAAAAGCAGTAGGAATTAAGAAAAGACTCAGAAGAAAGAAGAGGAGGAGGAGGAAGTCTGGCTACCAAAGTTCTGGTGCTGCTCTGCTCTTAAAATGTGAAGAAAAATTGTAAACAGATGGAGACATGAGAGCTGGAGAGAAAATACACAATGAGTTGCTATTTTTCTTAATGATAAGAACTCAGTGGAATCCTACCTAAAGCAGTTGTTCTGCCTTTTCTATAAGTGCAGCTTCTTCTCAGCTTAAATAAGCCTCTCCACTGAAGAAGTGAATACTTTGAAAATGACTGCAGTTCTTTATTTGCATGTTGGGGATGCTTTAAACTAAGATATAAATGATGCACATTTCCTTTTGCGGTTCTTTGCACCACAGTATCAGAAAAAGCATGTTTTTCGCCTGCAGCTAGCCACAACCAGACTGGTACACCATTGATGTGACTGAACATGGTGAGTCTTACGCCTCCAACCGGATGAACAGATGTAGAAGCTTTCTGGGCCAAAAGAACTATTTGAAACTTCCTGTTTAACTCAAGGTGAATCATTCATAAAGCTTGATCCTGTAATCAGCTCCCTGCACCACCATGCAAATGCAGCTTTGCACAGCAAAGTGGTACGTGTATGATCCCTTTGGGCAGAGTGAGACAACTTCAGCCTCTGCATTCAACCAGACTATGTGATTATTGCACATATTTCAATCTTCTTCCATGGGAAGGTACACACAAAGGTTACCTAGTGAGCTTCATAGCTGAACACTCAAACCTGAGTTTTCCACATTTAAAGATAACTCTCCAGGATTATAGCACAGTGGTTCACCAGCCTTACACAGTCATGGAATTGCAAGTAATTAAGATTTTCATTTTTTAGTTGGTTATGCTACATTACCTGGTGACACAACTCTTCCCACTGCCTGTGCAGCAGATCGATGCGCTCACTGAGAACCGAGATATCATCTGCACTGATATAAGTAGACAGGGTCTCCTTTAACAAAGCCAGGTGGGAAAGATCATCTGTCCAGCCCTCAGCAGTACTCTCTAGCTCCTAGATTTCAAGAAGGAATTCTTATGAAGTGGGCTGTAGTTCACAAAATCTTTTGCCAGGATAAATGTGTCAGTCTCTATGGTGCTAGGATACCTTTGCCATTTTTGGTGCAGCAGATTAACACAGGTACCCCACTCAGGTAATATGACACTCAGGTAATCAGGAAGACAGTGTGAGAGACCTGAGCCGAGTGAGTAGGGAAGGGAAGCAGCTTCATGGAAGAACTGGACAGAGCAAACGATCTAAGGAACAGAGGTTAAACCTGTCCTTCCCCACCCTGCTGCCTAGCACAGCTGCTCTGTTCCACCCTCCAAAGAGGCTACATTTGAGCAAACACAAAATGCTGGGCTACAGAATCATGGATCTCCTGTGTCACATGCCATTTAGTTACAAAACTCAGGAGCTGGCAAATAAATATTAGGATGGCCAACAGCACGGCAAGCTGAAACATTCAGCTTAAGTAATGCAAATAATTATGAGAGATGGAGAGCGGCAGGAGCAAATCGGGGGTATTTGTTGCAGTGCATTTTAAGGGCATTATGTTCGCTATGAAGCCACATAGTTCAGAATGCTGTTACTGCAAGGAGGGGGCGATATGAGAGGAAGAACCTGTCTCACTTCTCTGACAGAGGCTTCCATTGCCATTTATGCCACCCCAGCTCCATAAGCAGTTAGGATCAGAGTGCACAAGCATTTTACCTTGCAACGGATCTGTTCTGTATGGAGTTCATCATGATGGTCGGGCAACGGTTGGGAGAGCTTTTTCTTAAATGATTTTAGCTTTTCAAAGGAATCTGATATGCCTTTTTCACATTTTTCCCAGTCCTGAAGGGGGGGGGGGGATACACATTTAATGTTTCAGGGCTGGAGCAAGGAACACTCAAAAAAGATTCACATCGATTTGGTATTCATCAAGTATCACATACTTTCTCAGTTAATTTTTTGCATTCAGTATCTTTGCCAGGATAAGTGCTTGCAGAACCAGGGAGACCTTAGCAGCTGCTTGCAAGGAACAGCTGAATTGCAATTATGCAGTGCTGCTGGAGGCCCTGGAGAGGCTTCATTGCATGGCTGCCCTTTGTGACAATCACACAAGGGGTCTCAGTGATTCTCTTGTGCTCTGCTCCTGCTTCTGCCCTTCTTTCCAGTCTGACTCTTCCTCCCAGGTATCTGTACTCTTCTTCCCCAACCTGTCTTTGCTCTAGAATGCACTCTCTCTCCAGAAATTGACCTTCAGACTGTGCTCTTCAATGGTGTAATCCTGGATTCTGTTTGCTTGGATCTGTTGTCTCACTGGCTCTTGACTCTGGATTGCTAAACAAATATGCTTCTGGCTCTCTGAACCTGCTGCAGGATTCCACTCTGCACCGACGCCCTCATCCCAGCATCATGACCATAGCTGCTTGCTGCCCATACCCTGTACCTTACAACCTTCTCTTATTGCTTAGTATATACAATTCTACCTATTCAAAAATGGCTGGCTCATTCTAGAAAATATGTTAACTGGAATTTTAAAATATTTTTGAAGGTTCATGAACCTATGTTATCTGTATACTTAGAGTAAGAGTCTAGAAAGGCAAATAATGTAAAGAAAAAGAAACATACATCTGATGGCAGACTAAACCAAGGATAATCTCCTCCCCCTTTTTAAAGATGTTATTAATTTCTTTGTCCGCCTGTGAAAGATGCTGGCTATGAATTTATAAAAGACTAACCTTCTTTTCTTACACACTTGTTCCTTGGGGTCTTGTTCCCACACTACAGATTCAAAGGCATATTGCTCTGAGATGTCTCCATTTCCCTTAATTGAATGAGCACAGGAATGCAGAAAACCAGCCTTCTCCAAAGAGTCCACCTCAAATGTTTTGGACTTCAGCACTCATCCCATTTAGATGGTAGCAGGTTGGGAAAGGCTGCTTTTGGTTGGTCACTCTCTCAGTTATAAATCATTAAATAAGAGGTTTGGCCTCATCCTATACAGATTACTTGAACGAGTATAAAAATGCTTAGACTATGCAGGTTTCTTTAAAATTCTTTAAAGACTGTCAAAAGGTAATAGTAAGTACTAGACAAAGAACAGATTCCACCAAAATTCCTCAACATTTTAATACATCAGCCCTAGATGCAGTTAAAAAGACATTACTAAGGACTATCAAGTTGTTATAGCAGTATCTTCATTCTAAACAAACCAGCTCACAGGAATATTTTTAATGCCACAAGAAAAGGTTTTCATGCTTCCCACAAAGTCACTTCAAGATAATCCTCATGCAAATAGGTAAATCATGAATTGCAGACAGTCATGAAGTGAGGCACTGGCAGATCTAAGGTCATCAACCTGGTAATTCCATTTCACACATTATTTGAAGTTCTGAATTCATTACATAAGCTTACATTTAACAAGAATGTAAGCTGTTTCTTCTGTTCCTCGAGTCTGAGACTGGCTAATTTCCAGCGCTCCTGAATCTCTGAAAGCTCAGCCTGCAGGAATGCTTCAGTTTCACCATCGGCAGAGAGCAGCAATTGTTTCCCACCTTCCACTGTTAAAATGTAGCTTCCTTGTTGGCGAAGGAGAACCTTCTCTTTAAGCTGTGGAGATCAAGCATCACTCTGATTTCATACTGCTCTTAGATCCCTTGCAACTAATAAGACACATGCTTTTTTAGAACTTTGCAAGACTAAATTATAGGGAAAATAACATTTACAATAACTAAGCTTCTAAGCAACCATTGCATACTATTCTGAATGGGATGCTTATTTGCTGTACCCAACCCCACCCCTCTCTCTTGTTCTGTTCCACCCCATTCCTTTCCTTCCCTTTATCATTTGTAATTTTCTTTTTTCTATATGCTTTCCTCCAACTTTGCTTGCTCCTCCAGTGGTCTACCTCCCAGTGAGAACAATATAAGATTTACAGTGTGTGCAAAATTTATAAATTATACTTATATTTCACCCTTCCCTCAGAAAGCTCAGATATTTACATCAGTTTCTCATCAGAATGAATAATATGCAGCTTCAGCATCAGAGCTCCAGTACATGAGAGTGCTTGATAATGCCATCCCATACACACTTCAGCAAAGTCCTATCTGTTCTTTACTATTATTAATACTGTTTATCAGCATAGCTGCATGGGAGACTACTCTTTCTTCCTGTGGAGGTCTTTCCTATCAATTACTCAAAGCTCACAACCCTGCAACCCTATCAGCAATGTTTAGTCTATGAATATGTAGATAAGGTGTGAATTCAGCAGTATGAAGACTTAATGGCTCCTAATGTACTCAGAAGAACAGGCACAGAAAAAATCTGGAAAGTATGAAAGAGTGGAAACCACAATAGATCCAAGGAGAGAAGATTAGTCTCAACAACAACCACAGGAACGACCCTGGAGCAACAGGTTCATTATTTATCTGGAAAATAAGCAACAATTATATAAGTATAATGGAGCTGATCAGGTGTTGGCCTCAAGATTTTTCAGACATCCCTTGCCATCCATTATATTTTACTTACCAGCTGTGCAACAATGGATGCGTGCATGCAGTTTTTTGCTTACAGCAACAACTGCAGTTAATTCCAGGATGGTAACATTAAATGCTCCTGTTGAACAGACTGCAGATAAATGACACGACATCTGTTTGGAAAAGGGTCTACAAAGATGTACCTGCATTTCATCCAGCAGGGCTCTAGCTTGTTGCAATGGGATAGGAACCTTGCCCAGCCCACTTGCTGTCTGGCAAGACACTTCCACCAACCACTTGCGCAGCTTTTCTGCCATCTCTCTGTAGCGCTGCCATTGGCGAATCTGACTGTCAATAATTCCTCTCCTCTGCTGGGCTCTACGGATCACTCCCTGCCACTGATTACTAAGCAGGGCCAGTTTCAGGTTAAACTCATCCCTGAAAGAGAAGACGGCATCAAACATTTATTTATTTATTTATTTATTTATTTATTAATTAAAACATTTCTATGCCGCCCCTTGCCGAAGCCTCGGGGCGGCTCACAACACAAAATAAAATACAATAAAATACAAAAATAACAATATAAAATTAGCAATATAAAATAAATAACAATATAAAAGATAACATATAAATATGTTTATAACATATATAAAAGATAACAATATAAATATAACATATAATTATATTTATGATGCAACCATGAAGCACTCGGTCTGCACCAAGGTGGTACTTATTAAAGCAACAAACTCAAAGTGGCTTACCTAATTCTCTACCTGCTCTTAAGCTTATCTCCACAACAACAACCCTGTGAGGTAGGTTAGGCTGAGAATCTGACTGGCCCAAAGTCACCCAGTTGGCTCCATGGTTGAGCAGGGGCTAGAACTCAGATCACTTGAGTCCCAGTCCCATGCTCTTGACCACTGCATCATGCTGGCTCACATTTATACCACACACAAGATCTGGCTTCAACTTCATTAGATTTAGGATAGGAAAAAATATTTTGTTTTTGTCTGGGAATTTGCGTCTTACAATTACATTAAATTACTAGTAGAAATGTGTTAAGGATGGTGCAATCAACTTTCTGGTTTCATTCCTGACTTCGATATGTAGTTCTACTAGTGAGGATAATTATCTTAAGTGGTCTTTCTATACCCAATTTACTTTTGGTATTGAAAAAAAGCAGCTGGATGCACTAATATTAGTGCAAACAAGTAGTGGAGACAACGCAACCAAGAACCTTCAGCCCATGGCCAGCTGGGGATACAAATTTTGGTGTAGTAAAATGGAATGAAATAATGATGCAGCCAGTAATATTTATTTATTCATGAAATACCTGCTGCATCTGTTGGTATAAGAGCAGGGGGAGTGGAGACAGACTACATTCATCTGCTGAATTTCAGAAAAAACAAGGATCTCCAACAAACTTTGCAGACATTTAGATATCTCACAGAATAGATGAAATAATGGAAAGTTTTGCACAACCTTACCTGTCATCTACTTGTCCTTGTTCAAGAAGGTGCTGACCATCCATGATGATGGAATGCAAAATTTGCTGGCGACTAAACATTTCTGCTTGAAATAGCTAGTGCATAAGAAGTTTAAAAAATAATATCAAATAAGCTTAAAGGAACAGAAGTCATTGGCTCCAAAATGATATCCTAATATATTGAATATGCTCAGAATTAAGTTTTGCTTCAAAGGACATATATGACATGAAATGTTTTCATACTTCTCCTTTGATAGACATGTGGAAGTATTTAAAAACAAAGTAACTGGTTATATAGGTAAAATATAGGTACATCCTAACATTTTTTGGATGGCCAATGAAGAAATTAATCAAAATACTTTGTTGTTGGATTTATGATAGTACCAACATGTTTTGCCTTATGTTTATATGAATTATAAATTTTGCTTTTTCAAATGTGGCACATAAGCAACCAATTTCAAATTCAAATATAGTTTGCTATAGCATTTTCATTTTCATTTGCCTTTGAATGAATTTAACTTTTATCACCTTTTACACTTTGGGGAAATGTTCTAGAAGAAATAGAAAAGGTGAACTAACTGAATTCTGTGAAGGAATTTCTTACATAAAAAAGGAAAGAAACAAAACAAAGCCTTTCACAGATCCTGATTGAAAAATCACAGTTCCACAGTCTGTTCCCTACAGCCCTCTGGTGGCAACAAGAACAATTCGTTACTGATAAGCTTTATCAGCTGAACACTTTGAAATGAAAGCAGGCATCATTACAGGCAATTCAGTGCCTGTAAATAAGCAATGCTGTCTAGCATCTTTAGCTAGGCAGATAACATCTGAATTCCAGAAGGCGAAGAAGAGCCTCCTTTGACTGATTGAGCCATCAGTGCAGTTCACACACAATGCAAACCGTGGATTAAATAAGGATTTGCCACGCACAAGTGGGAGTGAGTGTGCTGCCATTTGTGTACTCCTCAATTCCACTTTTCATCAACCAGCTATGATTGTCTAGATGGTAGGTTATTAATATGCAAATTGAGAATGCTGGGTTGTTCAGGGATTAAACAACTCAGAGGTCAATTCAACAGGAAGCCATACAATAACCTTTTAGTCCCATGTGCCACCACCTGTTAAAGATAAACTAATCTCCCAAGGTAAGGAGAGAGATCCTGCACCCAAATAACTATTGATTCTCCTGGAGAAGTAAGCATGAGAGGGGCCCGAGAAGCATTCCCATTCTCCCACTGAAGAAACATCATCCAAAGAGGCCCTCCCCTTATCCTCACAACTCTCCTGCAGCAGATATGACCAATGGGGCTGAGTACACAGTGTATGTATACCTGCCTGTAGCTCCCATATGTTATTGCGTGTCCCGTGAATTGAGCAAGTCATTTATTTGCACTAAGACCGAGCACTCAAATGCCCTTCTTCAAGATGTAGAAAATTACGTCAAAGCTGGAAAAGTTACATTTCCTCCCTTTTATTGCACTGGTTCACATATTACTTTTGTCACACAGTTCCCATTTGGAAAGTGTTTTTAGCTGAGGTGGGAATTTACAAATCTTAGACACAGCAATTTCTACAATCACAGACATTGCAATGCAGTAGTTGCTATGGCTGATTTGCCACTCACATATAACACTATTTATGAGTGGAAAAGGTTGCTGAAAGGGCATAAAAGTTACGCTCGGACAAACAAACCTTTGAGATATAGTTCAAAGAGTATCGGTCTGGGAGATACAGGATGATACTGAGGTTATCGCTTTGATAATTCTTTAATTGCAACTTGCCTCATGTGCCCTCTGCTGTTCTAAAAGAAGCTGGTAGTTTCCTGAAATCTCTGCAGCCAGTTTCTGCTCAGTTTGAACCAAGAACTCCATCCAAGACTCACATTTTTCGAGAAAAGTCTGCTGCTGAAGCATGAAGGACTGTAGCTTACTGCAACGATGAAAGAGTGATTCAGTAACACGTCTGAGCTTGCACAAACAAACTTACCATGGGCCCCAGGGGAGACATTTCATTTCTGGCCAAAATTAAATTATACAGTGTTTCATCCTGAGATACTTTTATAAAAATGCATGGATTATTTTTCTGGAAAAAAGACAGCATATACAAATAGAAATATTGACTAGTTTGTATTAGTACAAATCTGTTTTTCCCACTTCACGTGTGCCTCAGGTTCATAAACAAAACCCCACAGATACTCTCATCTTGGAAAGCTTGGTTTTTTGTTTTTTGCAAAACAGTACGTCAATTGGAAGCAAAATGATAAAACTGAAGTTGTACTTTGGGCACATCACAAGAAGGCGAGACTCAGAAGAAAAAAATGCTAAGAAAGGTCAAAGGCAGAAGAGGAAGATGAACTATGAGATGAATTGACTTCACAAAGGAAGCTTCAGCCTTGAGTTCACAAGAGCTGAGCAGGGCTGTTAAGGGCAGGACATTTTGGAGGGCTTTCACTCATAGGGTCGCCAGAATTGGGAGATGACTTGCTGGCACTTAACAAGAACAACTCTTATTTCAATAAACTGAGCAATTAAGTGATCACTGCTATAGCACAAAATAGTCAAAAGTTACGATAGATCAATAAGGAATTAATATGCATTTAATCTGGTACTTTGGTTGCAGCCAAAGCAACTTTCCCTCCTATTCTCCCTTCCAGCAGCTGCAAATGCTATAAGAAAGTTTGCATATATGCCATGGGTAGGAGCCTTTTTTTCTGCAAAGGCGTGGATACATTTGCAAGTAATTATAAGGGCCTGCATGCTGGAGATGGGAGTCAGCAGCACACAAGGATCTTTTTCCATGCAGCATCATGGTCTTTCTCCAAAGGAGATTGTTTCCACGTAGCCCCCCCTTTCTCAGTCTTGCCTCTCTTCTCTAGTTTCCCATTATTCTTTTCATCTCAGTCCATTCCCCCCACCCACCCCTTGAGCCCCTAACTCCTCTACAGATCAAATTGTTTCTCTTTAGCTGAGCTGTAGATGACACTGGGGGACTTTCTCTGGTATCTCACTTGTTTTCTGTACTGGCTGAGGTGGGCCAGCTTCCTTTCCGCTTAAGACATCACAGAAACACAATGGACCGGTAGAGGAGGGGTAGATTTACTTCTGTGCTGGCTACAGAACAGAAGCCCATTGCTTCCTTCAAAGCCAACAAGCTGCCAGAAGAGAGACAGAATGATCCATTCTTGTCCCACCAGACTATATTAGACATGCAGACCAGGAGGGGCCATTGCAGAGGAACATAGGCCATGGTGTAGATCAGATGTTTGCCTAGATAGCTGGGTGGCTGTTCTTTCTGCCTTCCCTCTTCCCTTCCCTATCCTCAGTGTAGCTTGGGAATGCAAATGGGCTGTTGAAAGATGAGGTATACATTTTATAAACAAATAAGCTATCAACCAACCAAAGTGCTTAAGCTATAGTCTTATACATTTTTTCAGTTTGGTAAGAATCTTTGGCATGAGTACCCAGAGGAGGGCTTTCTCTGCGGTGGCACCCCACCTATGGAATGTGCTCCCCAGAGAGGTCTGCCTGGCGCCGTTGTTATTTGCTTTTTGGCGCCAGGCTAAGACCTTTTTATTTAAAACTTATTTTAATTGTTAATTTATTATGTATTTATAGGATTTTAAATTTTTAGCCAAGATGTTACTGGGATTTTTAATTTTTATTGTATTTAGAGTTATTTATATGCTTTTAATTATGTTGTGAGCCACCCCGAGGCTTTGTTGTGATGGGGGCGGCATAGAAATGGCTTAAATAAATAAATAAATAAATAAATGATGGACTTCCTTGATCAATTTTTGGTTTGGGGCTGTTTTTGCTTTGTGTTTTCCTTGTGATATGTAGTCTGCAGCATGCCAAATATGTAGAAGATCATGCGTATAGGCATAAAATTGAAATGAGTTAACTTTTTCATGTCTCTCCACCTGATGAAACTAGAATTATTTCCAAAGCTAAACTGGAAGTGGCAAATGGTTATAACTGTGCTTTATTAAACCCCCATTCCGCCTAAGTGACAATGTGTTCTATATAATCACCTCACCTGAATCTTTCTGTAGTTTGTGAAGAGATCATGGACCAACGCCTATTCAGAGTTTGCATCCTTTTGATTTCTTTATCATTCAGGGGTAGTCTATATCCCAGTTCATTTAGACGATCCAAGTCTGGTGCCATGCTGCTGAACTTTAACATTTGTCGCTGTAAAGAAACAAGGAATGAAAGAAATAATCTGAGAGAATATTTTGCACTGTCAGATAATAACTGGATAATGCTAATTCTCATGCATATTTTACTGCATGAGGTGCCTTTTATATGTTAGCACAATTTGGGATCATCAATTATTATAATGAAACATATTCCATTTAAACCTTTATTTAAATATGGAATAAAATATAAATCCACCATGATTCATACTTTCTAAAGATGCTTTAAAAACATGACTTCATGTTACCCCATGATGTGAGTCAGAAAGAACTGGACAATAAATGAAAAAAAAGTTTATTAGTCATATTTTAGGTCAGTTTGTCAGAGTTAAGGATGCAGAAGAGAAAATTACAAGAGTTAGGCAAATACAGAAAAAGAAAAATATTTGTGGCTCCAGAGGACTGGACTAGGTCGAGTGGTCACAAGTTACAGAAGGATAGATGTCTGCTGAACACTAGGAGAAATGTCTTGACTGCAACAGCAGTCTGACAATGGAACCAGTTAACTGAGGAGGAGTGATTCTTTACTAAACTTTTTCAGGCAAAGACTGGATCGCCATTTCTACTAGTTCTGAATTTTGTGTGCTGTGGAGGGACCTACAATGTACCCTCCAGTTTTCTGAAAAGGCTTAGCATATCCTGAGAGGGGCCAATCAAGTTATTTCGTTCAGCGAAGGTCACACTGTAAGGAGAAGGAATTCCCACTGTTGAAATAGCAAAAGGCAGCAGTGGGGACAGAGGGCACCTTGATCAGCACCAGCTGTGCTGACTGGCTAGATAACTCTGCCTACGACAGTACTTAATGGCCATGCTCAGAGAAATTAAGTCAGTGGATGGCCTTCCATTGGTTTCTTAAAAAACAGTGCAGGCCAAGGTAGGTCAGAAAGTTATCTGCTGTTGATTAGAAAGAACTTTTACACCACATTCTTCCTCAGGAAATAAAAGGAGTATCCTAATGTGTAACTGGCAGTTCTTCCTATCCTTCTTGGAATGACCTGCTGAATTTCCACATGACCCTTGCTAGATAATTCTTCTTCCCCAAAGATGCTTCAGGTGATGCAAAAGGATATATATGGCATAGATCTGAACAGTCTTGCAGAAGCATATTAGCAATGATCAGTGTCAAGGTAGAGATTTCTCTCACAAAAAAAAGCTAATATTCCATGATCAAAAGGGTGGGGGGGGGGAGCAAGGCATTGTGCGACCATGACAGAGCACTCTTCAGGTTTATTTGTGTATTATTTAAAATATCTTATCCTGACTTTTATTTTGGACAGATCTCTAGACAGCTTACAGAAGACCTAAACTGTAACAACATGTTAGATAAAACCTAATTCCAAAATATTAAAATATGCAATAAATACAATTCTGTATTAAATAGCTAAAATCATTCAACCATTAAATACTGGGTAAATTAAAAGGTCTTGGTCTTGTGCAGAAATAAATAAAGGGTTTGGGGAGCAGGTTCCATAGCTGGGGTGCCACTACTTCTCTGGGCAGCCACTCTTTCAATCACTTCCAGAAATGGCTCCTGGAGAAGGACCTCCGTGGAAGATCTCAAAAAGAAGGTTGTATTAAATATTAGCCTAACTTAAGTCCCATTTATTTCTACTCTCAGTACAACCCTCTGAAGTACCTGAAGTATAAATATGGACAGTTTTTAGCCATTATTCCAGAACATAGATTTGGAATAATGATCCCACCTACCTCATAGTTTTGCTTGAAATATAAACTTTCTGTCTGTTATAGTTCTATTTAAAGGTATGACAACATTTTTCTTTGGGAGGCACAGTGTTGAGATCAAACAAGAAAAGTATCAGTCCATGTTTCTAACAGTTTGTAAAAGAGCTTCACAACTCTGAATACTGAAATCTAGCTTGAGTTGATTTTGTGATAATTCATACTGGTGCAACAACTTGCCATTGCGTGATAAGCTCCTTTAGAAACCTCACTTACTTTGGGAACTCCATGTTCTATATGCTTGTATTTCCTATTTAAACATTTCTGATTTTAAAAGTAACTCATTCAAAAGTTGTTTTTCTATTGGTAACACATTTGCATTTCACCTTTCCTTCAAGGAGATCAGTACAGCACAAGTGAATTGTTGGGTGGCACCTGCTGAGCACTTCTTTATAGCATAATCGTGCTGATGTGACTGAATTCCTAAGCTTCCTTAATAGAAAAAAGTTTCATTGATGGGCTTACTCTGACTCAATCATGCAATGGTGAGTGATTAATCTTGCAAGTAAAATGGCCAGACATTCTTTTTTTTACTCACTTTAAGCTCCTCCATCCTGTTCTGGATTGTGGACAGGTCAGACGAATGACTTGGGTCTTGTGCTTTCAGTACTTCTTCAGCTTGTGCTATCCAGTCCTCCAGCTCTCCTAGGCTTTTAGTAAATGTCTGATAATCTTGAACGCCAGCCTTAGATTTAAGAAAAGAAGGCTCATAAATGATAACATATAAGGTTCTTTTGTTTCAGTTGCAGTGCCTCGAATATTGAACAGAGTCGCTGCTTACTTATTTTCAACGCTATTACGTTACTTGAGAGCTACTACCATTTAATTTGTTTTTTTCATATTGTGTGAACCATAATATTAGGATTAGGAAGAAACAAGATGGAAAATTTGATCCCCTGTCTTCAGATATTGGGGCTGCCTTCTATTTCTGTCCCCTGGAAGGCAGATTCTTTCAATTAAAGTCTTGGCTAGGTAGCTGGACTAAAAGTCACTGTTCCTGGTCTGCCTGTTCTTCTTCCCTATCCACAGACTGGAGCAAGGAACTAGTTCTAATCAATTTAATCCTCCCCTTCTGACTTGACAGAAGAAAGAAGTCAGTGGGTGCCTCCTAGGGCTGAGTATTCTTGTCGCTCCTTCCTGCAGCCATCCCCTAAGACTCTCTCCTGTAAGATAGGCTGAGACTATCTTACAGGCTGGGTCTCAGTTCCCTTTTTCCATCCTTGCAAAAACCAAGAAGGAAGAAAGTGCAGGTGTGACCTACTGCCCCCTGTCCAGGCATGACCCCTGTCACCAATACCAGTGGACAGAATGGGCCCTTCTGTCCATCCCCCCCCCTTCCCTCTTCCTTGGGTTGTACCCCCTGTATTTGGGTGCCTGGATAACAAGAAGGGGGAATACATTTATTCATAACAAAGCAAGTGGAATTTGGATCCTTTTTCTAGACATGAACCAAACAGAATGATGCTAACCAAAGTGGATTCACTTCTGTTTCAGGCATCAGTTCAGGCTATGGCTTAAGGAACTATACCATGCATCGCATCAAGGTTTCCATTGTTCTGGGGCAACTCCTGCTTAGTTTGGGCATCCCAGTGAAAATAAATCATTTGAATGCCCTTCATTACAGACCAAGTTGCTGAAGGGAGTGCTCACCATCAGTTGATATGGTTGGTATCCAACAGTACTGAGGTCATGGGATAAGAATGTTCTTTGTGGGAAAGCTGATGTCTTTTACACAAGTGATAGTTCCAGATGTTGTGTAATGGTGGCAGCACGAGAGCCCCAAGGCATACTACTTATGCCCAGGAGAACTGTTCCCACTCCTGTAGTCAGTGGGAAGAGTGAGTGAGGATGGTGCAATACAAGCCAAGGTGCTCCTACCTGTAATACAGACTGCTGCCTGCCAAGACCCTGTTCTAACGAAGATATGTTCTGCATTAGAGAGAGCTGGCCCGACTGGAGAGCTGCCGCCGCAGAAGGCTCCACCTGTTGCTTCAGCTGCTCTCCCAGTTCATGCAGAACAAGCAGAGAGTCTTGCACTGTCTTCATGCCTTTAAGCAAGTCCTGCAGAAATTACAAGAAGGAGAAACAGTGGACGAAAGCTGTAAAGAGCGTTCAAAGCTGTGGACTGACCAGCACATGTTTCTGAGGGGGTAATTTTTATGATGTGTGAAATGATTAAACTTGGAACTGACTCACACATGCTAATATTTAAAATGGAGCACAGCTGGGACCCTGCCTGCACAGCAGCCACTCTGAATACAACTTCACATGCATATCAGGCAGAATGTGTATATATCCTGGTATGCTATTCATGACCAGTCCCTGCAAGCTGTGGAAAGGAATTCACTTGTGCCGTTGTGAGCACATTTAGAGGCCTGTGACTCAGCTACTTTCTTCAGTGTTGGAAATGGAGAATTAATATCCATGGAACAAAGTACTGCATTTGTGAGCAACAATGCTATGGAAGGAAGTGCCTGTCTGGTCAGTGGATGGCTCAGCTACACAATGACTTAGTTCCAAGGCTTTGGAGACTGCATGATATGTCAGTGCTACCTCACCACCCACAAACAACCTGGATCCAGGAGGAAGGAAGCAAGCAAAGCATAACACTGAATCTCACTTTCAAATTTAAGAGTACCTTTTGGGTTGGAATTCATAGAATAGAATCATAGAATAGTAGAGTTGAATGGGCCCATGAAGGCCATGGAGTTCAACCCACTGCTGTTTACACCTTCCCAGGGGAAGGAATGTCCCTTAGGGCCTTGGGTCGAGTTTTGAAATGGAAGAAATGAGAGGAAGTCTTCGAAAAGGCAGATTTCCTTTGAGGGGAAGGTTCAGGAGAAAGGGACCATGTGGGCAGGAAAGGGATTGAAGTGTTTCATTCCTCACACAGCCAGCCAATTGGTATGAGCATTAAGCTATTTTTTTCAGCATCACTTGCTTATTTCACATTAGGATTCTCACTGCAACTGTAGACTATCTGTCTTGACTAAGTGTGAGGCCAAAAGGAAGTGGATTATGACATGGTGTTTGGTGTCTGCAAGGTAGGACTCCCATCTGAACCCTGAACAGCACCCTGCAGAAGGCCTGGGCTGTTCGCTTTGTTAAAGACTTTTTGGAAGTCCAAGCAAACAATGTCTATTGGACTGCCCCTTTCCATAAGCTTATTGGCATTCTCAAAGAACTCCAATAGGTTAGTGAGATGGGAAGCCATATAGATTTTTCAGTAGAGCCTGTACCTCTGTGTGCTTACTGGTTCCATCTTTAATGATGCCATGGAGCAACATAAAGGGCCCACGACCAATCATGGCTTTAAGGATGAAAGGGGGGGGGCACTTCCAAAAGCACTGGGCTTGGCTCACTTCTTAAAGCTACACGTTCCTGAAGTCCTTTGCTGGAACTACATCTCTCCCTGCAAGCAAACCCTCCAATCACTATCCCGAAGTATGTTGTCCTGAAGTATTTATGACTATTGTTCTGACTGTTTAGCTTGTGTTTGCTGTCTTGGACCTGATCTTGTTTAAGTGGACATATAAAGCCTTAAATGGCTTGTAACTGGGATATCTAAAGGAACGCCTATCTCCATTCATCCCTGTCAGACCACTCAGCTCATCAATGGAGGCCCTCCTTCATGAACTCCCTCCAAATGAGGTGAGGGGGAATTGGCAAGGAAAAGGGCCTTCTTGGCCATTGCACCTCACCTTTGGAATTCTCCTCCAAGGGAAATGTGACTGGCACCCACTTTATCTTGCTGTTGACACCAAGTCAAGACTTTTTCATTTAGTATCTGTTTTTAGATCGGATTATTGGTTTGCTGCTGGTTTATTGTTTTATTGGTTAATGTTGTGAGCCATCTCGAGGCTGTGTAGCAATGGGGACGGCATATAAAAACTTTGAACAAACAAACAAACAAACAAACAAACAAATAAATAAATGTTATTGGTCATATTGTGTTTATTTTCCTCCTGTTTCCTATACGGTCGTATTTATAATGTATTTTAATTTTACTTGTTTTATGGTTTTGTTTCTTATTGTTATTTATTTTTATTTGTATTTAAATATATTTATATTGCACACTGTAAGCCTCCCAGAGAGCCTTTGGCTATGGAACAGCATAAAAATGCAGTAGATAGACAGACAGACAGACAGACAGACAGACAGACAGACAGATAAGTGGATATGATCCTGCTTTACTTGACTCATTTCCACCTGCACTGAACCATGAATGGCATGTACTACAAGAATGTAGTCAACCAAGGCTAAAAGCTGACAAAGCAAGGACTTTGACTTGTTCCCCCTCTGCTGGACAGCAACTGCAGTTCTTAAATGGATGGGGTCCATTTCTGCAGTCATCTGCAGCAAGGATAAGAGAAGCTGCAGAAGAGTCATCTTCTGAGTCAGGTGTGATAGGCGAGCCATATCCATGCATTGGGTTGGCACTGAAAGCTCTGTCCCAAGTGGGGTGATTCACACTTCAGTGAAATCTATGTCTTTTTTTGGAGTAATGCCGAGTCCAGAACCAGGGGACAGGACATCATGGAACAGTAACACAGATTTCCATTTTCCCCACTTACATTGCTATCCTGAATCCAAGTGGTGACTTCATCATCCGCAATGTCCTTGTTGCCTGCGACCTTGAGGAGTTCATTTGTCCGATCTTCGTACTGCTGAACTGTGGAAGAGCACTGTGTGTAATAGTTCTTGTACTTCTGCCAGAGCTGAAGCAGTCCCTTACTGGAGTGCAGATGCTCGGCAATCTCTTCAAGAAGGTTGTTCCACCTGGCAATGATAACAAATGGCTGTGATGCAAAGGCACTGGCAGAGGCCCCAACTCCCAAAAGGACTGTGGAAGAAACTTTAATTGTTTAGCAATACTCTCACAACAGGCTATAAGCCAATACAACTACTGCTTCTGTTAGCATTCTGAAAAAGTAAACCTAACATGGTCATGTTGTTGTTGTTGTTGTTGTTTAAAGATGGGGTTTTATTTGCTGTAATTTGACAGCTCACGCTGCACTTTTATTGTATCACCATCCTGGGACCTAGTGAAGGAAAACATGTAAAAACTTTAAATAAATAAATATTAGATTGTTTCTGGAAAACTCTCTTTACATTATGTGATGGCCCTTTTTGTTCCCTCCAAAAGCACTCCCCCAAGACATAAAGAGATGGGATTTTAAGATGTAATCAGGAGAACCATGTGGAGATAAGTGCCAAAGCATTACGCAGAATGAGGTGATGCATTAAGAAATCTAATTGCAGGTAGAAGGGCTGTATTTTCTTATGCTTCTCTATGCAATTGTTTAGAGTTATAATGACTCTTTATTAAAACAGATATTTATTATAGATTTTACTTCAAATACAATTATGAATAACTTCATACCTTAAGTTCATTTCTTTCAAAGTGTTGTTGAGTGCTTCTGTAACAGGTGGGTGACACTCTTTCAGTAACTGATTGGTCACTGAACCAAACTTCTGTAAGCTATGGTCCTTCTTTTCCAATTCATCCTGCAAATTCTAAACATAGAATATAAAGTGGAAAGAAATGTACAATTTATTAGATACCCAGGGGGTAAGACTCATTCAAAAGGTCATTTACAGGCCACTTTTGGCAACCTTTTTGCATACACTGAAATTGTGTTAGCAAATAAGCTGAGAAATCCGAAACCTCTATTGAAAAGAATAGTACAGAATGGTTTGGACACATTTTAAAACTCCTTAAATAATATTTGACAATAAGCAGTTTTCCTTCCCTATAAAGCTTTGCTAAGTATGTAAATGCTTTAGTTTTCATATCTTACCTGAAGGTTATCTACTTGAATTTTCACTGCTTCCAAAGAACCTGTAAGGAGATGAAGTCGAGAGAGAGAGTATCTGGCTTCCATTAGGTAGCTATTCAGTTCATCATAAGCTGCTTTGTAACTGCTCCAAATATCGAGAACAGACTGCAACAATATTTTCAGCTGGCCAACCTGACAAAACAAAAGCAAAACTGCAATAAATATTAAAATTCTGAGTCTTATTTTCTCTATGATGTGTGCTACTGGCAACCAGGAGTCATATGGTTCAGCCATTCCCAGCCCTTCCCCAAATCATTCTGTGGGCAGCTGCACCTGATGGGGAAGGCAGCTGGTTCTACAACCAGGAGTCCATGAGCATTTGAGGACTTCCTCTTGGCTTTGCAGGACTGGGCTGAGCATGAGGGTACGTCTGCGGATGCTAGAGGGATGCATTTGGAAAGAGTTCATCCGAACCCTAGTAAAAGGTGTAGAACACTAAGAGTTGTCAGCTCAGTTTAGAAAAATCAGATGTTAATATAGCAAAACACACCCCTTTCACAAGTAAGATGAATTTGCAGCTTTGCTGTCCCTTGATGTTCTTGCTTCAAATGAGAGAAATCCCTTTGCTCATAAAGACTTGTTCATGACCTTGTCTCTTGACCATGCCCTTCTGACTTTCCACACTAGTCCTTCATGAGATTTTGGGCACTCCTTGATGCCCTTGAAGCGCCATCTCTCTAGCATTCAGAAGTGAAAAATCCCCACCTTTCTTTTATGCTCCAATACTTGCTTACCATGTGATCCAAATTTGCCCAAGAATGGTTGAGTTTTTGAAGTGAGCTCATGACAACAACACAGGCTTCTTCTTTTTTATTTTGTATCAGAGAAAGTCCACTCTGTTCCACTTTTTCAACTTCCTTTTCTTTTGCTTTTATTTGCTCTTCTAGTTCCTGAAAGAAATACAGATTCCAATGTGGTTTCCTTTAACTGTTTAATGTTTTCAAATGTTCAAAGCACTTCAATTCCTCCCATATAGTGATAATACTAGGATAGACAGGAAATTCTCACAACTCTCTAAACATCATAATTCACAAACAATAAAATATGAGCCTATAATTTGAATAATTCATTTAAATAACTCATTGAATAATTCATTTAAAATGAAAAAGTTGATTCAATATTGTTATATTCAATATGATGTTGTTCAAATAATCGATTTACACAGCAATCCTGTGCATATCTACTTAAGTGTAAGTCCTGTTAAGAACATGAAGCTTATTCTCCTAAGAGAGTTTAGGAATGCAGCTTTAGTGTAAAAAATGCTTCATATTTTCACTGTCCCAGTAAAAACAACTATATGTAGTAGGTCACCATTCTTGCTACCGATACAAAGAACGGAATAGGATATTTTATTTTATTTTATTTTATATATTTTATTGTATATATTTTAAAATGTTATTTTAATTTTTTGTTGTAAGCCGCCCCGAGGCTTCGGCGAATGGGGCGGCATAAAAATGTTTTAATAAATAAAATAAATAAAAATATTAAGAGATGGTGATTTGTTCAGGTTGGTTGCTTTATGAACCTATAGCTAGAATAGGATTTGAGGCCAGTTCAAACTGTTATCATGACTTTTCCCTCATACAATCTTCTCCTAATTTCACACGAGAAATGAATGCAGTCCTTAGCACATAGCCATGTTCCTCTGACGTTCATAATGAGCAGCTGGATGTGGTTGATGTCTGTTCATAGAACAGCTTTAAGGGATGCACTCTTCACTGCACATTCTAATACTTTCTTGCACACTTAGAACCGAATTAGGGTTGCAGAAAGAGGGCTCCATTTGCCCTCATTGACATACTCATGAGACAAATTCAGCTGCCTACAGGGCTACAAGTAACTGGATTGCTGTAATTACTGGTTCTCTTTTGCAAATGAAAATAGTTCTCTGTTTACCAAAAAACAAAACAAAACTCCCCCCAAAACACCCAGTCTGATTTAGGAGATTGATCTTCTAACAGAAGCACAGCAGATGCCATAAGTGCTGATTGGTTCTTCTGCCTGCTACTTTCTATGCTGTGCTGGAGGGTTCCACAAGCTTGCCGAAGATTTCAGGGAACACGGGAGACTGTAAAGTGGAGGTAGAATTACCCAACACTGTTTTTCCTCTTCTGTTAGGTATCTGTCCATCATTCTGTTTGCTATGTGATTCTGTTAGGAATGTGGACAAAGAAGGTTCCTTCTTTAAGAATTTTTTAGCAGCAAATAAAGGAAACAATGGCTGCTAGTAGGCAGAAAAGAAAAGGAAAAAGGAAAAGTAGAAGGGAGTGTTTTTGTCAAGTGCTTTTCACACTCCTCAAAACATGATTTTCATGCCAAAAATGTTTGATGGCAAAACTGTGGCACAACCCTAACCTGCCTTTTTAGATTGCGAACATATGAAAAGCAGTGCTGGATCAGATCTTTTGTCCAGCATTCTGCTTCCAGTGCTGCAAACCACACCTCCCAGGGGGAACTCGCCTGCAGGACAGGAACAGGAAAGCCTTGCCACCTGTGCTCCCCAGCAACTGGTACTCAGAGGCACACTGCCTCTCGGGGATATCCCCAAGGCATATCCCCAAGGCATATGGGGAGGTACTATCATGATCAAATGTCCTCCATGAACTTGTATTTTAATTTGAATTTCACTTTTAAAACCAACTCAGTTGGGAGAGCAAATTCTTTCCATTGTACTTGCTAAATCTGAAGTACATCTGTTATTTTCTGGCAACCCACAGCCTTACTCTTCTTTAGTTTATAATTTAGTGATTTAATGATTCCTTTTTATATTATGAATTACAATTTGCAATTTTATTTATTTAAAACATTTCTATGCTGCCCCCATTGCAACAAAGCCTCGGGGTGGCTCACAGCAAGAACCAAATTATACAATAAAAATATTAAAACCCGGTGCATCTCGGCTTAAATTTTTTTTTAAATCCTACAAATAACCAGTAAATTAACACTTAAAATAAGTTTTAAATAAAAAGGTCTTAGCCTGGTGCCGAAAAACAAATAACGATGGCACCAGGTGGACCTCTCTGGGGAGCGCATTCCAATTATATACATTTCAAATCAAAAGTAATCTCTACTGAATTTGGTAAGAGTAACTCTCATTTAGTATAGACAGGACTTCAGTCCAAAGGCTTTAATGGAGCTTGTATATTTGGAGGTCTACAACAAAGTACTTGAGTCAGAATTAAATGGCCTAAGATCACAGGAGACAAATACAACAGGAGCCAAAAAAGACTGGCATTAATTGTTCCAATCTCATAAGTGAATTAAATTTGTTGTGGAAAATAAGACTCCCTTCCCTGTTTCAGGATCTTTATCAGCATAGATAAATACATGAATTCTATTTTTTGCATCACATTAAGCTGTAATGTATGCAAACCAAGAAAAAATCAGCTTGTTTTTAATGGTCAAACCCTTGCCTGAACTTATGTGGGTATCAGTGATTTACACTGTTTCATCATGACAACAAATGCATCAAGTTCTGGATGTTTGCCATGTGCCACTAAGTTACACTGAAAGGATTTCTCACATGGCTGACTCCTTTCTGAAGTTCCATAATCCACAGAATGGAAAAATCCAAAGAAAGCTGGGTAAACTGAAGTCCTATTGAACTTCATATGTCTGGAGTGTTCAATTGCCTACTTAAATCAGTGGTAAGCTATAGCATGCTACCTTTTTGCTAGTGCCTCCTGTTTTCACCATTGTTTTAGCACTCACTGTTCACTTTGCTATAATGTGCTCCCCCCCGGCCCCATTTTTGTTGCATTTGTTGCAAACAAAGTCTTGGTCTCATTTGTTTATATGCAACCATTTGATTGCATTGGCAAAGGTGACCTATATGGATTTGCTCAAAGGCATTTGCTCATTATGTCTGCTATACTGACAGGGTACATCACCATAAAAAATTACATGGGTTGCCAGAAGAGTTGATGAAAAGCATTAAGCCAGTACTAAAACAATATGAACATTCAATGATATCACTGGTGGGTAATTTGTTTGGCTGCCTTGAATGTACTCTTCTTCAAAGAAAGTTTTTGAAAGTGCAGAGCACATGGACTTTTAACTCTGAATATAACTTTGAATGCTATACCAAGGAAGAAAATCTAAAAATGTTGCAGACAAAAGTTTTCCCATATACTAATCTTTGTTCAATATATAGTCCACAGACACACTGAAGAATTTGGAAAATCAGTACAGACTAGTGTTCTACCAGATTTCCCTAAGGTTTGATTTTCATTGTGAAGGTTACTGGAGAGCAGGGAAACAAGAAAATATTTGCACCCCCACTACCTTTCACTCTTTATGTTTTGAGAGAATTTTCTACACAGTTTTCTACCAGCCTGAGACACTGTGAAGGATAGTATACAAAAACTTGAAATAAATATATGATGCTAAGATTGCCTGATAGTCTGAAATGAGTTATTTTTAAACGGCAATAAGGCAGGTAAAGAAAGGTTTGTTTGCTTGCTTGCTTGCTTGCTTGCTTGCTTGCTTGCTTGTAGAACTATGTAATAGACATGAGAAATAAACAATGCTCTTTTTTGCACTGAGAAACACTGGCAGAAAATAGGAAGCTATATACACCTCATGAATGGCGAATCAAGAAATCAGACATGCAAAATCAGAAATAAAAGAAATGGCCTCAGGGACAACCAGAAAGTGAACAGGAGAAGTACAATTCTTAAGAAGGCAATAAGCAAAATGATTTATACCTTGATAAAAAGAGAAGGACGGAAGAAATGAAAAATAATTTTCTAATAACGTTTAACAGTGCATTTTTATTCTTGTAGTTCCATCAGTATGAGTATTAATTGAGTAGCATTTCTGCGGGAAAATTCAAGAGAAGCCTATCCTCTCCTCTCTCACAAAGCAGTAATATGACCAAATGACTGGTTGTTGTTGTTGTTACCTGACAGTCTTTCAAGGCATTCTGAACAGATGCCTGATCTCCAATTTTCTGTCGTTCCTTCAGTCTCTTCTCTTGAGTTTCAAACCATGCTTGCAAGCACTGAATGTTGTTTTCATACTCTGTCCAGGATTCCAGGAAACCTTCCAGCAACTGGATCTGAAAAAGATATGAACATTTCTTAATGAAAGAACTAACAAAGACTTTTTTTAAAAAAATTGAGCATGCCCACTCTGGCCCAGCTCATTCAACTTCTTAGGCTGTGCTCATCACCTTTTCTGTTATCAGTCCCTGCAGGACCTGCCAGCGTCTGTTCATCACTCCAAGTTGCTCTGCAAAGTCAGTCTTGTCACTGCGTTTACTTTCCACATCCTGACTACTAATCTGGAGCACCGACTGGTTAACGAAGTCCACTGTTAACTGTTTACAATTTACATCAATCTTAAAACCCTGGTGAAAAACAGAAAGAAGGAAAAACTATCAGGGATTGCTCACAGATATTCTATCTATCTATGAAATTTATGAAATTCTAAGAAATCATCATTCTTGTTTGCAAATGACAAGTAAAATTATTACATCAAGCTTTGATAAATGTGCAGTGATAATGCCTAAATATTGTGTGTTGCAAACAGAGCTTTTTGAAGGACTGCTATTACATCCCCAAATAGAGCTTAAATTGTTAAGATACTGGGCTGGACGGGGTTATCCCTCTACAGATGGAAAGGGATACTCCTTCCATTGGTGGAGGGTATTGAGATCCAGCAGAGACTCACTTTGGGAGAAAGGAGACAGGCTGGAATTTTCCCTGATTCTTCCTCCTTCCTGCAAGCTGAGAACCACTTCACATGCTGTTAAGATTTTCCAAGGTTGCAGGAGGGTAAAACTGGAAAACACCACTGCTCTGGCCCTTTTCACAGCAAGGTTGCCCAGTTTGGACCCTTCTGCTCCAATGCCTTGAATTTTGGCACAGCCAAAGAGCCTCCTGAAAATTAAAACAGCAGTTTGTGCATTTTCTTGAAGAGAAAGTCCCTGTAGCAGAAGCTTGTGGGCATAATCCAGCTGTTGATGCTGCTTTGGGTTTTCACTATGAAAAAAGACACCAGTACTTCTAGTGAGTCTTTTATTGCGCAATGTGCAGAATCAATGCCTTCATTTTGTAGGATTAGTTTTTTACCACAAAAAATATGTTAGAGAGAAGATAGAACGCACAACACATGTTGAGTGCTAGCCATTAGGCCTCCTCTATCTAAAAGCATGCTTTGTGTAAAATCATGGATTAACATGGTATCTGATGTACTAAGTTAACATCAGCACAAAAGCTGCCTTCATTTCCATTAGGGTTGCTTCAACATGTAAAGCAATATAAATGCCGCATGATTCTGCTGTTGCATCATGCTGACATATCAAAGGGCTGATATATTGGCTACTTTACAAAAATTCCCAATTACTTACCTTATATTTCTGAAGATAATCCTGAATGATTTTGTGTCCCACTACATTTTTTATATTCTCCTCATCCTCTAAAATGATATTTTCCATCAATGAAATCCAGCTCATGACTTCTGTGATGGCATGGCGAGAAGGAAGCTTGTCCATTTGAAGCTGTAAAGAATTTAGACCCATGAAATCCAAATGATCTGATCTATGCCAGAATGGCACCTTTTAGAATTATTTCATGCTGTGAAATGCTTTTGTTTTTCAATGTTCTATGACACGTACAGACATGTGGAGCATGCATACAGTTCTGAAAAATGATATGCTAAGGTTTATACACTAGATAAATTAATACCTTTTGAGTAATTTTGCATCTTGGCAACATTCTTACTGAAATTTGGTGCCTATGACTAAACATAGTACAGAAATGAGGTATTGTCAGTGTTAGACGTGCATCATTTTCTTCAGATATTACAACTGCACCGATCTTTTATGCCTTCAACTATGCTCCAAACTATTTTATTCGGAAACAAGTCCCACAGACAATAATGCAACATACTTCCAAGTGAACAGGGTGGGAATGGAAGGTCACGTTGCTGACTCATCATGGTTCACTCTGTACGTTACCAAAAAGTGTGATATCGTCCATGTTGTCTCTCAGTGTTTTTGTAGCATCTATAAACTAGACCAGCCTGAGCAGAACAAATTACATGGCCTTGGTGCAAACATGATCTTCTGCAGGCCTGGCACTGTATAAATCCATTCTTCTGTGAATGGGCTCTTTGTTATATACTGAAAAATGTAGATCTTGGGGTAAGATTCTACTGCCTAGCCAGTTATTTCCTCTGTACAGCCAGTGTACAAAGAGACAACATAGAACCTCAGTGTCAGTGCTGAACAGTCCATTAAATCATAAGCCCAGCACTGAACCTACAGCAGCTGTGGGACATCCACCAGGATTGTAAAGAGTAGCTTACGCAGTAACTAAACCTTCAGGCCAGAACTCAAAAACCTGTAATGTCTCTTTTTTTCCTCAACACTGTACAAAGGCTGGGAAGCAAGACTTCAAGTCACATTTGAGAAACCAGGATCAGGGAATAAGGCCCAGGGGCTGAGGGGGACAACATGGCCGTTCTCAGCTAGGAATAAAGATCTGAGTTTCATTTTAGTTTACAAATCACTTGAAAATGCCTTGTTTGCAACCCCAAACACACATGCATGTTCTCTAAAAACATTTGCAAAGCCTTAATCCAAAGCTTGCTTGCCTAGGAAGGCCTCCACAGTTATAAGTGGTCTATAAGCAAGCAAACAAACATGTACTTGAAAAAGGCAGAACTTTCTCAAAATGCACTTTTCCTATTTGAACAAACAGCAAAGAACAGGGGAGAGCCAACCTGGATCTTTGAAGTAGAGTTTGGACCCTTGAGTGAACTCAAGCTAGGGATGTGTGAGAAACCTGGTGGGGGCTGGCGGTTTGCCATCTGGTCCACAGATTGGCCCAACTTGGTACCCCAGATTCCTGGCCATCAAACCCAGTGTGGTTCCAGCCCTCTCAAACATGAATTAAAATTGTCTTCCAATTTCAAAGGGGGTTGCAATTTGAGCCAGGAGAAATTTGTGTAAATTCTGGCCATAATTTGTGCAAATTGATACTAGAATGTTTGCAAATATCCCTGGCTTAAAAATAAAAAGCACACATCTTGTGGTACCATTTAAAAATTGCCATGATGCTGAAAATCCTTCAAATGTATGCAGGTTGAGATTCTCAGTATCATCCATCCCTATTTTCAATAGGTTTTGTGAACAGTGGACTAGAGGAAACAAGTTTTAATACATAAACATTTTTTGCTGAAGTGATTATTAAAGAGTGTCATCAGCTTATTGGAATCCCATATCAGAAGTATCTGAAAGATTTAATGATTTCAGTTAGCCATGGTAAAGGTAAAAGTTTCCCCTTGACATTAAAGTCCAGTCATGTCTGACTCTAGGGGGTGGTGCTCATCTCCGTTTCCTAGCCGAGAGAGCCAGCGTTTGTCCGCAGACAGTCTCCGTGGTCATGTGGCCAGCATGACTAAACACTGAGGTGCACGGAACACTGTTACCTTCCCACCAAAGTGGTACCTTTTTATCTACTTGCATTTGCATGCTTTCAAACTGCAAGGTTGGCAGGAGCTGGGACGGAGCAATGGGAACTCACTCTGTTGTGCAGATTCGAACCTTTCGATCAACCAGCCCAGCAGCACAGCAGTTTAAACCACTGCGCCACCTGCATCCCTTTCAGCTAGCCATACTTCCACATAAATGTGTACCTCTTTTCACTCTATATGAGAGCACTGTGCAAATGTAATGTGTTCAGATGCAACCACTAACGTTTGTCTTACCTGATGCAGTTTTTCTTGCACTACAGGAATTTGAGTGAGCAGCTCTGTCCACTGGTTGTCAATCTGCGACAGCCCTGCCCGCAGAGATGCGGTATCCATCTTCTTCAGCCGGAGAAGTTGGTTTCCCGTGCTCAGAACAGTAGACTTCTGGGATGACTTGGCATCAACCTCTTTTGAAAATTCCTGAAAGTATTGTCATTTGGCATAATTAGTTTTGGTAAGCAAAACAAAAAGGTGCATTTTTGCGCTAGGAATGAACATGCCTTTAACACTGCTATATTTTATACTGTGCTAACTAAAGTAGAACAAGACCGCAGTAAGAATCCTACATGAAAATGTTCTATTAACGGGGACTGTTCCATATTCCACTTTTCCTATTTTCCAAACATAGTAGTTTTGGAAAAGCTGCTCTCTTCTTAAATAGAAATGTAAATCAATCAATCTGCTGATGAAACAAATGACATAGGGTTGTGGTGGAGACCCCAGTGAGCAACCAGAATCAGAAATCGCTTAGATTCTTATTGAGACCTACCAAAAATGCATTCAAATGATCTCGGACCATTTCCAGTTCTTGAGGGACTGTAACTGATTGCTGGGTCCAAAACTCCAGACGATCCATTGCTGACTGGAGCCAATGAATTAGCTCAGTTGACTCACTCTGATATCTATGAGAAGGATACAGCCACATTTCACAACAGACCTCAAATTCCAGTTATTCAGTTAGATGTCATTGTACAAAAATAACTTTATGTAATGATTTTTCTCAAAACAGCTTAAACATATGCATTTCTTGGCATAAAAGGACATCCTTCTCAGTCCATCTCAGCTTCTACTGTCTGCTGATGGATGCAACTTATCATGATTACATCTCTAATTTGCAGCATTGTATTTAAAAATACAATGGTAAGTCTTTCCCAGAATATGGGGTCCGTGAACTCTGGCTTCGAAAGCTGATGCTTAACATGGCCTGTTAGTACACAGGATGTGCAGCCAATGTTATTGCAGTGATCCAAAGAATGAGGCTGGAAGAGCATGCACATCAGTAAATAATCACCCACAAATGTTTGCAGCAGGAACTAATATTAGACACGTATCTCCGTATCTGCAACTAATGCTTTTAGTAAATATTCGTAACGGATGGCACCAGAAGCAAAACTAGCCACTCTGGGAAAAATATACTTAATTTAGGCAACACTGTCCTTTTGAATTAATTAATTTCCTGGGAACGCTTATCTCTTTTTGGTTTAATAAGCCATACCTTGTCCAGTGTTTAAGTATGGTTTCCAGTCTATGAAGTTCCTTGGTAACTTTGCTGGTATTATTTAACCAATGCTCCCCTAGCAGGTTTAGCTGAGTTTCCAGTTCAGAACAGCTGACAGAGAACAGTAGCCTTTTCCCGTCATCTAACACTTGGTAAAGTTTGGCCTGGTACTCAGTAAGGCTGGATTTCAGATGCTGTGGTGACAAACAACAGAAAGACAGAGATGTGGCTCTCCAATAATCACTTTAGGTTATAATATAGGATAACATTTCACAAATGCTTTTATGATAATTAAAACATTCACTTATGAGATTTATGCATGTTATTACAAGACAATTCTGAGGGGATCACCAAGATTCTTATTCATATATGCACAAAAATATGCACATATATATTATGTATACAAGGCTCAAATTGTGTACAGAGCTTTATAAGACATTACATTTTCTTTAGCAAATTTGGTAAAGAAGCAAGCAGAAAATGGTTCTGATGTTCCATTCTTGGGTAATAATTCAGACAGATATGCCTAGGGGCTTGTTCATCCTCAAGGAAAAAGTTCTCCTCTGATCAGACATTCTTTCCTATTTGCATAAATCACCATTATATCATGTTGTTCTTACATTACCTTTATATCCCTACAGTTTTCCTCATGCAAGGAACTCAAGATAGCAAGATTCTCTTTTTCTCTCTTTTATTCTCACAAAAACCAACCTGTAAGGCTGAAAATAAGCGACCATTCCATTTGGACATCCTTATAACCCAGGATTCTTGTAAGTAAGCAGGGTGATATTGTCAAATGGATAAGCCATGTTTGTTGCTTTAGCTATTTTTTTGTTAAGTTTTTCTGGTTTCTAAGATTTGTACTTTACTAACATCAGATGTTTTGTTTTACTGCTTCTCATGAACTGCCCAGGGGACTTTGGAATTAATAATAATAACTAAACTTTAGGAAAGGTGCTTCAACCTTTCTGAATGGGGAAATGCCACAAAAGCAAGAAGCCACCAAACAATCTGCTGGTGAGAAAAGTGGGAATGGCCAGCTGGGCAAATCCCAGAGGGCTGATGCGTAGTTTAGAGAGTGACAAATTTCAATCCTGGGTCTGAGGTGTTACACCCCTGAGATACTGTACATACTTGACCTGATCCAGCACAGTTCTTCTGCTTTTAGTTGCTGCTGGGGAGGGAAGTAACTCACTGTACAGTATATGAAAGAATATGGATAGTGTGTAACATCCAAGAAACTAATAATGCTTTGCACTGCATAATAAAAAAGCAGGAATTAAAACATAAACAAGGTACCTGGTAAAGGGCAATTCGATCTGCAAGCCTCTCCTCAGACTCTTCTACCAAACCAACATTTGGGATACTAGTTTCAACTGTTTCCAGCTGCCTCACAACTTCCTGATAATCACCTTCCAAATGCGTCCAAGTCTGCAAAAGATACGTGTGTGTACAGGCTGAATTGGTTCCTCAGGAGTTTCCAAATTCATTTCCAAAGGAGAACTGCATAGAGCGGAACTGACTGAAACAGAACATCTCATGCATGCAGCAAACATCTGGTCCCTTTTCATTATGTTATATAAAATAAACCCTACTTTAATAAAATAAACATTACACATTTTTCAGGGAAAATCTACACAGCCCTGAGGTCAGGGGGAACTTTATAGTGCAGTGTATGGTTGACTAAAGCAAAATAAGCCTTTTGAAATACAATGTAAATACGTAAGTGGCTAATATTTAACTTGACAGTGTTTAATAAAGAAAGGATTGAGCACCGCTGCATTCTGTACCACCTGCGGCAAAAAGATTGTTGCCTGGTATAGTTCCACAATGGTTATTTTATACATGCTTCTGTTTAACTTTTTGTTAGCCCTCATACTACTGAAGCCTTTTATTCTAATGAAAAATTGAATGGCATATTCTTAAGAATTACATATTTTTTTTAAAAAAAGGAAAGATGTTCCTACCTCAAGAATATATTCCAGCTCCACTCCACGCTTGTGAGCCTGCTTTAACACTGCAGAGGCTTCTGTCATCAGTTCTGTGTGGAACTGAGTTTCCCTTAGAAGAGCAAAGCTGCTTATCTTCCTGAAAAGGGTTTCTGTCAGGATCACGTGTGATTCCAGTCCCTGAAAATATTCCTGTGAGATTTTAAGAATTGAAAGGAAGCATCATTATTTGTCAGCAAATTGAATCTAGTTACTAAACTTAAATGCATTCTTTTGAAAAGTTCAAATGTGATCATATACTGACAGAGGGGTGGGTAACATGCAGCTGCAGATGGCTTCCCATCTTTTTCAAGCCCTGACTTCCATAAGTCACTGCTCTTGAATGTCAGTGGAGTGTTGGTGGTGTCACTAGCAAAATGTCAGACATTTGCTTTAAAACAAAGTGCTTTAGGATGGCATACAAGAGTGTGCATTCCTAGGATTCATGGGGGTCCCCATACATAGCCACACACCATATTTTAAAGTAGAAATGTGGATGTTTTGAAACTGCCATGTTGATGTCCAAATCTGGCGGCAATTTAGTGGCTTTGATTTTGGTAGCAGGGGTCTAGACCCAAGAGGGTTACAGGATTCAGAAACTGGCCTCTGAAATTGACTGCCACCTGTGGCGCAGATGATACATGCATGCTATTGGGACTTGATGCACATACTAACAAAAGTGCTCCAAATGTCCTACCCTTGGTATCCATGCTTAGCTGTTCTAAATTCAAGGTGTCCATTAATGGAGTCAATCCATTAATGCAGTCAAGTTGTAAACATGTCAACTTCTAAACTGCCTACCATTGCTTAGCCTGCATTTATATTCAATGTATACTCTGAGCAGAACAGACACTGCTGGCAAATTTATTGATTTGTGTCTTTATCAATTGGAAAAAGTAATGACTCAAATACTGACTAGCAATGTTGATTTCTATACTTTTGAGTATTTAGTTATAGAGTACTGTTTCACTTTGAACCCAAGTCAGAAACCAAAAACCTTAGCATCTTTAAAGAGTAATGTGCACAAGCCAGCAGTAACAAAATAAGTATTTTAAAAAGATTATACAAATTAAGATTAATGCAAATGTAGATACATCTTTTTTTGAAATATTACTAGGAACTTCAGTTGTTACTGCACTGGAGAATTCCAGAATTTTATCATGTTAAAGGTAACAGAAAACATAATTCAGTTTTTCCCATCCTGCACATTTACTTTCAAGTTATACCAAATGACACCAAATCACATCAGAACGACTGATCTGAAGAAGAGGGCAGTTAACAAGAACCAAACCAAATAAAACATGACAGTAATGGATAAACATCTTTGCAATAAATTAAATACTGGAATTCTAAGTGTGATTTGTACCTTGTGCTTGTCAAGAAGTGTCTGGACTTCCTCTTTGGAGGAAACACTCATTTTCTTATCAACTACCATCTTTTCTTTACCAGTTTCGATCAGGTCAGCCAGATCCTGCAGTGCTTGCTCATACTGGCCCTTAAGTGCCAGATTTTGGTTCAGTCCGCTACGCCGTGATCCTATGATCATTATCAACTCATCATACATATCCTGGCATGTGAAAGAAGAAAGAGTCACAATCTTTTTTCCAGTCACACGGAGAAACCCATGCAAAGAATAAAGAATTAGATCTGATCCATCCATTCTACCAACATTGCTATTTTGTAAATTAGCTGGGCCCTTTATAAGACATCCTTTAGCAAAGGTTTCTAGGCACTTCACAAAAAGTAAAACAAGGAGGAAAAGAGGAAACAAATGCACTTAACTGGAAATGAGCTCATTTGATAATGGTCTAGATGTTCTAAAATTGTTCTTTTTAATAAGAGAAGCGTATGAATATTACTGAAAGACGAATTGTCTGCACTAGCTGTGATACAAAGTCATTTGCATCACGTCCTCCATTTTAAAAAACAAATGAAAAGTGGCCTTGAGAGCTCAACACTTTGAATGGAACAATGATTGGGTGGGTGCGGGGGGGGGGGAGGACTGCTTGTCCTTTGCCCATTGGGCTTTTCTTCCCTCAAAACTGTCTCCCAAATTGTTCCCCACCCCCCATAAAGGAAAAAGTTAGGAACCAATCTAAAGAAAAATACATGCAGATGATTGCCATGTGTACCTGCTTCACCGTAACAGGGTGCAATAGGCCCTGCTACAAGTTGCACTCTTGGGCTCCACACAGAACACCTGTATTGTTGCATGCATAGCATCGACTTTAAAGATGCTTCGTGTCACATAGGTAACCATGCCCTCCATCTGTGACCCACAGACTGTTCCAAAAACCTTGGCTAGGCTGTATTGTAGACTACTTGTGCTCTATTTTCCAGAAAGCCCCATATTGAATTCAGCAAACTTGTCAGCATCTTATAAATGATGAGCCTTGAACGTATTGGGCAGCTGAGTTAAGTTATCAAAACAGTCCACTAAATATAAGTATAGTGAAAATTCTAAAAATTCCAATTGACTGCAAAGAGACTTCTGCATGGGTATCTTCCCAGGGCAAAGGTCAATGTTCAGGGGTAGAGCATGGATCTGCATGGAAAGCGCCGGCCTAACCCAGGGAAAAAACCTTATCTTGGCTTTTTGTATTGAGGAGATGGAGTGTGTTTGTGGGGGGGGGGGGGGCATACTTCAATGAATTCTTACAGTTACTGGATGGTGGAAAGCCGGTGCTAACAGGATATAAAAAACTGACATAAAATCAGACCTATACCCAGCTTATCCTTTTATGCTGTCGGTCAATACCTTATAGACATATTTCTTGTATCTGACTCCTGCATCAATAGGACTTAAGGGTTAGGGTTAGGATTAGGGTTATGTAGAAAGAAATGGCTGTCTAATAATGTATATATAACCATTCTACAGATCTAGAGTTGCTGGTGGAAGAACTCTCAGAAACACTATTATCTTTGAGAAACCATGGAGGACAGAGAAAGTGCCATATGACTAGAGAAGGGCTAATTTTGTCCATATTTCAAGAAAGAAAAAGAAAAGAAGAACCTAGAAACTACACACTAGTCAGTCTGACATAAATACCTGGGAAAATTCTGGAGCAGATTATAAAGTAGTTGGTTGGCAAACACCCTGAAAACAATTACTAGAAGCCAACATGGATTACTTAAGAACAAATCCTGCCAGACTAATCTTATTTCATTTTATTTTTTTGTGATTGGGTGACCTCCCTGGTGGACTGTGGGAATGCTGTAGACATAAACTATCTTGCCTTCAGCAAATCTCTTGACAAAGTGCCCTATGATATCCTGATTAGCAAACCAGCTGAGTGGGATAGCTAATACCCTGGAAGACAGAAACAAGATCAAAATGATCTTGATAGGTTGGAGAGCTGGGCTGAAAGCAAAATAATTAAATTCAATTGGGACAAATACCATGTTTTGCACTCAGGAAAAAGAAATCAAATGCATTGCTATAAGATGAGGAATACTTGGTTCAACAATACTGCAAGGAAGGCAACAAGGATGATCCAGGGACTGGAAACAAAGTCCTATGAAAGAACTGGGCATGTTTAGCCTTGAGAAAAGAAGACTGAAGAAATATATGATAGCATTCTTCAAAATACCTGAAGCGTTATCACAAAGGTGGGAGGGCAGGATCTCTTCTCCATGATTCCAGAGTGCAGGACAGAAAATAAGTGCTCACATAAAAGGAAGCCAGATTTTGAATGGACATGAAGAAGAAATTCCTGACTATTAGAGCAGAATGACATTGAAACCTAGGAAGGTTGTGGGCTAGTTGCAGCTGGACAGTCATCTGAGAGGGCTCATTTATCTTGGAGTCCTGCACTAAGCAGGTGGTTGGATCCAATGACCCTTTAGCCATTTCCAATTTTACTATTCTATCATTTGGAGAATGATTTTAAAGCATTATTTTTAATGGGTTCCTTACCTGAAGCTTAGACAACTCTTGCATGGTAGGTTGGTCAATCTGCAATTTATCCCCACGTTTCTTTAATTCACTGATTCCTGTATCTAGTTCTTTGAGTGCATCTTCAGCTTGCTGAATAGCCTATATAAGGATACATTGTAACATTTAACTCTAGTGTCATAACTAGCCTACACTTCAGTGATGCTTGATGTCAGAGATGGCACATCAACACAGGTGCTAAAATTGCTCTGAATAATCTTTGGCATTTATGGTAGATAAATAGAGCTGTGGTTTCCAAGCTATGCTCTAGGAAACGCTTGGGACCATCAGCAACATGATCAGTAACAAAAGACAAGCTTTCCTTAAAATAGTTAGCTCACTGGTCTAACACAAGACCAGTGAGCTAACTTGTGGTATTCACAAGAATACTTAGCTGCATTCACAGGAATGCTCTGCTTATTCATGAAAGGAAATGACAAGGCATCTCAGGCCAACGTATGTAAACTGCATGCACACACCTGAGGATATAATCTAGAATTCACTGCAATATATAGAAATCTCTGAAAATGTATGAGGCTTAAAAACTATTAAAACAGGAACCAAAACCTAGAAGAAAATTATTAAACTATATAAAGGTTACAAAGGGCTCCTCTGCCCTCAGTAACAGCATGTAGCCAACCTTGATTGCCTACACATTGTTATGGTCCTTCCACGTTCCCTACTTTCTCCATGCCAGGCTCTGATTGCTTGACGAATAATTAAGGAGAAAATAACAGAAGCAAAGAGAACAGTGAGAGTAAAGTATTATCACAGAGGCTGGATATATTGCTGAGAGGAAGTAGCAGCAAAGGGGTGTTTGGGGATATGAAGGAGTGCTACAAATTGAATAAAGCATGCTATAAGAAGATTGGCTATCCCCGTATTATACCATTTCTTATTTCCAAGCTCTGTGTTAGAAAGATGGCTGTACCTGCATTTGCTCTTTTTCGGGACGTTCAACTGCTTCAGCTAGTTTCTGCAGGGCAATGTACTTGTTATCAGCCAGAGATGTAAACATCAGCTTCAGATCATTCTGTCAGAAAGAGAAAATTGCATGCAAGATTTAAATTGGCAGAATGTTAGTCAACTGTAATCTTAAGTATTCAAACATCAATTCAAGCAGTTCACCAGAGGCTTTTTTTACCAGAGCCAACACCTTTACTTGAGCTTGTTAAGAAATAGCAGTGGAAGCATATATTGAATGACTAACAGGATCCAGCCTGAGCATGGGCATTGACAGTCCATGCAGATCATTAAGCTATGCATGTATGTACACAAACCAGTGTGCAGATACTGACAAAACAGAATAGGTGCAAACATTCTACTAGTCAAAGGGAAACAAAAGGGAAAATATTTTATCAATCCTGGTATGTAGCTCTGTGTTAACCTCTATATGTAAGATACGCGAATGTGGAAGACACAATTTATTTTTACTCACATGTAGGTTAGGGTCTGATGTGGGTTAAACATGTCACCTATCATATGATGCTATATAATATGGCTATGATGCTTCTGTATGGAAGAGTCATCTCTAGACTTGCTAATATAAGGACCATCACTTTTTCTTTACTTCTAATCCTCATTTGACAAGAGACCAAGGGTTTCTGTTTACTGACACAGTCTGATTTAAATAACTGCTGGCTTCTATGTTTTCAAAGAGGGACTTGCTTGCTTATTTGTCCCACTATACACTGGGGCAAGTGGTGCACTGGGCATGCCCCCAAGCACTATAACATATGGTAATCCGGGAATCTAAGATCGAGGAATCAATCAGCAGAGTTTTTATCTACTTTCCCCCTCTCTCTTTTAATTGAGCCTGAAGAAGGAAGGGTTCTGTGAAACTCCAAGCTAACTTACTGCTTTGTAATATTTATTGGTCTTATTAAAAATGTTGGTAGGATCCAAGTTTAGTTATTTTATCATAACTAACTTAATTCCTACTAATTTCATTAAATCTACATGAAGTATAATTAAATACGGATCCTACCTTTTATGTTACTGATACTGTTTAAAAAAGCCATGAATCAAAATTCCTGTCTTTAAATTTGTCTTTGAGGCAGTAAAAGTTTTGCCTAAAATATTTATAACGTAAACTCCTGATTGAATTATAGAATCTAAAAATATAACTGGAATGCGTATCTTTCAAACAGCTAAGTGTTGTGGTGAAAAATGAGAGCAGTCACTAAGAAAAAGTGAAAAATTTACCTGGAAACTCAATATAAGTTGAAGCCTCTCTTTCATCTGTTGACATCTTTGGTTTATCAATGTCTCCAGTAATATTAGCCTCCTTAGCAAACAATCCAAGGTGTCTTCTATAACATTTCTATTTTCAGCACTCTCAGGAAACATATTAGAAAACAAATTCTTGTTCTTATCCATTTTTTCTGTCATCTCCTTGATATCTTTAGCAAGAGTCTGGAATATAAATAAAACAGCACTTGCTTGTAAGATTAAGTACCCTGTAAGATGGTAGAATGCCAATCACACTGACAATGTTGATAATATTCTTGTTTCTTCACAAAACTTTTTTCATGCATCACACTAGCAAAATGTGAGAGCATCAGTATTTCTTGCTTGGAGGCACATTTGTCTAGTTCCAGTGGTCCCAGGTGCTGATGGCATTGCAGTGATATACAGATTTACTGGGGAGTGAGTCCCATTGCCTTTGCTTCTGAGAAAACATGCATAAGATTGCACTGGTAATGTGCAGGGGACTATAAATATGCACAGAGTTTGTTCATGTTTAGCCAGGATTCATTCAATGGCCTTTGGCTTGTCACTCACTTTAGCAGAAGAATGTCTGCAAAGACTGCCTTATGCATGGGGAAGCTTGCAGAAAAGCATAAACATTAAGGTATGAATGCAGAGGGTTTACTGAAGTGAGTTAATGAGTGTAGAGAGTTTTAAGAAGGTATACTATCTTGGTCAGACTTTCCATGTATTGCCACTGATTTCTGAAATGTTTTATTGTTTCCCTAGCAAAATTAGCCAAAGTAACAGGACATAACTGGTAGTGAAAACCTCTCTTTTGTGCATATGTTACAGGATGACTGGCTGTCTCAGCAGCAAGTGGCACTCTGCAATGGCAGCTCTGGCCTCCTTTTTGCAGGCTGGCTTGCATGAGAATTTTCTTTGTTTTTTTTTTTATATAAAAAATTACTAAAGTGTGTAGAATTCTTCCTAGAAAGGTGAGAAAGACTTTGGAAATTTTGAAATAACTGATGTAGGAGAAATTGATAGCTTAATTCATCTGGGCCTTGTGTTGCGTAGTGGAACATGTAGAAAGATACAGAGAAGCCTCCTGATTATCAGAAAGATACACTTACTTCCTGATTATAGAGACCGGTTTCTGTCACTTCAGGTAATAAGGCTGTGGCAACCAACAAGCGTTCTTCTACACCATCCAGCCAGGATGAGGTGGCTGAAATGCCACTGTACAACTTCTGCTCAAAGTGCAGGTTTTCTTTCTCTGGACCTCCACCCTAAAAAGGCATCCAAAGAAAATCAGGCAAGTTTTTTTCTTAAGTACAGATATATTGGGTGGGGGTGGGGGAGAAGGGCGACAGGGAGGGAAAGAGAGAGAGAGAATATCTTTATCTAATTCCTAAGAATCAAAGGAAGGACACTTTAAGTGAAGAAAGACTTGGATCATCTTACAATGCCATATTACAAGATTCTTTGAAAAATGAACATAATAAATTATTATACCTTGAAAAACATTTCTTCAAAAGTGTCATTTAAGCCAACCAATAAAGATGTAACTGATGGTTTTTCTTGAGTCAGCCCCTCCTGCTTGTGGAGTGGTAGGCCAGAAACAAGTCTGTTTGGTCTACTGTAGACCTGTGAAGAGCAGTGGGGAAGGATTAGCACAGTGATTACAGTATTTCAGTTATGTCAGAAATGTAAATGAGATATTAAATATATAGGGAATGGAATAATGCATAACTTGGGCACAGATTGTCTTCTTTTTGAAATCACACTTTATGCTAATGACATTATTGCATTGCAAAAACTTTAGCAAGTTTTTTTTTTCATTTATAGATTGCCAGATCTGTTTTGTTAGTTTATTTGTTTGGGTTTTTTTTTTGAAAGGGTACTTACTGGCTGCTCCTGTTCTTGTTCCAGAGCATTCTGCAAAAGTCTGTGTTTAATGCTGAACTCCTGATGAAGACTTTCCCACTTCATTTTCATTTGATCTTCCACTGATGGTTTCTCTCCCTCAAAGCTGAGCTCCTGTGTTAAGACATCTGCCTTCTTGCTGTGATGGAAAATACAGATATGAACTAGCAATCCTGGATTGGAATTACCTGGGTATACTTGTGACTCTACTCTAAATGTTTATATTTTGATGTTCACAGTAATGCTAGCATCTCATAGGGGAAGGCAACATCCTAGGCCACTAAGATCATGCAAAATAGAGTGGAAGCATGGAAAGTACGCTGAGGTACAAATTCTCACAAACCAGTGCATCTGCTACCCAGTTGTGAATTCCTTCTGCAATACTTTCACTGGGCTGTAACAAGAGCCCTAACCCTGGCCTAGAGAAATTAGCAAAGCTCATTACTGACTGAAAGAACTGCATTTTATATTGATGGGTAGGATTTTTGGGATACCAGATTGAATAATTTATGGTTTAATTCTAAACAGTTCAAACCTTTAAAAAAATAAGAAGCAGCAGATATTAATATATACTGCTATGATTTTAGCTGCATTATATTTGTTTTACGGTTTATTTAGGAATACTAATCGGGGGCATTGCATTTGAAGGAAAATCTGTGGAAGCAGCTCAAACAATTAAACTATATTTTGAGAAGTGTATCTCTTTCTGACCAAGCCAACTTGCTTGCAGGCTAGTTTCACTTTCTGTTAATTATTCCACCAGGCTATTTTTTAAAATTAAACATACAGATAAAAATGCTATTTCAAGCTTGCAAGGGCAAAACCTTGAATGTATTCTGCCTCTCTCATTTTAAAAGTTAACTTTCCCAGATTTTCTTTGCAATGGAACACAAATAATGCCATAAAGTAAGCATGCATAAGCAAGATCACAGAAGACAGTGCTGCAGAGCCAAAACAAAATGTATCAAACGACACCTTGGACAAGGATTATCTGGAGTAGATTGCTGGGTTAGAATTTCCTCCCCACGACTTGCCACTGAGCGAAGTAGACTCTTCTGCTCTGCTAGCTCCTTCTCTAGCTCCTAAAAATTATCAAGAGGATTGTGTTAACAACAAGATACTTTTTTTAAATAATAGATACATAATTGCTAGAAGTCATTTTAGTCAGACAAGAGAACCAATGCCTTGATTCTTTTTGTCTACAGAGGATCACTGAGAGACCCAAAAGAAACATGATTCAGGCACATCCCCTCTTTTTTTTTTTTAAATCAGCATTCTGATTAGATAGGACTCAAACCACATATGACTTTACATGGGGTTTTTTCGTACCAGAGAGTGGCAAATGTCCTGCTCCTTTTCCTGAATGAACCACTTTTCCCTGTGCTATATTCTTGAACAAAACCATCAGATACTAAGCATCAACTGCATGGAATAAACATGTGTGGTGAGGTTGTGCTCCAGCCATGCCCATTCCATGAGTTTCTGCAGCTTTCAGCAGGTGAGAGCCTTCTGAATCACTACATGATGCGGCACCATGGAAGATCAGGAGTCTCCATTTTGTGGAGTTCTATAGATACACAAGGCTTTCCTCTTCAAAACGTCACTTTTGTAAGTGGAGGATGATAGAAACCTCTGAGGACTAGAGAGCTCCCCCCTCACACCTGTTGAACACCTGGAAAGGGCTATAGGCAGGTGAAGGGATTTCAGAACATTGCAATTTTGTGTGTTGCCTGTATGTTCAGACATCAGTTCATGGAGTAGCTCACAACATGACTGCAGAAGGATCGCTCCATTCTCCACATTTTGGCTTGCTGTCCTCTAGCTAAGTTTGACTTACACCCTCTAGCATCTCTGCACCTAATTACTCCCAAGCATGAGCAGGGGGTCCAGAGGAGCAGATGCTGGAATGCCAAACAATAAATCACTGGGGGCTTTACACAATGAAAACTGGCCCAGCTGCCTCAAGCTGGAGCACTCCTTATGGACAATTTTCATGGGAAATTTCTGAGATGCTGCTTTGGAATTTGAGCATGTGGTCTGAGTACAGATGGTGCAGGATTGAAGCCTGGGGAGTCCAGGTGCTGCTGCAAGACAATTTAGAGCTGGGAGGACAACATGGGATGACTCTTGTTGTTTCTTTGGTGACTGGAGCATTATTGAAAAGTGATTCTGAGTCACATGCAAGCTTCCCTGCTGCAGATGTCCATGCTGTATGCATAGACACAGGGCAGCAGAAGGCTAGAAATGCTGTATGATGTTGGGGCATGAATAAGGGCACAGTCTTCCATCCTCTTAGTCTTACTTTAGTCTATGGCACAATCCTGAACACCATTCTATGCAGATACACAGTTGAAACCAATGGTTCCTAAGTGCATTTAAAGAGATTCGGGATTTGAATTAAGTATGGCACACTCACTCTCTGTCTCTGTAGGCTGCTTTGCTGTTGCTGTGAACGGGCTAACCTTGCCTGGGCTAGCCATTCTTGGACACTGGGACTTTGAGAGCTGACTAAATCTGCTTCATACTCCTCCTTTTCCTGCAGAGCTCCCTGCTTTTAATGAAGGGAAAAAAGAGGGGATAAAAACATAATATGAATTTAGGAAACAGGATTAACACTTTCAGGTTTAGAACCTTCCACTTCTTAAACTGTCCAGATTATAACCTGTTACGTCTAAGGAAAGTCTACCCTCATGGCATTCCTCTCGAACAGCATCTCATTTAGCACACCAGGTAGCCATAGATCATGGCAGGATAAGAGTGTAAACACAGGCAGAGTGACCCAGTTTAAACGACTTGCTGGCAATATTTCCTTAAGCAGACGTAGAAGCCCAGGCCTCCTAGATCCTGGTCCAAACACACTAACTACTACACCGTAGTGACACATCTGCTTCTGCCTTGTACAGTGTGCCAATTATTTGCTCTAGAAGCCTTTGCATCTTGCAGGACTACTGTACCAACCTGTACAATAGATTATCTTGCAAATATATACCCAAAATGAAAGAACAATTGGTCTTTCACATTTTGCCCCAGGTAATGCTGAATGAGTACTTAGTATTATGGATACTTAGTATTAGAAAACAGAATTCAGGGCCAAATAACTGTACAGTGTGGACATATGTGTTGTTTAGTTCTGCACATACTAACGTAGTATTTGCCAAAAAAGCCTATGTTGAATTTTAGGACTCTGTCCCAAGCAGCAGGCCATGATTTTGCCTAGGAAGGGTGTTTCTGAGCTTCCTCCTGGTTTTGTTTTGTTTTTTTGGCATCTCCCTTACTACATGGAGCCAAGGCCAACTTCAGAAATATCCTTGGATATGTTGCAAGAAGTGCTGAAACAAAACCAAACCAAAACAGAACAGAACAGAACAAATGAGGTGGGGGAAGGGAGCACACAGTGAATCCATTACATTAGTACCCAATGGATATTTCTAGATTACAGCTGCACTTACTGCTAAGGGAAAGATAGAGAATGTTTACATTAAGCAGGAATGAGCACAGCACATATTACACTATTCTTACTCTCTAAAATAAAGATATGCACCCTTCCTCAGCTAATGGAAGCACAGATCTCCCTAGATCTCTCTTACCAAATAGACGAAGAGTTGCTGCAGAGAGGTAAAATATTATCTGTCTCATATTTCTGTCTAGTAGAAGATCAGAGACCTCAATTACCTGATTAGAAGTAATCTGTGACTATATTTGACACATATTTAAAAACAGTGATGGCTTTTCTTTTCTCTTTTGGCTAAGGATCCAGTATTCTACAATTGGAATATAAATGAAGAATACAGGCCCTGATGAAGCAGTTTATTATTTATTAATTGTAAATATGGCAAAACATGTTGAAAAAGGCAAAACAAATATAGGTTTCCCCAGACTGTATCCTCCAAATAGCAATAATGAGAAATTTGAGCAAGAAAGCATGGGAACTAAACTGTACCCTGGCCAGGCAATTTAATCAATTCATACTTGGTTACCATGGCAGCCTTCATCTCCACTTTGGTTTTCCCAACCACCACACTACAAGAGAGAAAAATGCAAACCCAACTGCCCCCTTTAAAGCCAATCAGACGGAGCGTCTTACTTGGATGTTGATCTGCTTCTCGTGGAGAACTCTCTGCAGCTCCAAAAGGCTTCCCTTCAGTGTTCGGAGCTTTACTGCTAGCTGCTCAGCCTCGTCCCTGGTGTGAGCTTTTCCTTCCATGAGGAGGTTCTCATTGTGTACCGACAACTCAGACAATGCCACTACCTTCTGCTCAATTTCCACAAGCATATTCTGAAGCAGCAGAAACAAGGAGGCAAATTCATACATCCTGAGGGATCCGCCACTGTCTTAGCCTCTTCCAGGCTAAGGGCAAGCCAAATTTGCATTGCTGCCCACTCTGGTATTCTCCAGATTCCTCAGAAATGTGCTTCCAAAAGTTTGCATTTCCTTGACGTCTAGAACTTACTTTTACTTACACAAGACATCCACCTAAGGTTACCTTTTCTGAGAACAAGAATGCTTTAGTACCACAGACATTTTTTGTGATGTTCAGATGCTTAAAGACTATTCTATTCTTTTAGTGCAGCAATATCCCAGAAACTATGATAGTCCAGATAATAATTAGCAGATCACACTCAATTATGGCTGCTCTTTTCTTCTTTTGCCACTTCTGCTGAGTGAATTCAGGCAGATCCCCTTTTCTGCCCTTCTCTCCCTCCCCTCCCTCTCCCCCATCGCTCTGGATGTATTGATAAGCTTCTCTTCTCACTGTAGATCTTTCTGATTGGTGCAGGGATGCCCTAAGATCCTCCACTTAATCTTCTTTCGTCTAGAGAGCGACTTAAAGTGACAAATCTCTGGCATGTTTATTTTGAAATGCCATTAAGTACTTATACACAATACCAAAAAGGTGAGTATATTTTGCCACTGACAAGTTTAAAGGCTTGAATTTATTTTCCCTCAGCAATTTAATCCAAGATCAAATAATTCAGAGGCAGGAAACGAAGAAACTGAAGGATGGACAAATCAAACTTCTATAAGATTACAAGATAGAAGTATTTGCTGTAAATTATGATTTTTTAGTGTTTGCATGAAAATACTGACCACAGATTAGCAGGGTCTCTAAAATTGTGCAGTGAGGGACTGAGAAAGGATTCAATAAGCAAATCAATTACAATTTTGTGGAGGATTAAAAGTTTTCAGTGTATGGACTGCTACTCATAGCTTATATCAACAACTTCACTTATAACAGCCCTGTGCCTCATCTTCCCTTGTGTAAATCAGACTTCAATGAAGGATTAAACAGTTCATTTCAGACAGTTCATTTCAGACATAACATTAACTCATGTTGTAGTGCTAAATGAACAAGCAGACCTGCAGCTTGAACTCTCAAGACTCCCCACCCTTCAATTTTCCCCTCCAGCACAGAATGAAGATAACAGAAAAATGCACTTTCCTTTTAAAGCTAACTAGGGTTTATTATGGGTCTGAAAGGAACTCAGTATAAAATGGTTTATTAACAAGCCAGGATCATAAACCACCTTTTGATCCTGGCTTGTTTTATTATACCCTGGGTACACACACAAGCCATGGCATTCTTCCTCTCCTCTCCTCTCCTCTCCTCTCCTCTCCTCTCCAAGCAGACCAGGGAAAAGGCTTTCTATCTAAAAGGCTTTATTATGTTAAAACTGACCCATAGTACAAAAGAAGAACATTGCAAAAGAAACAAGCAAAGTTAGAATATTGGCCATTAGGGAAATACAGCTTAATGATAAGAAGTTGATTCCAAGCTGAAGATTCCAAGGTGGGTCCTCCCGTTTCCGGGTCCATTGATGGAATCATTTGACATTTCTACCTGGTCCAGCCTCTTATCCTGATACCAAATGCTCAGATTAATGATGTTAATGATGTGCTCACTGAAGTTTTCCACTGAATTTGAAACTCTTTGGGATTGCCTGGCTTATCTCCACTGGCCTGCAAAGTCCACTGCAGATTCTGGCCCCTCCTCTACATCTGACTCAGAATCTGTATGCACAAACTTTGAAGGCTCTTCTGTTGGAGGAATAAGTCTAATCCTTACAGCACTTGCAATAGCATACAGATCCTCTCTCCTTGTGACTATATTATTACCTGTATTAGGATCGCAAGGGAAAGGAATTGTGTGGCAGCAAGGCTCAAGGCACCTCTGGGGCCCACAACTAGAGCATCATGTATCTGCATGCAGCCCCCAGGCCCGGGTTGCTGCACACCTGTTTTAAACTGCCATTTTTTTCAGACAAAAGGATAACTTTTGGATAGCCAGAAAGGGTAAGTGGCTTTGCCAATCTCTAATCATTTCCTTGTGACTCTGCCAGAAGAGGACAGTGGAGGGGTGGTATCCAAGCCCAAAGCTCATGTCTTGCCCTTCACGGGCTAATGCCACATCTAAACCAAGTATCTTTGGGGTGTGCTGCCATCAGTTCTTGGGAATGTGTTGCTGTTGATATGCTGATGATATGAGGCTCTATTTTTCCCCTTTTCATCATTTTCAGATGAGGCTGTGGATATACTAAACTGGTGCCTAGCTGAAACAGCACACTGGATGATGACTAATAAAATGAAGCTCAATCAAGACAAGACTGCATTAACCATTTTGTATACTGCAGACCTCATGATCTCAAGATCTAGACTAAGTTTTGAACTTTTCTGTTGCTTTCCTCAACTCTTCCTATTATGACATCTAGGTTGAATTCTCCTCATTCAGATTTTGAGTAGTTTATTCAGGGACTCGGGCAGCTATCTTTGTTTTGTACATTTAATAAACTCAAAATATTTTCTGCCTATTAATATATAATGACTTTAAACAGTAATGTTGTGGTCATAAATCCCTATGGCTAAACATTTAGACTGTGTCTAATTTGTAGGTACCTAATTTAACTAATGGTTGGTTTAGACACCATTCACCCCGCAGGCTGTAGCAAACTACCAGTGCTGGGCAGGTAGTTATGCACAATGCTTCATGCATTGCACCCATAAAAGTCACCTTTTAAATGTTTTGCTTGCTGCATGTACCACTACGCATAACATGAGCCAGTTCTACAGCCTGGAGTCAGTAAAGTCTAAGCTAGTGAAGGAGAAATTATATTTAAGCAGGAAGACCATTTCACCTGGCAGTCAATCAGCTGTGAATCCATATCCATGGGTTCCTCAGTGGCAACCAACGCAGTGTCTAGAGTGGCTTTTGTATTCAGTAGCCAATGGTCAAGTTCATCTACCTCAGAACGATATCTCTGTAGAGCTTGCTCTTGCCGCTGTTCTTCTAGTTGCTCATTGAGCTTCTCCTAGTAATCAGATACCATCATTTGCAACCCATTGTGTGGCAAAGAGCCAAACTCCTGATAACATATATCCACTTTCTGATAATAGTCATATGTTAATCATATAGCAGAAAGTAGTTTATGAAAGGAAGGAAGAGCACACTGTAAGGCTAAAACAGACATTGTTGTAATGTGCCATCAAGTCATCTCCAACTTAGGGCAACTCTATGAAGGAACACCCTCCAAAATGTCATATCCTTGGCAGAACTGCTCAGCTCTTGCAAACTCAAGGCTATGGCTTCCTTTATGGAACAGAGTCATCCCATATTTGGAAAACATATATATTCAATTTAGTTAAGCCTGTAATGATTGTAATATTTTGATCAGGATTTCTGTTAACAAAACAATGTGTGACAAACAATGAGACACTGAAAAATGCAATTAAATAAATTGCACTTAAGACTCACTTTCAAGCTGAGGAATTGGCAAAACAACAAATGAGATAGCAGCTTAGTAAGAAAGTGTCATCAAATTGATATAAAACATAGCCAGCCATCTAAAAGTGGTGAACCAAAATGAAATGGGGAACCCACAAGTGCTCTCAATTCCTATGACTAAGCAAAAGAAATGCATGGATTCCTAGAAAGACCATAAAACAGGGATAGACTGGTTCCCTACAACTCCCATAAAACCTCACCTGCAGTTATTGGTCAGAGGTCTTTACGTTGCCATCCCTGCCATAAAAGGCCCTGAACCATTTGCATGTGTTTGGAATGTCCTTATCAGATACCCTCCTTGGATGAAAAAATCCTTTCATCATCCTCATACCTCAAGCAGCTGCTGTTTCCCTGAAGCTTTCATTTTAATTGTGGCCATCCTTTCGGCTAACACAGTGAGTGTGGACTGCAAAGCTAACTGATCAGCAGCGTCTGTGTCCAGTGGTTCGGATACCAGCTCTTCTGCTAATGAGGTTTGCAGCTCGCAGATTTCATCCTGAAGCATCAGAATTTCATCTATCAGTGCCTGGCGAAAACAGGACAAGCTTGGGTTTGGTATTGAAATCAAAGTTTTGCTCTTTTAATTTTACTGTTGTATGTGTATCTTTTAAACTTTTGTTTACTTTTAGGTTTTGTCAACTGCCCAGAGAGCAGTGGCTATTGAATGTTATAAATTAAATAAAGTGAATTAAATAAATGATAAAGAAAAAAAATAAAATAAAGAAAACTATATATGACAAGACAGTGATGCCCAACTGGTACCAGTGCTGTTACCTCTCTGGCGCAAGATTAAGACTTTCTTCTCTCAGGTATTTGACAACATAGGATGAGATTTTATTCAGGTCTTGAATTTTCTGGTGTTTGATTGTTTTAAATGTGTGTGTCTCTCTATGTTTATATGTCTATATATATTTATATATACAGGTATAGATAAATATACACACACAGCTTTTATAATTCATTTTGAGAGTTGGAACTTTGTAAAATACCCAGAGAGTTCAGCTTTTGGGCAGCGTAGAAAAGTAAACAATTACATGAATAAAGCCTTGCATAAGCTTTGCTGAGTCACCACGTTAATTACAAGCAGTATTTACAAACAGGACCTAGAAAAATGTGTGTGATATCATATTCCACATCCAACATAATGAGTATTCTGTAGAATTGAATAAAATCTTTCCTGATTTAAACATCACTGTACATAATTAAATTAAATTAAATTGGTCAACTCGAGATTTACTTAAACAGCCTTGTAAGTATGGCACTAGAGAATTAATTGGCCAGTTGAGGAGAAGGGGGACTAGACATCTTATGCCTGTCCCTTTTTTGTTCTTCCTTCCTCCAGATTGCTCCTGGCAGCCTTAGAAGCTTACTCTGCTGCTGTTTTATGCCAGGTCAGTCCAAAATAAGATCCCATCCATGATTTAATAATGGAAGAGAGGGCTGACCTTGCATGTGTTATGGAGACCTGGGTGGGAATATAGTGAAGGGTTAATCTGTTCCAGGTATGCCCACCTGGGTACTCAGTGCAGGACCATCATCAACTTGAAGGCCAGAAAGGGGAGGGGTCATTATATCACCTCCACTCTATACCTGTCCATTTTCAGTGCTGATCTTGAGTATTTGAATTTTGTGTGGGGTACTAGGGATAGTTTAGGGATTCTGCTGCTGTACTGCTCACCCCAATATGCTCCAGACATCCTGTCTCAGCTGACAGAGGTGGTCTTGGATCTGATGTTGAATATCCCTAGAATGATAGTTCTGGGAGATCTCAACTTCCATGCCAAGGGTGCTGATTCCAGGGTGGCTCAGGACTTCACGGCTGTTATGACAACCATGGGTCTGTCTCATCATGTTATTGGCCTAACACTCATAGAATATATTATTGATTTGGTTCTCTCACTATGGGTGGGGAACAGTGATCTGAATGTGGAGGAATTAACACCCCAGCCTACCCCATTGTCATGGCTGGACATTGCCTACTGAGGTTTAGGCTCTCGGCGGCCTTTCCCCTCTGTAAGTGTGGGAGACCTATTGAAATGGTCCACCCATAAAGGTTAATGCATTCCAATGGATTACTTTAATGATACTGCTCATACAGCCAATTCACCTCTGAGCAATGTCACACTAAGACTAAAATAAAAGAGTTTATTAATAGGTGTTTCTATGTGATATTTAAAAAATAGTAATTTTTAATCTAAAAGAACTAAATAAAATGGGACTTAAGTTAGACTAAGTCATCACATTGATTTCAGTGATCCTAAAGATAAGGCAGAGAACAACCCTACAGTGCCTGGGGCAAGTCCTGCTGAAGATAAGTGCAAGCCCTTTCTCAGCCATAGGCACTGCTATCACCTTTGGAGGGGATTACTAAGCTTTGATCCTTTTCTTCTCTTTTACAGCTCTCATGAAAAGATGGACATCAGCTACTTCTTAAGGTTAAAAATTCTACCCCAGAGAGCATGCATGCTTTGCACTTTCATAAAACTGTTGCATATAAAAGGTTTGAAATCATACCCTATCCAACCGAGTTCGGAAAAGGCCAAAACAAAACCAAGTATCTAATTGACACTCTGTCTTTAAAAATAAAAACAACAACCAGCTTTTCCCTAATTGCAACTACAGTAGATAGTGGAAAAATTCTATGGCAACTGTAAAATTTTTATTTTCAATGCATTTTTAAGACACTGCTACGCCATGCATTTGTATTTGAAAATCAAAGGTCTGCAATTGGTCAAAAAGCAAGGAATTAAAATAGTAACTTATTTTTACCTGATGTTCAGCCATCTGGCTCTCCGGACTCTTGCCGGCCTCCAGAGTCTCATTTAACTTCAACTCAGCAGCTTCCATTTTTGTGGATATTGACTGGAGGGAATCTTGGTATTTTTGCTGCCGTTCAAGGGCCTCATACAGGGTGCGCTGCTTTTCACTAATCTACAGGAAAAACAAACTGTAAGTAAATAGTCAGCCATTTTAAACAGGTGCATCTGTGCAAGTGGATCCATGTTCACACATGATACATTTGCTCAACACCACCTCATTTTCCACTCTGAGAAAGCTGGCATGAGAGAGACTATACTCGTGCCACAGTTTGTTCACAAATGTCACTTCTAAGGAAATGGATATTGCCAAAATATGTCAGACAGCTGCCAAACTTACAGATATAATTGAAGAGTTTCACCCATATGAAAAGGAATCCTGGCTAAGCTATGATCTTCAATCCAAACCAGATTTTCTGACATTATATGTCTATTTTGTTACTCTATATCTATTCAATATATAGATATAGCATGGATTCCCAGCAGATTAGGTTGCTTACAGCTGTCATCAGGCACATCCTTTACTATCCCTACATCACCCTTGACATCTCACTGAATAGCCTACGTGTGAACTAACAGGGAGCTTGCTTGCTTATTTATTATAGGTATTTTGTACCACTCCTCAATCATATTTCCGGGGCAGTTTACAAGAAAGCATATAATAATGCAATTGCTAATACAAACAAAGCATAATAAAGTTACAAGATCATGTTGCTTGGGGAAATAAAAAGGTCTTTGTGTTACACTAAAAAATAACAGGGCAGATGTTAGGTCTACCTCTCTGGGGAGATTTTTCCACAGGTGGGGTGCTACCACCCAGAAAGAAGTTTTTCTGGTAGTTATGCACCACAACTCAGATAGAAACTATCCACTGAGGATCTTGTAGCTGAGCTGCTGGCACACATGTGGTTTTCAAACTCTCTTGGATGATTTATGACTTTACAAAATCTCTGCTCTGACATGATCACCAAAATCAAATGTGCACATATTAAAACATCTCTTCTCTTCTCTTCAGCAAAGGACTCACCACATTCTTTAGTGTTTCCCAAGAATGCTGCAAATCATCCAGTCTGGTGCTGGGGGCCAACTCTAACACTGGTTCACAGGATTCCTGACTGGATGAGGTGCTGGGTTGAACCTTGGAGGCTTCTGTCTGCAAGTGTTCAGCAGATAAGGTGTGATAATAAGCAATGTCATAAGCAATGAGCATGAAGCACAACAGAGCACTTTCAAAAGAGGATGTAGCATGTCTTTGCAACTTCAGTATATTTTACTTTAGTGCTGCTGCTATACTGCTTAGCTTTTTTGGGTATCAAGCGTCACAATAAAATTATTTCATGTCTGTGTCTATTAGTTTGAAGGATGTACTTGGGCGCATTTTGAATTCAAGAGTTGTCGATTTGCTAGCCTTTGATCTACCATTTAAAATTGTCCTCATGAGTTTTCAGTTCAGAATATGTAGGAAGGCATTCAAAACCTCCATGGAGTTTCAGACAGATATGTTTTGGAGGGCCATCCTAAGGAGCTGATCTTCTACAGCAAGAAAGTTTTGAGTCTGAAGCCCTCTGTTTTGGGGAGGAATGACACCAAAGATCTCAACCTGCTTGCACTCACTAGACTTGGATGTAGCTCGGTGACTTGAGAATCCAAAGTGGGCCAATTTTGGCAGGGGTGGGGGTTGTAGCTTTCACTTTTAAAGCAGACTGCAATTTGCATATGCATTTTAATGGACATAAATGTGCATACCACGCAGTTGCAAATCCTGCTTGTATTTTTGCACTTTTTGGCTTTAATAAATACACAAACTGTGGCCCACATAAAAGGGGAAGACTATGTCCTGGCTTGACTTGCACTGGAGTGTCTGCGACTGATGAGTCATAAACTGAGAGGTCAAGCTAGGCAAATCTGCCAAATTCCTTGCACATTCCTTCCCCATTTATCCTGAGCTTTGGCTGGAAGGATAAGGGCAACAATGAGGTGTGTTCACCTCTTGTTCCTACAACTGGGTAGACCTCTTGGTCCACCCAGCTGACTAGCTCCGAGAGGGAAAAGAGATGTTCCTAAATACAGTAGGCCTATGTGTTCTCCTCCTGTTACTTCCCGGTTCACCCTCTCTGATTCACATCCATTCACATCCTTCCTAGGGAGCAGCTGTGCTATGGCCTCAGGAAAGGAGACCAGCACCATTCTATGGACCACTCAGGGATGTTCTGCCAGGGCCACAAGGCTGTTCCATGTTCTTAATTTTTAACAGCCTGTATTATTTTCTATTGTACTTCATGTTGTATCTCTTTTGTGATCCACCCAGAGAACGTGTGTCATTGGTAACTATATACATTCAGCCAATAAATAAATAAGTAAATAAAGAAAACATTCTTTTCAATGGACATCAGAAGGGCAAGGCGAACTGTGCCTTGTATCACACTGTCTAGGTGATTAAGGGTACCATCCTCTGCTAATACTTCAGCAAACTCAGTATCCAAGTCCTGTTGGCCTTAATACACATATAAAGCTCCTATCCAAATCACATGAATTGGCTCCCAGAAAAAGAAGCAGCTTCCTTCCACCTAGCAGCCCATGCAGGCAGTGGCTGGAGGGCGTCCTCTTCCATATACTACATACCCTTTCATGATTGTGCAACCAGGCAAGAATCAGTTGCAGGTAGCGCTTTATGACAAAATGTAGCACTTTATGACAAAATGTTTTGAACATTCTAAAGATGCTTTGACAGAAGCAGGGGACCATTCCTGAGCTGACAGACTGGCAATTTCCCCTCATCCCAAGTCCCTCAAATGCCTAGGCTGGGCCTGCATAAAGAGATTGTACTAAATGGTTGCAAACAAGAGAGAAGACAGATTATACTCTTTGAACATGTGGTTAGGGCATTCTTAATTTTTAACAGCCTGTATTATTTTGTATTATGTTTTTATGCTGTGCAGTGCACACAGATGCATGGTTTAGACTAATATTAAAATCCAGAATTCTTCTGAAGGAGTATTTTTTCTGATTTCCTGCTCATATTACCTACACTTTGTACAAATTTCCTCATAGAAATACTCATCAATTATCAGTACTCATCAATACATGCTCAGGACTTCAAGGTCTTAGCCCTTAAAATCTGGGTTTAAATCCAGATATTATATTCCACCATGGCTGCTGCACTGAATTAGATTTGCCATCTCTTTTTTCTAATAGCCTCATCACAACATGGTCTGCTTTATGCTGGAAATAGATTTATCTGTTGAATTTGGTTGGTGCACATGGGTTAGAATTCAGTTCCAGTTTGGTTTTGATAAGAATTAACCAAAACTGCATATTTCTTCATATTCAGGAAGGAAACAAGTGAACCCAAGAGATTTATCCAGCTTTAAGAATTAAGAATACATTTTCAAGTAATAAATCCCTCAAATAATAAATGAATAAATGTAGCATCTTCCTAGGCATAAAAATCTAATACCTACTTATATGTATATATATTCCAATGATAGTGATAGCTAATAAATGATGCATGCTTGAATAAGGACATTCCCAGATATTTAAGCTATCATCTTTCTTCTGGGTTCTAAGTTATAGATTAGGATCTTGGCACTAATTTCATACGAGCATCACCCATTACAGATCTGACTTTCACCTACATTTTGAAATACCCAGGGTTTTTTTGACACCCAAGCAGAAGAATTACTGGTATATTGATGCATTCTTAATCACCAGTTACTGTAATGATTTTATGCACGGGTTTTCAATAATCCAACTGGCTAAGCAGGAGCTTCTAACAGCAACATTAGGAAATTCTGTTATATTTGAGATTTCATCCATGGATATTAGAGATAGTCTTCCAGGTTTCATTCTTTGTTTCATTAAACAATATGATTTTTATTGGCAGGAATATTTGCCTAAGCTTATTGTAACATGAGAAATGTTTATACTACCTCAGTGTTTTAAACTCCTGTATTATTTGCACTTTGCCCTCACAGTCTGCAGAGAAAGGATGATGTGGTTCTTTTAGAGTAGAAGTGAAGAGCAGCAGTAAAACTGAAGATAACAGAGACCAAACTGTAACACACGACTTCTCTACACCTTGAAGGGACACATGGAGAGCATCCTAAGGCCATGCAGGCCAGCCCAATCCACTGCTGGAACGTAATCCCTTTCCTAACATATATCCACTGGATATTCATCAAGTGTGTGTGTGGTGGGGACAGGTGCCATGCTGTGCCAGCAGTAGGGGGATTAACCTGCACAGTCCCTAGATGTGTTCTCTGAGGGACAACATGGGCACTGCCCAGAAATTATGCCTAATGTCCCAGTAAGTCATCAGAAGAAGAAAGAGAAAGGTTCCACTTCCCCCTTTGACCAGGAAAAAAAACTGGCAAGGCTGTGGATGTGGTGGACACTTCATCATAGTTTTCTTCAACACACAATAGTTTTGCTCTGCTCTCTGCTGTTACTCCTTTCACCCATTCTTCATACATTGGACTGTAACCTTTCATAGTGAAGAAGTCCAAGATACACACTGATGAGCAGAAGTGCCAGTCTGGAAGTGCCAGTGTACTGACATGAATGCTTAAGCTAGGAGTAAAGCGATGGAAAGAGATATTTTGTTCACATAAAAAAAAAAAGTAACTATTAACACTTAAGTTACAAAAACAATGGAAGATACAAACTGTTTCAGCAACAATCTAGTGACAGAACCAAGACAGACAGACAGACAAAAAAAAAAAAACATCAAAATGTTTGTATTTTGTTAGCACAAGGTTGTGTTTTCTCAGGATCTTATAATGTTTTAAATATTGCGCATACACTGTAAGTTAATGTTTTGATTTTTAAACTGAGTGACAACTTTTTTCATAATGAAGTATCGATATGAACTGTACATATATTGAGCAGCCTAATACTTCAAAAAATTGTCTGGATTTTGCTTGTTTTTTAGTAACCCTGAGAAAACACTCGTGTTTTCTGAAAAAGGTTGCACACCAAGGATGACAAATCTTTGCCAACATCATGGCTAAATGGAGGCCAAGAAGGATATACCTGGTTAACAGAAGCATCTGTATTAGCCACAGGTGAAGGAGAGCGACAGGCAGGTGGAGAAGAAATCTCACTGTTGGTGCCCTCTTCCCCAGACTCCTCAGTAACAGGTGACAGAAGGGTGTGACAGCGACCAGCAGTCATCTGCCATGGGAAATGCAATCCCAAAGGACAGGGTGATCATTTGGTCTCCACAAGAAGGATTTCACATTGAATGCAGTAATACACGTGGGGTTCTAACAGGGCATCTTTTATGAGCATGGGCTTACCTCTCCTCTGTACAGGGTGCCAAATACAAAGGGACATACACAAAGTTTCCCTCTGTGGGAGAGGAAATTTGGACAGGCGCTGCTCCCTGCATGACAAGCTGCTCCTGGCCAAATTCTTTCTTTTGCTGAACTATTAGACCTAGAAGCCTTGCCTTCCTTTTTATCTGTTCACCTTAAATACCAAATCTATATTAGTACTGCAGATGAAAGTTGGGATTTGTTAACTGTACATCTGAAGAGTTTAAATGATGGTATTTTTAAAAATAATCTCATCCACAACCATAAAAGATGAGCAAGAGGGAAAATATATGTTAAAAACACACCTACATGCACATAGAGAAATAACTATAGACAGTGACACATGTAGCTTTATACCAAATAATACATATCTATGTAATGTTTCAGGAGAAAAAAAGTTCCACATGTGCAATACATGCAACATGCTTTTGGGGTGACATCCAAGATCTTGTGTAATTGCTCTTTTCTCTCAGTCTTCTCAGCCCCCCATATCCACCAACTTGAGTGCTCCAGTGCCTCATTCAGCAGATTTGGAGCAGATATGATGTAGGAGGAATCCACTGTGCAAGTGGATGCCATTCCAACAACAGAAAGACACAACTGGATTCCTCCAATAACAGTAAATAGTGAAGCATCTGTATTCTTCTATTAAGGTCCTTTATTCTAGCACTATTTCCAGTGATATTCAGTGCAGATGTTCAAAATCATCTGCAAAATGTTCATTTCACATTTCCCTTCTCCAGACCTAAGCATTCACTCTGTGTAAAAGGCTAGATATTCTAAAATAACAACAACAACAATAACCATTCGAAGATACAACTGAAACTAAGTTATTAAAGTGATTCAGATGTATCACCCATGTTTAATGAGCTGGATTACCAAAATAGATGCTTTCTCTCATACACACACATAAAGATAACAGACTAATTTCAGTTCTCCACATAAATAGCAGGTTGCATTCCAATCTACGATATCACAATAAAGACACAAAGTGGACTGTGGCACAGTTCTTCATAACAGTGAAGCGGTATTGCAAATGACAGACAGCTCTGATAAGCAGTCAAGCCACACACCCATCGCTTACCATAACTACAGAAGGGTGAGCAGAGTGTGTTGGCAGCAGTTCTTCTGAATCCAATTCCTCCATCCCTTCTGAGAGTCCTTCCACTTCTGTCACTGTTAGCAGCATGGTGGCATGCTTAGCTTTCATTGTAAGCATCTTGCACTTGGAGTTCAACGATGCAATTTGCTCCTGATAGGCTTTGATCTTCTGAGCCAGCTCCTGAGGAAATATTTCCCCCCACCCGGACAATCAGATGCAGCATGGAGGAGCCATAAGAGCTTGTAGCAATTCTGCTTCCGTTAGAGAGACCGGCTTGCTTCTCTAAGGTCAGCCAATAAAATCACAGCTTTGTGTTTCAGAAGCCCTACATCAGCGACAGCAGCAGCTGAATAGCAGGATGTTGATTGTGGGAAAAATACATGTCGGGCTGCCTCTCCCAACACAGTCAAACCACCACGGAACAAGGCGAGCTATGCAGCGAAACCAGAAAGGCAGTCCCCAGACCTCTCTCCTGCGACTGACAGGAGGAATGTTTGCTTAACTCACGCTATCAGTTCTAAAGATAAGCACATGCCACAAAGGATCCTACTGAAAACAGAGGAGGAAACACTCTTCTCTCCCTCCCTCCAGATACCAAAGCCAGCATGCCAGGGAAATGAGGTCATGTGGTGTCTTGAAGGGTAAAACAACAAAACAAAACAAAACCCCACAGCATTCCCTTCTCATCAGGCTGAAAACAATGAACAGAGCAGACAGTAATACACAAGGGCTAGCATGGATTAACTGTGGGTTTTGTCCTGCTTTGTTTTAAAATGCTGGAGGTAGTGATAAGCTGGTTGCTTTCACTTGGCATTATAATCTTCTTTCTTTTGTTTGGTTTTAATTGCCTTCTCAAAGTCACAACTTGGACTGCACCCATATTATATTCCTAAATAAAAAACAAGTAAATTTACAACTAAAACTTCATTCTTAAGCGCGCGCACACACACGCACACCCCAGGGATTATATCTGCTGTATGTTGTGCCAGCATTATATATAGCAGTACTGCAAAATAACATTAACAAATTAGTCCCAATATTTCAAGTCAGGTTTGCAAGACACATGTATGGTTATGGAGGAAAACTGGCTTCTGAATGCTGTACAGAAAATGAAAATAAAATTTGCTGTTGCCACGCAACTTCTTTTTTGGTGGAGGAAGATCATCCAGTTTAAAGAGCGGTCCTATGGTCCTGGGAATGCATCTCTGGGCTACAAGGTTTGCTCAGGAAATGCTATGAGTCCTTAGATGGAGCTTCTTGGGTGGGGTCTTCCAATTGCAGAAGCCCCTTCTCGAACTCCTGCACTGCAGCTGCTCCCACCATGGTTCCCTCTGTGGGGCTGGAACTACAGACACTGATGCAGCAGTGGAGGCATGTTGAGCATTTGGTAGCGGGAGGGTGGGGTGAGGGGACAGCCCATGGCTGGGAAAAATGCGAAGCCCTTCCAGTCCCTCGCCATGGCTGAATATGTAACATTACCACCTCCATGGACCATCGTAGGGCAGGTCTTTTCATACCAGCAAGGTATGGGGCTCCACCTTGGGCCACTTGAATGGGAAACAACCAAGATGGATGTGGAAACCATGGGAGGGGAAGTGAAAAAATAACTGGATTAATATGGGGCCAACTCTGGGCCAACAGCAATATTCCTACTGAAAAGGGGATATTTCATGGAACATCAGACAAGGTTTAGAGCGTTTTTATACTGGATGGATTCACATGTCATACTGATCCACCCTGCAAACAACCCACCATATTTACTGAACAACCCAGGGTACCCTGAGAAATGATGGAACTTGCCCTGGCTTGTTCTCCCTTTCATAGCTCAGACAGGTATCCCAGGCACCTCTGCAGCAGGACTCACTGCCTCAGTCCTTCGATCAGCACCTTTCTGCAACTGGTACATCGGCAACACAGCCACTCTCCACCCCGCAGCATTAGCACACCAAACAGAATGACTTCTCTGAGACCTTATGAATGTAGTAACACATTCACCGTTTTGTTTTTGGTTTCATTTTCCCTCCTGGGAAATTTCAGTATTGTTTCAGACTGCCACTCCAACAGCTAAGCATCCTCCTAGTCCCCTTTTCTATCTCGCCCTCATGTCACTAGCTAGAAAACACCCTTTAAAAAAAAAAAGGCGAGTTCACACTACACAAAGTAAGCACACCTGCTCCCAAAATAAGGAGACCAGCTGGAAAGCACCCTCTATCCAGCCACATTTGGCTCCCTCCCCTCCCTGCTTATTGCTCCCTTCTGTTGCTAGCGGCTGCATCTTGATATGGGTTACAGGGCCGCTGGGGAGATGGAGAAGCACACACAAATTCATGACAAAGCAGTAAAGCGGAGTGAGGAATTGTGGGAATATTATGATGTCAGTCATTTAGTCCTGCATTCCTGCCTAGAACATACAAAAGAAGCTGCAAATGCATGGGGGATATTTTCCAGTGTCATTTCTTCATGATTTTTTAGGGCCACACACCAAAGGATGCTAATAAGGGAGGATGGAGGATGGAAGCAACAGCACTGAGAGAATTAGAAACAGGGAGGGGTTTTGTTGCCCTGACTGGGAAGCTCTGTTGCCAGTCCTGACAGCCTTTGATAAAATTATCCTGCTGTATTTGGAAATACCATAAACCATCATGGGTATGAACAGCCTAAAACAAGGATAGTCGTCCATCAGAAGAAAGTGCTGGGTTTGCACAACATGGCAACCTATCATGGCTGATTATGCATGGTATGCCATTGTGCCATGTGAACCAGGTCAATATCTGAGACTTTTTAGCATTGTTTTACACTGGACTTTGGCTATATAAAAAATTAAAGATTCCCGTGCTACAGTACAAAGCTGTTCCTCCTAACCAATATTTTAAAAAATCCGAGTAGGAAAGCGATGCTTTTGCTAAAGCTATTGTTTCAGCCTCCACGGAAAGTTCAGCCATGATGTATTGGGTTGACAGTGTGACAGCAAATTTATTATCACTTGCTTAACAACTTTATTCTTTCAAAACAGTATTTCTTGATATGCATGTTTATTTTTAGTCCTCGATAAAGAAGGAATGTAAGGACTTTTTTTAAACCCCCATTTACAACATAATGATCTGTGCTTATTGGTATCAAATGTGTTTTTTACACTAATTGCTTGGAGCAAATGAATTAAGTAGAGAAAAGGATGCTGTGAAGCTTAACCTGAATGAAAGCCTAAGGACTGCTGCAATTTGATAACTGGTCTCATGAAACCAGCTATGCCAGATCTCAGTGGAAGCTTTTTTTCACCTGTGAGAAAGATTTAGATCAAAGAAGCATCTTTCTAGCTTTAGACAGGGCAGCTTTCCTTCCAAACAGGATGTTGTGAATATGTCTTGCTGAATTTATATACTGCTGTTCAGATTTCAGTTTGTTTTAGTACACACCACTTCACACGAATGAATTAATAATGCAATTAGGCCAAAGGCTGTTGAAAGAAATGAGATCCTAATAGGACTGGACAAAAGTATATGATAGCTCAGATCAGGTACTGTACCTAAAACCAGACAGCAAAAAGTCTAGGTGATTTTACTTCAAGGGTTTTAGTTACTAAACTGCTGTAACATTTGCCTGTGGACAGAAATTACATAATGAAAGCTAAAACAACTTTTGAAAGGATTGACTAGATTAACAATTACGTTGTAAGCACATTGAGAAAGGAACATATAAGTTCAGTCTGTAGTGCTAAAACTGCTCAACGTAATTCAAACCTAGGCTTCATATCAGAAGGCTACTAATCCACATTAGCTCTGCAGAGGTCAGTTGTCCTAGTCCCACTGCTCTACTCAATGGGTGGGACCTAAATATACCAACAGAATTCTCTGAGAAGAGAGGCTGGCCCGTTGGTCTTCAATGCTGAGAATTCTCCATGTATCCATTTTCACTGAAACCAGAATGTTTAAGTATTCATAGCTGCATGTTCGATTGCAGCTTAAATTACTGATTGACAACTGGCTGACAGACTGTGAAACTGGGGCATCAAGATCTAGTCAGCCAGGCAAGATCTGATTATCTCAAGTAGTCAGTACAGTTTTGCAAGTTTCTGGAGACAGTTCAGATTAAAGCTCCACATAGTCCCACTCTTCTATCTAACTTCCTACTGTTGTAAGAGTGGCAACTCATACTTTACCATTTAAATTGTTCTCCAAGTGTACAAAATTCTCTGTAGTTTGGTAAGCCCGAGGGAGACTCTTTTCTAATAAAAACCCCTCACTGGTAAGCTTTGCCTGGGTTCATGTACCATCTATTGTGCACTCCGAATGCCTCACTCATGGAAGTTTGCAGGGACTTTTCATGACATCTTCATCCTCCATGGCCTCTCCCTTGTTTTCCAGCCACTTTTAAATCTGAACAAAGCCTCTTGCAGAGCTGCAATTCTAGTTTATTGCAGCTATACCAGAGCAACACCTTTAGCATTTTATGAGGCTCTTCCAGAGCTACTGTTCTGGTGGTTATCTCAAGGATAGAGATGTTTGATGCACATTAATGAATGAAACTGTTTGTATATGTTAAAAGCAATAATTGTGGCTCATTAAGTAGTAATCATGCAGACTAAGGCAGCCAGGGGAATTCTGATCCAAAACCAGAGGTGAGGATGGCCAAGACAAAAGTCGATCTATTTCCCTTTCTGTCAAATGCAAAAAACCCCCTTTGCTGTCAAATGCAAAAAAACAATTGAGATTTGAGCCAAACAACAGAGCCAAATGACTATTGTGCCAAGTCATGGAATGCACCTCCCAGGTAGCAGATACGGCAGTTCATCCGTATAAATTGGAGCCCCATTAGTGTATGTTTTCAGAAGCTGCCTATCTCTTTGCACATGTACCACAAAGGGAAAGATAGATCAGAAAAGGAATCTGAAAAAGAGTCCCCCTCTCTCTTTTATGTGAACCAAAATGGGGTACAAGCTGAGGTCTGAGATGGCAGCAAGAGCTAAAATTCTGGAAAAGAAATGGACCTTCATGTCCAAAGAACTTTGCATCATAGACAGTTCTCAGCTGCATTACCTCGTGGTGTGAAATCTGGTCTTGCAATTCTTGAATATTACTTGTTGCTATTGACTTGTTCTGGATCTCATGATGTGCATTCTCTATCAGCTGATGTAAATGTTTCATCTCTTGTTCATATTGCTCATACTGTACTACTGCTTCCTGGAAAGACAAGATACAGTGAGGGAGTACCAGAAAATAAAATACTCAATACTTCTTGATTTGTCTTAAATAAGGGTATTAAGGCTGCAATCCCAGAGGCACTTATGAGACACTAAGTCCCTGATAAGTGTATATAGGAGCAGAGAATATGTTGTGTCAGCAGTCTTCATTCTATTGCAGACTGACAGTGCTTCATATGCAAAAGCCAAGTCAGGAAAGTCTACTTTGTGCAGTGTTTATTTGCATACTTTAAATTGACATAGGTGAAAATTATTTTCCATCTTATTCCAAGGATTTAACATAATTAAAACCTTTGCTTTAACACAATGAATGCTTGTGTTATATTAAGTCCACAGAAAATAAGTTGTATTAAGAACTTTGCTACTGTTTTTCTGAAAAGTTGCTGCATAGATTTCATATAGGTAGGTATTATATGACTCGTGGATTAAAGCATAGATCCACATTTTATTCTGTTTTCTTACAACATTAAAAAAATATATTTTAAATATAGTACGCTTCTTTTTAAAAGTATGCTTTAAATGTAAGAGCTAAACTTTATATAAAATTATAAAAATTAATAGAACGCTAGGGTGATGAGAAAATGAATCAGAGACACCTATAAATAAGAATGACAGTTCTTACAGTTTGCCAAAATGAAGAATAAAAATACACCCCCAGAGTTGGAAAAGTTGCATAAAATGTAATAATCAGTAGAGATAACAAAAGAAATAATACAGTGTTTTTATTTGTAACTTCTGACACTATCGTTTATTTCATAACTCTCTCTTCCGAATATCTTTATTTATGCGAGACAATTACATTCCATCTGTCATTCATTTTGGATTCCAGGGTGGTGTTCAATAATATTTATTTAAAATAAATGGTTTACACAATAGTGAAGTAACATTAAAAATATTTTAAAGGACAGCATTTAAAACCTTGACACAGTCTAAGGCTTAGGCACGTGAAACAGAGTGCAAAGATTCTTACAATGAGCAGCAAACCTGACAATGCAAACACATCTTGGTGCTTGTCAAGATGGATGGGTGGCGGGGGGGGGGGCGTGGAATGACTCAAAATGGGAGTGTGTCACATGACGGCACCACTTCTACTCATGTATAATTTCTACTTGCCTGCATTATGTTGCATTGCTGGATAGCTGTGTGCTGCAGCTGACTGGCTTCCTCCTGCAGCCTGAGGGCAATGTGACATATTGGTAGGCTGGTGACCACTTCTTCGGGCATTCGTAAAGCACTCTGGCAGATCTGCACTGCTTGGACCTTTGGCTTCAGTGACTCCATTTCAGAAAGCAGATGCTACAAATAATGCAGAGAGGTGTGACAGAAACGCATGCTGCAGTCGTAAGATTAGTAACAGCCAAGAAATGGAAGGAAAAATGGGATTTCCAGTTAAGCGAATGGTACAAAGATACTTGGAATATAGCTACTAATGATAAGTTAACATCTACTATTAAGGTGAAAAAAGCAAGACAAGCAAGAATAATTTTAATGACATTTGGGGGTTGCTCACTGGATATGTATTAATAAAAGGGAAGCGTATTAAACCTTTGTATAATTTGGTGTAATTTTGGATGAGGAGGGGGTTGTCCTGAGAGAGGGGAAACATAGAAGAAGTAGTAATAAGACGGCTATCTATGGGTATGAAGAAATAATTATCATGTAGATGAAGGTCCTGGTGTGGGTTACACAAATTAAATATTAATTATTTTGATTGATTTATATGATAAAATGTATTTCTATAGTTTTTTCTTTCCTTCTTTTGTTGTTGTTATGGATGTACTTCTGTATTTTATTATATTGTTTTATTTAATATTTAAAAAAATAAAAACAAACTCATGCAGCTATGAACTCCAAGGGCCTTTCAAACCACACCTTGGCATATGAGTTAATATTGTCCACCATGAAATAATGAGCTGGTGGGATATGCTTACAATGAATTTATAATTCTGTGTTTTCTCATTTGAAAAAAATCATCAATGAATTAATTACAATCAACACTATGATCACAAAATTGTTGAAAATGTTTCCCATTATCTGTTTTGGTTGGATTTATTACACCTATGTACAAATTTAAACAATTTGCATTATTTGTATTGTTGAGCTGATAGGAGCTTGTGATTTGTATGATACAAATCCAAAGAAAAATTTAACTGTTCAGTGTGAGTTTTCAATTCAACATGAGAACCTGCTTTGGCATCTTGATGCATGACATTGGCTTTCCAATAGGACTAGTCCTCAGAGAGAAACAGGCAGTAGACACTGGAAAAACCACAGTCCTGTGGGTTGATAGGACTGTTTCTGAAAGAAGAGCTTTGCAATATCAGACCACTAACTTCTCCAGTGCTTAAGTGGGAAAAGCAGGGCTCATGAAGTGGGTTGATATCCTACCCCAAAGAACCTCAAAATATGACATTTCATTATTGCTCTAATCAATAGCACCCAAGCCAAAAAATACTTTAAGCAAGCCTAGCCACCTCAGAGATTTCATACGAAGTGCCATCAGAAATAATACTGCCCTCCTTCTGAAAATAATACTGGCATGCTACAATCATTCTACCTGTCTGTGAGAAAGTTGCTCTTTCAGACTTAAATGACCAATCTCCGAAGACATTAGAGTGGTTTGGGCTTGCTCTAAAGCTGTTCGAAGAGCTTTTACCTCACTTTCCAATTTCTTCATATCCTGTAAAAATAAAATTTGTAGTAAAACAAGGAAGAGCAGGACACACATTATACATCTGCTAAAAACATGTTAGACAAGGGTATTATAAAAATTAATCTGCAAGTCATATGAAACTAAGGTATATCCATTCAAATTCATTGATTAATCCGGAGCCCATGTGAGAACTGATATGTCCCTCTAGAAGCCTTCTGTATTCCTGAATTTATTTCACAATGTATTACTACAGAGTTATAATTCTTCTTTCTCTGTGAATTGGGCTATCCCTTAAAGCATGGCCTCTCCAGATGCTTTTGATCTGTAAGGCATCCTGAGACATTGTCATGAAGGATGGGATAGAAATGTTTTAAACAAACGAACAAATCTGTCCACTATTACTTATGATCAGCACAGCATTATATTAGCATTGCATATTGAATGATGATCCACAGCGGTGAACATGCTGGATGGGACTTGAGGGATTCAGGCTGTAGGCCCCATTTGGCCATGAAGCTCACTGGCTAACTCTGAGCCAAACTCTGACTCTCCGCCTCTCCTTCACAGGACTGCTATGTGAATGGAAGAGGAGTGGGGACAGCCAATGTGGTACAGTGGTTGGGTTGGGCTTAAGGAAGATGTGTGTTCAAGTCCCTAACCAGCCATGTAGTTCACAAGGTGACTCTGGCCTAGTTACTGACTCTCAGCATAACTCTCTACCTTACAAGGTTTTTCTGAAGACAAAATGGAGATGCGGAAGAGGATTATGAGTACATTGAAAGTTTGGAGTGCTTCTTGACCTGGTACTGACCCTGGACTACCAGGTGAGCTCTGTGGCCAGGAGTGCCTTTTATCAACTTTGGCTGATTTTCCAGCTTGCCCCTAGTTGGGCAGGCAAAACCTGGCAACAGTGATCCATGCCCTGGTAACCTCTGATTTGGACTATTGCAACATACTCTACATGAGCCTGGCCTTGAAAAAGGTCCTTAAATTGCAACTGGTGCACAATAGAGCAGTTCAACTCTTAATGAGAACATCAAGGCATGAGCATATCGCTGCAGTTTTATTTCATCTTTACTGGCTGCCAGGTGAATTCTGGGCCTGCATTAAAGTACTTAAAATAACTTAAAAGGTCCTAAATGGTTTAGGACCTGGATATCTAATGGAATGTCTCAATCCATAGACACCTGCCCGCACCCTAAGGTCATCCGCAGAGGTCATTTTTGGGAGCCCATTGTGAAGGACATGAAGAGGATGTCCACCTGGAGAAGGGCCTTTTTGGCCATGTCACCCTGGTTTGTGGAACCAGCTCCCCAGAGGTCTGCCTGGCACCAACACGATGTACCTTTCGGCACCAGGCCAAACCCTTTTTATTTTCACAGTATTTTAACTGTTAAAATTTTATATTTTTAGCTTATGTTATTTTATCTGGCACTGTGGTTTATGTGTTTGTTTAATTTGCTTATGATTGAATTAATTTTATAATTATTTCTATTATTATTTTATGATTATTTCTATATTCCTGATTGTATACTTTGTTTTATTAATGAATGCAATATTTTTACTGGTTTTATCTTGGGAATGTTTAAATCTATCCTGGCAGTGTATGTTCTGTTTTAAATGTTTAATATGTTGTAAACCAACCTGAGAACCATTGACTAATCAAGAGGAGTATAAAATGGATTAAATATATAAATAAGCCACCTTATGTAAAATGGGATATAAATATAACAGATGAATAAAAAGATGGGATATAAATATAACAGGCAGCTCCAACTATTTGCTAGATATGAAGAGCATTCCACATACCTTGGCAGCATCTTGAACATTCTGTAGCCGCTGTCTTATCACTTGCTGTAACTCTTCAGTCTGACGCCCAAGCTCTGACACTTGGTGAGACATCCCTTCAGTCAAATATACACTTGCCAAGTATTCTATCTTTTCATTCATGGCTTCAATATCCCCACGGATCTCAGCAGACTCTTCCAGCATGGCCTACGTTGAAGAAATCAGCAGAATCTTTTTCATTTTTAAAGTCTGATTCCTCAAAATATTAGATCAGGATGACTGCTACTTAAATTTTCTACCCCATGGTTCAATATTGCTTCATAATGAAGACATCAGCTAGGATTTTATGGAGATCATGGGTGTATTTATGAATGATCGTTCAATCAGCTAACATGCTTGGGAAAGCTTGTCTTAGATAAATGGACATCAATCAGTCCTTTAGAAACCAACACCTGTCTAGCTGCCTCACTGTTTTACACGATAGTTATTCCATCTCCTGAAAGACATCAAGAGGAATAATTGTTAGCCCTACTATCCAGAAAGAACTCAGGTGAAATCCTGAGACAGTGAATTAGCCAAGCCTAGTTTTTAACAAAATGCTCAGGGTTGCTGAGATAGTCTGCAGTTTTAATGAACCTTTAGTTGTCACTGTTCACAGTACCAAATACATATGAGAAGAAATTCTTCAGCCAAAATGAACCCTTCTATTAAAACAGGCCAACTTCTTGCAGCCTGTGGAGAAATGTGAAGTCACCATCTCATCTCACTAGGGCTGTCAGACTGAGGAAGGAAATATTATCACTCAAGATTAAGGTGACTACCACAAAGCCTGAACTGATATATTACGGGAGAGACTGTATCAAGAGTGGTTTGAAGTTGTTCTGGGAAACAGTAGTGCCTTCACAAACATACTGAACATGTTGCCTGATGCATTTCCAAGGCACTAAATCTACACATCATTGGCTTCTGGTTGCAGAAAACAAAACAGACTGTTTTGTTTTCTGCAACCAGCCCAACTGGTGTAGAAGCTTTGTTGTCAACTTGTCAAAGCCAGCAAGAAAAGTTTAGTTGCTTCAGATATAGAATATTTTGTGTTCTTGCAGAGTTTAGCATAATAAATATATTTTCATCGCAGCTACATTATTTTTATTGGCTGTATTATTTTTTATTAGAAAGGACAGACTGCTAATGTATTAGGAACTAGGGGTTCTTGAAACAACTAGATACAAGTGGCAAAGTTAATTTCCAGAATAGGCTTGGGTCAGTATGATTCCACAAGTTTTCAAACCACCATAGATGGAGCAAAAATTACAGGAAAAATGGATGAAAACTGGGGATTATGTGAAGATATAAGGTATTTTCTAAGGAATGGCCTGCTCTGGGACGTGAGAGGGACCCATTTTGGGGGTGGGAATCAGTGGGACTCCCTGGGCTCAGCTCCCCAGACTCCAGTCCACCTTGTTGCAGTGGCCGTGTGTCTGAATTCCTGGGGGAGGCTCCCAGAGTTCTCATGGCACTTGCCAGAGAGAGCACCCTGCATGGCTGCTGCACAAGCGGCAACACTCTCCCGTGTTTGTTTGTGTGGCATGTGATGGGGAAACAGGTTGCCCATTGTGCAACCTCTGCTCAGCAAGTGTTGCAGACTTCCTCTCACTCAGCTCACTTTCTAAGAAAGGGCCGAGCATGAGACTAGTCTGCAAGCACTGGGGAGACGGATCCCACAAAGCTTCACTGCAGTCCTCAGGGGTTGGAAACCTTATTTGTGAATAATACCAAGCTGTGCCTTCAGTGAGTACCTGAAAAATATTATCAGCTCACCTGATGAGAGATGAATTGATCACGAAGCTGAGCAGCAGAATTCCACGTGATGTTACCATGTATTAAAATGTTAGCTTTTTCAATCCATTTCAGTATGAATTCCAGCATCTCATTATATTCATCTAAATGTGGAACTGCCTGAAAAAGCAAAGAAAGTTTGTTCTAGTAAACCTGAAGTATAGCTTTGAACAGTATTTTTTAAAATTTGAAATGGTATCAGTTTATATATCTAGCAACATTTCCCTCAGTCTTTCCAGTTTCTTAGCATTTATATTACGAGACTTTTATACTACTTATGTTAAAAATAGTGCATCTTGTATATGTTTATTATGCAAGTGTCTTGCACATACTTATTAAGTTTGATGTTGTTATTTTTAAAATTATACATGGGAATATTTAAGATATTGATGTCAAGTGCGGGCATAACATTACATATGGACTAAGAACAGATCTAGTTCTTGAAGATACGATTCTTTGTTTTCTTGTTCCTTACTACTTAAGTGTATATCTTTAATTCTTTGTTTAACTTATACCAACTTACATCCTTTTTAAAGTATATTTATGCAACAAGCCTACCATCATAATTAGGATATTGATATTACACAAACAGCAAATTTTGTTGCTTAAAACTCATAAAATTATGCATCTAACAATTTATTTAAAAATCTACAAGCATTTAATACTTGATGCAACCTACAGCATTTAATTTGTTAATCCATCTGGCTTTAAGCAATAGTTCAAAATATAGATCATCCAACAGATTTTAACATCCTAAAATAGTGTAATTTTATGCCAAAGTAGTAGTGACTCTGAAGTAGCATAATATAACTGCACTGGGATTTCTCAGGTTTTAGAGGCATCTGTAAAGATCACTCCTAGGGTTGTCATGAGCAATTGAAAAGGCTTCTCAACTTGCAAATGTAGGACTCCCAGTGATTTCTTCCATCCCCTGATCCCAAACCACTAATGAAGTTAGAGCACTGGAAAGGAGAAGCAGTGAGGGGAAGTACCATCTCCTTGGTGTACTGTCTGTTCCTGTCAGCAAGGGAACTAGGACTATAAATGTCAGCAATCTTGCAGCAGGAGGATGCTAATTCTTCATTTAGGAACACAGGAAACTGCTTTATGCTGAATCAGACCTTTGTCCATTTAGCTCAGTATTGGCACCACTGCCAGAGTTTGAATCAGCGGTTTTCTCCAGGGTTTCAGGAAGAAAACTGAAGATGCTAGGGATTGGAATTGGGATCTTCTTCATGCAAATCCTAGAGAGCCACTGACAACTCTGCAGTTCCTCCAAGATAGCTAAGGATTGTCACACAGGCATTCTGTATACTGAGCTTTATTTTACTCATTGCTAAAAAATGACCACATTGGTCACCAACAATATGAACTCGCAATAGTTCTCAGCAATTTGGGTTAATAAACAACAATATAACTTATTCAGTACTTTGAAATACAGACCGTGCACCCCTTGGCTAAAGGAATGCAGCAAAAAAGTGAGCAACAAGCTCTTTATTCAGTGCCTTGATGTACTTTTTTCAGGCATTTAGAACTTACTACCTGCGGTCCCTTGATGGAGGGATTCTGCTCTCAGAAGATGTTTCTACCCAGTTTTGGGGATGAACCCTCTCTTCCCGCATCACCCCATTCAGTGGAGTTCCCTGACTACCTGCATAGCCTTTTCGGAAAGCTAGAAGTGCTGCTGGGGAAGAAAGATGGAGAAAGTTTGTTTTTACCAGACCATATCTAGGCTCAGCCTACTGGGGATGTTTTGTTGTTTATTGGTATAGATGTTTTAATTGATTTCTTTATTTAATTTTTATGCTTTGTTATGGTTTTATGTAAACTGTCCAGATAGACAAAAGGCTATTGTGATGGAATATAAAAGTGCTAAACAAACAAACAAACAACTTGAGATGTTCTTGTTTGAAAGCCACATTCTGTGCCTTATCAGCACTTCTATGGAATGGTGCCATGCACAGTGGACGTCACTGCGGACTACCCTAACTGTGCCAACAATGTCTTAGCAATGAACCAGGAAGCACATCAAATCAACTTGATACTATACCTGATTCAGCTTGGAAGCCCTGTACTCAGCCTGCCTCATCGTTTGCTGGTGGAGTGCTGTAAGTTTGCCTATCCGGCCAGTGAGCTGTTTAGCCAGCTGAGGATTCTGTTCTGCAAAGTCCTGGACAGCTGCATCTAGTTCCACCAGCTTTATGTTGCAGCTGTCCAATTCCTCACCCAGGACCTGCGGTGGGAGGAGAATAAGGGTTAGTTACAAACAAAAAAGCAGGCAGTTCTTCCCTGTCAAAGCTTTGTTGCCACTCTTACACTCTCTTCAGTATTTTACAGTTAAGCAAAGGAATAAGCAGGGAAAACAGTGCTCTTCTGGAGCGCCTAAACTTGCTGTCTTACGAAAATGGTAATAAGGGTTACATTAAGCCCTATGTTATGCCTGTCTTTCATGACAGAAAGACTATTTTGTCATAGCACAGATGCACTGAATTATCTCAATCCTAACAATTTGTAATATTTGATACATGTAAGTCTGTACAAAGAGGGTTGTTTGGTGCATTGAATTAATATTTCCGTCATTGATCTACTTAAAAACACACACCACCTATTTTATTTTCAATTCAAAAGGGACAAAGAGGAACATGATGCATTATGGCTGCCATTCTCAAGTCATTTGGGGATTTCACACATGCAGGATGAATCAAGTGATGATTTACATATGTGAACAAACCATCAGCTTACACTTTGCTACACACTGCTGGCACTAGCAAAGACATACCTTTTGTAGGTATGAGCATCATACTAACTCAGAACACTGGTCCATCTAGCTCGTTATCGCAAGCTGCAGATCTCCAAAAATTTCAGGCAGGAATTTCCAGCCTTGTGTTGAGATGTGGGGGACTGAAGCTGGGGCCTTCTTCATGCAAAGATGTCTGGCCCCTGAGCCACCATGTTGGAGCCTTGTCATGCATTCAGCTGACCCAACAGGTGATGAGAAATCAACAAGAGTCAGTTGGGGTTCTCACCTAGTGATTAATCAAATGGTCTCAAAATCTTTGATACCAGGCCCACTTAGGAAAACCTGGCTTCTTGCCACTCCAATGTTGAGGAATGATGCCTCCTTGCTCTTCCCTCTCTAATTGCACCCCTTTGGTCAGATTTCATAAATAAAAAATGGCACAGTATTTCATATACAGCTTGCTTGCTTATATAAAGGCACTTCAGGTAATATGGAATCTTTATTTACCTTCTGATCCATTTTAGCTTGTGTTATGTTATTTGTTTTTACTTTCAGCTTCAATAAAATGGAATTCAGCTCTTTTGCTATCTCTTGGATGTTCTGACCAAATTCTTGATTTAATAACTTGCTCTGCTGAGCATCTTTTTCTTTGGCTTGAATCTGTAAATATTTAAAGTAAAAAAGAACCACTAAGCATGATGCTTTACTGTACATCAGTTAGAAAGAAATGCATATGACTCATGTATTGAGCATCTTGAAAGTTGTGGCACCTTAGAGACTAACACACAGTTCTGCTAGGAACTTTTTCAGTCAAACACGTGCACCATCATCATGATGATCATCATCGCTACCACATTATATTTATATCCTGCCTGTTCTCCCCTTATGAGGAACCCAAGGTGGCTTCATTTTATCTTCACAACTAGAACCCAGTGAGGTTAGTTGAGCTGAAAATCCGTGACTAGCTCAAAGTCATCCCGTGAGCTTCATGGCTGAGTAGGGATCAGAAGCCCGATCTTGGAGGTCCCCAGTCCAACACTCTAACCACCATGTAACACTGGCATTAGAAAATTGTGACATGAGGAATCCCTTCACGGGCACTGCTAAATGTAGGTGAAGTAAATGGAATGAGGCTCAACAGAATCCTATCCCCTCCATGACCTTGACCAAGTATGGTAGACTGAGAAAACTGCAAGTAGGGGTCTTAGAAGAAAGAGGTAGAGGTAAATGTTGACAAGTGCAGACAGGCCCCCTGTTGCCAGAAAAGTCTGTTTCTCTCTGGTGTTCATAAATGTCCAAGGGCCAAGAGGGGCAGGGTTGGCATCTGAAGATGACGCAATGGGTTGCTACTAAGGGGCAGGGCTCAGAAGGTCCCACCTGCACCCTGACCCTGCTTGTTCATACTTTCCCTGGTAGGTGGCCTTGATTTTGAAATCTGGGATGTGGGAGAAGGCTTGATGTGCTCTGGGTAGTTGTTGCTGTTGCAGCCATTCATCTCCTGATAGTGACTGAAATGACCACCCTCAAGGAACTGATAGCATTTGCTCTAAGTATTTCTTACCTGCTCATGTATATTTACAAGTGCCAATCCCACTTCAGCTAATTGAAGAGAAAGTTCAGAAGGTAAAATGGTATAAAGTCCCAAGTATTTATTTTGTTGCTGTTCTGCCATTTTCTCAACAGCCTGACGGTGAATAATGGCTTCATTTAGGAGAACCTAATGGGACATGGAGGATATTACAAGGAAGGAAGGAAGGAAGGAAGGAAGGAAGGAAGGAAGGAAGGAAGATATGTACATTCATTAACAAAATAATGAGTGAAACTCTATTAACATTTATCCCAATGCAGAAATGTACAAATAGAATTTTTAATTAAAACATGTTTCCTCCCAGCAGTGTGTTTCATTTTGAAAGGAGAGATTATCTAAGCTAGTACTGAATACTTTTTCCAGCCCACAGACTGCACACTGGACCCAGATGCTTCTGCATCACAACAGGTCTCAAGGTACTTTCAGTATCCTGAGAATGGAAAATACCTTCTCTAGAGAGCAGCTCAGGAAGCAGTGATGGAATTTTCTTCATATGAGGTTTTGCTGAAGAACTAAAAGTAGCCCAAAAGACTGTATTCTGTTTAGCCCCTTTTCTTACTATCCTGGGTTGGGGATGGCTCTTTGGAAACTTCTGCAACTCCAGGCATCCTGCTTGTGCAGCCATCCCAGCTCAGAGAGATTAGGGAACATACCGGCCTTGCCAGAGTGAGCACCCCAGATGCAGAGCACGCCTCCTTTAACCAAGACCCTGATCTCTTCCAGGTAGGCAGGCCTATTGCTCAGATCTCCTTGTCCTGGCGTTTTGCTTCAGTTTACCTGCTTTCTGTCCCTGCTGGTTACTCAGTTTTGGTGGTGTTGTCTGCCATGGTGTGCACTTCACTATCATTTGTCTGCAGCTCTCCCAAGTTGGTAATTAACCAGGGCTGGGAAACAAGTCACCCCTTTCCTTGGCAGTAACTTCTATAAACGCTGCCTCCTTGAAAACTTTCAAAAAGGGGCAAAAGCATTCATCAGTGACACTTTACTAAAGGATGTCCTGAATTAGGAGAAGGGATTCCTGTCCTAAGCTAGGGATGCACAATGTATTTCAGTCCCTGGGGTCATATCAGATGTCTGCTGAGGGGGTGGGGTGGTGAATAATAATAATGCACCACAAAGAACTCACAGTCGTCCTTCTCTTGCACACAACTGAACAGCAACAAACCTTGGTCTTGCAGCAATAGTAGCAATACTATTGAAGACCCCTCCCCATGCCCATCTTTTTTTAGCAATCATTAAAAAAAAAAAGACAAGAAAGAAAAACACCTCTCGGAACAAGCTTTGTGATTTTTGCGATATAGCAGCAACCTTATTCCTGGAGCATTGCAGGAAGAAGGCAAGAAGGCAGAATGACGTCCCTAGAGCTTCCCTGGTAGCACCAGATGGATTTCAGGGCCACCAGATAGGGCTTGATGGACGACCTGCAGCCTACAGGCTACACTGTTTCCACCCCTGTCCTACACAAATCTTCTTCACAGTTTTCTCACTGTATGTATGTATGTCTGCTGCAGACCCTCAGTTTGCTTTATTGGATTCTGGGAGTATATTATGAATCGCATTCACACAGTTTGCACAGGGCCCTAGGGCAGTCTTCTGCAGACGTACACAGAGATGACATTGCCAGAGCCCAGTAGTGGAAAGCCCTATCAATCGACTCATGGAATTTTGACATACCTGTAATTCCTCGAGCTCGGCATCTACTTCTATTGTAGGATTTAATAAATATTCTTTGGCTTCCTGAATCCAAGATTTAACTTTATTAATCTCTCTTTCCACTTCTTCACGTTCCTTCAGTTCTTGTTTAACCACTTTCCCACTCCTTTTTACCTTTTGCTGCATACTAAACAAAATGGGAACATTTACCATCGTTGTTGTTGTTCTTATTATTACATTATGTTACATGTATACCCAACTTTTCTTCTCTTGCAAAAAAATCCAAGACAGCTTACACTGCTCCTCTCCACTTTATTTTATCCTCCCAACAACCTTGTGAAGTACGTGAGACTGAGAGTGACGGGCCCAAAATCAATCAGTGAGTTTAATGGCCAAATGGGGACTAGAACCCAAATCTCCTGCATTCCTCATCCAACACTTTATGCACCACACCACACTGAATAGCCAAATAGATGTTAAATGTAAATGAAACATTATTGGGAATAGAATAGTGAATGGGCGAGATTGTAATATGAACTCTAATGATGGAGGACAATTTTGTGTTCTGGCCCACTTTTAAAACGTGTATTCAGCAGTTAGGATCCATGCAATATCTATAGCTGTGCAGCACAGCCAGTGGGTTGGATCTTGGAGCTGCAGCACAGTGGTCGGGCAAGTGTTCATCTGCAGCTTCTCGAGGGAAGGCAGCAAGCCTCCTGCATGCAACCCGGAGAGTCACTGCCAGTCAGTGTTAAGAATACTGGGCTGGATGGATCAAGGGTCTGACTTAGTAAAAGGCAGCTTCTCGTGTTCCTTTCTAGCTTCATCAGCACTGCCAGGAACATACCCGCTATGGAGTGCTGCTGATGGGTGTAGAGGGTGATGTGAACTTTGTTGATTCTCCTATCTATGAAGCCTCCCGTACTGCTGCCCCAGAGGGTCCCCAAGCCCTTTGGAACAGATTTGCAGGGAGGAGACTAAGGGGAGGTAGGCAGTGGAGAAAATGGATGCAGATCACTGTCCTCTCCATTGGATTGGACATCTCCCTCTGACAGAAGGTCATCTGTGGGAAACAGGTTTTGAATCCAACTGGAAACCCTATTTTTTAAAAAAAAATATTTAATGTATTTAATTTTCTTACTTGTGACATCTGTCCTGCATTGCTTTGATTTCTTGCATGATGGGCATTTGATCTTGGGAACCAGATGCTACCTCTACATCCCGGAGCATGCTAAAAGCATGTTGCTTGAGTAGACCCAAAGATGACAGTTGCTGTTCTAGTTCCAGAAGGAAATTACTATGATAATCCAGAAGATCCAGAAGTTCATTCTTTGAGGCCTTTTCTACTGAACTATCTGGAAGACGATCTTGCAGCTGATCTAGAGTGTCGGTTGCTTTTTGCATCTAAAAATGAGGTATTTTAAAACTTAAAAAAAATTCCTATAGTTCACCTTAACTTTTCATAGCAAGTTATAACAATTGTTGAAGTGCCAGTGGTGTAAATAGAATCCCCCAGTGCATTCTGTATATCACACAGCGGCAGAAAACCTGCGGTTGCCAGCACCACTAAACATGTTCAGCTGTGAGTTACAGTTAATCATGGCCCTCAGCTGAGAGTGTTTTCATGATACATATGGTATGTTTGCTACATTTAGCCTTTACAGAGTAGGAAATAGTCCAAGATGATTTCATATTAATGTTTTTACATCTGGCTTTAACACTTAGATTCAGTTTTGGATTCACCCTCTGGGATTAAAAATGATGCACCCAAGATGTGAACCGAAGTAAATGTAAATGCCATAAGAATCAATGGGATTTATTTCCAAGTACGATTCTGCAATGCCACCCCTGACTATAACCCTTTGAACAACAGCATTATAAACAAAATGTACATGCACAGAATGGACAAGAGAAAATGTTCATAGGTACCAAGTAAGTTTGATATTTATACCTTATCATTAAATACATTCCATTTCTGCAATGATTCTTCCAAAATCCTTTCTTGTACTTGGGCAACACTGCGGAGCCTTGTCCAGCGCTGCCAAACCGTTGTCATGGATCTGTTTATGGTTGCCTTGCTGGAATCATTGCCCATTTTCTCTAGCTGGCAGGCCTTGTCCTCCAGTGAAGTTATCTTCTCATGGAATGAGTTTACTATAGACACCAGGGACTGAGAAAGCAAAGGAAATTGATGTTCCCCTTATATAAAAGGTTTTAGAACGTATGGCAAAAATTGCGCTTTTATACTAGAGCCGAAATATTTTTTTTTCAGTAAAATGGATTGTTGTAGGTAGTGGGATTACTTCTCAAGCACAGAAAACTGTAAAATTTACTCTTTATGGTTATTGCTGCATTAAGGATAGATGATTTGCCCTTTATATTAAAAAAAGGAAAATTATCTTACAGATCATTAGTAAAAATAAAGAACAGAACAAATTTATTTATTTATTTAGAATTTTTGTATGCTGCCCCATCGCTTATAGCCTCGGGACGGCTCACATAAAATAAATAAACATAATATATAGTAAAATAATACAATTAAAAACCCAGAATCACCCTGGCTGCAAAATTAAAACTTATAGATATTATTAAGAGTTATTAAAATATTGTTTAAATAAAAAGTTCTTAGCCTGGTGCCGAAAAACAAATAACGACAGGCTCTGGGGAGCGCATTCCATAGACGGGGTGCCATTGCAGAGAAAGCCCTCCTCCGGGTACTTTGCCTCCTGATGTCTCTCACAGAGGGCTCCCGGAGGAGGGCCTCTGCTGCCGATCTCAAGGGGTGGGAGGGCAAATAAGGAAGCAGGTGCTCCTTTAGGTATCCAGGTCCCAAGCCGTTAAGGGCTTTATAGGTGATTACCAGTACCTTGAATTGAGCCCGGACTTCAATGGGAAGCCAGTGAAGCTGATAGAGGGCTGGGGTCATGTGAACATAACGCCCAGTCCCCGTCAGCAACCTGGCTGCTCTATTTTACACCATCTGAAGTATCCAGTCCGTCTTCAACCCCACGTAGAGCATGTTACAGAAATGACTCTGATATTCAGGAAATGTCCTTTTAGTTTTCTTTTAAAAAATAATCCGCTGTTTTAATTTAAACATTTAAATTATTCATTTTGGAGTGTCTTGATTTTTCATTTGACAGAAGTGTAAATCTATGTTAATGCAGGATAGAATTTATGGCATTGGCAATCATTCTCACAAATTGGATCACTTGTCTTGTTGCTATTGTGTCATTTGCTGACAGAACAGTGACATATATGTTTTGTCACTTTCTTTACTGGACAACACAGATAAATGAAGAACTGACTTTTTCAAAAGGTTTACCTTATGTGATGTTAGTTTTTCTTCTGCTTCAAGATTAGAAGTGGCCTTAGCTAGAGAAAATTCAGATAATCTCTTCTCATTCTCATTCATCAAGTCAATGACATGCTGCCTTGAGATCTGATATTCTTGCCACTGGAAAGCGCAGCTTGAAAAATGAAACATGGTTAGCAAAATGTCACAAATTGGTAATATTGCATATGCATATAAAATGTATACTTTGCTACTGCTAGCAAATATTCTCATATGCTGAATTCCAAGGAAATAATCCAGTTACTTTTATGTTCTAGAAATTTCAGTGTGAAAGATTTATTCTTGATCTTCACCCTCATTCAAATCAATTGCACATAACAGAGTTACTTAGTCTGGATTGGGCTATAAATGATATTACAATGAGTTAATTCAAATGTCACACAAGCAGATTTCTGTTCATGCAAATGGCAGTCTGAGTTTAATTTTATTTTTTTATTTAATTAACTTAAAGCTTTTATATCCCGTCCAACTACTAGCATCTCGGGATGGATTTACAATAAAAGTGACACAAATAAAATGGAACAATATAATAAACTTCAATATAATAAAACCTACAGTAAAACCTATTCAACATTAATGTAATGGGGAAATAAAAAGCGGTTGCCACATATTGATGGGCCAAAAGAAAAGAAAAGAAGCTACTGTTTTATCAAACAGCTCATAGATGCTGACGTAAATAGGGCCTAAAGCCACAGAACAGTGGCTAAAATCTAGCACTCTTCTATACAGCTGGCAGTAAAGATGGGTGTCTGCCTGTCACAAGAACATATTTGTGGGAGGCCCTCTAGCAATCAGGAACAGCAGACTGCATCCCTTAATCTGTCGCAACTTGTTCGAGAGATCCCACGAGAAGCGGAATGCAGAAAGGTTATGCAAATAGGATGGTGACCTAGTTGTTATTTTTAGAGGTCAACCAAGACAAAGGTCGTGGATTCATTTTCCCTTTCCTCAACTGCTCTCTCTTTGAAAAGAGAACAGCAATCTTCCACTCTGCATTCTCATTTTGTGCAACAACCCATATGAACGATCTACAACTGGACTACGTGTCTGCTAGGACATGCCAAAATCTGGAAAACATACCTTTGTAATAACTCTTTCTGGGATTCTGCTTTTTCTTGTGATTCCATACCCTTTTCTTCTAAAGCCTCTATATTCTGTGCCAGTTCATCTTTTTCTGTGGCTTGAATAAATGGTTCCATCTCAGACACAAGTGTCTGTAGTTCTTCCAAGTGGTCTTGGAATTGCTTTTCAGTGCTAAAAAATTCAATATGGTTCTTCAGGTTTTCCTCAGAGTTCTCCATATCGAGGCCATTTTGTGTTAGCTGCAGCAATTCCTGGGCATCTTCAAGCCAGTCGCTAGCAGCCTGAGCAACCTGGTAATACCTTTGTCCCAGACTATACAATTTAGTCAATTTTTCCTAAAACAAAACGATGAAAACAACATATGTAATCACTAAAAATCCTCAAGCAACTTCTGACACAGAAAGTTAGGGATACCCTAGTAATTTATCAGTTAGATTTCTGCTGTGGATATTATAGTTTTGCTAGAATGAACAATGACCCTGAACCCATGTTCTGTTCAAAATACTTTCTATCAGAACATTGTGCTAGTATTTAAGAATATGATACTCATCCAAATGCAGACCTGATTGTCCGTCTCAAGAGATAAGTTTGCTGTCTTCCAAAAAAGACAGCACTGTTGTGCAATCAAAAGCCACCCATGATGCTCTGAAAGTAAAGGTTTAATCTTTCAGCACTTTCCCAGTCCTAGCGCCCTCCAAATGTTTTGTACCACAACTCCCAAGATTTCTGAACACTGGTCTTGCTGGCTAGTGCTGGTGGGAGTTGGAGTCTGGATGGGCACAAGGCCAGGGAAGGCTGTCCTACAGCATATTTCCCATGAAATAGGTGGTGTGTTTTTTACCAGCATATTACAGCATCTTGTACTCATGTTCATTGCCATAGGCAAACCACAGCACAAGAAAGATCAGACCAAAATGGGAGATTAAACCCACATAGCTTTAGAAGCTGGGTACTTCAAAAACACACAGTGCAATTGCTGTTGTCTGCACCCCAGTCTGTGGGGTGCAGGCTGCGGACCCTGGTAAACTTGTTCTCACAGAGTAGAAGAAAGACTTTTCTGCTACTACTTCCTTCATCTGCAATTAGGATAATTCAAGTTATGAATGACCATTTCTGCCAACCAGAATTCAGATGTAATACTAAGGTACTCCATTTATATTTTATAAAGATTTTATTCCCATAATCTTCGAAGTTTGAGGTTGCAGCAACAGCCATGGTGTCAAAGCAGAATCTAAATTTGGACTAGGAGATTAGTCAGGGTTATTATACCACATGCATTGTGCTAAGCTATGTTGTTAATAATATTTCTTATCAGGACTGGTTCAAGAATTTTAAAAAATGCAAGTTTCACTCACCTGTCTTTGGTGTATTGCTTCTTGGACTTCGCCATCAAGTTCAGAGAGTTCAGCAAGGCTGTTTTCTAGGTCAGCTGGTATCAGCTCCTTAGCCTTCATGTACTTTTCCTTTTCTTTATTGCTTAATGCTCTCATTATCCTCAGGCTAGACTGTACTTCTTCCTGCTGGATCTGAACTTTACGGATCTCTTCTTGAATACTATTCAGCTTTAAATCAGTTCTCAGTGGTTCATTCAGTTCTGCCTTAATATGCCTCAGCCAGTCAAGTGAGCGGCATATTTCAGTCTGGAAATCTATGCTTTGCACCAGCCTGTTTTCACACTCAATCACAGTATCACCAACAGCCGTATGCAGTGCGTTCAGCATCTCCTGCCATGTTCGCACCTGATGGTTTGCCCCCTCATACACAGATGGGTCAAGCTGGGAAGAAAGCATCTCAAGTTGTTCAGCAATGCGTTTCAAAAGGATCCCAGCATCTTGCAGACTTCCGGCCAATGAATGGTACGTTTTCAATTTTTCTTCCGCTGGAAGGGTTTCCTCATTTACTTCCGCATGTTCTCCTTTTACAGAATTCAGTTGTGCCTCAAGTTGCTGACACATTTTTTCATGCTCCTGATATGCCTCCATCATGTCTTCTAACTGATTCACTTTCTGCTCCAGTTGCCTTTTTAGTTTGTGATACAAGGTTGTGAGCAGCAACATGTCTTCTGGTAGCCACGGCTGTCCGGTGCTTCTAAAGGCTTCCTTCTTCTGGTTTAATTCATCGACTGCAGCGCCAAGGTTTATGACTTCAGTCAGGACATTTCTGTAATCCTGTTGCAGTGACACAACTTCTTTGGCTAACAGGGCGGAAGGGGACTTCTGCATGTTTACAACCTGATCTTCCAACTCAGATAGTGCCTTTGTTGTCAATTCAATTAAGGATGCATATTCTTTACGGGCCAAAATTGCTTCTTGGACTTTACAGAATTTATCTTTAGCCAGAGCAACGATCACATTACACTGGTGAGGCAAGGCACTAAGTTTTTCCTCAAGATAGGAACGATCCATTTCATTGAGTGATGGTAAGATCTCCTGGCCAGCTCTTTGCAGCATCAAGAGAAGGTTTTCATATTCAGGAAACTGTTCAAGAATCTGTTGATACTTTGCTAGCTGGGAGTAAAGTTCAGAATTGCTATTCATTAAATTTATCTCTGGAAAGGAAATTATATCAGATTGTTTTAGCCAGTGGGAAGCTTTATCCAAATCTTCCTTGAAATATTTCCTGGAAACCATGTGTTTCTCAAGTTCTATTAAGCGCTGGTTGCATTTTTGTAAAATAGCATCATACGTGTTCTGTAGCTCTTGCAGTTTATTTAATATCTCACTCTTTTCTTGTTCTGTTGTTTCCTTCATTAGATCCCTCCCTTGAGACCACAGTCCTGAGATTTCGCTCTGGTAGGCCTTGAGGCTGGCCTGTGTGCTCTTACAAGTCCTGATCTGTTTGCTTACATCTTCTGGTAGCAAGCAAATATGTTCATGGAACATTACCTTTTTCTCATGCTGTTGAATCTGATTCATTGCCTGAAAGGCTGCCAGGAGGAACTGAGTCCTTTCAGATAATGCCTTGTTTAAGTGCTTTCTCCTCTGCCCAACCAGATCAGTAAGGCAATCCACATGATTTTGGGCATCTGATAGGCATTTCTGGAGCATCTGTCTTTCATTAAGCCCAAGATTAGTCATCACCCTATCTGCATCCTTTATAAGCCCTTTCAAAACAAGTTGCTTGGCTTCCACTTCACTGCAAATGGTGAGATGATCCATGAGGATGTTTTGAGCTAGTTCAGGAGGTGGACTGTGTTTGAGAGCTTCAGAGATGCTTGGCTGCTGCTCTTCAGCCCAGTCCATTAATTCCTGAAGTTTAGCCTGCACCATACTCAGCTCTTCTAATGTGGTGACACACAGTTGTATTTTCCTCTTGATAAGGTCCTCCAGCTGAATCCACCGCTGCTCAAAGTGCCCTGTCTGCTCTTTTACCAGTTCTCTGTCATCCAAATTTAAATGTTCTGTCATCTTCTGCTTCTGATCTTTTAAATCTTCCAGAGCAAACCGTCTCTCCTGCAGAGCCAGTGCCAGCTTTTTTAATGCCTCAAGGTGTGTAGCTGTACTTTCAGCATCTGATCTGTTAAACCAAGAAATAAATACCACCACAATGCTAATGTTAATATAATCAACAAAGGAAAATATTCTGGGGGGAATGTTAGAGCAAAATAAAACACCCAATCATCCTTTAAGTATTATTGGCAATGTTTTTAGCCATTTGCAAAGCAATTGTGTGCAAATACTTATTGCAACAATAATAATACAGTATTGCAGTTCCTTTAAATAAGCAAACAAAATCTTGCCAGTTCCTGAACTTAAACAGTAGGACACTTTTCCTCTAGAATGCCAGTCATGGAAAGGGATGAAGCAGTGCCTATCATGCAAGGAAGCAAATGAAGCACACATTTAGATTGCTCATTCTGATCTTTCATTTTGTTACACAGCTAAATAGCATAAGGCGGTTCCGTATATTAAAGAGAGTGCATTTCTGTACTTGTCTAATGATAAGTAGTCACCTCAGTGATACATTGATCAAAGTATCAGTTCAAATTTGCTTGACTTATCCCATGAAAATCAGACTTTTTGTACCTTGCCAAGTGGTCCCATTCCTGTGTAAACTTTTCCAGAAAGACTTCGACTACATTTATACAGTCGTGGTAATCTTTTGTCCTCTGGAGATCATCCTCCCTGTGTAGGAGTACATTGCTGGTTTGAAGGCAAAGGTCCAACCAATGGTTGCTCAAGTGTCCTATTTCCTTGTGCTCAGGTGCCTCTTGTCCTTGGGTTAATTTGCTCACCTTTTCAGTCACAGCGGTCAAAGCTGCCTGCTTCAACTGCAGCTTCTGACTGAATTCCTGTATAAGGAGATAAAAAGGAAACAGACCAAGGAAGAATTCCTGTTAACAGCTCAATGAAAACCTTTAATGCATGTTTCTTTAGCTGAATCGTGAAAACATAAAGAAGATAGAGCAGCATTATTCTGTTCCATAAGGTACAGAGATTTCCCCTTCTACAAAATCATGGGAAACAGAGGTAAGAGTTGTTTCAAATGCTGAATCTTCCTGCCAGATTTTTACTGAAAGTTTTAGGTTTAATGCAACAACTTTGTTTCCCTCTTCCCTATATCCTTAGAAAGGGAATTACCACTTCTTGGCTCTATGTATTCTAGAGTAGCTTAACTTCTTGTATGCTCTTCCTTTCATGTCCAGTGAACAATGGAGTGACAGATAGAAACCTTGCTGAAGACACTGGGCAAAGATTCCAGCAACAACTTTTTAAGGGGAAAACTCTAATTTACACATAGATGCATGTAAATAGCTGCAACATTTTTTCACTTTATGGGAAAGGCAGTTTTAGTACTGGAAGCTTTTAAATCTGTTTCTCTATTTTTAAAAAAAAGGACTTACAGATGGTGTAATACATTTGTATCTTCACTGCCAAAGTCAGTCCTGTTTTCAACACAGGGCAGTGTTTTCCATAAGAAAAGATATTCAAATACTACTAACTAGCAGTGTCAACAAACTTGAGAACTGCAGCAGTTAAGACACTCCCTTACTTCCAATGTCCCTCAAACCTATTTGAAATGCAAGGGAGTAATAGTTTCCATTGCATTCTACCAATTAGTTGAGCTGGCAGGCCATAGAAACTTTCATCTTTAAAGATCAAAGTCAGTCCTCCCTGCTGTTGTCCTCTCTCTACTTAAGCAATAGCTAGTTTTCTTGGAAAGGAAGGTGCACTAGAACAGCTGTACATAAACTCTTCTTGAGATAACCGAACTCTTGTAATGTTTCTGAACTCTTGCAAAAAATCATTGGAAAAACCCTAAACTTTTGTAAGGGGTTTTTTTTTTTTTTTTTTTTTGAAAGCTCAAAGTAACTGGCGGGGAGCTCACACATACATTCTACCAATTAGGTAGTCGATAGTTTGCAAAACTTGACATACACAGAAAAATTTGCTAAATTTGCTAGCAATTTTACTGCCTACTACACCTAACTGGTGTACTGGGATGCTCAAATGCTATTTTTTCCATGAGTAAGTACCTAATGCAATGTTAAGATTTTAGAAAATTTTCCTGTTCATGACTTCTGGAAGCTAAACACTGCATGTCTCTGATCAGTTTGTTTGGCCATCAGAAATTGTCCTTTCATTTAAAAAACAACAACAACACTATCTAGTACTACAGAATCAGTGCTAGATAATCTGAAATCAATAGTGAACTAGCTATTTCTTATTTACTGATATTGAATCTCAGAGAAGCTCCATTTACTGATCATGCTTTGCTTGTTCTTAGAAATGAAATCAGCTGTAACATTCAAAAACACCCTGAACCATTTGACTATCACATGAACAGATAAAGTGCACTCCCGTCCCACCTTTGTTCTGCATACTGCACTTGTTCAAGAGGAATACTGTAGAGCTGTCAAACAGAACAGTGCCAAAGAGCAGTAAGTAAATAAATGGACAAATAAACGGCTAGTGCCTACTTCCCTTTTACTTAAATTACAGCTATTCCTTACCTTCACCTGCAAAACCATATTCTGTGCAATGTTAAGTTCCAACTCTGCCCCTCGTCTCTTCATATTTTGCAGTTGCTGATCTGCATCTTGGAAATATATTGAAAGCTCTGCTTTCATTTGCTTTATTTCTTCCCAGCCCTGAGCAAGGTACTGAGAGTTCATTATCCGATCCTCAATCTGGAAAATACATGCAAGAGTAATGGGAACATTTTAATGCAATGATCGATGGCTTGTCTCAGAAGTACACTACCACGCTATGTTGCACAGATTCTTGAATAAGCCATGTAGAACGGGGTGGGGACAGGCCACGGGGCTGGAGGAGAAAGAAAGCTTGCATAAGTCTTGGTAATGATGATTCCTTACACCTGTGAAATGTCAAAGCAGATGCAAGCAAGTCACAGGAACACTCACTCATTGAAGAATTTGATGAAACAGGACAAACCCTGCAGCACTGATGCGAAACTAAGGAGTCAAACTGGTTTAGAGACGCAGCAGTTATAAATAGATTTAAAAGCTTTCCTTTCCTGGCTGCACTCCAAGAACTATTGTGACCTACATGCCTCTTTTGGACAAGGTGAAAACCTTTATTTACTTCTATTTGGCTTGGTGGATGAATTATTTGCCTTTAGCTGCACTTGTAGAATGTCTTTTGCTTAGTCCAGAATAATGTAAAACAGAACAAAATATGGTATTCCCAGTATCTGATAAGTTTCCTTCACAGCAAACAGCAGGTTGCCTTTAAATTTAGCCATGGCAAAAGCTTGCTATCTCTTGCTCCTTGATATTCATTCCTTTCTCCTTATTGTCTCTCTTTCTAGGGCCTAAAAAACAAGGAGTTTTTTTTAGCACAGTTTTGTTTAGACTACAAGTTGTCTGGATTTGTATTATTCACATCCATAATAAATCTTAATATAGATTTGGATGTTTCTGTGAGTTACTTTACATTTTTTGCAATTGACAGAGATGCCATGATTGAAGCATTTTAGTGTACAGCTTTGTTATCTGTCAGTAAAAATGTGTGGGTGCACACTTACAGCTGCCAAAAATGGGGAGTCTTACCTGGCCAGTATCTATCTATCTATCTATCTATCTATCTATCTATCTATCTATCTATCTATCTATCTAAAACTTTTATATACTGTCCACTACTGAGGTCTTGGGACACTCTTACAATAAAACAAAGTGGAGCACAGCATCCAAATTGGTTTTCTATACAATAAAACCCCACGTTAAAGTCAGACGCAAACCTGAAAACAATGGGAAAATAAAAAGGTTTTAGCCTGGTGCTGAAAGGAATAAAGTGTTGGTGCTGGGCAAACCCCTCTGGCAGGTGTATTCCATAACTGGGGTGCTCCCACAGAGAAGGCCCTTCTCCAGGTAGCCACCCTCCTAATCTCCTTCAAGGAGGGCTTCCAAAGAAGGACCTCTGCCCCAGATCTTAAGGGGCGGGTAGGCACATAGGGAAGGAGATGCTCCTTCAGATATTCAGGTCCTAAGCTGTTTATGGCTTTGTAGGTCATCACTAGCACCTTAAATTGGGTGCAGACTTCAATTGGTCCCTTCTCAGAATTGCTTTCTACCTCTTCCACTTTGATTTTTTTTAAGACTGAGAAATATACAGTTGTGAATTGCTTGCCTTGTCCAAAAAGAAAAAGAAAAAATAGTGCAGCATTCCCCCCAGAAAGGGCCAGCGACTGGTGGCCAGAGATGGGGCTCTGAGAACACAAGCAAACAACCAGAAAACGACAACAGGGTCATGAGCACAGCAAGGCACTCTGACAAGACAGATGCTGTCAATCAGGATTGGGGGATACTGACTGGAAATTGCATCATTTATTCACAGAGCGGATTGCTATGCTGTGTGAACTTGCCCACTGGAAACCAATCTCCCTTCTAGAAATCTTTCCTGTGGAAACATAGCTAAAAGCATTCTTGTTTTTTTAAACTGACTTCAAGAACTTTTTACATTCATGAGCACAAATGCACAAAACAGTTCTATAATGTACTGACATTATTATAGTTGATGGATCATGCAAAGGGATTAAAGCAATGAGATACCAATTTACGGGTGATTAGGATTCCTTATTTGCAATTACCGTTTATTTGCATGGTAGACTCTATTTGAAGCAATATTTTTTTTACCAATGAAATCTACTAATGTATTTATGCTGTCACATATATGCATAAAGTATCAAGTGCAGTGCCCAAATCTAATCTGCAAACTCACTCTGAAGTTTCCGATATTTCTGCAGTAGGAAGTCAAACATTCCTAGAAGAATAATATTTGTAAATTTTAAATGTTGGCACTTATCCACCATAAACCTACACCACTTCATATCTTCTATGTATTTCTATATCCATTGAGATGTTATTCATGTATACCTTTTGGAGCAAAACCTCCTTGTACAGAATATGTACAGCAGCTGTTTCTTCAAACTAATATGACCTAAAATGACTTTTGAGACAAAGTAAGACAATTACACCTCTAAAAGGATTAGAAGAAGTCTACCAATGTTTATCCCATACCGTTTGCTTGGTTAGTTGAATGTCTGTTGCTATGTTTTTCACAGAGCTGTCTGATAAATCACACATAGAACATAACAGATCCAAATAAGTGCTTGCTTGCTCTTGCAGGGCTCTGAAATGCTTAACCTAAAGAGAAAATGAAAAGTTTTTCATGAAAACGCATTATTTTACACAACACTCCAAAGAAATGACAACAGCAGAAAGCATCATTGAGGTTACTTTTATTAGTGTGAATCAGGAAATCATTATGTAAGTAGCATAAATGATTATAAATCTTTGTATGATAACTATTAATTGAATACTACAGTAAACCATGTAACCATCTACCTGCCTTGTTCACTGTATTACAACATGCTAATTTTTAAGATTACTTTCTCATTTTAAGGGAAAGAAGTATCTGTTAGGCTTAGATGGATAGTTACATATGGGTGATATATTCAGTCAAAGTTTGAGCTACATACTGCTTTCACAGAAGAAAAGCAACAGGGTCTTACTGAGGAATCAACAATGAGGGACTAGCTGTCTAGACAAACTAATTTTTCTCCATCTGAAATCTTTCAGCGCTGTCTGGTTTCTCTGCATAACATCTTAATCCAACCTAGTCTTAATAGCATTACAATGTCGCGTATCAGCTTTCTGAAGGCCTGTTCTGTAAGAAGTGTTTCTCTTAATGAAAGTAAGATAGGACATTATTGTTTTTACATAAGCAGTATAACATTTGCAAGTCAACTATTTAAACAAGTCAACTACTATTGGGATGTGAAAACTCAAGGAACCCAAGCAGTTTCCAAGGTTCCCATCCTCTTTATTTTACCATCACTGTGAGGTTGGTTCTGCTGAACATCCATGTCTGGCTGAAACTCATGGAGAGAGCTTTATGGCTGAGTGGAGACCATCACTCTGATTTTCCGAGCTCCAGTGCAACCCTCAAATTATTATGCCATTCCTGCAGCGAAATTCCTCAATATGGGTCCATTTCATACAGAATGTTTAGTCTTACATTTTCATCAGTTCAGTAGTGTTTTACACATACTGTTGCAATACCCTGTGGTTAGAGTGAATTACATTTTGTTTTGGTCCTTTCCAAGTGGACTGTTTACCTGCTTAACAGCCTCTGCCATGCTGAAAGGTGGGCGAGGACTTGGCTTTAACTCTGGCTGAACTGCAGAGAGCCAAACCTTGCATTGCTGGAGGGTATCTTGATGGTTAACGTGCTTCTGGAGTTCATGCTCCAAACTCTGGTATACCTATGAAGAAGCAAGAATAAGTCACTTAATATCTCAACTGCTGAACAATGGGGGGCAGGGGCTTCACTAACATGACAGGCCAGCAGATTAAATATAGCTACAGAGCTTGCAGAAAAGCAGCATTTTTCCAGTATTGGTGAGTTTTTCTCTCTTTATATGCCTCATTTCATACACTGACTTGAAAGATTCTGTATTCCAAAATGGATTTCAAGAGCAATCATGAACAAGGCTGGCCCTTCCACAGGATGGGTGAAATCCTCTGCCTCAGACAATATGAGGAGCACCAAATTGTGCCCTTCCCTCTGTTCCCCCAGCAGGACAGCCCACTGCCAGCTCCTTCCCAAGGGGTGCTCCACTGCCCCTCTCTCACTATGGCATCTGCCACATTAGGAGAGTGGTGCCAACCGGCCCATCTGGAGCCCTCTCCCATTCAGCAGCACTGGCAGGTGCCCCGGAGCACCCCACTGGTGCTGTTGCAGGAAATACCGCAGCGAGAGTGGCTGTTTTCACATGGAGAATTGTCTCGGTACAAGCCAGAAAATGGATCGGCTTTCTGAAGAGCTGCAGCAACTGAGCAAATGGCCAGAGAGGGCTCTTTGGGAGACAGCCCATGACAAATGCCTGGCTCAGAGGAGAACCTCCTTCTGAGCAGTCACTGTAAGAGAAGTGCCCCTGGAGATTGTGTGCACAGGCTACTTCCTAAAATCCCCCCATGCTTGGCTAGAAATGGCCCCATGCCCTAGAAATGGTGCTGGGGCAGAGGCGGCTGCAGCAGTGGGACATCTGCACTTTCACTTCAGGGAGCCGGAGAAATTGTGCCAGGCCTGGGCAGAAGATAAACTGGATTTCTTCATTTCTTTCTGTCTGTGATCATGTTCGGCCTTCAGATATTTTTATGAATTCATTCCAATATGGTGCTCATTTTGTATTCAGTTTGCTCGTGTGGAGAGGGGCCCAGCTCTCACACATTTCAGTCTGCTCAGATAGAGTTCTCCAGTTCTTAGGAGGGGAGGAAGGGCACTGGGGAGCAGGGGACTTGGCTGTTCCAGGGTCACCTATGAAGATGCTCAAGCAGAGTGTTAGGACCAGTCTGCCTGGGAAAAGGAGAGAAACATTTCAGAACTGAAGGGAGGAGACTGAGGGGGAGTTCTGAAAGGTTGGGAAGCGATGGAAGTTTCAGTGTGGATTCAACTCTTCCCACATCTCAAGAACTTTGATGATCACTGTTCTGTAACCTCTAAAGTCTCATATGGGTTTACTGGAGAGGAAAAGAGGGTGGGAGAGACTTCTTAGACCCACTAGCACCTGTTTGCATTGTTATAACACTTGCGTGGATTGAAACTTACTCTTTGAGCTGTGCTGCATATTGCTGAATAGCTATCCCTTGTTCCCTGCAAGTGGGTTTCGATATTTTGCTTAAATTTTGCTTGAAGGTGTTCCGCACACTCATTGATCAAGTAATCTCCCTTCCTTTTAAGGCTGTTCAGGCGATCTTCAAATCCAGCAATTTCTTCCATCATTGCCTAAGAGAGCAGCATTCAGAGCGCCACAGCTTATTAGAGAAAATGCCTTCAATGCTAAATTTCTTTCATTTGCCCATTTTAAAATTCACATCCTGAGGTTTCACAGGGGGAGAGGGTTTTATATATATAGTCCAACTTATATGGTCCCCTGGAAAAGACAGTGATGGTATTCAGACATAACAGCAAAGCACAGTTTGTTGCTACATGCATGGCCAGATGCAAACTTCAGGGTCATGCACCTTCTTGGGCATAATCCTTCTGCATATGAGCAGATAAAATTAAAAACATTCTCTTCTGGTTAATAGCAAGTCATAGTCTGCTATTATATCTGAATACAGCAAATTGTGTTTTGTAAAAATGAGGATTTTCTCACATAGTCAGGATATTAAGCATAGTTTGATCCTCATTTTGAATCTGGTTTGTGGGCCCACGTTCAGAGCTGACAGCAAAGTATCATCTGATGCTACTTTTCCCATCCACTGATATGTAGAAGGGGAAATGGGAGGGAGAACAAAGGCCTGATGCTCATGGGTACTCATAAGCCATGGTTTGCCATTATGTCAGGGTACAGTCACTGTAAAACCAGCTCAGACGGTAAGAGTCTCAATTGGGCAGGGAAGTAAGGGCACTTTGAGCAATTTTCAGATATTACAGAGATGGTGAAACTCACCTCTATTAAAAATATTTATAGCATTGCTTTTCTTTGGGCTTTTATTTAAAAGACACAAAGCATTCAAATTTCCTAAAAAGGAAAACAGTAGTTTCCAAAATGAAGGAATGCTGTTCTTTGAAAAAGTTATACTGCAGTTTCCAAGTAAGTATGACATGATTAGAACATTATGAATTTCACACACACTAAGGATACTTTTTCTACTCAAAAAATTGATATCTTCAGAGGAAGTTAGACTGCTGGTACTGCAGCATTTACCTATCCAGGAGATGGAGAACGATCTGAGCCATTCCTTCAAGACCATTTGTCGCTACACACTAAGACCCACCTTGTGATTGGCTAAATGCTGTGTTACAACTTCAAGACTACTATTCTCCATAAGGTCAGGAGTAACCAGCCTGCTCGACATCTGCAGCAACCACTTTTCCACATCTTGCAAGTCACTGTGATATTCCTCATGCTCTTTTACTTTTACTTCCAAGACTGCAACATGGCCCTGCGTGTTTGCAGAAACCAGAAACTTTTAAAAGATAGTTTCAAAATTATAACAATGTCAGCATAGCACCTAGATGAGCAAGAGTATTTTTTTAGGTTCCTTCATGGGAATGCCCCAAATATAAACACATCACCTTATTTCTTTGTTTTCATGACTCTGTGAAATTAGAGCCGTATGCCAAGGCACTTTTGAACAGGCTGCAATGGTTCCTGGAAGGATCAAAACAAAATGTGTCTACCCTTTTCAGCAGTGTCCCCATGCATTGTCCCTCAGGCTAAATTCTTCTCTTTTTCTCTTCTCTTTTCCAGGGTTTTCCAGTAAGCAGCCTTGATGGTTTCATTAGAAAGTCAATGCAACCAGAGAGGAGGCTGCCTCCAGGCCTCCACTGTTAGACTATGAGTTAACTGGGCTGAAGCTTGATAGGGCAATTGAGAATTGGCAAGGGGCACTACATGGGCTTCTAATAGTTGATGGGGAAAAATAACTGCAGAGGAACCCTGTTTAAAAGTAAGAATGGCATTCTTAAATAATAAGCCATCCAGGTATAGTATACGGCATTTCGTATTGGGATTCCGCAGATCCAAGTCAGCCATGCAGCTTCCTGGGAGATTTTGGGCCAGCCACTCACTCTCACAGTTTTGTTGTTGTAGGATGAAAGGGAGCTATGTAAGCTGCACTGAGTTCCTCCCGAAAAGAAAAATGGCAGAATAGAAATGCAATGTAATCAGAAACCTGGATCTTTGCTTACTTTTTGGTGCCTGTGATCTGATTTGTCTTATTCCCAGTGACAAGGAAAAAGGCAAATTTTAGAGAAAGGGGTGCACTTTAATGGTGGCAGAGGAGGTGAAGGGGGAATGGCAGAACTGGCCCATCACATTGACCAAAAGGAGTAGGATTGCCCTAGTGTAGAGGCCTTCACCAGAAGATCATGTATTCTACATATGGGGAAAAACACTTCTGCCTTTTTCAGCACTACTCCCACACTTGGCTGCTTCATGCTCTTCTCCTTTCCTCAGATGGCCAATCATAATCAATCAGGAATTACCTCTCTAAGCAGGAAAAGCACATGCAATTAAGGACAGATGTGGCTTACACTTTGGATCACATTAGATAGGCCACTGAAAGTATATGATCTGTACCTTAATGTGCAATTAGCAGGTTTTTTTCCTAAAAAGAAGGAACCATGATTTCTTTAAACAGGCAAAGTGCTTCTAAATTGCCAGTGTCATGCTGTAATTCCTGGGTTAACTCAGGACATCCCCAAACCAGCAAGCAGTAAGTGTGTTGCCTCCCACATGCCCATAACTTCTGTTTTCAATGAACAATCCAGGAATATCCTGTTCTAGAACTGTTTCATGTGAACTGGATTGTTTATAGATAAATCCAACATTTTCCCATGATTTGTTGCTGGGTCTTCTATGGTAATTGAAACCTAAAACAGTAAGCTACTAGGAGGTGGTATTTTTTTCACTTTGCTCATTTCCAGAAATTCCTTCTTTCTGTTTTTGTTGTTATTATTCATTTCATATCGATACATTTTAATAGCTGTAACTTTCTGGGTGGTACACAAATATTCATAAAATTAGAAATTACAAATGCAGATAATTGAACACAATATCAAATTTAATATACAAAAGTTTAACCCATTTAAATAGCTAAAAACATGATCAGTAAAAATGCTAGACCTGTTAAAAATATAGCTCATACAAATGCACCTACATATGCCATTAAACACTATTAAGTGCTAAAAAGACATCTCTTAATCTGGAGCCAAAAAGGTGACAGAAGTGGTACCAAGAGAGCCTCAGTGGGGGACAGAGAAGGCCCTCTCTCTTGTTGCCACCCTCTGAGTCCCCATTGGAGGTGGCACTCAGAGAAATGGGATGGTGTAACATAGTGTCCTACAACCGCAGGGGATTGGACTCGATGGCCTTCATGGCCCCTTCCAAGTCTACTATTCTATGATTCTCTGAAGTCCTTAGATGCTGATTGCTGAACAGGTAGGTTCAGCTCAGGGGAAGCATCCCAAGAGATGTATGGCTTCATAGATTAAAACTCTTAATGTGAATTGGGCTCAAACACATACAGACAGCCAATGCAAGTGGGCCAGGACTGCTTGTAGCATGACATGCAAAACTATCTCATTCTAATGAAGATCTTCAGCCATTTCTCTCATTGTACTGTTAATTCAGTAGAATTTCATTGATGTAAGTGGTTTGAGAAAGAAGACAAGAATCCTGTCTCATTAAAGGCAACATGTATTTAAACTTACTTTTGAAATCCTATGTTGCAAGCCTAAATTCACCTGTAGGAATAACTTTGGCTATTGGGCAGTATAGAAATGAAATATGTAATATTGTAATCTTACAGCAGGAAAAAAATTCTGTATGAAGAACTACATATTTTACCTTTGCTGTGTTGCAAAGTTCCTGGTATTCAGTTTGAAGTTTTTGGATGTTCTCTGCAAAATTAGCATCATGTACCAGTTCAAGGAGGCATTCTCCTTTTTCCGTCACAGATTTTATTGAAGGTTCATGTGACAGCACAGTCTGCTGGATTGACTGAAATGAGAAATGCATTTTAACAAAGGGTTAAAATCAATATAGAATGTACCAATGTATAGAACATGAAAGAACTTTGGGGAAAAGTTGCATTTTATCCTTAAGTGCACCTGTTTCAGCAAATATGGTAAAAACAGTTTGTGCTGAAATATTTTCCCCTAGAAATCTTTTAGAGTAAATTTCAGGTGAGCAAAAGACTCAGCTTTATCAAAATCTCCAGGCTGATACAAAAAGTTCCTTGAAAATTATTCTCATTCACAATCTGAACACTAATCAGAAAGAAAATAGTTCACAGAATTTTATTACAAATGGTAAAAGGTATCAGGATGACACAACTTATAACTCGCAACCTGAGGGTTGCTAAGGAGCATTTATCACAATGCATTTACTGGGTGCAAAAGCATTGCATTGCTGGGACCATGTTCAGCTTCCAGGAGGTAGTCTTAAAACTTGTTAAACCTGCCTTATATAGTCATTATGTTTACATTCTTGCATGGAAATCAGGAATAGCAATTTAGCTAACAGGTACCAGTGTGCATACACAAGCAATTTAGACTTTTAAGCAAGATTATTTTATAGCCCTATATAAAATACTGTTTTTGTTCTGAACAATTCAGTTTTTTCTTAATAATCATAACCTCTTTACCTTGTATTTTGATAACTGTGCCTTTTTCTCATATAGCTCCATTTTGGGATCTACTGTGTCATGTAATATAGTTTGGTACTCTGATAGCCACTGAGTCTGCACTTTGTACTTATCTAAGAATTCCTTTGTTAAGTGCAGACACTTCTCTAAGGTTGTGTGTTCTTTCCTGATAGAGCAGGTCATGTCATCAAGTTGCTCCACACAATCACTAATCTCCTTTTTTAACTGTTCAGCTTCTTTTCCCTTCATGTACTTGATGGCTCTCTCTCCTTTTTCACGGGCAGATTTCAGCAAATTGTGCCCAGCATCCATGTCACTCATGAGATTCTGTGAACAGAAAAAGTGGACAGTTTGAGTGTGGCCAAATATTAATTCCCTTGTGCACATTCAACTATATCACTGTGGTCCAAACTGTGATATCTTGGCTGACGAAGGTGGGATATCAAGAAGGCTTTTGCCTGTACATTAAGTTCTGTCGCCCCTCTTTAAACATAATTTCTTATATGAACCAAGTCAAGATGTGAAATGAGCTTTTGAAGTTGGTTTCATATCCAATCTTGTACCCCAGTTAATAACCATAGTTTTTGAGTGCAGGTGAAATGGAAAACTATCAAAGACTTTCGACTGGGTTTGCACAACACAGCAAGCAACCAACAATAAAATTCCAGGATTGCTTGTTGCATAAATGAACCTAGTAGTGATCAGCTACTGAGACTGTATCCTGGTTGTCAACCATGAAAGACACAACTGTCTGCTTTAGGGCTTCTCCCGACTACAATCAGTTGTGGCATCATCCAGAGATTGGCAGCACAACCCATCATGCAAAAACCCCAGAACAAGAGAGCTGCCCCAGCCTGGCACAGTGTCAGGGGCATCCCATTTCCCCCTGCCCCCCTCCCAAGAGATCTTCTTTGGGGCAGGAGTCACCCAACTGATTCCCCCTAACACATATGCCGGGAAGGAAGCCTCCGACATGCAAGCAGGCAGGGAGAGCATCATCTGGGCAGTGGTGGCCCCAGCTGGGACAGCACCTCCCCGCTGACTGCTCCCTTTCCCACCCGAGAACAGGCCAGCCCAGCAACATGCAGCTGCCCTGTCACCACCGCTGCCTGGATGCCTTGCTTGAACGGAGGGGCTGGGCATGGTGCCGTGGGCTTGGTGGGGGCACCCTGTCCTCACACCATCGTTGCCAGCCAGCTCCCACCTCCTGCCCAAGCATTTCACTCCCTGATCCTCTAGCCAAGAATGGGGCAGCAGTGTGGGAATGCTGGGCAGGAGACCAGAGTGCCCACTCGGTTCCTCCATCCTCCCTGGAGTTGTTCGGGGAGTGAGCCCCATTTGCAGAGGCTCTGCAGATTGCTGAAAAGCGGCTAGCCATTGCAGCTGCTGAAGAGAGAAGCCCATTCATCCCTGCAGTGTCCCTGGAATACTGCCAGGAGGAATGAGAAGGAAGGAGCTGGAAGAAGGAAAGAAAGCCAACTTGATGAGCCTGATCATCTTTCGGGCCCATTGTGGCTGCTCGGCACTTCATGGAAACCCCATTGTGGTGGTTCAGCACTTGCCCTTGGGGTTCGCTGTGGTTGCAGCAACAGCCAGTTTGAATATGGGTGTGATGATACTGTGGCTTTCTTTTACCTGTGAGCCCTGTGAAGGCGGGGTTTGTTGGGTGGCTGACAAACTATCTGTAACTCTAGAACAGTCCACAGGTTCTGAAAGGCTTGTCGATTCCCCATTCAACATTAATTACAGACTTATTCATGCTATGCTCATATATATCGATATACATTGACCTCTATTTTAATTGCCCACCTAGAGACACAGTGACAAAAGCAGACTGCCCATGACTTATACCTCAAGTTTCTGCATTTTTTTCTCCATGGTGGCTTTATCTACTACATCAGACTTTGTCACCATATTTTTGAATTTCCTGAGAGTAGCTCCAAACCACTCTTTGTAAGCACTGAAAGCCAGTTCAGATTCCTCCATACTTCGAATTTCTTCTTCAAGCATTTTTATCTCCTCCTGCAAATAAACAATACAAGAGTGTGGTTGATCTGTTCTTCCTTTTTATATCTGCAGCTTTAATATACTACATACTATGTTTATACATAAAACCTAATGAGGATGAGATGCACTTACTTTTTGCTACAGATAAATGTAAATACCAGCCTTCATAGTCTACTTCAAGCATTTGTGCAAGATCATGAAAAATATAACCAGTGCCTAAAATAATACAATCTCCTTCCTGTTTTTATTCTGTGGCCAATTTCCATGGCATGTTATAGGCATGAAGGCAGCTCCATGGAAGGTGTGTGTTTGGGTTCATTGTGCTGGCATCGGCCTAGACAATGCACACCTGCCTGGCCTTGTGTGGACATCTGAGAAGGGAAAGCCCACGTGTGCTGGATTCGGTGCACACAAAGGCTTTCACATATGCTGCAACCCCAACACTCTCCCAGCTTGGGCAGAAGCCTATGCAAGGAGAGATCTTTGCCCAGAGGCATCCCCTGCTTGGGTGCATGAGCGTCAGGGGCAGAGGCAGGATGCTGTGACGCTCTGGAGGCAGGGCTGCCAGCGCAGCCCAAAGCCCCATGATAATTGGTCCTCGGGAGCAATATGCATATCGTAAGTAATGCTGCACCGAGATTCACAGAGGGGCATGCACAGAGAAAGAAGCTTTGAGGAATACCCACTTGACAGTGAGATAATGATGTCAAGGGCAGGCATTTCTGAACCTACTGCACAGAGAAGGATGCACGCAGCCTGTAAATGTCAGTTCCTTCATGTCTATGTGGACATGCATGTGCATCTTAAGGAAATGCAGTGGAAAACATCATGGGATTGTACTGTTCCTTATATCACAAGTCCTTCTGTTTGGTGGCTTACTAATGTGAAGCAGTGCATCTGTGCATCACCCAAACGCTATCCAGATTGAATCTTGGTACAAGTTTATCAACATTGGTTTTTTGTGTTTTTTTTGGCAGGAAATGTACAAATACACATTTGGTATTATGGAGGGAGGGCACATATATGAAGGAAGTGGAACCTCGAACTGCCATTGTTTCAACTTTGGAATTAAGTTCTTCTAATTAACAAGGAACTCAGAAGAAACAGCACACAGGTGAGAGTGAATCCATTGTTGAAGAAATGAATGCAGGGAGGGATCCCCTTAACTCGATTGCCCCAGGGACAGTGGTGTAATGATAAATTTTGTGAAATGCCATTGCTCAGTCTTCATAGCTACACCCTCCAAAGAGAATTAAAAAAATGAAAGCAGCTACATATCAACACACCATACATCTATATCCATAATTGTATCATATCCAGGTCAACAATTTGCATATCCATTATCAACACACCAATTCTAGAAGTTTTCATCTCTACTGGGAGCATGTTTTTTATAATGCTGTTGGGCATTAATTCATTCAAGACCAGGCCACCCAAAACTCCTTTGCATCACAAAAGGGATAGCACATGAGTTTATACTGCTGCTGAGAAAAAAAATATTTGCTTTCCTAACTACTGAGAAGGTGGCAGTGGAAACAATGAAGTCTGAGGTGTGTGGCAGTTGATGTCAATGTCCTGCTAATTAAAAAAGTGCCAGAGCAACATCCTGGTGTGACCTGATTACACCAATAATTGTACATCTAGTGACCATTTCATGGTGATGAAAACACCCAAGTATTTTTTTTTCTGTTCATATGGTAGGATGGCTTCAAAAAATGTTGTTATTGTTCAGATCAGGGGCTCAATATCTCTTGGTGGTATAAGGTGCACATGCAATCAAGGTATGCTAAAGATTGTAAAATATGGGGTTTTATAATGATCTAACAGCCTTTGATCAAGTGATGCTAAAAATAGATGAGAAAATGATTAAAAGAATATATGAGTTCTTACTTGACAGGAAAATGGAAGGGGAACAGGTTAAGGAAACTATGATAACATGGGCACAAAATTTTGGATATAATATTGAATTAGAAAAGTGGCAAAAGCTATGGGAGAGAAATATTAAGGTAACTTTAGCAACTTCGTATAAAGAAAATTTATATAAAATGTTTTATAGATGGTATTTGTTGCCAAGTCAATTAGCTAAGATGTTTCCAAATATGTCAAACAGATGTTGGAAATGTAAACATGATGTGGGTACTTTTTAACACATGTGGTGGACCTGTGAATATGTGAAAAAGTATCGGATTAAAATACATAAATAGCTTGAGGAAATGCTACAAAAACCCTTAGCTTTTAAAGCTGAAATTTTCTTGTTAGGCACTATACCGGAAGATATTAGCAAACAAGAAATGCATTTGATGCTACATTTAATCACAGCAGCGAGGATTGTGCTTGCTCAATACTGGAAGAGTGAGGAATTACCCACTGAGGAACTGATTTTAAAAAAGATTCTGGACTGTGCAGATATGGACAGATTGACTCTATTACTGAAGGAGAAAGAAGATACTATCAAACTTGGGACCTTTTTAATGACTGGCTGGAGAAACGGGACTTGGCTTAGATTTAAAGATGTTTTTAAATTTTTATAAATCGATTTGAATATGATTATAGAATGTTAAAAAGATATATTGTAGGGGGCTGACCCAGTACGTCCAATGTATTTGATGATTGATGTTTTTAGTTTTTTGTTTAAAATCTTAAAAATCTTTATAAAAAAAGAAAAAAAATGTTATTACTCACCAGTGCATGTAGAATCAAAGCCTGGTATCGAGAAGCAAGGTGGGTAGCTTGCCTTCCCATCCTGCTAGAAGTCTGACTCTCCTCCAGGATTTGCTGGGCCAATAGTCCAACTTCTTCAACCTCATCTTTATAGACTGTTAATTCCTCGTGCCATTTCTGGTGCAAACAAATGACATCATTCTGGTAAATGTGGCCTAAATGTGGTGCAGGGCACGATCCTATTGATCCTACAGCAGATCCATGCAAGCTTCTGCGGGGGAGGGTTGCAAGCATCCCGTGCCCAGCATGTGGCATGGGAGCAGCCATTTTTGCTAGCACCGTCCCTTATGGAATTTTTCTCTGGATGGCTGTTTTAGATCATTTAGATTTAGCTCCAGCTCCAGGGAAGAGGGTGTGAAGGAAGCTAGGATGCTTCCCCAGCTCTTCCCATTCTCTTATCTCCTCTTCTCCTGCTGGGGCCCTCCTGGGACCTAGGGGCAGGAGGCAGTCTGCATGGTTCTTTCCATGCTGGCTGCAAAAGAGGGATGCGTGGCTTTCAGGATCCGAGCTCTGAGATTGCAGGACCTTGCAACTGGGACCATGAAAAAACCTATGCCCCCCCCAGTCCATTGGATTGTACCCTCTGAGACTCCTGAAATAAAAACTGAAGAACAGAAGCATCTCTTTTTTAAACAAACACTTTTTAAAATATAATATTTATACTACAGTATTTCATTTAATAAAGGAAAAACTGGAAGGAATGAAGCAGGACCCAAAAACTGAATTCAGGTTAACGTGCACAAAGGGAGGTTTGCAATCATCGATGGGCATGGTTTTTGCTTGTATTATGCTTGGTTGGAACTGCTTATGCATTCAGACCGGTCAAGTAAAACAGTCCAGGCTACTTTGTCGCTCCTGAACTAGCTAAAGGAAGAGATGATTTATTGCTATTTTTGTAATGGACCACATAACACACATACACACCTTGAGGACATAGTAGTGACTCTGCTCTTAGTGAAAGTATTATCATGACAGATTTACGTTAAGCCTAGGACTACAAAAAGGTTGGCTCAAGTTGGAAAGGATATCCAACTTTCAGATGTATGAGTTATTTCTTTGTTGTCAGCATCTGGGATAAGTTAGGGCTCGTATGAATAACCAACAATACATAATAATTTTTAATGTATGTGCATTGGCCCACTATAAATGTTCACAATAGTATAACTGCATCACCTTCATTTGTTGTAGCTGCATCTCCTTTGTGGCTCTCTCAGACTGCCTGCCAGTTCGGATATTAACTTTCTCCTCCAGTGTTTTGAGCCACTCGTCCATCTTCACAAATTTGCTCTCCATCAGCCTCAATCTGCTTAGGGTAGTGTTTAATTGCGTTCTGACCTCAGAAAGTTTGTGTTGATAGACTGTCCAGTCTTGCTGCATAGATTCTAGTACTCTGTCGTCCAGCTGGGGCACACCCCATGGAACTACTTCTTCCCTCGCATGGAGCGCTGCATTAAGCAATGCCTGTCCCTCAGCACAACACACCTGTAATTCCTGAAAAGGCAGAGGTATTGCTATTATTCATTCACTCATTTTATAATTAAATGCAGCGAGAAGTTGAGTACTTTAACTCGTTTAGTTGCCCAATGCGATCGCGTATATATCAGCTTGTTTAAATTAATTTCTAAGCTCCATAAACATCAAGTATCCAGTGCATGAGATTCCCAACCTAAATGCAATATTCCCTCTAATAGTGGATGGATGAGTGCTCATCAGTTTGGAAATACAAGATGGTGATCCAAAAATAAGTACTTATTTTACATACGTACACAGAGAAATCTTTAAGTATACAAGTTTATAAATTTAAAAGAAGCAATGAATGTTAATCCACTCTGTCAGTCAGCCTGGTAAGAGCCAATGCATCTACAGGATGTACAGATGGTTGGGAATGGGCCTGTTCCCATCCTTCCCCTAAACTCTTTGCTCCAGGCCTGAACAGACTTTAAAGCTCATCTTCGAAAACCCCTGAAAAGCCCTGAACAGCAGCATCCCACTTAGAGCAGGGACAGAAAATATCCATCCAGGATGCTGCATGTTGTCCTCAAGGCCTTAATTACATCTCAGAGGTGCACTGATCCTACCGCAGCCACTGAAATTCCTCCCCACCCTCCAGAAGACTCTCCACTGACATACTTTTTCCTTTCATCAACATTGCTAGCACCAAAGGAAAGGCAGTCTGAATCAGAGTCATTGCAGTGCACACACATCTATATGTATACACAAATCTATATCTGTGTGTGCACACTCACATATGGGTGTGAACCAGTGCAGGGCCTCTGAACCCTATACCAGCATCACATGTGAATCTTGAAAAGTTGTGCACCTCTGCCTTAGAACAGGGGGACATACTGCTGCCTTCCTTTTCTCTTTTTGCAGGAGCAACTTGTTACTCAATAGGCCAAAGCAGATTAAATCACGTTACTTGGAGTTCTCGAAGTGTTGCTTCATGTCTCTCTGTATCACCTTCAAGATGTGACAAACAGTTGAGTTTCTCCTGCTCTTTTTCTAGCCAGACTTCAAAGGCTTTCAGATTTCTTTGGTACTCATGATGCAAATGAAGCAGTTCCTCAGCTTTATTTATTGTTTCCTGTTTTAAGAAATATACTGTTAGTGTCCATGAGAAAAGGCTTCCTGACTCAGACTGTAATGCCTGGATTTAATTTCTCTACCTCTTCACTAGTGCTTAAAAGAAAGAATGTTTCCAGGTGCTCAGGGAAGATAACACAGAGAAATATGCTGCACACTGCACTGCATTTAGGAAAATTAAGTGCCACCTAAAATTAACTGGAAGGTTAGATAAAATCATTCAAATGACAGACACTCTAAAATTCAGTAACAAAGAAAGAACACTTCTCTCCCCACCTTCTGCAAGTAAGCCTACTCAAGGAGAAATTCTGTGGCATTGTAAAGAGGCACAGTACCATGATCCTGTCTTTGAGAAACTGGTATCTCTCACGGAGGTCCTGAAGTTCAAGCTGAGTTACATAATGTTCAGTCATGCTCTTTCCTTTCACTTCAATTGCCTCCAGCAGTGTACTGTGACTAAACACTTCTTCCTTAAGTAACTAGAGAATACAAATAGCAAGTTAATAGCCTGAATAATACAACAAGGTGGATGGATTAAAACCACATGTTGGGCATTTTACTTCCTCTGAGACCAGTGCCAAAGCAAGTCACAGTGAGGGTCTACTTCGTCATGTTGGAGGAGGTGAAGCATCATACCTTTATACATTTTCATGCATAGGAATTTCGACAATTGTTATGCATATTGAGAAACCACATTGGCTTCAGGTGGGAAACATTATGTCTGAAGCAATCCTTAAAATGGTAGCAACCACACTGTATATTACAATTATGGAGCAGCTGTTTAAACAACATCAAGAAGCACAGTTTTGAATACAAGTTAAGGGCAATTAAGTTTTAATCTGAATGTGCACACGTAACTGGCATACAGAGAGGAGCCTGTCTTTTCTCAATGGCAGCTGCTACACGCTAAAACAAAGACTGTTTAATACAGTTTGGAAATAACTGGTATTTTGTCCTAACCGAGTTATATGTGAAAAAAAAAGCAAATTCCTGCTTGTGCGTGTGGTTCTTGTCACAATTTTTCTAAGAACAGACTTTCCACAAACCTTAGCTTTGCTAAGTGCAGAATTTTTTTCCCGCAGTTCAGCACACTGCTTTTCCGAAGCATTCATCATTGCTTCCACTTTGTCCATCCAGCTAGTAAACAGTCGAACATCATCCTGATAACTTGTCCATTTGGACAGTGCTCCTTCCAACTGGCTGTTAAAAGAGTATGTTCACACTTAAATATTGTCAAGTATTTCATATATTTCTATCCTGTATATCCTAACAGCTATTATGATGCATAGCTCTAGTCTTATTCAGAAAGTTGGAAATATGTGAAAAAGTAAGAGAGAGGATCAAAAGCGCTTATGGGCTTCTTAACCTCTTATCCTTCTGAAAGATCAAAAAGATGCATCATGGAGTGATTACAGAATCCACGCAATCTCTTCTTAGTAGTTCCATGGGAAGTGAACTAGGGGATAAAGGGCTGGGTTATGGTAGGCTTCACCAATAACATTGGGTTATATCCAATGCTTTCTTGTTTCCAGCAGAATGGAATAGATTTTTCTTCCCTGCTGCCGCCTTGGGACTCTAGGGAGGAGAAGAGCAAGGAACAGTCCTGATGCAGGAGCTGAGGACCACTCTACTGATATTGGATATTATCACTATATCAAAAGGAAATAAAATGGAGAGGAGAAAGAGGAAGATTATGGCAGTCACTTCATGCCCCTCATGATAGGAAAAAAGGAGGGATATCAATGCTATGTAATTATTTAAATTATGAATTTAAATTTGCATTCTTCATTATATTGTTTAAGATGCTAATCACAGAAGCTAAGGATGAATTCAGTTGGCTTTAAGCATGTCAGAATTGAATATAAATCTCCTTAATTTTTCTAGTGCTTCCAACTTTTTTATTTTTCTGGTCCTGTTTGGAACCAATACCCTGGCTTTACTTTTTCGAACATAGTAGAGCAATTGTGTGCAACTAAAAACTTCTTCAAGTAGAAAAGCATGAAATCCGTCTATGAATCACAGGCAGCCTGCACGTGCTAAAAAACAGCCTAGTTGTCAAGTGGCACGACTCAAGCACAACCAAGCAACCAACCTACTGCTGGCTATTCACAGGGTGCGTTCGTGCGACCTGTGAACTCTCACACTGCTGCTTGTCCTGAAGATGAGCAAGCCTGTTTTGTCAGTTCCCCTTGAACACCCTTCTCTAGCTTTACCTTTTACAGTGAATACAAGCAGACAAAAGGGACGCCCACGTCTCCTTGAGTGCTCTTAGTTGTTGCTCAATGACAGGCACTCCTTCAAGTGATGTATTTTGCAAAACAGATTCTCCTCTTGTTACCACCATTTTCATCTGGATTTCTTTCTCCTGTTTTACTGAAAGCAGTCCCTGGAAAACAGACAAAACATGTTTCCATCCCTGTCGTGATCAGGTACCACAAACAGAAAAAGGAACAACTAAATTAGCTTGCAGAATAATGTTTTGTTATACTCCAAGCTCAGTCAAGCCATTTGCCACAAAGGTAGAAGCAGCAACCTGGTTTTACCATTATGGAAAAGAATACAGGGAAGGGCTGCTAGCTTAGAAGTGAACTCCAGAGTCTAGACTTTCTGCAATCCTACATATACGGGCAAAACACCCGTTGCACCCAAATACATGTACCTGGAGCCAGATCACCACTTTTTTCCTCCTGTCAGGAGGAAGTGATCAAGAGGAGAGAAACTGAGATGCACTCAATCCCTTCCCTGCCAGCTCTTTTCTTTCTTCAGAGTCACCCTCAAAAAACTTTTCTCTCCATGTAATCTCAAATGAAAGCATAGGTTAAAAAAGCCACAAGGCTGTGGGAACGGGGTTAGGAGCGGAGTAATGGCAGCTGAGGAAGGGTTTAAGCATACCCCTCTTGAGCCCTTTATCAAGCACGGAGGGAAGGAGAGCTGCCAGTCTACAGTTGCATTGTTTGGCCCACAGCTGACCTGAACAGATCTGAGGATCTTAGGATGAAATCATACTTCATTTTCTGGCAAAAAAAAATCTTTGCTTAGTTCATGGAAAAAATATTCTTACAAAAACCTTGAAATAAAACACGTTCCTCTTTGTTGTGATTCTTGATGGCTGGATCTTTATACACAGACACTACTGGGTGAGCAGTAGCTCCCTGAATAGGATGTTGCATGCGGGGGCACATGGGCGTTTCAGGAAGTGCTGCCAGATTGAAAGCCTGTATATGGAGAACCCTCCACGGCTGGAAGCACACAAGGGGGCATTTTGAAAACTGATGAAGACAACCCAGCCACCTCATGCATTTAATAAGAAAAATAAACCACCAGCCCCAAACAAATATTTATCCTCCCCCTTTCCCACCTATTTCACAGGCCTTTTTCTCCCCCCACCAAAAATAACAAAAAACTAGGACCTCTCTCTCTCCCCAAATCTCAACTTCAGTTTGTTCAGTCAGCATTATGATGCTTTTCTTAAACCATAAATTGTATTCTTCAATTAGTTATGTGAAGATAGTGCATTTAATCTGAACCCCACAGACAGCTACATATTCATACATAAATCTTAGGATCTCATAAACAAGAAACATGTGCCTTTGTAAATACATTAGCTTTGGTCATGGTATATAGTATCTGAAAATGTTAATCGTAAACAAAATGCATAAAAATGCATCCTTAAATCCAACATATGCTTGCATACACACAGTACTTGATTTTTACAATAAATTACATTGGTCCAGGTACATGATTATAGAAACTTTGCAGACTATCAGTAATTGATACTTACCAGGGTTTTCCTTGAAGAATGAGACATTACCTCACCTGCTTTAATTTATTAGACTCCCTGTGATTTAATCGCAAATGCTCACTATTTTCTGCTAGACTTGAAAATATATATATATATTTGAAAAGTACATGGGCAAACTCTTTTTCAACAATTTTGCAAACATGAAATGTGATGAGTAGAAATATGTACAGTTATCCACAGGAGTGAAGGCTCCTGCATGCTCTCATTTCCCTACCTCAAGCTTGGCCATTCTGCTGTCAAGAGCATTTTTGTCTGCTGTGGGATGGCAGTAAGACTGGAGCATCTGAATAGCATCAGCCATCCAGTCCTGAAGCTCTTTCAGACCATGAGAGAACTGCTGGTGCTCTGCTACAATTCGGTCCATCCTGGAGACCTTTTCCTTGAATTCACAGAGATGTTAACATTACCATCCATTCAGATAATTACCATTCCACGAGAGTCGACGAAGATCAAGAAAGGGAAATCTCAGAAGACTATAATCAGGAGGAGTCCAAGGTTGTCTCCAATTTGTTTTTAAATTGCTATTGATTTTTTAAGATATATTCTGTAAACTGTTCTGAGACCTGGTCTAATCAAATAGCATAGAAATGCCATAAATATATAAATAAATAAATAAAATTAGTCAAGGCCAGAAAGTGAGGAAGATCAATTGGCCCAAATTTTCTGCCTTTGCCTTTGTTGGGGATTCACTGTAGACTTGCATAATTTGTGTATGCAAACACTTCATGTACTCATAACATATGGCAGAAATGCACATTCTTCCTGCTTGCTACATTTAGAGTGAGTATATATGGCGGGAAGCTAAATGTTTCTATTACACGTGTACAACATTTTTAAAGGGTGCTTAGCCTTTTTGAGCACGATAGCGTCACCTGCGTGCATCTGCATTTGCTAACGGTATCGCCTCATAAGCCTTATTCCCCTCTTTACCCACCCAATGAATGCCACACTTGTGCACACAATGGCACACCCCTCATACCCACTGAATGGCACACCAGTGACCCATATTGCTATTTGGTAACCCATAACATGAGCACTACAAGATGCCCTTGATCTATCTCTGAATTTGAAAGTCCGCCATGTTGCTTCCCGCAAAACTGCATTAACAGAATTCTTTTCCCCAAATTGTACTGAATTTTTTTTATTATAGCCCTTTATTCAGGGTAACACTTTAGGACTGTGGAGTGGACTTGTTTCCATGGTCCTTACATATGCTGCTGTTGGGAAGAAGAGCCAGGGCTTCCACAAACCCAAACCGCCTCCCCAGTGCCAACACAGTGCTGGCTTGATTATGTCTTCCTGCATCGACTCTGTCACCGGCACGCAGGGCCATTAAAAGTATTCCTGTGTGATCTTGTCCCGGCTTTTCTTAATGTCACAGCTTTTAAAACAGAAACAGACTGGACACTTCATACACACACAACACCAAGCAGGGATTCAGAAGCGAGTGCTTGTTTTCATCAGATCTGCAGCATAAAAGCACATATGTAGGTGCATTACCTTTGTTACATTGCTCAGAGCAAGATACTGAGAAGAGAGCTGAGAGACTCTGTGCATGAAGGTTTTGCTGGCAGCTTGTTCTTCCCAAAGCTGCTGAGCTTTTTCTTTTAGCCTGTTGAGCTGAGGCTCATGACACCTTATTTCCTCAAGGACAGACTGTAAAGCATAAGCATGTCTGTTAAGTGTAGATGCAAAAAAGCAAGCCGCACAGAAGACAAAGCAGCAAGGAAATGAAAGGAATGGTCATCAGCAAAGTTCTGTTAAGGGGCCCACACAAAGGGCCTTTCCAGATGATCCATTTATACAGCAACAGATGTGCAGTTGTTATTTATTGTCTCAGTGTGTGTGCGTCTTAATAGAACGGTCAGAATTACATGGACCCTAAGAGTTCTATTTGCTGTTTTTGCTGTGTGGTGAGATGATGCTATTGAGACATCTCTTCCCTAGCTAGTAATTATATTCCAGACACTTTCTCAGCAAACAAATCACAATCTTCTTTTGAAGGGAAAACACAATGGCCCCCACAACCCCACTATCATTTCGATTGTGATTATACGTGGCGCATGGGATGTGCTGCATGGAGAAAGTGTTAATGTTTGAAGGGTAAGTATTCTACTCTTCAGTGTAGAAGAATCCAGCCCTACACAATGTGGAAGGGTACATGAAACCTGGACTTTGTGCTGTCGTATTCAAAGAGTAACGTGCTTTCAATCACTATTTCTGGATTATAAAACGCTATTTTTCTGTGCTTTGAACAGATCATCTGAATCAGCCTATGCATTAGATAAGGAAACAAAGTATGACATCAGGAGTCTTTGTGTCCCAAAGCATGCCTAAAACAGAAAAGACTGCAGCCTACTATCTTATGATCACCTGCAGCTTCTGGTGTTCTCTCCTTTTCGCTGGGAGATCATATAGACGATTATTGCTTTCTTGCACCATCTCCTTAGTTTCATTAAGCCAGACTTGAAGAGGTTCTGCACTCGTTTCAAAATCTTTCATCTGGATCTTTAAGTTCTAGGAAAATATGAAATAACAATTCATGCTCAGAGTGAACATACAATGTTTCAGCTTGCAGAGCTTCTTCAAATTCTTCCTCAAAGCCCAGTTCACCTTGTTTGCATTCCTCAATGCAAGCATCTCTTGTTCTTAATTTAGGAAAAATGTGCATTTTCATTCATAGAAATCCACATTTTTATAAGTGCATATTCCTGATTTAAAAACACAAGCTTTCCAAAAACAGACTAAGGTGTGAAAATGCATTTTTGAGAGGAAAATGAACACTTTTGAATGTAAACATAGATCTAGAAAATCCCTGGATTGCAGGGATTTCCTGAGAATTGCATGTCTGCAATTGAGCTTCTCATACATCCCTGTGTTTGGCTTTGTATTACTGATGTAATATGTAACAGAAAAGGGAGAAGATGAAGTTACTGTGGATGAGTGGCTCCTCAGACCCAAAAGGTGATATTCAAGAGGGGGATTACACAGTTTCAGGATGCTACTGGATCCAGTACTGTCAGTGGCAACTTTCACCCACTGAGGCTGGTACACCAGTTACAACCCCTCCAGAACAGGCTGCTAACCTTCTACTAGGAAAACTGAAATGCACCGCCCATGGGTCTGCCTTCTTGTGCAAAAAGCTGAAGCTAATTAAAACTGTACTGGTTTGACTGTGAACTGGGACAGGACATATGAAACACTTCTCACCAGTTTTAAATTAGCTGTACTGCCTCCCAGTCCATTTCCAAGCACCATGTGAAGTGTAAGTTTTCAGCTTCATGACACAGCCCTATGGAGGTAAGTCCTACACTCTGGTTGGGAACTCAATTCGGTCTAAATATGCATAGGATTTCATACTGAGTCTGGATACATTAACCGTTTGCTTTCAAAAATGTATTTACATTTTTATTTGGGAAGCATATATCCCACCAAAATAGCTTTAAAAGCTGCATATATTTTATTATGTCAGGAAGTTATATATCATTGTCACCAGTTCTGTTAGCACAGAATTAGATATGGGAACACTTAGAATGAAAAAACCAGAAAGCTCACTTTCTTGTGATTAACTCCATACCTCCAAAGCTGTTTCTTTCTGGTGCAGAGTGGTGATAATTTTTTTCCAGTCTTCTTTTGCTGAAGTAACTTTAGCTTCAATAGACCTAGCTTTTTCTTTAGGCAAAATAGAACACAGTAGTTCTCCTTTGGACACCACTAAATTTAATTTCTGTTGGCCACTTTCAGTTTCAGATAAGAATTCCTAAGTTATGTAGAAAAAAACCCTTCAGTAATTATAAAATTCAAAAGGAATACACGCAAATATCCCCCATGCTAAACTTAGCAAGTGAAAGAGGCACTAAATTGGATGCTTGTTCAATTGCGACTTGCCCCTTGTACTCGTATACTTACTACACAGAGATCCAGTGAGAGCTGTGGGTAACCTCCCGTTTTCCCATACCACAGGTGGACGTGAACAAGTGAAATGAGAAGATTCTGCACCAAACCTGAGATATGTAACCCCTCACTTCATCAATAATAAATCATTAATAAAAGTGGGAGAGATAGTCATTTTGAAAAACCAGTAAATTATTCTACCAGGCATAAATTTTATTGACCTCTCTTTACCCTTGATTTCCTTAACAGGCAGTATTTTTGCAAGAAACCCAGAAAGAAGTTCTTTCAGAAGTTCAGGGTTTGCTTGCTGGTTTGCAAACAAGCAATATTTACTTCTCTAGTGGAACATACTACTAGTTCCGTATTTAAACTATTTGTTATCCTGGCGGAGCATGTGGTAGCTAACCAAGAACAAAGTATATCTGGTCACATATCGGTTTATTGGATGTCTTTGAGCTTTCTTTAATATACTGAAACTGCACTTTGATACTCTCATTCTGCAAAGTTATTTTAATTGTGCAGGATAATCACCAAAATCTATTATTAGAGTTTATTAATGGATGGTTAGTATCATGCATACATATTCCTTAGTATTTTTCATTATATTCATGAATCACAAACAAAATCATCTACATGCATACTGGCATGCACAATATTTTTATGTCATCAATCCTAGCCATTTCCTGAGTTTGTGTGCTCCATCCTCACCTCTATTCCCAGCATGGTCATGAAGAGAAGGTCAGAAGCTTCCATCTGTACTTTAGATTAGCCATAGTTTAGAGTGTCACCCTCACACTCAACTATGATTAATCATAACTATGCTCAGTGAAAACAAGCTAGATTTATAAGCCTTGTTTTGTAATTAAAATTAACCACAGTTCATCCACAGATTAACTAACTGTAATTTGATTGACACAGCAAAATGTGGTCCATTAAAATGAATGGAAACACTTCTGATCTCCTTGCAGCCACTTCAAAGGGTGAGTGCAGAGGCCTAAGGAGAATCAGCTGGGCTGGTTTTTATAAGGTTAAACTATGGTTTAGCGTTTCATTCAAACCAGCACTCTGTTATCCCCATACCACATAATTTTAGTTAAGGAATGAAATGTTTTTGGTTGGGTAATATATTTTCAAGTCATTAATTATTTGCGACTGTGCTTATGTACTGTTAAAAATTAACTACTTGCTAAGACTCACAGCATTTATTGGTTTTAGCTCCAGATTCCTTTGACACAAATATAATGGAGAATCCCGCGAGGCAGAAAAATGCTATTGTAAGTGGATATCCTGTTTTGAAAATGCTGGACGAGAGTCACAGTATTACCTGTATTTTCTGTATGTTGGCTGCAGCTTCGCTGACAGTTTGAGGCACATCAAAACATTTGGCAGTTGTGATTTTTGAACTGACCAGCCACTGCTGGAAATCTCTGAAGGCTGTCCTGAATCTCTGCTGCAAGGCCTGCTCTTTACTCTGGCAACCTTTGGAAGCTTGCAGACAAAGACTTCAGCGTACCATGTTAGTCAAATGAAAAATGTAAATCAGGATTATGTTAGAGGAAGGTGCAAATATTTACTCCAAAACACAAACATGTTTTATGTAACAAAATATTAGGGGTTTTAGTGACTTGCATCAGAGCTTAAGAAAGAATACATGTATTGTATCTGTTAGCTCAACAATGGAATAATTTAGCCCTTTGTGCTTTTGCAGCATTTTAATTTGCTGTAAAGGTCAAAAGTCACACAATACATCTAACAGCACTGTACGCTTTGCTCATGAAATGGAAACTTACCTGTTATATTCCTTAATTAATTGGGATACTTTTGCAGAGTAGGTACTCAAATCTTTGGAAAATCGACAAAGATCATTTAATTGACTCTTAATATCATCAGTCCTGTGCTCTGCCTTTGTCAGGGCATCCAGGGTTTCCTGGTTGAAACAAAATTACATCCAAAAATATATAATATCCATTTCCCTCTATAACTGCGTGACACTCTCCACTTTTCATAGATATACACTGTACTGGATTCTCTGTTTAGCTGAGTATTGAATTATCATCATTTCCTAAAAATGCACTTCTAAAAAGAGAGTATAAAAGTGTTAGCACTTTTTGGAGTAGATAAAAATATCTACTATGTATTTATTTGTAAGCTGAATTGGCTGCAAAGGCATACATTCATTTTTATTAAGAATAAGGATATCCCAACATTATGGATTATTACATGTATATATGAGGGTTAATTGAACTGGCTTATATGCCATGGATATCACTCGCTGCTCAATAGCAGTGGTTCTAACATTATTACTATATTTGGAAAAGCAGAAAAACATTGTTTAGTGCAGCAACATCTGTTGTCCCCAGTAATTCTTTCTCTAAGTATATTATGGATTTTCCTGGGTCATCTCGAGCCCTTGGTAGGGTATAACAAATGAGAAATGGGCTGAAATTGATGGCCCAGGTTTTTGTTCCAGCCTTTCTTCCATTTGCCTCTCCATGCAGAATGGGGAAAATAAAGAGCATCCCTGAACCTTGAGAGCCAAGACAACATTTTGAGAAATTTTGTTGTGTCATTCCCACAGACATTTGCGATTTCCAAATTTAGCTGGACGGCTTCTAAAGAACCTTATAGCTGGCGATGAGATGTTTTCTTTTGATGTAAAAAATAAACAACACACACACCCCACCACCGCTATCTCATCTATACATTTAGATGAGGCAAGCTGACCTCCTCCTCCTTCCCATGTGCCAAAAGCTGAAGAAAATCCACACACAATTTTGTGGAGTAAGAATTGTTTGCAAAGGTGTGTGCAGGATTTTCAACGATGGTTTAGCAAAACAAAGTTTTACCATTAAATGCATCATGCTGAAGAACTGCAAACAAATTTTTGGAGAAGCTGAAGGCCAGTAGATCTACTGGCTACCAGTCCCCTTGAAACAAAATAGTTCCCACACAGTGAAATGAAGTAACATTTGGTAAAATTGTTTCCTGTTCACACAATGTTTTATGACAGTGAGATATAACAAGTAGTGGCATAAAACATGGGCTTCTCCATAGTGGTGCCTTGACCAGATTGCTCTCTCCTAAGAGATATGCCTGCCACCAACTTTATAAACTTTTTGGAACCAGGCTATGAAATGTTCGTTTACCAGGGTACACAGTTAGTTGCTGTCATAATGAGTAGGAAGGGATCTATCATTGATTATGCATTTGTTTTCTCTGCTGGTAAATTATTGGGTTTTTTTTAATGTTTTTATTGATGTTGTTCATATTGTTGATACTTGTCCTGGGATTTTTAGGAAGCATGGAATATAAACAGAATGAAATAAAGAAATTCTGGAAGGAATCAAAGGTTCCTGGAAAACAGAGTTTTAAGCAGAACATTAACAACTCTGTGTGTGCTTTACTTCTGCCTCTACTCAGACCCCACTTTTAGCGCCACAAAGATTGAGCAATGAAATGTAACATGCGTGCACAAGGGAAAATATAAAATGCCTCCACAAGTAACGAACACCCAGTCAGTACCAGTCCTTCCAGTCTAAGTTTTTCTCCTACCCAGTTCAAAGGGCATTGCAAAGTTTTCAGTTCAGCAATTACATATCACATTCTTTTTCGGTGAGTGGCTCTTGTTTCCCTGTCTTTGGCACTGAAAAAGATTGGGAGAGGAAAATGCTTTACCTTTTCCCGCTGCCAGTATTCCACTATCTCTTTGTCTGTGTGCTTGCTATCCAGACGGGTCAGTCGCTCGGACCAGGTTGCGAGAAGTGTGCTGAAGTGCTGCAGGGCCTCTTCCAGACCAGCAGCCTGTGTGGCAAACTCCTGCTCCGACAAAGCCATCTGACTCTCCAGCTCCTGCAAGGCATTTTGGGTCTGGAGTGTGCTCTCTTCCCACTGCTTCCAGTCGGCCTGAAGTGCCTGCATTTCAGCGTCTATGTGCTTGCACCCCTGAACGGTTGTGCTCTTTTTCACAGCGGGAGTCAGCATTTGAACTCTGTTTAGGCGGCTCTCACCCGTCTGTCTGGAATCTATCAGCCCCTGCAATGGAATATCGTCATGGTAACTAAAATGGCTGTGATCCACTTCAGTTGGATAACGGCACACTTACTACGAATGACACGTAGCCTTCCAAGGAACAGATACGCTCACCACTCCATGCTCAAAAGCAGTTTCACCAAAAACACATTCTGTGCTAAAATGTAAGCAAAAGGTTAAAACAACAAAGGGGGAGGTGGGAAAATGATCCAGGAAATAAGAAGGTTAACAGAAAGTTAGGTAGAAGTTCGACATACAAAAAGAGGAAAGAAACATGCTTTTTGTTGGGGAGCTCTTACAATTGTGTTTTGTTTGTGGGTATGATACTTAAAAGGTGATGTCATTTTCGGTCACAGGAAATAGCAAAGAAGCACATGGCATGTATACGGGTCCTACAGGGAAAAGCTGTTACACAATTTCTGAATCTTATTTGTGCATTTGCAGGATCTGATTTTAACTGGTTGTATGCTGTGTGCAAGACACATTCCTGTGCCAAAACTTTGATTTACTTTAGATACCTGAGCTTTAGCAATAGATGGCAGTACCTGTGAACAAAACTGGAATGGGCAAGAATGATCTCAACTGAATTGAAAATATGCTAGTTTGGATCCAGACTCTGCCTTCTATGAATGGGAACGGTTTTGACAGGGCTCTGAGGAGTGAGGAGGGGGGTACTTTTGCCAATTTATGGTACACTGGAACATTTCAGGTCATGACTCCTGTTGATGCTTTGTTCTGCCTCTCTTGTAGTGTATGATTAGATTAGACTGTCATAGATTAGTATGACTGAAGACTAATCTGACATGGGGGTACAGGGTTCTGGTGAAATGGTTTTCCAGACAACATAGAACAGAACGCCAACTGCTCCAGCTGGGTGGGCCTGGAAGCCCAACAGGCTTTTCTATACATTGTCTCAGTAACTTGCAAACCCAGAATGAGTCTTCTATTGACGTGGGCTTCCTAGAGGCTGCTAGCATCTCCTATACTCTATGTAAGAACTTCCCCCTTATAGGGAACAAACTTGCTTTCAGACCATTAGGCTGGGTAGAGTGATGGCTTCAGAAATGGAATCTGCAGAATCTAAGGATGGAAACAGGACCTTCTCTGGAAGAGTGTGCATTGAGGGGCCTGAAGTGAGAGACAGGATGACAAGAGTCACTTCAACAGCTACAGCCTCGTCTGGATATGTGAGCCCATTATGGAGGCTTTTCCTTATGAGGAGCAGGAGTAGGGAAATAGGGCATGCTCCTCCCCTGACAATCCCAGGACTATCTCCCCCACCTTTTGAGAAGGTCCCCCAACTGCCTAGAGCAGATTCTGAGGGGGCACAAAGACCTAAAGGATAGGGGGACTCAATACATGCCATGTCCCTTCCTTCTATTGGCAGGGAACTCTGCTTAGGAAATGCTTCCACTGACAGAAGCCAAGTCTGAACCTAAACCAATTAAGGGAAATTAGTGTTTTCTAGCACTTATGTTCATCAGGCCATGTCTAATGTGTATGCATTGAAGTTAAGAATAAAGTTAATGTAGTAGGATTTTCTCACATTTATTCGGACCAGCTTTTTCTGTATGGCTGTTGAATCCCCTGAGGTGTCTGACCAGCGATGCAGCTCTTCTTTTGCTGAATGAAGCCAGTCCGTAAACTCATGTACTGCATCAAGGTACAGTAAATGGTCCTTAACAATATCTTCTACTCTTCTCATTTTTTCCTGTAAGCGAAAAGAGACTGAATTAGGGCTTAGAGACTGAATTTGCTGCCTGGCCTTCACCCTAACCTCTGCCAAGGAAACCATATCTTAATAGTAATTGCAGTTTTGCTGGATCCTTGCTATTCTGATTTCTAAAGCAGGCAAAGTCCAGGAAATCACCAGCTTGGTTAAGTCGAGGAAGCTATTATGGAGAAGAAAGCTTCTTTTAAAAAGCGGAAGTCTTGCCCAAATGAAAACAAAAAACAAAACAAAACAAAACAGAAGGGGGCATAAACTTGCACGAGGGAAATACAAGCAGACAATCAAAGAAGCAAGGGAACGATTTAAGGAGCATTATCGCTAATAACATCAAGGCCAACTGTGAAGGTTTATTTAAATATATAAGAGGAAAGAAAGCAGATAACAGGGAGGGGTCCTCTTATGGATTACTAACTGGTTAAGAAACAGAAGACAGGGCTGGGAATAAAGGGCACTTTTTCCCAATGGAGAAATACCACCAGTGGAATCCCACAGGGTTCTAAATTATTATTATTATTATTATTATTATTATTATTATTATTATTAGAGCCAATACTTTTCAACCTATTCATAAATTATCTGGAATTAGGAATAAGCAGTGAAGTGGCCAAGTTTGCTGATGGCACCAAACTATTTGGGGTGCTTAAAACCAAAAGGGAGCACTCCAAGCTGGGAGAATGGGCATCAAAATGTCAAATGCAGTTACGTGTAAGCAAGTGCCAAGGCATGCATACTGGGGCAGAAAATCTAAGCTTCGAGGCTGATGGAATCTGAGTTAGCAGTGAATGAGAAAAAATGCAATATTGAGGTAGTGGTGGACAGTTTGAGGAAAATCGCAACCTAGGGTGCAGGTGATGTGAAAAAGGCAAGCTCCATCCTGGTCATAATTAGAAATAGAAAATAGAACTGCCAAGATCTCCTCCTCTTATACAAATCTTTGGTACAGCCATACTTGGAATGTTCTGTTCTGGTCATCTTACCTGAAAAAGGACATTATTGAAAAAGTACAGAAAAGCACAACAAGAATTATCAAAGGGCTGATCATAAATTATGGAATTTGATTAGCCACATTTCCAATGTAGAAATACCAATAAACTAAAATCACTTGAACACAAAATGCCAGCTTTTTATCTTCTCCTTGGGTGATGCTGGAGGAAAAGCAGGAGGAACAGCTTAAGCACAAGACTTTCAATAGTATTACACTGGAGCAAGATCACCAGTGCCTCAATAATTATTTTTCTGTGTATGTGAACTACGGCAATACAAAATTAACAGCAGGGGGTTGGACCTGATGGCCTTCACAACCCCTTCCAACTCTGCTATTATGTGATTCCATGAAGAAATGGTTCTCTATGGAGGGAGATAAATTCTCTATAACTTCCCTAGCCTTCATCTCCCATCAACCTCTGGCCAATGGTCAGGAATGCTAGGAGTTGCAATCGAAAACATCTGGGGGGCACCAGATCAGGGAAGGCAATCATAGGCCTTCACATTCACTCAGGATAAACTGACTGTGTAACTGTAGAAATAACTTTTAGGCCAAAGAAATGTACATGGTGAGTCATGTCTATCTCATGACTTATTCTTTCTCTCTGCTCCTCCTTATTCCAGAAGGAATTCCAGATGAATGAACCACATTTTCTCCTGGAATTCATTACAATGAAGTCTTGCTTGAAGCCACAGGACAGTGAAGACAAATGTCTACTGAAACTAGTATATATATATGGGGCTGGGGGATGAGAATGAGAATATTTTATATGCCTTGCCCTTTTTGCACATTCCAATTATTTATTCTGTGCTATGTTTTATTACATGTTCTTACATTTATTACATTTCAGTGGCTTTAACTGCTCTATCATAATTTGTACTAGCTCTGTGGAATGATTGCAGGATTGCTGGACAGGAGAATCCAGATATAAGCTGCTCCTGAACCTGAGTTTTCTGGCAGATTTCAGGAATTACACTAATTCAGTACAGTGGTGCAGGTAAACTAAGGGGCATCTACACTGGAGCACATAAATAAGTGTCTTGATCATAGAATAAAGCACTAAAACTGTATTTTCCATTGTCTTATCGTTTTTCAATGGAAGGCTCAAAACAAACCATTCCAAAAGATGATGTAGGATGCTGCAAACGAAACACCCTGGTACCAGAGTCTAGCTGAGCAGAAGTCCATATACAGCCATCTACATATGCTTAGCCAGCCATCTCCTGCTCTTGAGCACCTTCAAAGTAGCTCACTAGAAGAGGAACTTTAGCTATGCTAAGCCCATCTTGTGGCTTGCTGGCTCGAGAGTCTGTCAAGTGATAACCATACCTTCCATAGATGGCTTCTTCTCTGAAGTGAAGGGGAACCTCCCTCTGGTTCCAGACAGTGATCCACAAAAGCATTCACATGGCTCTTGGCCCAGTAAATTGCCAAGCTGAACTAGGCTACTACCTGTGATTGCAGTGAAGTTCTGTTTCATACCATTATCATAGAAAAATGATGTTTGCTGGAGCTAACAGGTGACTCAGGCAACCTTGATCATTGGTTATGATTAGCACCATAATGTGGCAATTGCGAGATATCATTGACTAAATGTCTAGATGGGTAGGTAGGAATATGTTACAAAATGTTTACCTTGACGACTGTTGCAATGTCATTGAACTGTGTCTTCAACTCCTCTTGAGCAACTTCACTGAAAGAGTCATCTTCTGTTTTCACATGTAGTTCTTTAGCTTTTCCCAAGAGTTGGTGAAGGTCACTGGAATGATTTTCCACTTCTGAAACAATTGCTTGAAAGTAGTCTAGCTGGGAAAATTTATCTTTCAAGCCATTCTGCAGCTCCGAAGGCTGTTCCATTTTCTGGTCTACTGACTCCAACCATTGGTCCAACTGACTTTTCCTCTCCAGATAGTCATTCCATTTATTAATCACAGATTCCAGCAAGCTTGCATAGAATAAATACACAGTGAGGACAAAATCTTGCAAACTTTTAGAGAAATAAACTGCTGTAATTCCTCCCCCTAGTTTAACATCCATCCAATTCCATTTCGGATGCTGGAATGGAGAAAGGCATTTTACCAACAATGGGAGAGGAAGGGGAAAAGTGTAAAATTCTTTTGGGGGAGAAAGAAATTGCAATTCTCTTTTTTTACCTATTTGTATAGTTTTGTTGTGTGCCACCCAGAGACCCCCATGGGCTATGGGACAGCATATAAATGTAACAACAACAACCAACAACAACAACCAACAACAACTGTGGCAAGTTCTTTCCTTATTCTCATCTCCTTATCTGTGAGGATTATGTAAGAAAGGTGATGCACTACTTCGCTAATTGGTCAGAGGTGCCATTTCCTTGTCCCACTTTGTGTAGCGCTAGTAGGCCAATACTGGGCAGATTTTCCCTCTCCCAGTGGAATCCCATACTCCATAATGCACTGTACTGGAAGGTCCCTGGACTTTCTTTTTGTGATTGTAATTCAGCCAAACACAAAGGTTCTCTCAGTAAAGAAAATTCCCATAATTATTACCACATTTTTAGAATATTCAGTTACTGAAAGAACTTACCTTTGACAGCTCACTGAGGTGCTGATAACACTGCTCCAAAGATCTTTTAATGTTTGCAGCTGGTTCTGTATCATCTTCTGCCCTTCTTCATTGCTACTTTTAAAGGCTTGTTCACCTTTGCCAATGGCCATGTTTAACTTCACCTCTCCCTCACCTTTCATTAAAAGGATATCCTAGTATGCAAGAGAATTGTAGAGTTTCCTGTTCAATAGCTTACAGAGAACAAGAATACCATTTATCATAGTCTGTGACAAAGGCTGAATCACATGTTTAGGAAAGTGTAATAAGAATGAATTTCCATGTCACTTAGATAGGCAATATAAGATGGTGACTTGGATTTCTGGTGGCAATTCTTTACAGGATTATTAGTACAAAGTTACAGTTATAGTTTAATTTGATCATTTTAAACAAACATTATGTCAGAATTGACACTGATTTTGAAAGAATAAAATTGGTGGAGCCAGACAAGAAACCTAATGAATTTCTTTACTTGTAAAATCAATAGAATATTTATTTTCATGGCTGATAAGAAAATAATAGGCCATTTAGTCTGGGTGTAGAATGACTTATTTGTCTAAGTTATTTTCTGTCTGTGATAATAGAGTGATGTGAGAATTCATCTAATTCCAGGATAATGCCAGAGCGTATTCTTCAAAAACCATTCATAAGCATTTTGCTATAAGAACGATATGAAGCAGGCTAAAAAAAAAAATATGGCACTACAACGCAACTTATTTGGCCTGTCCCACTCTGAATCTCCCATGCTGATCCCCTTGGCAACTGTAGTTGCAGTCTCCATCTTTATTTGCCTGTAATATGTTGCAGTTGAAGTTCTAATTTTCCAGAACTCTGGATAAAAATAACAACTACTACCACAAAAAGACTGCAGCTTTCTTTTTTTTCAAATGGCATTTTAGGAAAATAGGGAGAACAGCTGCAACCATAGCTATTGAGGGGACTGTTGCTACCCAGGTAGAATGCCGGTTCTGTCAGAGAGGATGATAGGTAAATGCCCTGAACAAGGTTCCTAAAATCCAGCCCTACCTTAGAAATTGCCTTCCCACTGTTCCGTGCAGCTTTCTATTGCTTCCTTGGTCCATCTGTGTTCCTGGCCTTTGCTGGTGGCACTCTGTATTGTGGAACTCCTCTCCTCCACAATTGTTTTAATTGTCATCAAACTATTTTAATTAATGATTGCATTTCCACATGGTTGAGCAGTTACCTCAGATGGTAGATCCTTCACTGAGTTTACTGCAGCTTTAATTTTTATTTTAGATTATCATGGCAATTTTACTGAGTCCAAGGTTGCCCATTTAGCAGCAGGGCTCACTGTGGGTTCTGTTCTTTAAGCAGCCAGTCCTGCCAATTCTCTTCTGCAAACATCACCCACCACTTTCAGAATGGAGATTTAGTGCTTCCAGGGCCTCCAAATGATCAGAAACACATGTGTTTCTGGAACAGGTTAGGTCATCCAAGCTTCCTTTTGCAATTTTTGCTTCTTTCTGTTGATTCTGGGTTTCTCCTGGAAACATTAAATCTTTACTCCACGAAGTGCCACTTGAGGAGGGGAATGAGTGAGGCTGGCCACTCCTGGGCAGCCTGCTCATTGTCTTACCCTGACTGCACATTGCCATTGGCTCTCCCTGCCCAAGTAATCTATAAGCTTGTAAACAAACCACCAGGGACGATCATGTAACCTTGCTGGCTCCTTTTTGTGTTTCCTTGATTGCAATTAACTGTTTTTGACCTGACTGGGGTATACGTCCATTTAAAGTTAGTTAGAACAAGAATCTGCAACCTCGGGCATTCTACAGAAGTAGTTCTGATACAAGCAACATTTTGTTACTTTACCTGTATTTGCAAGAGCCGTTTCTCTAAGAGGACTTTGCTTCCAACGGTGCCCTCTGCAGACACCAGCTTTCCTTGCACATCTCTCAGCCATGCCCACATGCTCTGCAGGGCTTCTTCGAAAGCTTGGTGCTCCTGGAGGGCAACCTGAGAGGCCCGGAGGTTCTCCTTTACTGCTTTGATTAGATTCTGATAAGCAGAAAAGTGCTGAGATGCCAGACGGATCTCCCTTCCAGCACTATAGCCTTTCTCATTTAAAATGTGAGCCTTCTGGGTAAGTTTATCAAAGGAGTCTCTAAAGAAAAGTTTATAATGGGGAAAGAAGTATCTAAGTTATACTTTAATCAATACAGCTACATTATAACTATGACAAATTATGGACAATAATAAATTTTCCCATTGGGGAACAGTTTGAAGTACAGTCAAGATAGGAATAACAGCTTTCCGTAAGGATACACAGGCAAATTCTAATAATGATAAATAATTACAAATATAGCAATTATGACAACAGATTGCAGTGTATCCACAGTTCCTCATAGGAGTGCAGCAGCAAATAAAGAATAGAAAATAAAGGATAGTTGGTGCACTTTTGAGATATATTTCTCATTATGATCATAATTAGCTGCCAGTAGTGCAGTCAATGGTAAACATAGCACTGAGAGCAAGCTTTACAGGTGGAATATGATTAAATCTTTCTTGTTGCAGTTATACTAGAGATGTATCAGAAAAGTTTCTGCATGCTATAGTATATGGAAACTACTTTCCCGAAATACAGTGAACTCCCTTTAACTCCTAACCTAATATGAATAAAAACATTTAGTAGCAGAACCAATTCAAAAGTCAATTCTTTCTTGGCTTTCTAAATACTACATTTTACAGAGTCCTAGTCTTCTGTTGTTCTAGTGACAAGAGTACATGTAAAGCAAACCATTTAGGATTACTGCAGTCTTTGGGATATGGTCAGAGTGGGGATAAGACAGGAAATGTAAAGATAGTTCTATACCTTGCCACCAGAAGCTCTTCCAGAAATGCTTCTACTTTCTGCATCTCTTTTTCCTTATCAGGGATATGCTGTTTGCTCTCACCCAGAGCTTCTGTGCTCATCCTTTCTTCCATTTCATGGAGCCACAGACTCTGGTTCTTGCACAAATCCTCAAAGCTACAGACAAAACAGACTGTACAGATTCTCAAAGCTACAAACCAAACAGACTGTACACAGCAGACATGTGTAGTTGTTGCTAGATAAATACAGAATTCTGCATGCAGTTACTACATAGATAACATCACTCAAACAAAACAAAACTGGTCTGGGTACAATTTCAGCTTCTAGTAGTTGAGAATGGCACAGCATTTTTCTGTGATGATGAATATTCTAAAAATACCTAACGGCAATCTAAATATATTAAACAAGGCCTTGGGAATTACACTGAGAATGGAACTTTCCAAATTCTGAACTATTGCAGCTTATGTCTGTTACCAGTCAGTGAGACAATTATCCTAACAGAGGGGTCGTTCTCTAAAATGGTTGTAAACCATGCAAGGAACTTTGATTGAGCAGGAGGGGACAGAAATGAAACAAATACAAATACATAAATATTTGTCAATATAAACCCTATTTAGGTATCATTAGTCAAGAAATTACAATAATGCAATTATGGGGAAAGCAGGCTGTGCCTCGTCAATGCCGTCGGTGTGGGGACCTGCCATACGCATTCAGACTCTTCACTAATTCTGACAGCTGATCACTCAGAATTCTAAACCACCAACATGCAGGACAGTCTACATGCAAGTACGGGGGAAACTTCCCCCACTCAAAGAAGCATGGAGAGAAAGCAGGAGGGCCAGCCTGGATGGACGGAGGGCCAGCAAGCAAGGTCAACACTGCAATCACATTGTGGAATGAATCCTCAAGTAGAGCTTCTAATGCAGTCGAGAGCATCAAACATCTTGTCTATTTGTTCTAATCCTGTTGCACAAACACACTTTGAGTTGCAAGCTTTCAAAAGGAATGTCAATGCCACAACTGCCTTCTCTTCCAACAGATGAAGATTTGACAAGCGTTGCCCAGTCTTCAAGGAAAGAGAGTGTAACCTTAGCATTATTTAACATTTAACCTTTTAACGGCAGAAAACAGAATGACGTACTATCTTCTATGAACTCATGGGCAAGATTATTTATTATTGGAATTGTTGCTGACATTATTTCCATGGAAGGAGGAGGATTTATTATTCCTTGAAGACAGAATGGTGCGTGTTCATTACCAACAGTTTCTCAGTGTTGTGCTATGCGACATATTTTTACTTTTGTGGAACCATTTAAGTGGTTTTGGAGAAGGCCCATGGTTCAGTCCTTAGCATCTCCAGTTTAAAAGGACCTTAATTGGCTGGGAGAAGAACAGCCCCTCCTGGGCTCAGTGGCTCAGAAAACACGTGCATTTTTAATACAAAGTATGCCATATAGAAAACTTACCTTTTCAGTTCTGCAACACATTCTTCAAGAGTTTGTTTATCTTTCAAGCACTGTTTCAGGAACCCCTCGAAGTCCTGATGAGCTTTGGCTATCTGCTCCTGGATGCTGCTCACTGATGGTTTTGGCAGGTAAGCACATAAATGTTCCCCTTCCTGGGAGGCTGCATCCAGTTTGCTCCTTCCTTCACTAACGGAGTCCAATGCTTTCTGAGTGAAACAGATATTCAATTTACATGGGTAAAGGAAGAGCAGTAGGAACATGAATATGACAGGAACATTTACATAACAAGAGCTCAGCTGATCCGTATATACCAATTAGCTGGTCAACCAGTTAATCACTGTGGTGTAGTGGTTAAGAGTGCAGGACTGGGACTCAGGAGATCTGGGTTCTAGTCCCTGCTTGACCATGGAGCCAATTGGGTGACTTGGGCCAGTCACAGACTCTCAGCCCAATCTACCTCACAGGGTTGTTGTGGGGATAAGATGAAGAGGAAGAGGTGAATTATACGCTTTGAGTTCCTTGGAGGGAAAAATGGCAGAATATAAATAAAACAAACAAACAAATGGGTCATATGCAGCTTAGTTATATGGTGACTGTATTCCTTCAGATGGCAAGTAGAGTCTACAGGTTTGAATACCATCCCTAATAAAATAAACTGGGTACAGACAACATGATAACCCAGATTCAAGAGTGAGAAAGGGTTGAATGCAGATTGCCACTTAACCATAGGGTTACTGAAAGGCAGGCACAGCCATCTGTCAGGGATACTTTCACTTGGGGTCCTACAATAAGCATGGGGTTGGACCCAATGGCCTCACTGGCCCTTCCAACTCTACTATTCTATGATTCTGTGATTTGGAGTAAAGGATGAGCAGCAAAGTAACAAGGTTAGTGATTACACCAAATGAATGAAATAAAAAACTGTAAAAAAACACCCAAGCAAATTCTCCAGCTGAATGAGTGGAAGACAGAATTACTTGCAAATATATGGACCATGACAACCACAATTTTGTTAATGATAGGGTGTCATGAATGCTATCTGATCATTCCTAATGAAAGGATGAGTATCTAAACAACTAAGGGATATCCCAAACCTGGATTGTTTACAGCTGTTTCTCTGCCAACAACCCCAAAAACCACTAGAACAAACCATGGATTCTTTCTCTGTTTTGTTATAGGGTAGGCAAACTAGATAAATGGATGCAGGCAAACACTAAACAATCCAATTCAATCTTTGCCTGGCCCAAAGACAGCCCTTTTCACCACACCGCCCTCCTAAACTTCTGAAGTTAGGAGGCAGTAGCCAGGATGCCTGCTACTCCCCTTGACTTGCAGGAAATTGGCAATAGAAGGGACGATTCACAGACACATGGCGGTTTTGTGATCCTGCTCACTGAGCACTCCGAGGCCATCCAAGGACTCTCAAAAAGCAACTTGCATATCTTTGATAGATGTAAAAATGTGGAGTAGAATCAAACCTTCTAAACATACCTGCAGTTCATGGAGTTTTACTTCAATGGCTTTACTGTCCCCAGATGTAATGCTTAAGTCTTTTACAGCAGTCTTCAGATGAGAATACCAGTTTTGAAACCCGTATAAAGACTCTTTAAGAAAGAGGGAAGATGGATACAAATCATTACTGTATATAAAAAAAAAGGTTGGTGCAGATATTCTATTTGCCTAAGTAAACACAAATATTCTTTATTATTTTCCACCTTTGAACTTTGAAATGAAAAAAGCAAAACTGTACAAAGACAATGACATATATTTTGATGCAAATGAGAGATTGGTTCATGAAGCATCATCCTCTGTAATGAACAACTTTGATCTTATAAAAGCAAAGGTCCCTGTTATACAGCCATGGCACTTTAATAGAACTAGAAACAGAAAGAAATTTAAATGAATAGCAACTAGGACTTTCTGCCTATTTTAACATGTCTTGATTAGCAGCTGGAATACCTTCGAAGTGAAACTATGGCACTGAGCCACAACCTTATTTCCCCACAATGCCTCTGGGCTCCAGATGAGCCCAGAAAGAGTAAAGAAAAAGCAGCTGGCTTCAAGCTGGGGCTCTGTACACAGCGTGCCTCCCCACGAACAAAAAAGAGAAAATGGACCACCACAACATGAGGGGAGAGAGGGAAAGCACTGAGACAGGCTGGGAAGCTATGGAGATGAGCACAGCAGCAGAGAAGTTGGGGGTGCTGCCCAGCTGGGATGGCTGTGGGGAAGCAGGGGAAGCCATGGGGGAGGTGGAGAAAGCAGGCACAAGAGCTGAGAGAGAGAGAGAGAGAGAGAGAGAGAGAGAGAGAGAGAGAGAGAGAGACACCAGCAAAGGGGTCAGGAAGGGATCAAGGAAAAGCACACAGGTACAAAAAGTGACTCTCAAAGAAACAGCATGGCACACATAAACAAACAGAAAGTGTTTGGCCACACCCGCCTGACAGCATACAATCAGAGGTGGTATTAAGATGTTTTCTCAAAATTCCCAGTGGGCCCTTGCAAGCCAGAGGACAAGCAAGTAAATCAGCTTCTGTCAATGGGAGGTTTATGAAAGGCTGCCACAAATTTCCTGACGGCCTGGCTGGCTGGCAGAAGCATCGCAAGGAATTTCAGGCATTCCTGTGATCTAAAGAATGCATACATTAACAGCCCAGAGAGCTCACCTAGGAAGTGTTTTTCCAGGGATTCCTGCAGGGCAGCCTGGGTTTTCAAGTTTAACTGGTTCACGGTCTCGTATTTCTTTATCAGCGAGGTGACAGTGCCCCCAAGTGCCTCCAGCTCCATGGAGGGATATTTGCGACAGAGGCAGTTCAGGGTTTCCTGCGTGGAATCAAAGTGGCTCTGCTGTTGCTGCAGCTCCTTTTGTATTTTCTGAAAGACAAATGTTTGATATTTAATGCAACACATTTTAAAGCACTGTGGATTTACTATTAGATTTGTTTCATACTTTCAGAGGAGTATGGAAGTGACTGAAAATTAAAATCCAGCACAAGGCAAACTTATTGGACAGCATGTGTCACTGTAACTGCATTCAAAGACACCCTTCAATTAATTTGACATTAATTATGGTTGTGCATGCCTTCATGCTGGGGTGCTAGGCAAATATGTTCCCATCAGATTATGACAGGTCATCCCGACACACAGAAATGAATATGATATACAGGACATTAGACTGTTTTTTAGTACCCACCTTGACTCTACTTAGAACTGCTGGTTCTTGGCTATGAGAGCAGCTTAGAAGAGATTCTTCCATTTTGGTAAGCCAGTCTTCCATTTGATTGACAAAGTTATGTAACTGCATCTTCTGAGAACTGAAATCTTGCAGTGTTTCTTTTGCTGTTGTACACATATCTTTGGCATGTGTGAGGTTTTTCCTTAAATCAGCTTCTAAAAACTAAAAATAAATGCATTTCATTAAGGTGAACCCTCTCTGCCATTATCAGACTTTAACTGAAAGTAATGTTTAAGATTATTCCTACCTAATTTGTAAAACTGCTAGCTACATGAAATGACATTTGACTTTATGTTTTATATAAATCTGGTGAAAACACTAGAAGCAAAGGAAAATGGGAGAAATAAAATCATTAACTTGGAAAGACTTCAAGTTGATCTAAAAAAAACTTTTCTAGTTTAGATCACCTTGGTCTTCAGCTCAGGGTTTAAATTTCTGAATGCTTTCCCATATAAACAATCAACCCTACATTCAGAATACCAGCACATTTGGGGACTGTTTGTAGCTCTCCCTCCTACCAAGCAAATTTTCTACACGGAAGGAGTTAAATTTTGTGCCAGAGACCATTAAAATTTATTTATTTATTTATTTAAAACTTTTATACGCTGTCCTTTATGTATAACATCTCAGGATGGCTTACAACATTAAAATCAGAATCCAATAAAACAATAAATAACACAATTTAATAAAACAATATATAACCAATAAAAATAAATCAAATCAAAAGCAACTGTTAAAACCATTAAAATACTAATTTTTAAAATAATGTTTTAATAAAAAGGTTTTAACCTAGCGCTGAAAAGAATATAGGTTCGATGCCAGGCGACCCTCTCCAGGGAGTGCATTCCACAATCTGGGCACCACCACAGAGAAGGCCCTACTCCGAGTAGATGTCCCTTTTACCTCCTTCAGGAGGGTTCCTGGAGCAGGCCCTTTCCTGCAGATCTTAGAGGGCATATAAGGAAGGAGATATTCCTTCAGGTATCCTGGTCCCAATCTGTTTAGGGCTTTACAGGTCAAAACCAGCACCTTGAATTGGGCCTGGACTTCCACTGAAAACCAGTGGAGCTGGTAGAGGACTGGCGTTATGTGAGAATAATGACCAGTCCCTGTCAGCAGCCTGGTCTGGAGTATCCAGACCATTTTCAAGGGCATGTAGAGCATGTTACAGTAATCCAATTGGGAGGTTACCAGAGCATGTACCACTGTTGCCAGGCAGTGCTTGTCCAGGTAAGGATGCAGCTGATGGACCAGCTGAAGCTGCAGGAAAGCACTCCTTGCCACCACTGCCACCTGGGTTTCCAGGGACAGCTCCAGATCAAGGAGTACACCCAAGCTGCAGACCCTGTCCTTTAGCAGGATTGCTACCCTGTCCAGGACAAGGTCAAAATCACCTACCTGAATGTGATTTCCTCCTACTCCAGTTTGAGCAGAGCGAAGCAGAAGCTGCTTACTCATGAACATATAAAGCTGTCATATGCTTCAAACCAGTAGCAGAGTAGCAAAATTTCACACTGAGTTTCTTCCCCACTGCCCATCCCAGCCTTGCTAGCTGAAAAAGTTTAAACTGGAAATTCCAGGTGCTGCACTCATGACCTTCTGGTTTTTGGAGAGAGCCTTGGAGCTGCAACACTGGGTGCTTCCAGACAAGGGCCTCCTACACCTATCAACCAGAGGACATTGCACAACAATTCAGCTTTTTTTTCCTTAAAGGAGAAGAGAAGAATATAGAAGAAGCAATAGGAAAATACGAAAGGACTACTAGTTGAAGACAACCATGACTGACCGCATGTAAAATTCTGGTAGGTGTTGGTGGTATATAACCCTCAGGAAGCACCCATTTACTAAGATTTTGAGTGAATAATTCAGATAAAACTTATTTGAAACTTGAAGCTGAAGGAGTAAGACGTTCTGTTTTGATTCCTTAAAGCAACTTCTCAAGCACTTGGAATAAAGTACAGGCTGTAATTGTTTAAAACTATATTCTACCTGAAGATCTGGGGGAAGTTCTTCTGTATTTAGCAATTCTTTAAGTTCAGCTATTTTTGAACTGATTTGCTCCAAATTTTGCTCTTTGTGCTTAATCTGAACCTGTAAAAGAGTAGACGAATTAATGTATAGCCCAGTGGTATCCCCAAGTACACTCATTAATCTCTCCTGTAGAAGTGACTGGTTGCCACTCATTCATACAGAAAAATAAAGCACTGACTAAGATTGCCAAGATTCTCAGGACATCATTTCATCCTCCTCTTGTGCTTGGTGCTTGATTGTGTTTAAGACAGCTGCTTGTTTTATGCAAATAGGACATTTATACAAATTGAGCAGCAATAAAATGGGAGGTATGCAAAGTCTCCTGCAATTTGCACAAATGTCCCCAAATCTGTGCAGATCTACAGAGATCAAATTTGGACTTGGGAACAAGATGAAAGTGAGTCAAATGTTTGACATTTTGTGAATATTTGCAGCAGCCACGTGCTTCTGCTCGAGTTTAGACTTCAAACAGGGCATGCTCATGTATCTTTGTGAGGAGCAAATAAAATACTTGACACACAGTAGAGAAAAATCGTGTCCTCCAGCCCTGCCCTGATCCCCACTGAGAGGTATACCAAAGGGGGATGTAATGCATTTTTGTATAAAGCATGGAAAAACCCTAGATCATGGTTGTTGTATCCTCAGACATCCTGATCATTCCACTTCTGCTGAGGATTTAGGACCTGGAAATACCTTGCATTTTTTGTCCACGAATTTATAATGTTTCTACAAGTAGTGGCATGTAAGTATTTTATACAGCACCTGAAACTCTTCCAGGAAGGACTCAATTCCCTGGCAGCTGGCCAAGTTGCTTATGATGTCATTCAACTGTGAGCTGGAGTTGCTGCACCACCCATCAATGTCGTCACTGACTGCCAGCACATCTTCCCACAAGCACATGCAAACACTCAGCCTGTCTATGCTGTCTTCAAGTTTCTCTGACACCTGTGATGTGATGAAAGAAAACAATTACTGCTTCGACCCAGTATAAGAATGCTGAATTAACTTTGCTCCTGAGCACACTCATCATTGGACAAACTCAGAACACCTTCCTGAGTATCACCTCTGTGCAGTCCAGAAATGCTCTTTGGCTGCCCTTGAATAATGGAAGCCTATTCACAGGATAAAAACTTAATCAGAGACATTGAAAGGTTTTGGATAAAGTTCAAATTCTTCAAATTCTAAGGAACCAAAAAGATTCTTGATACAATCACGATAAGGCCATTTGATTCCTATTTCCCAGTTACACTATTCTCAAGGACTAAATTCAAGCAAGATTGATTCAGCCGATGGCTACACAGTGGCCAGTGGGTGAACTGAAACTCACCACAGAACCTGCCAAACCACAGAGAAGGCACTTTGTCTATCATGGGCTTCCCTGACTCCTTTACACTTTATTGCTCTATTAGTCATGTAGACTTTGCTACACGTTGAAATTGGAAGGGATGCTACTACCTTTCTGTATTGCTAGTCCTTGCAAACACATTAAGGACCCAATGTATTGTTCAAATGTATTGTTCAAAACATGCCTTGTCCATGAATTGGATCAATGTGTCATCAGGAAGTAGTTTACAAATTTCATGCCAAGGTACCATGGAAGCCCCCAGTCCCAGATGTTCCAAGAATCGACTGGCCTTCCAAGGAGAGAGTGATTTTGTCTCTCCATCCTCCTTTATACATTTTGGTCCTTAACACACCATTGAGCCTGTGTCAAGGAGGACACAGGAAGGATAGGAACTGGGCAGCACTGAATAGGCCACAGTTCTTGTACCCTAGCCTGTCCCCACCCTGTCCTCAGCAACTGGAATATCTCCCTGTTCCTCCTTCTTAAACCACATTTATGAGCCCAGGAAGCTGCTGGAGTCAACCTTTCTGCGGTGGCTGCAAGGGGGAAGGAGCAAGGGCAGGGATCAGAGTCTTGAGTCTCCCTTTGGAGTCTCCTGCCAGTTCTGTGACCTCAGAGAAGGTGCCAAAACCAAAGCTTTCCGGGAGTAGCATGCATATACATACACTGTGCCGCTCTTGAATGACACAGTCTATGTATAATGAAGCTCAGGTCTGATTCTATAGATATCCCTTACTTCCAGTGATCATACTGGTTACTTATGTTATTGAAGACAAAAGCTACATCAAAATCTGAGCATATTCTTAATTAACAGTGATTATTTTTGTTTGTATTGTACTGCAGTATTCAGCTCTTCAAATTCCATATCAAACGCAGTGCTTACATCCAGCCATTTGTCTACAGTACTGTCCATATCAGTTTTCACTGGCAGGGGATCACAGTTCTGAATCTTTTTCAGCTCTGCTAGTAAGTGTTTTCCTTTGTTGGTGAAGGCATCCAGGTCTTTCTGTCTGTCATTCAGCTCATTCCTGGCGGCTTCATGCTGTGAATAGAAGTGTGTGCTTGTTAGACACAACTCTAAATGGGTTCTCCATCCATTCTGCGTGTTCAGCTTCAGAATGCAATCCTAGGAAGACCTGCCATGGAGTAAGCCTCATTGAAGAAATTTATTGGGAGTTGTTTATTCCATTGATATCCTGCTGTTTTCCTGCAAGGAACCCAAGGAAGTTTATATAATTCTCTCTTTCTTCTCCATTTTATCCTCATGGGGTAGGCTAGGCTGAGAGGCAATGATTGGCCCAAAGTCACCTAAGGAGCTTCATGGGAGAGTAGGATTTGAATCCAAATCTCCTGAGTCCCAGTCCATCATTCTATCCACTACATGCAGGATTGGGTGTTTTTAAAATGTCCACTCAATTTTGGCACCTGTAGGACAGGTGGTTTCCCCCATGGAAATGGGGGTTGAAAATAACTCCCAGACCTCATGAAATCCTTAAAGACCTTTAAGGCTAGAGTTTCACTTAAACTTTTTATGATGACTAACATAAGTTAGAAGGCCAAATAAGAACCTGGATCTGGGCTAGCATAGAATTTCTTAACGTATTAGCTTTCTACACCTTTAATTGACATTGTAGTTAGAATTATGTAGATGCATTTTACATCACAGATGTAGACTATAATCCATTTATACACTAAAATCATCCAGCTAAATTAAACATATCTAGATTAAAAACTGAGATTAAAATAATTTTAAATTAACCTTTGACAAGGCCCATCTCACATCTTCTCGATCTTTTAACATGGCCTTGGCCATAGTTACACTGCTAGCAACCTCTGTGGCTTTAGTTACTGTGGATTTCAGGCTCTGATATTCCCGAAGCAGATCAACAAGGACACAGCACTGCTCCTGCCTGTAAAAAGAAGACTATGTAAGTGAGGACTGAAAGTACAATTTATCATCAGAAAATCTTACTGCATTATTATTCCCTTCCCATGACCTTTTCACAGTGAAAGACATGGGGACACTCCATTCAGTTCCATGCTAAGACTAGAAAATAAAGGTACACAGACAAAGTAGAAAATGATAATTCTAACTACAGTATATAATGTAATATTTGCACTATGGTAAATTATGGTTTTGATTGATTGGTTGGTTGGTTGACTGATCAGATTTCTATACTGCCCAGATGCCAAATGGCCTCCTGGCAGTTTACAATAACAAAACCAAAACAATGGAATATCAAAAATAATACAATATTAATTCTTAGAGCCATTAAACAAGACTGAAAATTAGGAAAACATTGGGGTATTATGCCATGTTATAGCCTTTCTGAATGGCCCTACACCAGTGCTTGTGAACAGTAGTTGGCAGGTCTCTTAGCTGCCCCGGGCTTGCCCTGGTTCTGTGAGTTGGCACTACCCCATTGCCCTTTGCCTCTGCTCAGAAACTTCCATTTAGTACTGGGGAAGGTGGACATTGTCAGCTATTCCAGGCAACAGGAAGCCTTTTCTCATTGGATGTACTGCTCTAAAAATCTAAGGCCGGGAACAATGCGCTACCTCAACTATCAAAGTTAAACCTCCGGGCCAAATCTAAAGATTGTATTTAATTATATACTTACCTTTCCTGGATTAGTTTCTTGGTATCCTCCCAGGTGGTTTCCAAACAATTAATCTCTTTGTCAACTGCTGGAGCAAGGCTTATATCTTTCTGAGCAATTTGCTTTGCTTTGCTCATCAGCCATTTCATTTCATGCTGGTGAGAATTCAGCTCATCATCCAACTGATTGAAAATCCTTAATCTGAAAATCAACATACTGTATACATAACATGCATTGCTTATTTGCTGGAAGGTTTATTTATTACAAAATAAAAGTAACAAAGAGAAAAATCTAATACATTGTCTGATTCAGCATCACAAGGAAATTCAGGAGCATGTGTGATGACATTAATTGTACCAGATTTATATGGATGCACCAGAATTTTATACTGCTACATCCACACAAATATTGCTTCAGGTTCTATGAACCTCCCCTATCTTCAGTCATTTTTGAAAATGGTTTTAATTTTATTATTATTAGATTTATATTTCACATGTTTCCATTTGCAAGGAACCCAAGGTTGCATTAATCCATATCTGATGAGGAAATCAAATATGATAATCTCTTTTGCAATTTGTAGATACTTCTGCAATAGATAGCAGGACCCCTGTATCTGCTGCCTCAGTTACTACATTTGCAGTTAACTGCAGTTGCCCTCAGATGAAAGAGAAGTTGTAAAGATCTGTAAAGTGCCAGAGGAAGTCTTTAAGTGCTTCCTGTATACAAAAATTCTCTGTCTGATAGGGCAAGACAAAAATCGCATGCTTAGGTAAGAAAGAATGAAACTGGGAAAAAGAAATGTAGATAATATAATATATAATCCAGGTTCTAGGGCTGCAGCAAAAGCAGCTGTTGCAAGCATCTTGGCCTTCAGGGTGAGTTAAGAACCAATATAAAATCCATCCAAATTAGTGGTATATCATGAACTTTTTGTTTACCTTTGCTGAACTTCCTGAAGACTTGGTTCTTTCAGCCCTTCTTTGTCAGCCCTTTCTTCAAGGTCTTCAATGTTTTTTAAGAGTTGTTCTTTGCGCTCCATGACAGAGGTAAACAGAGCACCAAGAGCTTCTGCTTCACTTTGCTTAGTTCCCAGCAAGGACTGGGTGGATTCCAATTCCATGCAGACGCTGTCAGCAATATTCCTGCAGGAGGTCCTTTGCTCAGGGTTTCCATGTTTCAGATGATACTGGGCTTTAGTTAGGGATGCATCCAGACTAGCTGCTGTGGATTCCAGTTTGTTGACATCTTGAATAACTTCACTCAGCTCCTTTTCCAGCACTTCAGACTTAGTCTTGTCTATTTTTCCAGTGGTTTCCACCATCTGCCTCGAGTGGTGAAGTGCACGTGACGCAGCAGTGTGAAGATCTAGAAAGGCCTTCACATGAGGTAGAACATCTTGCCGACGGCTGATTACTTGGCTGGCATCCTGGTAAAGCTGGAGACAGTCTTCAGCCTTATTTTGGAACACACTGAGATCTTCTGGCCGACTGAAAGAGCACAGCTTTTCAACATGACTCTTCAGATCCTGCAGTTCCTTGTACTTTCTTTCTACTTCTGTTTTGTGGTCCTGTATGTAAGGAAGAGGTTAATTTCAAAGTGAAATGTCAAGACCTTGTGGGTTGAAACCAACACCATATGAACAGATGTGCATGTGTCCCCCATTTCATTTTCCAATCACTTTGGATTATCTCCTGAAATAAACCAATTTGTTCCCATTTTGTGAGGAAAAAATCAGTTCATTTCCAAGTTAGTTGAAGGAGAGCTGTGGGAGTGCGGGAGGTGGTCGACTTCCTCTAGTCTCAGGCTGTCTGTTTGCTTTTGTGAATATAAGCTCAATTTCTGTGGAAAATGAGGTAAGACTTACTAAGGCCAATGGAACGATTAGTCAGTCAATTCACCTAGTTGCATCTTTATGGTAAAAGACCCAACAAGCTCATAACTGGTTTGTTAAGGCATTGTTGATAAAGCTGCTTTCATTCAGGCAGTTACTGATTATAAAACATATAAAAGCATAAAACATTACCTTGTTGTGGCACACAGCAAGCTGCAGATCAGCTGTATTTATCTCAGATGTTGCTTGCAGGATACCAAGAAACTGCTTAATCCAGTCAGAAAAGTTGAGGAGCAGCTCATCATATTGCTTATGTTCAGCAAGCACAGACTGGAGGAAATTTATCCTAGAAGACATTGAAGCTAATTTATATATGGCATTTATCCATGGCATTGTTTTCCTTTTTTTTTTAGGTTATTTCCAGTGCAGAGGTGCAGAACTTCCTTTACTCTGAGGGCTGCATCCCATCAAGGAGAAGTTTTCAAGGGCTGCATTCCACAGGTGGGTGCAACTGAAAACAACAGGGGACTAGGCCAAGGCAACAGAAGTGGGCCAAAATATCCAAAATACCAGTGTATTTTCACTTAAGCACTTACTTCCAATGTTTTAGCTTTAGGAGAGGTGTTTCAGCTTTTTAGGAGAATGAGAAACTGTGCAAAAGCCAGGAAACACCAAAATAATTGTTGGCTGGGAAAAATGGCTGCAGCCATCTGGGTGCCCTTGGAGGGTCTGAAGTTCTGCATCACTCAGCTGGTCTAACAGAATGTTCAGTTAAACCCATAGAAGGAAACAAAGTCCCAGAACTATTGTCATCCTCATACTCTCTACCCAAACTAAATGCCCAGTTTCTATGGATATATGTGAAAACAGGGTGAATCTATAAGACTCTGTATTTTGGCAGTGACCAGCATCTCTGTGTCAGTTAAGTGCTGCTACTTAAATAGAAGGACAAACCTTTTGCTCACTGTGTGTGGTAGATTTTTCCATCTTCTGTCAAGCTCTTCCAAGTCTTTTTTAAATGCCTTCACACTTTCGTTGGAACTTGCTTTGCACAGGGAATCATTTAACTGCAACAGACTGGCATATAGAGAACTGTGGGATGCCACATCCGCTTGCAAATCCTGACAAATCAAAGCATCTCCCATTAGTATAACTGTGTGTAATATGAAAGTTCTAAGATAGCTTACATATCCAGAGAAGGTTAAGATATGCTGGTGTTTCTGGAAAATCTTGGGAAAATTGTTTTTTTTTTAAATGGCAAGACTTCTAGCTTATGGCATAAGGGACATCTGTGGTGTTTAGATACAAGGCTCCCTGAAGGTACCTGAATGAGCACTAGCTGCAGAAAACTCCCCAGAATTTGTTTCCTAAAACCAATGCTGGAAATACATAAATAAGAAGGAAACTGATCCAATCCAAAATTAATATGAAATTATAGCTTGCTTAGAGCTGTAGAAAAGTAAAATGTAAAAACCACCTGACATTTCCTGTTCATCATCTGTATCAAATAAAATTCTGAGAGCGATGTGTAATTATACACAGGATGGCCCAGATGGAAGACATCACTGTACAGCAGGGTCAGTATGCAGCTGTGTAAAACTGAACATCTGTGAAGCCCCCTGCACTGCTGGCAGCTTTAAGACTTCGCCCTTATCACTGGGATGACAGCTCAAGAGCTGATGTCACACTGAAGCACGTTCCAAGATCTGGCTTCATGTGGCTTTCACCAAGATGGGTGAATCAATCTGGGTAAATCTTTCTCAGACAGTTGATTATAAAATACTACCTGCGTGTATAATCTGCTGAATTTATAGATTGGGTTTACTGAATGAATAAGTGCGGTTGTACACTTCAGAAGTGCATACTTGACAAGGATGCTTTAGGAAGGCACGTCCAGTGATCACCAAGGCAAATACAGTCCCTGGCAGTCCCAGGCAGGTGGCAAAAACTGGAAACGTACTGAGCCCTGGTGGGTTGCATTCAACTTGATGGCTCACAGGTTGTACTGACTCAAACTAGGGGGTTCTTGAATTGGTTAACAGGGAAAAGATATTCCTCCACTCTATTGTAGACCGTAAAAGAGGCACATGCAGTATCTTAGAGGCTTGTTTATGTCTAACAACAAGTGCGAAACATCAGGGAATGAGCTTCAGACAAGAAACTTGAAAATAATGAACTCAGCTCAACTTCATCTTGCTTAATTAGCCCCACACAGGCCAGACATGCCTTAACCACCACTCTTGGAGATATGCAAAACGAAAGATGAGGTCCTGACCTCTTAGAACTGGTATAATTCTCTTTCAATATTGAGTGAGGAGCTGCTATGAGTCAGAGGCCTCTGCAGAATTATGTAGGAAAATCAACCTGTAGCCATGCCTTGTAGGTTACAGAAACAGTAAAAATAAGGAAACATCTGCCAATCCACAATCAGTTGCTTAGCAACACACTTACTTGGATTACTTGTAATTCATTTTCCAGTTTGACTCGGTCAGCAGAAACATGCTGCTCTGAAGGTCTAACTGCAGACTCACACCTCTCCAGCCAGGTCAAGAAGGTAGAGAGCTCCTTCTCCATTCTAGTAGAACACACAAAAAGTGCCCATCAAAGGTTGGGCCATACATACCTCATAAATTCTTCTAGCCGCAGAGAACACAGTGCCTTTCTTACCTCTGCCACTGGGCTATTTGAATCTCTAGTGAGGCTTGTTTATCTTTAGCTTGTGTCATAACATTTTCATATCTTTGCTGAAGCACTGAGACATCCTGGACTGCTTTCTCTTTCTTCATGATCTTGCGAGAACCAGATAGCAGAGATGCCAATGTCAAGTTCATTTTTTCCAAACCCTGGGAGAGATCCTGTTTAATTTGAAGCAATAAAACAGAAAATAATTATTATCATCATCCCATCAACTGTGGCATTCATATTGCCTTGTATATCATTATCATCCAAACATATATACTGCCTCCTAAAGAGGTATCAGAGTGATGAACAAAGAGTATAATGCCATAAAGACAACAATAAAATCAGCAGTAAAACGTCACACTCCAGTGTGACCTACAGATAAGAGCTGGCTAGGTCACACTTTATGGAAAACCTGCTTGAACAGACGAATCTTGTAAAGGCATCTAATGTCAGAACTGTGAAAGGCCTCCTAATATTCTGGAGAGTAGGGACTGCAACACTGAACATCCCACTGCAAGGGCTCCAGGGCAAACCTCATAGCATGTGGGAACCTCAGAAATGGTCCCTCTGATGATTGCAGACTGGGAAAGGTGAGGTACTCCCTCAAGCAGCCTGGTCCCAAGTTGTTTAGGGCTTTATATGTTAATAACAGCACCTTTAACACACAAAGGGGTTGAAGTCTTACTTGTCCTTTGCTATATTTAACCCATAGTTGGACAGCTGTGACTTTCCAGATGTTGGAGCACACCTCAATGCCTATGGGGAGGAATGCTTGAAACTGCACTCCAGCAACTTCTTCTGGGTCATCTATTCCCTACCTTAATTTACCCCATGATGAAATCTGGTAACTTCAGTTTAGCTAGTCAAGCTGAAACTTATCACAAAAGAATACTTTATCAACTGTGGCAAAACACTGTGGAACACCAGGTGTACAACAACCACCTTGCTTCCAATGTAAGATGTGGATTTGCACACCCTTCCCAGGAAAACTGCTGCCTTGGTTTAGTTTTCCTTGCAAGCAGGACAATGTGGATTTATACAGATCACAACACTGAGTTTTCCTAATGCGGTTCTATAAAACTGACAAAAAATTCAAGACATTTTTACCATAAGATCTTGGAGGGTCTTGTAACTCTCTGCTGATGAAGAACAAGAAGAATCCAACTCTGCTAGCTTGGCTTCATACATGCACAGGTCCTGCTGGACCTAAACCAGTGAAATGAATAATAAAAAAATAATAGAAGAGGTGTCACTGCAGGTTTGTTATCATCTGAATTCTTTGTTCTACATTTTCACAATATATCTCACACAATGCAGCATCACATAAATTCAGCATGTTTGAGGAAGTTACTATTGTTTTACCTTGTAGGTATTCCTGCAGTCTTAAAACTTGTTCCTTTGTTTATTTTATGCTGAGAACTCCAGGCGACTGCTATTTAAAAGAGTTCTAATCATACACAGAATACATATTTCTTCAACACTAACAGGATCATTATGCCACTTACTAGCAGTACCACTGTGCAATCATATAGTAAGTTATACAAATATATACACTTCTATGTGTGTTTACATGGTAGGGAGCCCCAGTGAATCAAATGGGACATATCTTCAATCACAGCCTGGCTTTATATGTCATGGTAGACCATGGTTTATACCAACAGAAATGGTCTCACACACTCCCCCATCTTCTCTCCTTTTTCAGCATGGAAGATTAATTGTGCCCTGTCATTTCATTTCAAGCTGAGAAATTGTGGTTAAACTTAACTATGATTTGTTTTAAGCAAGTCAACTTCAAACCACTGGGTTATGAAGTTGACTTGTTTCAAGAAACCATAGTTAATTTGTATCACTTTTGAGGTGTCAGCTATAAACTGAGATTAATATAAGTGAAAGCTTTATTGTAACATTGGGCTGTGCCAGTGACACCCTTTGTCTGATTGTGAAGACCATACATTTTACCATAATTTACCTTAATTTAGCATAGCTTCACCCGTGGAGGTTTGAAACCCATTGCACTAAGAAAAGACACTCTGACTATGCACAGAATTGTCATACATGGTTGCATTGCTTAGAAAATTTTACATTGTCTACCTTTGTGAAGTTTTCATCAAATTTTTGCTGGACTGAAATCTTTCCTGTGATCACTCCTTCCAGATGGTGTGCATGATCTTGGAGTTCTTCCCTGTATCTTCTGATCTGTGTCAACTTGGCTTTAATATGAGCTGATTCTCCAGAAGTGAGATATTGAGAAAACGACTGAGCATCCTCTTCTAGGCTCGGGATTTCATTTTCCTTCTCAGCTATTTCTTTAACAATGACCTAAAATGTAAATCAATTTGCATATGAAGGACCTGTAAGATGTGTTCATTACTTTCTTATGAGCCGATCACTCTCCTAGAATTCACCAAGATTTATTCTTGGGGACACTAAACTCATTAAAAGCTTTCTCTGCAAATGGCAGTCACAAGCAGATATTGACTAATTCACACCCACAGTGATTCTCTGCCCAGATCAAGCTGCAGAGCACTGCAAATACAAACATATGCCATGCATGTATCACAGTACTACATTCTTATTAGCTATTAAAGTTTAAATCTAACTGCTGAAAAAACAGCAATTGAATTTTACTGTTTTTCCCACTGCAAATGTCTCCTTCCCCACTTACAAGAAGTGAGAAAATTGACAAGCTCAGTCTCTAATTGCAATACTACTGTTTCTGTCTGCAATATGAATTTTGGAGTTATTTACTACTGTTTATTAGTACAAGCTCAGTATACGATGTATTGTCACCGCAGTCACAATGTGTTCTCTTTCTACAAAGCAGGGACACGTTACGTAAATAGACTCCCACACTTGTCTTCTAATTTGTGACAATTAGTGAGGTGTGTGGGTGGGTTGCTGAGATCAGAATGCTTTTGAATGACTGCTACCAATGATCGCTGCTGTGACTATTCTGCTGGTTTATCAGAACTTCTACTGTATACTGTGTATAAAAGTTAATTTGTATGCGTTGATATGCCATCACATTCAGAGTAATGTGAATTAGCCAGTTGTCTCGTTTGCTTTAGCATTTGACAGGTGGAACGGGTTGCGGAAAAGATGTAAATAGTTCTCTCTGATTGTGTCACAGACCCATTCAGCCAGCCTATCCTTGGGGGAAGTAGTAACAACATGAGAAATTGCAGAGAAATGCAAGATGTGTTGTGATAAACCTAGAGGTAGATACAGTCGACAATTTCTAGGGTGCTTCCAGATAAGGTTTTGCCATGCCATTGCTCTACTTCATACAGGCAATTTACTGGGAGTCTGGATATCAACTCTGCTTCGCAATGCTCCCATGTTTTCTCACAATTTTTTTCTTACTGCTGAAAATCTATTAAGAAAAAAGGGAAAGGGACAGAATAGCTGCACAAGGCCTTTAAGACTATGAAATGCTAAAACCCTTATTCTGGAAGCACCCATAATCCTAAGTTAATTACTGTAAATCAGTCATTAGGAATGTAAGAAATTGATCTATATCAATTTGAAATTGATCTATATCTGGTGAGGCCAATAGTCCAGCCATTTAAGTATTATTTACAGTGACAGGCACTGGTTCTCCAGTGAACCAGCAAGGAGTTTTTATCTAATCCTATTTATTTTATGTGTTTTTATCTTTATTGTAAGATGTCTTGAGACTATGATAGTAGGCGGCATGTAAAATAAAGTATAAATAAATACTAAGGGTTGAAACTGAGACCTTTCCGTATATAGAACACGTGCTCTTCTATGGAGTGACATCAGTATACAAATGGATTTATAAATATAAATTGCTGTAAATCCAAAATATGTCTGATTATGTAATTATGAACACGAGTCCCTGAATTGCTGTCAATGTACAAGATACTGTGAGAGGAAGCATCCTCTGTCAAGGGACTCAAAGAGCTTTAACAAGCACCATGACATGGATCCTAACATTTCTTTCCCTAAACAGAACAGTGTTTGCATTCACATTCACTGAATGGTGCATCACTGCCTTCCCCTTCCCTTTCCCTTTCCTTCTGTAGCCGCAGTGCCACAGCAAACCACTCTTGAGGGATGGATGCCCTTAGAAAAGGTATGTGGGTTGGGTGCTGGAAGAAGCCACTGAACTAAGGAACTATGTGGACTAAGGAACAACTTAAGATCCAAACCTTTCACTCAATATTATGCTCTGATTACATAATTAACTGTAAAAAGTAGTTTAAATATATAATGTAGTGAGTTGTGATATAGTGTATTGTTTATCTTATATTATTTTATAGAATGTTGTATTTGCATGTATCAGAATATTATATGCATATGCATACATCCTATCTCTGCTTTTTAACCAAAGCAAAAATGTTGACTCTTTCCAGCTTGTTGTACCAATATATTTAAAAACTGCATTGAAATACATACTCTTTGTATACTCAGAAATCTCATGGGAATCTATCCTTCCTCCCACTAACAGGGAGAGTAAAAGAATGACATAAGAGTGAATACTTGTATGGAACATGTGCTTTAAGTAAGCCCAGGGATAGCCAGCTTGCATGTTTGCAGAAATCAAGGTATTATCCAAAGAATGGTCTAGAATGAGGAGAGATTTTATTTTTTGTGTTTCTTGCTGTACAAACAATACCATCACAAGTATTGCAACCACACTGTCTCTTAGCAGTAAGGAGCTTGAAGCCATTGAGTTTCATACACTTGTATGCAACTGTAGTAGTATATACAAATCCCAAAATAGACACTTTTTACACACAGGAATGCACACATCTCCTCCACACAAACTATGAGAACTTTTTTTTTTCATTTTATTCAAAACTGTTGGCAAGACTGTTACCCACATTGACTAATGTTGGTGGTGCTGTAGGAGTCCAAATGAAATTGCTTTGTGGTCTCCAATTGGCTACTTATCTCAATATATATGAGATATATAATCAACATTTATTCCAAAATCAAATAGTCCTACAGCCAAAAGGTGATTGATCAGAATCTTTATCATGTAAGGATGCTTTCACTTCCTTCTCAAAAGGATTGTCAAATGGCTTGATCAAGCTAAGTCAGTCTTCCCTAACCTGCCCTTTTCCAGATATGTTGGATTGCAATTTGCATAATTCCCATAATGGCCATGCTAGATGGAAATTATGGAAGTTGTAGTTCATGTCTGAAAGAAAAAAAATTGGGGAGAGTGTGCTAAGCCATGATTTGGTTGAATGCTGGCTTCATGTTGTTTGAATGCATTCTTGAAAACAATCCATGGTTTGTTTACCAGCTCTAAATCACAAGCTCATGATTTGTTTGTGGTTTATGAAATGTGACCTGATGTAATAAACCAGAGTTTATCCCTGGCTTGTTTGAACTGCTATCTGTTCTGAATCAAAGGTGTTCAGCGAGAACAGCCTGAAACTGAAATTACTCTGGAGGCTGGCAAACAATCTGCAAAGAAACAAGTCATAAACAGGGAAAACAATCTGCAGTTTATTTTCAAAGCAATTAATGACTAAAGCAACAAACCATGGTTGAAGTAAACCATGGATTAGTGTGTTTCATGAGAAAGAACAAACATTCTAAGTTTCTGATAACTAAATTCAGTAACCTGCCATATGTTCACATGCTACCCCATTCCAAGAATGTGGCCAAGGAAAACTATTTTCATATCTGCTAGACGTTATATAATTTCTACAAATGTTTTCATGTTCAATTTTACACATTTATAATTCTCTTCTTAAAGCTATTTCCTCAGTTTTATTTCACAGATATCCTATAAGCCAGTAATGTTGGAATTCTGTACTTCTGATGAAAATTATAACTGCAGTATAAGCAGAATGGTGTACTTCTCTTGATTTACTACCATGTATGTTCCAAGGCACTGCAGAAGGAAAGCTTCCACATCCAGCCCCCAGTGGTGCAGAAGTGTTAGACTGCTCTGCCACGCTTCACTGTTCGTGCCTGTGACACAAGCCAGTTCTTGCTGGAAAGTGTGCTTGTTTTCTTAAATCCAGATGCTTCCTTCCCCAGAAAAGGATAATCAGTGATTTCAATGCTAACCATGCAAAGCATCTGTTTGATGGAGGTGTTCCAGGGACAGAATAGAATGGAGATGCTACATGGAGGTCAAAAGCTATGAGTATTTGCATTTGAAACAAAATGAGATTGAAATAATACCTTGATTAAATGGATGACATTTGAAATAGTATGTGCTCCTAAGAATTTATTATGCACTAGGAGAAAAATAGGATCCAGTATATGATATGAAGAACTCAAAATATGTAAAAAGGTCTAGCTACTAATACTGGACACAGCGGTTCTTTTATTATTTCAGTATTCTTTGGGAAATAAGATACACAAAAATCATATCTAAATTATGTACCATACTGAAATAAAATACCATGATACATATTACAATATAAAATGTTCTACATTCTGTGAACACATACCATGGTGATATTTTGCAGGTAAAGAAATGAATTCATTGAAGCTATGTGCTGTTTATCGCTTACATACATTTTAAGGTTTAGGTGTAAATTAAGGTCTAACAATAGAAAGAAAGCTCCTGCTGGTACCTCAGCATATTTTTCTCAATATGTGACACTGGGTTTTCGTGTTTGTTTTCACATCTTTGTAACTGTGAAACATGAGTTAAATGCCCATTCCTCTCCTTTGCATCTTTCATTAGTGAGTAAACAAGGAAACAATCGTTTAATGCTAAATATAATGTGAACCAATCACCTTAATTCGGTTGATTTGCACATCCAAGGGTGATGATGATGTATCCAACGCATCCAGCTCTTTTTCTTTTTCAGTGATCCAGATGGACAATGCTTCAAAATTTTTGCCAAACTGATCCCACTTGTTTTTCACCATTTCCATGGTTTTAATACTAAAATCAACCATATTTAGTAGAAAAATAAACAGCTTGTTACTGTGTCACTATGCCCATTTTCTTTCATCTCCAGTTTAAAGAAAATGCTTATATCATGGCAGGTCATTTTAAAAAATGGTCAGAAGTCTGTGGGTTTTGTAAGTGTTAAAGTACTTCAGGAGTCTACTCTTACATTACCATTGTGGGAATCACATCATTACTTCCATCTTCTGCAAAAGGCAATACTGATGTGTAAGGGCTTTATCAACTTAGATGTGATTTTTAAGACACATGAATTATTGGAACAACATGGAAAGAAGCCACTCTGCAGCAGTTACCACACTGCTAAGTCAACATAAGAATTAGCCATAAATAGCTTGACTATAGTTACAGATGTTAGCATTCTAATTTTCTTTACTGTGGCTACAGTCCAGAGCCATTAACATTAACTAATACTTTAGAATGGCTTTGCTGATACGGGACTTGCTTTCCTTTTCTATGTCTCAGTGACTATGAAACCTAGATAAAATGTAGAGAAACAAGAGAGGAGTTCTGAATACATCTGCATACAGAATATATTATCAGCTTTGTCTGCAGTGTGGGTATACCCAGTGTTGTTTACAGCACTGATTCCAACCCATTTCATGTACAGAAAAGTAAATGTACTACAGTCCTAAGTAAAATGAGCAAAGACAACCTTGTTATTCAAAGGACCACCACATATATACCATGTATGTATGCACCTTTGGAGCCCGCAGGGTTATTACCAATCCATTTGACATCCTTAGAAGTTCAGCTCTAAAAAAATGCAGCTTTCTGGATCTTTTGGAGCAAGCACTTCCAGCACTCAACAGACCAGAAACAGACCAGTTTTCTGTGCTCAACAAAGCTCCTTCGTGCTCCACTATATGACAATTAAATGCCTATTCTTTCATTCCATTTCCAGTCATTCAAATAACCTCACACTATATGTGTCGCATAATTTACTAAGACACATCTCACCTGCTTTGCTCATTCCACATATGTGCTGATATTGTAGAACTTATCTTAACAAATACTTATGTGGGATGGATTAATATCCATTTAAATTAATAAGAGACTTCATTTCTAATGTCAATAGGCAAGATAAGCATTTTCTGTAACATGGTTCAGTCTAAATCTCCTTTATGAAGCTATAGAAATGCCTATGTGCTAGATACAATAAAACTATACATGTCAACCATACATTGGGCAAATATATATTGGAAATATTCAATCAGTTGATATGCATGCATATTGTGCACCTTAAAAATGTCCATACCCAGTTAACAGATAAATTGCATTATTTCTAAGAATGTATTCAAAACATGTACTGAAAAGTGCATGTCCAGTTCAGCCACATGATTCATTCAGAACTAAAAAATAATATAATTGGATGCAACTGAAAGGCACTAGAAGCTTTCTACTGAGAATGTTCCTACTTGCAAAGCAAAAAAGCTGCTAAATAATTTACATAATGAGAAGCAGGAATCATACAAGAACATTTCCTATAACGCTAGGGAAGAGAATGTAGAACATTATGGAAAGAAGCAAACTCCCCTCAAGAAAATAAACAGCACATAAAACTGCTCTCTCCAGGATTATTACTAGTGGAAAAAGTTATATTGAAATGCAGTTCCTCTGTAAAGCTGTTAAAAACCAACAATGAACTAGATAAATAAATTCAACTTTGCATGTCCAACAAAGATGAAAAGATGTGGATATAATGGAATCCAAACAATAAAACTGAAGCAGCTATTTCATTTTGCACATATTTTTGAGCCCTGAAAAGTATGCAGCACTGGAACCAGTCTGGGTGACATGGCTTGAATCTCTCTTTAGACACGGTATCAAAGCATACCCTGCGTAACTCTTAACTTCAGATTCTCATTTGTAAAATGGCAATACTACCAAGCTCACAAAGTGTTATGAAGATGGACCAGCTGAAAAGCACCTCATACACCATGTGGCAAAAGCTGCTACACCAGTGACGTTAAGCAATCTCCTTGTCGCAGCAAATAGGGCGGCCCTAAGACTTCCGACCTGGACTACGAACACAGGTCTAGGACTGTGAATGTCAGCAGGCCATTTCAAAGGAACTGAAAGACTGCTCCCAAAATAATATTTTGCAAATCAAAACTGACTGTGTGTGTTGGATCCTACCCTACCACTGCTTCCCTGTGCCTCCTCCGTATTCTTACGAAAGCACAGGTGGCTCTGTTTATATAATCTTTTGCAACAGCGAAAGGGAACTGGAGGATAATTTCTGTAAGAGAAAGGCACATTTGATGTTATTGTGCACATAGCTGGAAAATTGAAGAAAAATACTTCAAAATTGAGCTGATTAATCATTTTGAAGGCTCTAGGCACTTTAGGATATGGCACTATTCATCTATCCTAGCCTGAGTCAAACAAGTTACTATGCGTATTACTGAAGTATATTTCTATGACTTCCGCTCTGTGCCCAATTAACAGAGCTTCATTGTATTAAGGTCAATTGGTTTAAATGCAATAATTGGATTTATAGTTGCAGTTTAAAGTGACAATTATAAGGACACTTATATGGAAGTAAGTCCCACTTAAATGAAATGATGATTATCCAAGCATTTAGGATTGGGATGCTTGCTACTATTTGCTAATGATTATTGGTGTGTTTCCTTAAGCTCTTGGTGTTTGAGTTAATATGCCATGATAATCTGGAGTTTACAAAGTCTTTGTGACTGAACAGTGCATTTTAGTAGGATAACAAAAGGTACAGTTTAAGAGAATGAAGGAATACTACGACTTTTTAAGAACATACTCTTCTTCAAGGGTAGCTTCCACTTTTTCAATTTGTTCCTGGATTGACTTGGCTTGCTGCTGAAGGGCTTGCTTGCTCTTATCCCCAAGCTGTATTGCAAAAGTCTTCATGACGAGATTCTCAGCTTCCTCAGCCATGGCTACTGTCTGCTTGGAAAGCTCCTGTAAGAGGTGTACAATTATGGACAGAATATATTCAATCACATTTCACAGCAAGGTTTTTTTTATCAACTGGTCAGCAGTAATAATTATTTATATTTCATACATTTGTAAAAAATCAGGCAAAAAAGCAACAGTTCAAGAAACTAATTGCAAAATAATACAGTATAGCAATAGGTTTTTGAGAGAGGTTAGTAATAACTGATGATAGGTAACCCTCTCTTGTTTCAGGGCACTCTTCCACTCTTAGGGCATGATACAGTCCCAGTCTGGATACCATGGGAAAGGCAGGTGATCACAGAGGCCTTCCCACACACCTCATTAGTGCATGAGTCAGAGTGAAGGGAATATGAAAGGTTCGCATAGATTTTCAATTCTCTGTAATGGTCTGCATTAATTCCTATATGCACCAATGAAGGAAGGGAGTTAAATAGGGCTTTGTTGAACTTATGGGCACTGTGCCCAGGTTACATACATTCTAACTTTACTGGAATTTTATATATTTATTTTGAAACTTACTATACCACCTTTCCAACCAATAAAGAATTAAGATCAAAACAAGTAAAATGTGAAGAAACAAATGTACAAGAACCTATTACAATGGCAAAAGAATAAATAATGATTCAAACAATGATTCAAATAGCCATACATACTTTTGTCTTTTCTAGTTCTGATGACAAGCTTTCTAAGCTGCTAAAGCTTAAGATACGTTCAAGAGCACAGCTTGCTTGAGTAAGATATTTTACAATGGTTTCTTTGTCTCTTTCAAACTGTTCCCATGCATTTACTGTGATCTATAAGGCAAAACAAAGAGGCAGTAAAAGACAAATGCATTTTCGCTAGAAATTACTAGTGATATTCCCTAATGATACCACAAGTTCACAATTACTTGATTTGATGCATCTAGTACATAATAATGATGCATTGTTAACTGAGCAAAATTTGCCTCCAGCACTTTTTCTAAAACGAAATGTAACATTAGATTCTGCACATGAATTTTAAACGGCCTCAAAATGCTACCTCTTTCTAACCAAAATCCAAAAAACTAATCACAGCTCAAATAGAACTGTGCAAAAGCTGGCAGTCTCACATCCTGCGCTTCAGATGCGCTTGATCTACATCTATTGAAGCTTCAGTAAAGTTCCTGTATATTCTGTAGACTCTTTCCAGTTCATGCCTAATTCAAGGGGTTGGTGTCAGCCTGTACAACCCCTCACAGTTTGGGGCCACGGTATTTAAAGGACCACTTGTTTCCATAAATTCCTACCAGTAATTGACATAATACACTCCAAGTTCCTCACATACCGAGAGGTGACGGATGATACTCATAAGAAGGCCGTTTCTGTTGTGGCTCCCAAATTGTGAAAGGCCTTCTCTAGAGAGATTTACCTACTTTGTTGGCTTTTTGGTGTCTGGTAAAGATCTTGAATTTTCTTCATTTATGTGTAAAGAAATGTTCAATGCTGTCATTTTAAAATCATACTTTTTCATGTTTTAGTTGCTTTAAAACTGTTTAAAATTATTCAAATATTATTTAACATTATTGCTGCTTTGAAATGATTTACATTATTGGGTTCATTGTACTTGTTTGCATTATACAAGTCTGCCCCTCAACTTCAGCTGTAGGACAACTCATAGATTGATTTTGGCCTCTAACCAGTGCATTCCATTAATTAATTCCATGCAAAGTTAGCTGGATTCTCAGATTTCTTTCCATGCTCATAATGCTGACTGTTCAATTTCTTTTGTCTTGTCTTTTTTCTTTCCCCTCTTTTATTTGGTTGCCAAAAATCATGCCATTTTTTTCAGTCAATTTTCAGTTCCTAAGAGAATTACATCTATTTTTAATGTACAGACATTGCTGGACTTGATTCATGAACAGTCATGATGCAGTTCTTGGAACATTCAAAGAGTGGACAGAAATTATTTTAGCTTTAGTATATTGAAAAGATTCAAAAACTAAGGCCTTTCATTGCAAAATAAATTTATTCTATACAGATTTATTTTGTACAAAAAGAGAATTACTCATCATTGCATTTAAAATGAACCCCAATCATTATGAATTTCTACTTCCTGGAATTATTTATATTTGGGAGCCTCTGTACATATTGACTTCCAAATATCATAATGGGTAAAATAAACAGAACAGTAAAATTCTTAGAAATGACAGGATTCAGGGTATACAGCAGTCATTCCCAAAGCATGGACTGCTTAGTATCAGTTGTGTCCAGTTTGGCCTAATGCATGAAGGAAAGTCCTTGGTAACAGAATGGGAGTTTACCTAAGCTTCAGCTCCAACAGAAGAATTTCCTGGACAGTGGTCAGAGAAGCTCACACAGCTACACTGAGCTACATCCCACTGCTAGGAGCTCACAGGCTGGTTAAAAAAAATAAGCACCATGTAAAAGCATTTCCCATGACAGTGTTTTGGACAGCAGTTTTGGACAGGTTGTGTCCAGCAGACAAGAAGAGCTGTCTGTACTTATTCCCTTTTGCTGAATAAATTGTTACGTTTAAAAAAAATCATTCCATTGGTCAAAATCGAAACTGCACAACTTAATACAAAATAATTCAAAAGCAAGACCTCAATGTTATTTCTTTTTCTGCAGGGTTACCTGAATAACACTAACCTGCAACTGATCTCCACGTTCATCCATAGACTGCTGCATGTTTTCCAGAGTACTCTCCAACTTCAGTAAGTCTTCCTGAACACTGGCAGTCAGACCGCCTTCAATCTGTAGCTGTTTACCTTGGGCAATCTGTCGCTGTACATCTTGCCTCTTAGCATGGAGCCTCTTTGCCTTTTGCTAGGAGCAAATATTTAAAAGCACTGCAGTAGATACAGACATATTGTTCACCTGCCTACAGAGGTAACCACATACGGATGCATACGTGAGTGTCTTATATGTTTGTAGACACCAAGAATAATTTAAAGGTTTCTCTCTCCAGGTACCAAAGAAGAGTAGGTAAATCTTCCAAAGTTCAGCTATCGAGGTGCTGGCTACCCTTGCCTCACTTGATGGTCCACAGGCATATTACCTTAAAATATGGTCATGAACATAACTGCTATGCAACAATGGAAGAAGAAAAGCTATAAGTGTACACTATTCCTGTAGAATTCACATGTGCCAAATGCCCTTGCTTTACATTAATACATGTAAATGTACAATAGTTAGCACAGCTTCCTTTCAAATGGTCTGTCAACTGAAATGGAAGCAAAACAGTAACTTTTTCTTTTGAGATTGCTATATAGAGTGAAGAAAGAGGATGGGGAAGTAGGAAAGAGCCACTTCACCACAGCACATTGCAGGGCTTAAAATGCACCCTTCCTCTCTCTCTCCCTTAAACAATTCACAATTTTCACCCCCTACCCTACTCTGCAAAATATTTAATAAAATAATATATTCAAATTAATCACTTGCAAATTTGTTCTCCTGTAAACTGGAAAAAGACATTTTGCAACAGGCTTAGATATTAGTGTTAGCAGCAAAAGACATGCATATAATACTCCTTACCGCAGAAATTAATGTAGCTTCACCTGTAAGAAGTTGCCTTACCTGATGGTATCGAAGGAGTTGCTGGGCCTGTAATAAGCTTTCAACGTGGAAGATTTTCTCAACTTCTGCCTGAGCTTCTTTTGAATTTGTAATCAGATCTTCCAAATTGCCTTTCACTTCTTCAGTGAATTGGACACAATCGCCAACTGCACCCAATGTCTTCTCAATCTATGTTTAAAAAACATTGGCAGCACCTGTTCAGTATCATATACTTTTAACAATTTTGATAAAACCTGGATGAGTTACAATTCCATGATCAAATAAGGCTACAAATCTTTATACACATGCCAAATCTAATCAGTCAGTGGGCTCACCTCTGAGTCATTAAGCGTAAGATAATGTCAGATCCTCTTTATTACTTTCTAATCACCTCACAGCCCTCAACAATTCTAAGTAAAAATGATGGATGAACTCTGTTTTGCACCAGTATGAAAGGTTTCCATTAGTGGCTTTTGGTTGTAGCTAAGTGCTCATGAATTGCTAAGAAAAAACGTTAGTAGGTTACTGTGCAATTCTGGATGAATGCTAGAATAGGAACTGTTTGTTAGCAGTTTATACTAATTTTGTGGTATGTGAGTTGTATAAATAACAGAAAGACAGTTTTCTAAGTACAGTGAAGCTATATCATACCTCTGTCAACAAGGATAAGAGCCTCTTGAAGTCACTAGAAAGCTTAGAAAGCTCATCTCCTTGCTTTTTGGCTTCATCCCCTGAAGAAACTTCAGACAGAGCAGCCAACCTTGATTTCAGCCAGATGACAACTTCTCCTTGCTTGCAAGCTTCTTGTCTGATTTCCTATACACAAGACGAAACCAATGTACAGATCAGAAACACAAAACAAACTGGGTCTCCCAGCAATGGACTGGGAGACCTAGGTTTGTACCAGTTCACTAACCATCAATTGCATCCTATGGTTAGAAAAAAATGAAACTTATTTTGTAGATTGTAAAATGTAAGGATCCTAAATGTGGGTTTCTTGTGGCAAGTATGTGTACTTAAAACAACCACAATGGGCCACACCCAGCTTGATGGATAAATATGCAGCAAGGTCTATCAAAAGATGTTGTGATGGTCACCATCCTGGACAGCTTTAGAAGGAAACTAGTCAGATTCATGCAGGATAAAGGTATCAATGCTTTCTAGTCAAGACAGCTCTATAGTGCTTCCGGGATCAGGGGCAGGATGCCCCACAATACCACCTGGTGCAGAACACGAGAGAGAGAGTGCTCTGGCACTTAATTTCAGCTTGTAGGTCCTCCGTGAGCATCTGATAGAATGCTGAACCAGACAGGTTTTAGCCTGATCTAGCACAACTTTTCTTAGGTTGTCATTCAAGTACATGCATCTTTCTCACAATATTGCCTGTACCAGCATGCGGTCATATTTTAAGTAACAATCTAAATGAGCAGCTGTGCCTGCACTTGGCAGCACTACCAAGAGACGCTGCATCCACCATCAAAGGAATGAAGAATGGTTCCCTATTTGGTGCTGTCACTGACTTCTGTATCATTATTTTGCTTCACTGTTCCTTATATTAGGTTTCCAACTGTCTAATGATTCAGTTGGAGAAGCAACAAAGATTTTAGCATAAGCATTTTACCATAAGCATTTTCTTTAGAATTTAATGTTGTGCATAATTTAAGGAACTTATGCAGACAGCAGAGTGTGAGCTTTACATAAGGGATTTCTTGATTCAGTGGTGATGTTCTAAGTTTTTTCAGCGGTATAATTTTTAAACCTTTGGTTTTAAGACATAAAGCAGGGATTTTAAACAAACTTTCCCATTTTCTGGCAAGAATATTCCCATATTTAAAAACAGATTGTGGTACTAATAACAACCAGAAACGCTAAACATTTTACAAGAGAAAAACATACTGCTCACTCTTAAATCTGGCCAACATGACTCATTACAGCACATCCACACATGTATTCTGAAGACTTTTCTCTACATAGAAGATGCATCCATAAGCAAACTGCAAACTGTATTACATGGAACATTGTGTTGTGCATTTCCTTATAATGGAGGCCATTTTCAGCCAGTTGTCCTGTGCGGTTTTGTCTACCTAGGAAAAACATGTTTTCTTACATTTAATGTTTTATACAGCTTACTTGAAATCACTTTAAATATACCTCTATTGATGTTTTGAAGTGTTTATATTTAGCAGTATCAGTAGCACCATGTTTAATCTTCTTAAGCTGTGGCTCCCTTGATGAAATCCAGCTTTCTAATTCAGAAAACCTGAAACATAGCCATATAGAAGAAAATGAACAATAAGCAAGTATGTAGACAAGAATGAGCTTTTGAACCAGTTTTACAGCTAAGGATTTATGAGTGGTTGGGGAGGGGAGTCTTCTTCAATTTTTTTTGAAAGGGTATAGAAATACTACAGAAACATCGTGATTATCTGCGCTTCTCCAGTCCAAATCTCTAACTTCTTTCATTTGTTTACTGTATTTAACTTCTACATTGCCTAATAGCTGAAGCTCTCTGGGTTGTTTCCAATAGCTGCATTATATGTTCCTTGCTAATACATATATGTAAGATTTTAATATTTTTTCTTCTACTGGCAATTAATATTGGATATTTCTTAGAGGATAATAAATACTCTACTATAAACACAATACCTGTTCTTGTAGTCCTTCCATTTATCTGGGTGGTCCATTAGCTCCATGTAAGTGCAGGCCACTTGGGATTTAAGTTCACTGAGATCTTTCTGGGTGGTTTCATAAGTTGTCCTTAATGAATCCCATTGGGGTAGCTTTGAGCATAATTCTTGAATCAGATTTAATCTTTTCTCACACAGTTGTAATGGCCCTTTATCTCCAAAGAATAACTGAAGGCAAAGAAAAGGAAAAGTTGCTAACTGCATCAATAAGGTTACTGTAAAACTATTATATCTTCCATTAGGAGTATATGCACCTTCATGGAAAGCAAGACTGATACAAGTGAACATACAAAACCCAACCTTCAGGTCATGTTCAATGCTTATATAAAATCAAAGAAAGTAAGAATGCAAGGCTAAATACACTGATTTGGAAATAAGGCCTATTAAACATAATGGGAGATTTCTGAGTAAACAAGGCAACGAGGGCCAAATTCAAAAAAACAAATTAGCATAATGAGAATGCAGACTAACTGAATCTGTTGCTTTCAGCATATAGCAAATGACTGCCTTTCCATAAATCTAACCATATATATGCTGCACTGCTGTATAAGACTTGTTTGGATTTCATTTTTTAAAGAAATCTTTTGAATAATAACACATTAATTCTTCCATTAGGGAGATAACAGGTGCTTCTTCTTAACTACTTGAAGAAAATAGTTAATTTAATATCTATCTTTCAGGGAACACAGCAAATCAATACAAAGTACTGAAGGATAAATTAAGCACCCATCTCACACTGACCAGGAATGGTTTGAATCTGCAAAACAGAAGCTTCAAGTTAAAAAAAAATAGAGTTAATGGTCTGCTGATACTTATGGAAGGCTAGATATTTACGGACTATTTATGGACTGTATATTTATGGAAGGATCTTGGCAACTGTTAGATAATATAGTGCAATATAAGTGCTGTGAGAAAGCTCCACTTTAACTCCAGTTTTGACTAAGAGTTGGAAGAGCAATGCCTCTCAAGTGAGTAGAGTCTCATTCATGCCTGTGTACCCTCAGCATTATTTTTAAAGACACCATGTATATTTGTTTGGTTCTTTCAAAACTGAACATCCTATTCTAAGTGCATGTATGAGCAAATGTATGAACAAATACGAATTGTGTGTGTGTCTGCATGATCATACGAGTGCAGGTATGTCCATGTGTGTAATGGCATCCATATGAGCACATTTCTCTGTGTACACATGCATAGGCAGCCCCGGCAGACACCTCATGCAGTTCCCGGGACCAAGAAGGCTGTACAAAACCCAAAGCAAGTATCATTTGCAGAAGCTCCCAAACAGTGCTGAGTGGTGATACAGCAAATGCAGATTAAAGACATTTCTTTCATCCTGCTTTTCCCCCTTTTGCAAGAACCCACAGCAGCGTACAAGGTTCTCCTTTCCATTTTATCCTTACAACAACAACCCTGTGAGCTAAGTTAGGCTCAGAGTCCCTGACTGCCCCAGAGTCACCCAGTGAGCTCCATGGCTGAATAGGGACTAGAACCCGGATCTCCTGTGTTCCAGACCAGCACTCTTAACCACTACATCAAACTGGCAGTTTTATTTATTACATTTCTATACCACTGAATAGGCAAAGTGGATCACAACAAATAAAACCATAAAATCAACATGCAACTTAATTATGAAGACAATGTTAAAATAATCAAAATAAAACCTAGTGGCTGTGCAAAAGAGTTAATATGCAGCACTCACACAAGAGCTTACAATAAAGCTCTTGGCAAACCTGATGACGACCCACACATTCCATACACCTTTTGATTGTAGAATTGGTTCTAAGCTGCAATAATGTGAAACTTACACGTAAATAAAAATGTTTGGGGCAGAAGTGTAAGAATTGGCCTGCTCATTTCCTGGATAAAGCTGAGACACTTTATTTATTTGTTTTATAGCCTGCTTTTTTATTTGTATAATGAACTCAAAGTGACTTATATCTTTCTTCTCAAACTCATACCCACAACAACAATCCTCTGAAGTAGGTTGGGCTGAGAGTCAATGACTGGCCTAAAGTCACCCAGCTTGCATCATGGCCAAGCAGGCCCTAGAACCCAGGTTGCCTGAGTTCCAGTCCTGCACCCTTAGCCACTACACAAGACTGGCTATTTTTAGATACCTTGCATTGCCAGGTATGTAACTGTGGACGCATTTCTACAAGTGCCCATGCTGCCATTTTACGGGCTTACCTTGTGTTCCCGAATTATTTTTTCACTGCTCTCCTTGGACACCAGTGCTTCCTGCCGAGCTAATTCTGCACGACATTCTTGCATGGATGCTAGGAATTTGCTCTTTTCCACCTCTATCTTCAAGTGAATCAAATGGTAGGGGGCCTCTGACTGGAGATCCTATAGTCCAGAAGTCACAGAAGGGGGAAGATGACACTTCACAGAATATTTATTCAGAAAGCAATTTCTCTTTCAGAATACAGTTTGTAAACAGCAGGAGAAATAAGAAAAACCAATACATTCCCTTAAATGAGGTGTGTTCCATGTTTTAGATAGTCATACACATAGTTCAGCTTCTGAATCTTATTTTCATTTAGCTAAGAAAACTAGCACTATACAGAAATTTCCATTATTTCTGACCATTCACAGTGGTAAAAGTGTAACCAGAAATTACCTCACAAACTGGGAAAGGCAAGAAAAAAATTGGAAAAATTTCCAACTAAGGCTAGGTGGGTGGGCTTACCTTATTATTAGGACATGGAAGCTCAGGTTTGTTTATCTATATGGGCCACAGCAATTTGGGGGGGGGGGGATTGAATAAGGTTTAATGCCACAATTTCATCCTTTGTGGAAGAAGAGTGGCAAAAGGAAAAAAAGTCCATGTGTTTCAGTGGGGACTTTTCAAGGGAAAAGTGGAATTTCAGCACAAACCTGAGAGGGGAAGCTTAAATCCCCTTTCATAAATCATGACTGGTTCCAATCCAAATTGGCAGCACATGCACTTACACAGAGGTAAGCAACCAGAAGATGAGCTTAACTCTCACATGTACAAAACTTCAGGAACATCTCTAGCTCTTGATCAGAGCGAGAAAGCTTCAATGGAGAGTCTCCTTGATTGTGCGGAGCAGTCAGCAAGGATTATTGTAAAGATTATTATCAATAGTTTGATAATAAATTGTTAAGATAAACAATAAATAAAATCCTCAGCCCTCTTACCCTACTAAGTAAGGTAAGCCCACCCACACCCACTGCATCCCACTGTAGTAAAAAAAGAATCCTCTTCTCAGAAATTTCTCCTTCCCTCTCAAAAGGCATCAGACTGCCCCCACAACATTTGAGCAAACAGGCAGGCTGCACCATGGAAATGTGCCAGGAACATGCCAGGAATGTTGATCCAGCCCTAAAGGAAATATTGGTGCATTTCTTACTTTCAAAAGATTATTCGTTGTTAATTAGATGAAGTAAACATTTATTTCATAACTTATGATCATTATTATTGCTGTTTCTGTCTGGATCAAAACACTTTAATAATTGAATGCCATGGAGTCTTTTATGATATTTCCTACCTTTTTTGGCAGCTAGGAAGAATGTTCATATTTTATGCTCTGTGACTATATAAATGTTAAACAAATATTTGAGACATACTATACATTTACTGATGTACCTCATTAAATGGAAGAAAAAGCACAACAGAAAGTCAATACAAACTGAAAAAACATAAAATGTCCAATGCAGTATGATTGTTCATTCTGCCTCTTCAACAAAACCAGAGAAAAAACAGAGGCCACCCACTTGGATAGGCTGAATTTTGGAGCAACCTAATTTATGCTGTGAATTGATCAGAAACACTAACCTTCCATTGCTTATGCAGTTTCCTAACAGCTTCCTGAAGGGTATGTTGTTCTTGCTCAGGAAGGATGTCAGTTAGTTCATCACAAGCTTTCAGGAAAGCATTAAGCACCCTCTGGTCCAACTGACTGAAAAATTCCTGATTTTGAAAGACAAAGTTATACATTTATAATGTTAATATGGTTGCACACAAACCATGTTAGTTTAGCTTGCTGCTGCTGCTGCTGCTGGTACTGCATTTCAAACAACACCTGAGGTTAACAGCTAATTACATAACTTGTTACTCCTTTCTCTTTTAGGTTTTATTTCTCTGAAGCAAGTAGACAAAGCCCCAGTTTGAAAGAATCATCTTTTCTTTGCTCCAACCAGGGACAAATGAAAGATTTCCATTTAAAAAGAGAGGAAATCTTTCATTGGTGTGTGCAAAAGCTCTAGAGTAAAAATAAAGGGTAATAACATGCAGTCTGGACTTATCTTGATGCAATGAAACTAATTTAACATGTACTTGGGCTGTAAGTCCACTTTTTTCAAAGCTACACTCTGTCCCCATCTTCTCCAACCCAAATTACACCGTACCTTTAATAGATAGCATGTAGCTACAACAGAAGCAAATGCTTTCTTGTTTTGTTCTATGCAAAAGCAAGCTCAGTATGCAAAGAGCAGACAAGATCAGGATGGTAATGTTAGGTGCCTTTTTATACTCAGCTTAGTAACATAAATTATACGCAAGTCACGTTGATCTGAAAGACCTGACCTTGGAGCTTAGGATCACAGCCCAAGTATATCACTACATAAGAGAGATATTTAATTTTATATCCTTTCCAGATGGTAAATTAGGCCACAGAGGGCTCAGTGTTGTCCTCTCCCCTTCTCCCACACTGCCCCCAAAGAGACAAGTGCACATCACAATATACTGGGTGTCACTGAAAATGGAGGCATAAAGTGTTCCTTCCACATAGTCATCTCTCTCCCCCTCTCTTTTGCAATCCAGGGAAAAAAGAGGACGGATAGCTCCATCAAGGGTGAAATTTGCAGCCCCCACACATCTGGAGGGCCATGCATTCCCCATTCCTTGGCAACATGGAAACACACGCTGGTGTCATATTCTTGTAATATCGGACACTACAAGGTGACTGAACAATGTTAAATATACACTGCTAGCAACGGAACAGAAATATGTCCGAGTGGGAACAGTACTTACAGTATGTTTCCGGAGAAGTTCTTCAGGATTGCCTCTTTCCTTTAGACAGCTATGAGCAACTTGAAGGACGTTTTCTAATTCTGTTCTAGAGTCTTCAAATTGCTTCATCAAACGACTATTTGCCTCAACATTTTTCTTCCAGTCATCTGTCTTCTTGACCATATCCTTTATATGTAAAAACAGAAAAATGTTTTACTTAATATTTTATGGTTATGCCATCATACTCCAAAAAGAATGTGGAAAAAATACTGGACCTTGCCTTGTTCCTTTTCTTGCATTTCTTTCTGGGGAGGTTTTGACACAATCTGAGTCTTACAAAATTGGATTGGATTTGGGCTGCTTTAATTTGAACATGACCTTTACATGCCGTAGTGCTCAAAATTTTGCTTAAGCAGTGGAAGAGCACTGTTTTTAAACAAGGCAAAATCAGTAAGCCCACAAGAGCTAATGAATTTCCAACATGCAACAATTTTAACGGTGGTAATTCTGAACTTCTAATTTAAATCAGATTCCCCCCCACAGGCCCCATAAATGGTTGTGGTGCCCCAGGCACACTGAGAGGAAGGAGGGAGGTTCCTTCCTCTGGCTGGTTTGTGGTACCTGCATGGCGCAGAGCTCCAGGAGCTCCTGCAAAAAATATTTTCTCTGAGCCCAATGGGGCTTACATGGCACAGTTTCCCCCTTATCTCTCACATGGAAGGGGCATTGTCAACACTGCTCCTGTTGGGTCCAGTAAATGTGACTTAAGGGAAGAGTCTTCTCTGCATAAATCTAAGGTGAAGAAGTATTCAGACTATAGCTTGAAGTATTACTTCCAGGCAGCATTTCAAGTACCAATGTTAGTGATTTCTATCCTAAATGGCTTTTTTCCTTCTTGCTCATAACACTAGTATTCTTCATAAAGAAATTAATCCTACAATTTAGAGGTCAGAAATTGGAATATCTATACTGAATCAGGATTAAGGAAGGCTCCAAGTTGGCCCACTGCATTGCATCCCTTTTATTACCTATTATTATCTTCCCTGCATAATCAGTTGCCTATAAATTTTCAAGTAATATCTTCACTGGCTAGCATACCAGGACAATAATTCAAGTTTATTGTGCAAAAATATTCCAATCAGCAACGTTTTTCCATGTTTATCAAGCCAAGGAAACCTATCATAAATAATATACATACTCCCTTTTGGTTGTCTTCAAGAGCTATCAATATGTAAAACATAAATATGCAAACTATAATTGGATTTTTTTTGCAGTGAAAAGCAACTTCAGGAGTTGAGTCTTTGGAACACAGTAGTATGAGGGCGGTAGTTAAACCTGTCTATGTTTGAATTCCTTTCCTCCAAACCTCACGCTGCCCACACCTCTGCCAGTCCCCTTGCATGATTCAGAACAGGTCTGGGAGAACAGCAGGAGAAGACCGAGTAGGTGGTGTGGGTGGAAAACCTACAGGCAGCAAAAGGTGATATGCCCTGTCTTTCTCCTACCCACTGTTTCTCCATTCTAAGTTTTACCTCCTGAAACTGTTCTAAAAATTGCATGCCACATTTTGCGAGAACGCCTGCTGCTTCTTAATCTACTCCATCATCAAGTCTCCTAAAGCTGTTTCTGTTTTAGGAGAAAACTGTGTTTAAGCTAGTTTATCTGCACTTCAGCATTATGTGCATTAGAGCTGCTCACCAGACCATGTCTTTGCTTTCATTTGCATTTTATTTAGTATTTACATTTACATCCAATCTTTCCTTCAAGGAGCCCATACATCCATCTCCTCCACGTTTGTTCTCACAAGAACCTTTTGAGAGGTTGGCTGGGAGCCAGGAAGTAGTTTGAAATCACCCAGTGATCGGGATGAAGGCTGGAACTTGAGTCCCCTGAACCCCAGTCTAATATTCTAGACTGCACCGTCCTAGTTCTTCAATATACTGTATTAAGGGCAGTTTGCTATCAAGTGGGCAACTAATCTAGGAATATGTTTTTTTCAAATTAGAAACTGCCTTATTTGACATAACAGTCAGTGGTTTCCTTTCTAGCCACTGGAGTTGGAGAGAGCTCTCTTATGCTACAAATGTTTCCAAATTTACTGAAATCATACCACCACTTCCAATCATTACCTGAAAAGCAGCTTGAATCTCCATGACTTTCTTCTTAAGTACTGCAACGCTAAAATGGTGTAATGCCTTACTTGAAGCCACAAACTTTGTAATGCTCTGGTTACTTCTTTCAATAAGTGATAAAGCTTTCTTGCAGTGTTCTTGATAAGCTACTAGATCCTAAAGGAAATAAAAGAAAACTTAAAGTAAAATTAAGGACATTTTTGTAAGGAAGCTAAGTAGTCAGAATGATATCACTGTAGGACACATCTAGGTGGATCCTCAACTTTATTTTCCACAGAATAAATAATAGATTATTCTTCAGAATACAGATGTCACTGGACTATCATTTCATGAAGATGGGTCTATAGTCCTATATGAAATTACATGCACTGAATTCCTATTGCTTTGAATGGCTTTTGAGCATTTGTAATGAAGGATTACATCTTAGGCACTAGATTTTTCTATAACATATGTTTGTCATTTAAAAATATTTCCTAGAGTCTCCAGTGAAATCCACTAAATGCTGCAGGTCTGATTTCCTGTTCTGTGTTCATGTGGACTAACTGGTTCCTAAAAGCTTTAATTCAGTTTCTGGCATGACAGCATCTGCTTAACATCTTCAGTACCGTTTACTCATTATTATGTATTACACTTCTATATTGCATAGTAACTGAAGCTCTATTATCAGGATGGCCTCCTTTCAACAGACAGAAACTCATAAGTAAATCTATGAGGAAATGGCACGAGGCTTTAATTCTAGAAGTCTATTTACCTAGAACATGAAGTGGATGGAATATACTTAGGATCTAGGTGTATGTTACTGACATTTATGAAGTTCATCATTTCCTATCCTTGCATTCACCAAAAGCTAAATAGCTACTTCAGAGCAGGAAATAAACTACAAAAATAGACAGAGAGGAAAAACTATACAATTAAACTATCACAAATTCTTATATCTTTCTAGAGACAGATGACAGACAGACAGACAGACACCTTGCATGTTTAGAAAGACTTATGGAAATCTGTATAAACACAGATAGGACTGTTTAAGAAAGTGCTTTTAGGAGTGTTTAAGAGAGTTTTTTTATTGTGAGTCAACAGCATGGAATTATCTGGCAGGTGGTCTTGAATCTTCAAGGACAGAAATTCAGTTAGGGAAAAATAAAACTATGTAATTATAATGGCTCCAGAAGGTAATTTCCTGAAGCAGGGCCTGTCTTAGAGAGATTGGCTTACCAGGCATCTCCTACAGCAATACAACATTTCTTATGTGCAAGTATCTTATGCGTGGGTGGGTGGGGGAGTTAATTATGCAAGATGAGACAGTTGGGGTTACGGGAATATGCCTCTCATACTGAAGTGAATGATGGGCTGCATGTGAGCAGAGAGCTCCATACTGCACTAATAAGATTAAATTCACAACAGTACATGCATTGAGATCTCTAATTTACTCAGAAGTATGAGAATCTCCCTAATACATAAGGTTGCTGCTTAAATGTCAGTATTTAAGAAGATGACTTCCATCCTGTCCAAGTATATTGGTACATGCCCACTGCGTTATAGCATACAGCTCAATTTCTTTTACTATATTCTTAGAAATGATGTATGCATATAGGAGTAGTATGTAGGTTGCAGCTGCAACTTCCTGTCCAGAAAACCCATGGTATTTTAGTAGGGTGCATACAAAAAGGGACAGTATGAAGCAGTATTGCACTGAATCAGACAACTGGTCTCTTTTATTTATATTTATTTAAAGTTTTTATATGCCGTCCCCTTGCGACATAGCCTCTTTCTAGCTCAGTAATGTCAAATCTGTCTGAGAGTAGCTCTCCAAGATCTCACATTGCTACTTTTCCCTGCCCAGCACCCTGAGATGCTACAGATTGAATACAGAATTTCTGCATGCTGCATGCATTCTCCACAATGGAGCTATGCTCCATTCTTCAGCCATAGGTTGAATCAATAGGATATTTTCACTGCATCCATAGGGCAATCCCCATTTTAATCTATTCCAAGGAAAGGGAACTTGGTGTGGCATGGAGTGGAAATAAAAGGTTCATAATTTTAACAATGTCAGAAAAATATCAAACTAAATTAGTAAGCTAACAGAACAATTTCACTTGGAATATTCCTGCAAGAAATACCTGATGTTGCTGTTTAAAAATATCAGCAGGTTGAACTTCAGGGTCTAGGACAGAAAGAATTTCATTGACTTTATCAAGAGATTCATAAAAATTTGTAATTTGCTTCTCTAATTCTTCAAGGCGAGGAAGTAGCTGTTGAGCCTCACAGAGCACAACTGGGCAAGATTCATTAACCTGAAATCAGGGAATATCCATATTTATTAATTCCAAACTGAAAATGATACAGCAAAGTATAACATAACACAATGTAACAAACTAACTTCACTGTACTCATATTTAAATAATCACTTTAAGGCACATTTTGAAGTGTTAAATGGTCCTGAACATACAATACTTATTCCGGCAAAATCTACCACCAACCTAAAATGGCTTAAAATAGTAACTTGTTCCATGCTGTACTATGTACTCAAATGTAGTCATTAAATATAATTTTCTACTGCATTCTGTTCAGGAGCAGCTTCCTCCTCCTCCTCCCTTTTTGTTCTATGCTTTTCATTGTCCCAGCCTTCAAGTCTCATCTTGCATGTCATTCCTTCTCAATTTTCAGCTTGATGCTATTCCTTCCTCTTTTTCTTGACAGTGCCCTCTTTACTCTTTTTTTGAATAAATTGTTCATGCTTTTACAAATAGTAATTGTTTCTTGTTTACTTGTTTTGATACTCTACCCATCTGGGTTTTCCACAAATAAGAAAGATTTCAGAAAAAATAAGGAATAAAGAAGAGAATTTCATTGCTGTAGTTCATTCTGCAGAATGGGTAGATTAGCACTAGCCTTGATAAGCTGCTCCATATCTAGGTTTAAAGCATCTGTCTACATAGCAGATGGTTTGAAGCTTATTAAAAAGGCTGCACACATCAATGTGCCTCAATGTTTTCTGGGTATCACTGAAAGCCTATTACATTTGTGTCCCACCTTTTCCCTTACAATGAACCCAAGATGGCTTACAAAGGCCCACTCCTCTCCATCTTAGCCCTGTGATAGAGGCTAGGCTGAGAGTCAGTGATGGCCCAGTGAGCTTCATGACTGAATGGAAACAAGAACCAAGATCTCCCAAGACCCAGGCAAGCACTCTAACCATAACCCAACATTCACTATACAGCTTTACAGTGTGGGATATCTTTTCAAAGTACTGGAATAATCATGTACACAGGACGTGTGTGTGGTGGTGGTGGGGATCCATTACCTTGCTAAGCCATCCTTTGATTCCTGACATTGTTGCAAGCATGTCATTGACCTCTTCTAGTGGAATTTCTTTTGTAATAAGTTGTCCTGTTCTTGTAACCATCTTGTACTGGGATTCCATCACAGGAACTTTTTGTTTAATATCCTGCAACATGTTTTTCAGCAATAACTATGTTGAACAATAACACATATATTTTCCAGTGCAATCATCTTTTCCCATTGCACAAACCCAACACCTTAATAAAGGCAGTATCTTTTCTTTCTATCTGCATCAATCAACATGCTTTAATAATTACATTCAAAATGTTTGACTTCAAGGGCTATCTAGGATATTCTTATGCAAGATCTTTTTGAGGACTTCTTAGTCAAAGTTATTATTATCCCAAACTTGGTTCCTGGGTTGGCAAGAACTAACAACTCCAGTTATCTAAATCATATTGAAAAACTCTGGTTATCAGAGGGTTAGAGAATATTTTCATAAAGCAGAACAACTGTGAGTGACAAGCCATGGTATGTTTCCATATCATGTGAGCTTGGATCATTTCCCACAGGATGGCCTTATTCGGAGGCTTATTAACAAGCAACCCTGACAACTGATGACGTCTCGGACACAAAATGCATTTTTTTCATCCGAAGCTGGACAACCATCATGGGCACGGGGAAGTGGCTAGAGATCCAGGCTGCAAGAGTGGCAAAGCCTGTTCACCGCTCTTGCTGAGCTAGCCTGGGCCCTGCCCGGGAAGGAGTAGAGTAAGGAGCCTTTAGCTCTCAGGTGCACACTGGGGGGTTTCATAAAAAACCCATCCTATGTAACTTATTCACAGGGTGGCTGTCATGACATGGGAATCCATCCAGAGAGAAGCAGAAGAAAGAACATAAGCAGAACAGCAGAAGCAGCAACAAGCCCCTTAGAACGGCAGCAGATAAGCTGTTGCTCTGTTTTTAAAAGTCTATGAACAGTCCAAGAACCTTGTCCTAGTACCATTGTGAAGTGGCAAAGTACCACAAGCAGAATGGAACAGGATCCAGGATGTTGCTATTTTGGAAATGAACTATGTCCTAACTCCTGTCAAACAGCTATAAAGACTTTTTCTGAAAGGAAACGAAACTTGCCTCCAGTTCTTGGACAAACATCTTTACATTTAGAAAGGACACTTCTAAAGGCACATGGATTTTCCTCTTTGCTTCGTCAGTGAAAGCAGACAAGGCAGCAATACCATCTGAATATTCCTTCCTCATTCTGTCTAATTCGTCAGCCCGAGCATACTATCAAAATAGAGAAAATGAGGGGTCAATACAGCACAGAATATATCAGTAATAAAAGTTTACATTTCCTTGGTCAGAGCTCTTTTAGAAGATACATGTTTGTGTTTCACACTGAAATTATCATAACTAATATAAATTACTTTAAACTGATTAGGCATGTAAATTAATAACCGTGGAAGAAATGTCACCAAGGACATACCTGTTTAACTTGCATAAATAATTCTCTCCACCGTCCATTGAGCAGCAGCAGCTGTTGCTTTAAATCTCTGGAAATAGTCTCATCACACGTTTCAATCAAAAAATTGCCTGCGTCATTCATAGCAGTATGCTGCTGTATCCACTGTGGCAAATGGCGGAAAAAATCCTAGAAAACACGGCTAGTATTGCTGAACAGCTCGTAAACATGGACAAGTCACACTGTATTCAAGATTTGCTTGTATGCAACAGCTGCTTCCACCTCATTTCTTCTGGTGTTTCAGCTGGAAAAACTCATGTCTGTTCTTTGTATCTGATGAAAAGTTATGCCAATCAAACTGAACAGTCAAGCAGAGCCCTGCTGAATCAGACCAAGGATCCAACTGGTGCAGCATTCTGTTCGCACAATGGTCAACCAGCTGTCTCCAAGAAAACCACGAGCAGAACTTGAGTAAAACCACACCCTTCTGCCCAGGTTCCCTGGTAACTGGTGACAGTGGTGTGCGGCCTCTGATACTGGAGGTAGCATATAGCCACGGTGGCATTCTTTGCCAGGACTTTGTACAATCCCCACTAAAAGCCACCCAACTTGGTAGTCATCACTGCCTCGTGTGGAGTTTAATTCCTATGTGTTGTGAGGAGAAGTATTTCCTTTTATTTGTCCTGAAATAAATCAACTTCACAGGATGAGCCTGAGTTATCTTGGGATCTAATACTGAGCAAGGGAGAAAAACCTCTCCCTATTCTCTTCCTCTGTTGTTCAGTCACAGTCATGCCCGACTCTCCGCAACCCCATGGACCAAAGCACTCGGGCCCTTGTGTATCCACTGCTGCTATGCATAACGTTCTTTGGAGTAGAATACACCTTACCTTTTTGGCATGTTCAGGCTGATTCAGCATCTTTTCTGCATCCTCCAGCCAGGCCTGCAGACTAGCGACGGTGCTGCTGTACCGGTCCCAGTTAGAAATGACTTCTTCTAACATGCTCCTCACGCTCCTCACCTCTACCGACAAGTGCCTCCACTGTGTTGTTGTCTCATTCATGAATCTTGTGACACTCTCTATTTCCTCCACTGAAATGAGAACTGGGTTTTAACACAAATCATGACCCAACTGAAGTCACTACCCAACATATAAATAATAATAATTAAAAAACCAGCAGCAATGGTAGTAGGTGCAATGCCAAATAAATCATTTGGTTATATCAATCAATTTTAAAATATCTGATTGACAAAAATGTGTTCTGGTCAATTAAATACCATCATTTTTATTATTTTAAAGTAAATAGACATTTATAGGGCAATACAAAAATTAAATAAGTTGAATTAAATGAATTTCCTAATTCTAGTAGTTTTATAATTGTAAAACATGCCCAGAAAAAGTTAATGTACTAGTCATGCAATTTTAAAGCTAACTGCCAAGCACTTTTTCCAAGTAATAACATATATTACATAATGAATTTGCTCAAACATAATATATTTGTTCAGCTTTATATCCTATATAGGATTGACACATGGATTTAGCAGCTTAACACAGAAATACATACAGTATCTCAAACAAGGAAACAGAAAACTATATCAAGTTCCATTCAGAAAGTGTAAATCACATGCAAGCACCTGAAGTCAACAACAATGTACACAGTGCATTTCTATCTTATATTCTAAACATTTTGATTTAATTGGTTCACAGACATGGCTGCCAATGCATTCCTCCATCCTGGCTGGAGAGTCTCTGCTCCCATATGCTTCAATGCAATAAGGAGAACCCAATGCAAAGCGGTGGTCTACCTAACATGATAGCAAGGAATATTGTTCTGAAAAGCCTTCACCTCATGGCTCATGGCCTCTGTGCCAACATACATGGGCACTAATTCTGTCAATTTCTATTTGCCTTGCACCAGTTCAGCTCGATTGCATGATCAAACAGAATTCAAGAACACTTAAAAGCGAAGCTGAACAAAGCTAAATGCATGTCTACTTACGTGAGCCATTAGCTTGGGCATACATCTCAGCTGCTTTTTTCAAGATTTGGTACGTAACTTCATACTGATCAAAAAATTTGTTGTTTTCTATAACAGACTGAAAAAGAAAGCAAAAGAGCTTGTGAAGAATATCAACAACACAGTTTATGGGAAAACACAGTTATTGTCTACCTTACTGTATCTGTTCAGAGTTTTGCCTAATTTCTTCTTTTCCTGTCTTTGTTAGCTTTGTAGAAATGTCTCTCAGCATTAACAGTCTTCACAAAGTACAAAGTACAGTATGTGGTGAAAATATTAATGGAAAGTTTCAGCAAACCTTGGGCACTGACACATGCATTACCTACAAGAAAGATTTTAAACTGTACATTATATAAAGGCAACAAATTAACATAAACCAAGACAGAGTCCCTCTAGTTTAGTATTGTCATCGTGACGAGCAGCAGCTGTCCAGGAATTCAGTGGCTGATAACAGTAAAAGCTGGACCTTCCACATGTAGAATATGTCATCTGCTCATACACAGGCACAATCCAGAAAAAGTTAAATGCGTGTATCACTCTCTTATTTGCATGTGAGAAAGTTAAGAATGCCATGAATCAGCTGGCCTTAAAATGCCTTTTTTGCTGTATGGGACGTGTGATCTTCTGACTTTTCTTCCAGGAGAGGCAGGACTGGGTGCGTAGCAAACAACCTAGCTGCATAGCTTTATAAACTCAGGTGCTACATCAGGGCTAATCTAGGATATGAGTCCATACAGAAACAACAACTGGCACCTTTCTAACAGAAACTGTCAGCATTGCCTGAGGCTGTACAGCATTATAAATGCAGCTTCTGTTGTGTGGGCCAGAAATTGGTGGAAACCGAGCATCATGCAAATGTGAGGTGACAGATGTATGAGTTTACAAGAACATTTAGGCCATATTAGTCAGTCATTCTGGTGTAACTGACACAATGCATCGAAGAATGGGCCAAGCCACTTCTTCCCACATAAAGAGAAGCAGCAGCACACCACGTATTTTAGTTCCTAAAACTGAGACAGGGATATCTGAAACCATGGACAGAGGGACCGTAACTGAAGGGACCTATTTCCCACACACACTTCTATTTGCTGCCAAGACATATTGACACACAATGAAGTGAAAATAATGTGGTTTTCAGATCAATTAAATAGGAAAACAGACCATTTCTTTTATGTCTGCACTGGGCAAGACCTGTGTAACTTATAATTCTGATAGGATAGTCATATTTTGTGATTGGTATAAAATTATGGAAAACTCCACCAGTATTTTTTAACATAGGTATGTTTTAGATTAAATGTAACTAGTGCATGGATAACTATGGCTAGGTAATTTTTCCTAGACAGGAGCACAATTGGCCAGTCAGCCAAAACTGATACAAGGCATTACTGGTTGCAAATGCCCCTGCTCTCGATTGACATTATTGAGACCAGGAGAACTTCCAAACTGACAGCTGACTCATTAGAAATAGTGGGATCACATCCAAAATCAGCTGCCACTATATCTAGGTTGGCAGGTTTCTCTGTGCACAGTACCTCCCTCCTATCTAGATTAAATCTGTTTACCCAACCTGGAACTCTCATTAGACACATTTAGGACTTTCACAGCCTTTCAGAATTTGAAAATAGAAGTCTGAGGCATAGCTGGTTTGCCCTTCATTCTCCTGGTCTGGATTACAAGATGAATCTCCTCAGTGGCTTTACATAAAAGTTAAAAAACAGAGAGGGCAAGTTGGAACCCTGAGAAAATTCACAAACCAAAGCTGTGGGGTAGAACTGGAGTCCTCCAGGATTACCATCTACTGAGTTTCTCTTCCAGGAAGCACCAGAACTACATTACATTATTGTTATAACCAACTGATTTTAGAACAGAAAGATAGAAAAATACTTCGAAAAGCATTTCAATAATTCAGATGCTCATTTGTCATGAGTTTTTAAGGGTTTTTTCTAAGGGCAAAGGCGTTTTTTTCAACAGGCAGAAGGCCATTGGTTTGTCAACTACTTTTGCTTTTCATATATTAATTTTTGTTAAATATAATAGTTCGATTCTGAATGTATTTGGTTGTCAATTTTTTCTTATATTTTTATACATTCCTTTTTGGTACAAAACAGGAGAGTTCCAAAAACTACTTGCAAATATGGGAAAAGTTGGAAGTTAGCTAGTAATGTTGCAAAAGCTTCATGCAAGAGGATTCCCACAACACAGACAACATATTATTTCTCTTTCAAATTGCCTATCTATTTCCGCAGCTCAGGCCCTTTTGAAGGAGAAGCAGTGGGAGTGAATCACGTCCACATTTAGGAAGGGCCACAGTTGAGTAGTAAAACATCTTCAGGGTCCCAGATTTGGTTCTCAGCATCTCCAGGTGGGGCTAGGAAAGAATCTTGCCTGAAGGATCACAAACAGCCAGTTTCAGTAACACTGGGCTTAGATAGGCTTAAATGCATTTGTATTAAGCATTGGTAGAGAGGCATCACCACACTTATGATAAGCTTTCCCCCCCTCTTATGGAAAACCGCATCATCAACCAGACTTAATATTTCACAAGCAGGATCAACTACTTGCTGAACATGCCTGATAATGTGAAAATTATGTAGGCACTGCATTTTCCTACTCGCATTGGGAGGTAGCATAGTGTACCCAGCAGTACAAAGCCACTGACTTAATTACTGTTTTTCCTTGCAATTCATCTCTTGCTTCTTTTATTTAATCCTCCCATGTCAAATTGCAACAGTTAAAGAGCATTCAAATTATCCTTTATTAAAAATAAATTATGGTCAACCATGCTCCAGTCCAGAATGTCACTTTTATCTGTTCTGTCTTCAGAATAGGCTCTCTTGAGATAACTTTTGATAATATACTATACATTTATTGCATAAAAGTAGAAAAAATATCACAGCCATGAAGGTTTCTCATCTTCGTGATAAGGTACAATTGTAGAACATAAGGCCCAGTTTCGACGTAACAGACAAGGTTCCATGCTTATCAATAAGCCATGGTTTTTTGTTTATTACTCTGACTTGTTGGGGAGGAGGTAAATAAGAGTAACTAGTTCACACACACTGCTAACAAACCACAGACAGAAGACCTATGGATTGTTTAACTGCCTTTACCTGAATTTGGAGCACATAAGTGAATGTGCACAAGCAAAATTGTAATAAACAACAAGCCAAGATTCCCCCACAATTCCCCTTCAGTTTCCAGGACAGAAAGCACTTAGATGTGTAAATATTAGAATAGATGGGGAAATGCTTACGTTACAATAAAGGTGGTAAGACAGACTCGGAAGTTGAGCTATTTGAAATTGCTTTACATATGGCAGTAAGTTGGGGGCAGAGGAGACATAATAATAATAATGCAATGCATCACAGAGAGACACAATGCAAAGATATATTATTCTAGCAGATAAAATATTAACTTTGCACAACTGGATCACAAATTTAAAGAATTCTAATAGGTTAAACCCAGCCTAACAAAGCAATCCTATGAAGTCTTACCAAGCCCAATGAGACATACTCCTAGGTATGTGTCTAAAGAGTTGTAGTCAAGGTTACTTGAACTTGAGGCCATTAACATCAGCAGGATCAAAATTTAATTCACTTATTCCAATTGTCACCAAATTTGTGGAACAGTCATCATGTTGCTGCATTATGGTTAGTCAGAGCACTGCTCCATCTGCGTGAGTGTCGTCTGCACTGATTGCAGCTCTGCAGAGGGAAGAGGGAAGCCTTTCCTAAGCCCACCTGGAGATCCCAGAACGGAACCTGGGGTCACCTGCATCCAGTGTGTGTGCTCCAGCATTAAGCTGGCCCTTATTTCTGAATGCAAAGTCCATCAGAACCATGCACTTAATTAAACAAAATGCTGAATAAACTGAATATGAAGAAAGCTCTCGAGTGTAGGTTTGATGAGCTGCTTACTAGGAACATGTTTGGCATTCTGCAGTGTGCTTTTTCAGCCTAGCAGCCCTTGCCCACACATTTATCATTTATTTATTAGACGTATATCCTGCTTTTCCCTTACAATGAACTCAGAGCGGCTTACATCATTCTCCTGCTTAACAATCCTAACCCCACAACAACAGCCCTGTGAGATGAGTTGGACTGGGAGTCTACAATTGGCCCAAAGTCACCCAGCTGGCTCTATGGCCAAGCAGGGGCTCGAACCCAGATCGCCTGAGTCCCTTCCCCACCCTCTCACCCACTGCACCACAGTGGCTCTCAGGGAAGAGGAGCAATGCAACTGAGTTTGCGTCCTGGCTCAGGGTCTTGTGGGAGACTTTATCCCATTCCCCGCCCTGTACCTTTTTTCTGTGTAAAGTAAGTTAACCAAGTAGCAAGGGTGATTTCTGCTGATAATTTTAAAGGAATAAAAGGATCAGGCTTCCCCACCCCAGTGGCCTTCAGATGTTTTGGACAGCATCTCCAGTCATTCCCACGCAATCCCCTGTCCAACCCCATCCAGACAACACCACACTGGAGAATATAACTAGCTGTTTTGTGAGATGTTTCTCTATATATCTAAAATGTTAAAATGATACATTCAAAAATAAAGTAGCATAAACTTACCATATAGTTTTGGAGAAGTAGTTCAACAGACTCTCTCCGTCCATATTTGATAATCCATGATTTTAATTTTGATTCTGCAAGGACCAAGAGCGATAGCAAACGGTACTTTAGTTCCAAGAACTCCATTTTCAGCAGATGGAGCTCAGATGTGGAGGCAACAAAATTAAACCTAGGCATGAATCACACTACAGTTAAACAGTGAAATATTCAATAAGCAGTAAATTATGTTTTCCTGGCTCAAATGCAAAGTCTAAATGCATATTTCATTTTCACTGTCATTATTCTGTAGATTGGTCACTAATAGCATATAACTGTTTGTAAAGAAAAACATCAATCCTAAATATGTTTACACAGAAGTATATCACATTTAATTCAGCAGACCTTGCTTTCTGGATTGCAATATAAATTCTTTTCATTAACAAGTGATTCCTTTCTTACTTTCTCCATAAGCATTCCCAAATGTGCTGTTATATAATGTTCTTCCTAGTGTTAAGTGGCAACAAGCAACCAGCCTTAATGCCCACCCCCACAAAAAAAAAAAAAAAAAAATCCACCACTCATCTACTGTCAAGCTTTTTTCCCAATCATTTCAGTTACCAGATCACGTAATTTTAACACAGAACACCTGTTTCCATAGTTATTAAATGCCCATATGAATTTGGGCATTCATATGTAGCAGATATGAATTTTAACGGAAAAAGAACATAAAGCAAGCAGGTCCTTGTTGCATTCAAGGATGAAGTCAGACTTACCTCTCTGCCATATCATCTAGCTGCTCTGGTGGAACAGGGACTCCATTGACAGACCGAGCTCTGTGGATCTCCAGGAATGTCTTTTTGTAATCATCTACATTCTTAAGCACTTCCTAATTAGGATTTTTTTGGAAAGAGAGTGAAGGAAGAAAAAGAGGTTCACAGTAGGTAATTTTAATAAGTCTTCTTTTTCAAGCTGTACTGATGACTCAATGTATGTGATCATGCTGCCAAATTTATATACGAGGTAAAGCATTTAAAGCAGCAGGAGCGTCAAGAGATCGAAAGTGCCTTGTGAGTTACTTGTGCTAAAACAGTGCTTAATAATTCTGACACACTGTAAAGCAGGCATCGTGGGCACTCCCTGAAACACTCCAACAACATTTTGCATGAGTCGGTCTGTCTGCCTATCACCCACCCATCCATCATTTGCTAAGGAAGCCAACAGAGAGTAGTTGATTACATCTGAAGTCTGTATTTCCCCACACCCAGTCTATTTACTGCACAGTTTGGAATTTGATAACACTACAACCAAATTCTTCTGTTCTTTAAAACCTACAAATTCAAATTTTCAAAGGTCAATTTGTTTTCATTGCATATTGAACCCTGGAGCATGGTGTAAGAGTGCTAAATGATTATATTCTGTGTTCTGTAAAGAAGCGAATGCATCCTTTAACTCATGCTGTTGACAAAGATAGAACCTAATAACAGGAGTTCTTCTCTGTAGTATCTTAGCAACCGTACTTTGTAAGGTTTAGGACAGATTTCTTATGAAAATGAATGATTAGTAATCATCACCTAGCATGCATTCATAACTAACATGTTATGTTCTTAAAAGGTTATCACAGTGTAAGGATTTTATAGGATCGGCATGCCTTGTATAGTATGCCTAACAACTAGCATCATCTTGATACAAACAAACAGCCTTTTTCTTGTTGGGTTAGCCTGCTGCAGCCAAAGCAAAATATCTTGTGGCACTTAAATATAACAAATTAAAGCACACGCTTTAATGGACTACACATTGCATAACCCTGTGTACAACCTGGCTGTGCGAGCATAATATGTAACCGGTTACATAGATATACTTGCACCGGTATAGCTTAGTTGGATTTTCCCCTAGCATATGGTTCAGAGCCCAGTGCAGAGTCATTTGAGCTAACCAAATGATACTGTTGGATGCTGCCCTTTGTCTTTAAGTTGCCATTAAATGAACTTACTTGCCATTGTGACAAAATGATTTTCAAATATTGTTGTTTCCCCTTTTTTAATTTCATACATACATGCATGAATTTCATATATTCATACAGTGGGCAAGTTGTGGCCCTCCAAATGTTTTGGTCTACAATCATTCCGCACAATTGCCCATAGCGAATAGGCTGAAAGGTTTGTCTGCCAAAGCATCTGGAAGGCCACACATACTACCCATTAACATGAAAAACAAAGGGTAGTATCCAATGCGATCCATGAATTAGAATATTAATTTTTCTTTGCCTATTATTACCCCAAATGCAATTAAAAATGAAAAATGCCTTCTTTAGTCAAGATTCAGAAAACTTTGTATGCAGTAGAATTGAATAATAATACCATAATTAGATTTTATGAGTGATAACCCTTTCACACAATGGGAAAAAAATAAAAATCAGCCATTTATTTAAGTCTAATAAAATCGATGCCAGCACATCTGGAAAGTCATCTGAGCAGGATGGTGTAACAGGAAGTGTAATTTAGTGCCTTGCACTGAGCAGGACAATGGACTTGATGGCCTTCGGATGCCTTCCAACTCTACTATTTTATGATTCTATGAGTCTATGATTCTGTGATTCTACAATGGTTGGGCAGCAAGTGTGCCAATAGTCAAATTCAAAGGTTCAGATTATGCACAGTACAGCAGATGTGCAACTCCCCTTCTTGTACCTTGAGGCACAATGATAGTAACAGATCCATACTGTCATATTTCAGGTCATACATCTTTTTTCTAGTGACCCTCACAATAACATTTCCAATCTCCTCTGAAGAGAATGGTACCCTTAAATTGCACAGATTGTCTTTTGAGGCCATCTTTTAAGAAAAGCAATTCCTGGCATACATGCTTCTCAAGACATCCCCAAATGAAAAACATGCACATCTAATGAGTCACAAGAACTTCAGTGACATTTTCTAGGAACTACTGCTGTCAGCAATGCATCTCCATGAGCTCTGTGATCTGCAAGAGCTGAGCAACTGCAGAACTATTAAGAATTGTGAAACTTTTAGAAAATTACTCATTATTTCAAAGTTAAAGGGCAGTATGCAACAAGGCTCTACCACCTCTGCAGCACTCATGGGCTTTGGCAAGTCTAAAAATCACCCCATAAAGAAGTGAAAATGTTTGTTTCAGGATAAAAACAGATTCGTGGAACACCCTTTTTCAAGCAGCCCCACTTCTGTTCATTTCAGATTATTTTTTAGAAGTGCCAAAGTCCTGTTGCATGAGCTGTGAGTCCTGTAAGTACATAAGTACAATTGGATTTAAACTAAACTGTTTTAAAAACACAGGTAAATAGGTAGAAAGGGGGGGGAGGAGAGGGAGGGAGGGGGGGAGAGAGGACTGTATCCAGTAGTAAGTCCTGCATTGATTGAAGGCTCTAAGATCTACTGTAGATATCCATGAATAGAATTCAATCTCCTATTCCTTCTTCCCTCCCCTGAACCCACAGAAATCTCCTCCACTCCAGGTGGTTGGGAGTCATTTGGGAATAGTGTGGCAGGTATTGCATGGAGCTCCAGCACAATGGGAGAATTTGTGAAATCACCTTCCTCCCTTCTCAGCTCATAGACAGCTGCTTCAACTCATAGACCACAGCACGGGATGAAAGTGTGTGTTCATAAGCACTTCCTACTATTTCTCTCCTTGGAGCACCATCCACATGATACTTATGAACAGCAAGTGCGGCATGATTAAGCCCTACATAAGGAATTGTACCCGGAACTGCCACAATTTTATATTTTCATATATTTGAATTAACAAATTAAACATAGACTAATTTATTAGTTGAGATAAAGTACTATATTACTAGTGATCAATAGAGTACCTCCAGTATTCAATTTGGAATGGGATGTATTAAATTAGATTGATTTGGGGCACATTTGCCAAAGGCAAATTAATCTGACCTAGGAAGGACTCATTAAATCTTGTACTGAGATTTCAAATTTCTGATCCTACTACTTATTGTAAGTGGGAACACAAATCGTTAAGCCAAATATTGAATTACATCCTGATATATTTCTCCTCTGTTTTCTTTTTTCAACTTAGTCATATATCTAGGTCTCCATTCTGCAAATATCCTAAGAGGATCTCTGAAATGAAAAAACATGTGCTTTTTTGCAACAAAGTTCTCTTTCCCTTACTATGAAGCAGAGGATTTGTTCTTTCTTTACAACTTTAAAAAACTTATTTCACTCATCTTATCAAAATATCATGCTATCCATACATAATAAAATTTTGAAAATTTACTATATTAATATTTAATAATGTACTATATACAAACCTTATGTTCTTCAAACTTTCTGTGTATCATATTTGCAGTTTCCTCATGGGCTTGTTGAATTAGGATTTCTTCTCTAAGAGAAGTTTCTGCCCTATTAAGCCAGGCACCAATATTGCCCAGAGGAGCAGGCAGCGATTTGTCAAGATGCAGATGCCATTCAAATAACTGGAAAACAGAAATATGAAGACTATTGATGGTACATGTATGTGTGGAATTACTGAAAAAAGGCAACATGTTTGCTTCAGAAATCCCAGAGACACATGAAAATCATTGATAAATATGTTGTGAATGACTGAACAACACTAACAGTACAACTTTGTTTTTACACCATAAACAGAGGTTTCAGAATAAAAGTTTATTCATGCATACTTGGATAAGTAACAGACTCATTACAAGTTAAATAGAGCTAATCAACTAGCTAGTATTGCAATGCCAAACTACTAGTATATATATAAAATTAGAAAAAATATAAACCAGAGTCTAATGAAAAACTCTGAACACCTATACTTTCTTACATGTCTGACATAATCACATTTCCAGTCCCTGAATTGCAGCAAAATCTCTATTCCACTTCCAGGCTTTCATTCATATTTCTACCTATAAAATTTTCAAATCACAATTGTACAATTTTGCCCAACTCCTCCCTCTTTCCATCTTCCCCTAGAAAAATACATCCTGAACTTTTTCTGTCTGGTCTAAACAACTGGGAGTACCAACAAGCAACTGTCAGGAACACCAGCTTCTCTCAACACAGAGTGCATTTGAAAAACACCTAGAAGCTGCCTAGAAGGGTCTGGGAGAAGCTTTGGGGCCACAAGAGGAAGGCAACTGCTGTGATACAGGACCTGGGATGAGCATTATGTAATTATACTGGTAAGAGTGTAAATAATCTCCAAACTGCTTGCACTGCAGTTTAAAGTCTCCTACCAAAGTCCGTGTACTATTTTTACAAGTTTATGAAGAGTACGGATTTCAATTCAAAAGCCTAATAATAGCTCTGAAGAGCACTTCAACCTCTGCAGAGAAGGAGATGTGAAATCTCTGACCTTATCTGACCAAACCTGGTGAAATTCCAGACCAAGTGAGTTAAAGCAGACCTTTCATCGGCTCAGCCATTGTGGCCGCCAACAGCATTGCCTTAGCTTTACCTGCAGTGGCTCTTACCAGAAGACTGAATGCTGAAAAACAGTATATAAAAGAAGGAGAAACTTTCGCTCAGTCCAGAGGGGGAGAATTTCCAAGCTAGGTCAGACAAGCCAGAAATTTCATAGCTTTTTTACTCTGGGGGCTCAAAGCTGTTTTGTTTTTTTGTTCTTTTTTGAGAAGTACACAATGGCCTACCTTAGCAGAACACATGAACAAGGTTGTTCTGCCTTGACATTTCATAAGATAGTTTTTCTAAACTTACCCGGGAAGTGACTCGGTCCCACGCCTGCTTCACCAGAGCTTGATCAAGTGATAATTTGCCATCCTTCCTTAAAGACTGTATTGCAAGTTCAATCTGTTTCCTCTTTATATCATATTGTAATCTGAAATGTTTAAATGACTGGAAGAAATCCAGGGGAACAAGAGCAAGGTGAAGGTGAAAAAGAAAAGAAAGATTAATGGGAGGCTACTATTTTGACACACATTTATTCCTCCTTAATTCAGAAAAGAAAAGCAAAAATAAAAACTGGTGAAGAACCACTGCATGTCCCAAGGAAAAGGGCAAGAAACTATTATCCCATTATGCCCTCATACCCTGAAAACACACATGTACAGAAGTATGCACTGCCTCCTTTGACACAAAGCCTTCATACTGTGAATCAGGTGCCTTATCCGTGCCCTTTGAGTGCTCCTCAAAACAGCAGGGATGCTAGGCCCAGCTCAGTCTACACTATGGTAGGGAGAAGTGCCAGTAAGAATCCTGAAGCCTGAAAAAACGTCAGCTCTGGGTAGCATCAAGTTGATAGATCCATCCCCCATTTTAATTTCCTGCTTTATGGAAAAATGATTTTAAAGAACTAAACATTTCAATTTGTAAACAAAATCTAGTATTACCTGGTATTTCTCTTGCAAGCTTATTTCCATCATTTGTGCTCTTGTCAGGTCTCTTTCAAATTGTTCTACCCAAATTTTCAGGTCTCTTAACATTAGCCTGTCTTCTTTCTGTGACAAGTAAAAACACGGTTCAAATCAAACACACATCTTGCTTGAGATGTACGATTGCAAACAATATGTATACAGGCATTTTCCTGTAATACTTGTTTCAAGTGTATACATATTGGGCCCCATTTCTCTGGTGCATGTGGGCTTTTTGTACCAAAACTGGAATTAATTGGGCTTCTTTAAAGGCAGCATTTAGATCATCAAATCTGAGCATCGAATCTATTGAAAGAGGTTTTTTCTGAAGAAGTTGGACGGTGAATAAGTGAATCAGCCTTCCCCAACCACAATTTCTGCTCTTTCAGACCATTGTGAGTGTTGGCTGGGGCTGATGGGGCTGGGGAGGGCTGGTGTAAATAAAGACATTTATTCAAAGAACAGGTAATAAAAGTCAATTTGATTGGGAAAATAGAGGCTATTTCAATACTATCGATTTAGTCAAACAGTCACCAAAATAAACTATTGCTTCATAATTAAGGAACAGATGTGTCTGCTTGGTAATATGCAGTTAATCAGTATGAACAGAATAGCTCAATATACTAAAATGTCTAATATCTTTAACATCCCAATACAGAGATTTCAAATAAAAAAGACTGAAGAATTTCACCTGTTTCTGCTATTCAAAGTCTAATTCAAAAAATTCACTCATATATTTAAACAGGTTTCTGGATTTATATTTTCAATAGTCCACACTGTTACTGTTACAGAATCATATAGCAATATTCCAAAACATTCTTGCTATTTGCCTTCTACTGTAACATTCACATTCTAATGAATAACTCCATTGGTCTAAACACTGCAGACAGAAATGAATACTACCATGCATATCAAGGAACAAATGTAAACAGTGTGATACACCAATGGCTGAGTTTGCTTGACAAACCACCCACTATAAGTCATAGTGGATCAGCTGTTTGTGAAGTAATTTGGCTCCATCTCTCCTTGTTCTTCTAGTGAATCTCCAGGGGCCACCGCAAGGAAAAAGGAGTCCGCTGTTTCTGAGAGCCATGCTCATGAGCTGATTTCGGCTTACCACGAATGCCCAAGCAAGAACTTCTTGTTTCACCAGAGAAGACTAGGAGGTGATGCTGTTGCACTTCAGGAGACAAGCCCTGATGTGCTATGGGCACAAATGATGAGAAGCACAGCATGCCCCATCTGCTTCAAGCATGGAGCAGCACTGATGAGCACCCTGCAGGATCCAGCTTCCTGCCCAAAATCTCAGGTAGGAGATGTGAGTTCTAATCTCAGGTAGGAGATACGAGGAGGTAGGAGTGCCCGATCCACTTGGTGGCACCACAATGAAGGCAGGGCAGTGCTGCTAAGCAGATTGCTGGCCTCCATCTCCCACTCAAGACATTTACTCTCAGGAAGTGGGAAGAGGTGGGAGTGCCCAGTATATTTGGAGGTGCCATCCCAAGGAAAGGGCAGTGCCGAAGAACAGTTGATCACCTCCCGCCTCTTGCTGATGGGTAGGAGGAGGTGGAGATGCTCAATCTGCCTTCCGTCATGACTCCAAACACTGGGCAGCACCCTGGAGTAGATCTCCCCTGGACAGCTGGCAATGTCTACTCTTGAGCCACTACCAAAAATGGCTGAGATCTAGTCCTTTCTGGTGAGACAGTGCATGGAGACTAGACCTCTTCAGCCATCAGCAAGGATGTCCACTCTTCCTTGTCCGTCTGGGCACTTTGGAGGCAGCTGTTGGTGGGGTTCATGGGGCAGCAAGGAGGAACAAAGAATGACAAGCGGCTTGCTAGCCACTGGACCACATGCACAGTCAGACACACTGGCTGCATTCGGACAACAAAGCCACTTCCCGTGGGTAACAGCAGCCCTAGAAGGGCTGGAATGCCATTCTACTTTTCCTCCCTAAATTCATCCTATTTTTATAATGCAAGTCATACACCCAGATTTGAGAGTATTCTATTTTCTTTTTTTGTTCCATGGCACTCCCTGCTAACAATATTTTCACATGCCCACACTAAATGCAAAGTAGCAGTATATAATGCAGGCCTCCCCAAACTGCAGCCCTCCCAATAATTTGGCAATTAATCGAATTGACTAAGTACAGAAAGCTCATGCATTGATTAACATGTGGACCATAAAGAAGGGTTCCATAACTGCAGTCTCCCGGGAAACTTGCTGGGTGACCTTAAGGCTGGTGTCTTCCAATGCGGTGCACATGGGAACTGATGTGCCCGTGAGACCCCTCCAGGTGCTCATGAGGATTCCTGCCCCTCCTGATTTTTATGGTGTTTCTTAAGATTCCTCTCCCCCCGGTACATTCTTCTATCCTCTGAGAAACTGGGAAACTTTTTATTTTATATTATTTTATATTGGTATTTTGTATTTTTAATTTAATGTTTATATTTTTAATTTAATGTTATAACTATTTTTAACTTATTGTTGTAAGCCGCCCCGAGGCTTCAGCGAATGGGGCGGCATAAAAATGTTTTAATAAATAAATAAATAATAAATAAATAAACTGCAAGGCAGTTTATTTGCATGCAAAACAGTGATTTTGTGTTCAAGGGTTCAGACTCCATCTCTGCCTTGTACTGGGCTATTGCGTAAGTTATTTTTGTTTTAATAGCACCCTGGGCAACAGGTGGACATGCCCTGGCCATGGCACTCAATAGCACCTGCTTTGGGAGAGCACACAGGGCTGATTCTTGACATTCCAAATGTGCCCGCCAACCTGGAAATGTAGGAGACTCCTGCCTTCACGTAAGTAACATCTTAGCTTATCTTTTTATCTCAAATAATTGTCATGAGGGATTTCTTTTTGAAGAGGAGCAATATTAAAATGCAAAGAAATAGCATGTCAGTTATGTTGGATTTGCATTTCCCCTCAGTTGCAGGTGAGATGTCGATTACAGCTATGGACTGAATAGAAGTTAATCACTTTTGCATATTCACTGACACAGATGGTCCCTCTGAAACTACTATTTCCAGTGGAAGGGAAAATGCAGGTAACCACAGTGTGCTGGTATACTTGGCCTTTTGTGGCCAATCACAGACTCTGATAAAAGGCAATATGGAAAAGAGTAGGCTGAACAGCTGACTGATGCTCTTTCATCAGGCTTCACCTGCCCTGCACCTCATCCACTGGGAGAGGGAGTAGAGCACAGAAATCTTCATTGGTATCTCCAATCATTGACTGGAGAGAGCATCAGGGATTCCTCTCCATGCTTGTCCTGAAGGGCTGCAGCTTAGAGGAGAAAAGGGGACCTCAGCTGAGGCCCTGCAGGCAGGATGGCTGGGCTGGACAAATTGACCTAGAGCTTGGAGGTTCCCCATCCTTGATCTGCAGTTAGTAGACTATAGTTGGCAGGCCCTGAAAAACCTCTGCCTGGCACCTTTGCGAGCTACAGCCAGTCAACGCTGACCATATTGTGCTAGACCAGCCAAGAGCTTGACTAAATAAAAGACAATTTTCCATGAGAGAGCAGGAAAGCGCCAAAAGTTTATAGAAGATTAGATTAGCAGAAAAGGATAAGCAAACAGCTCAAGATGTCAGATTGCATCTGTGCTCTATCTAGTGGAAGACCAGTAGCTCTGTGGCATGCTTCCAGCATAGACATACAGCCCTAACATGTATATATGATTTATATTCTTTGGAAAATATAATATGAACATATGATTATATTAAATGCAGCACATATTAAAACTATCTGTTTTGTTCTATTTTATATGCGGCTGAATTGTCTGTTTTTACTCTGTGGCTTTACTTAGCACTTCCATTTGTACATGGAAGCACTAGCTCTCTCTTCCATAACTGGTGGGTGACACCAGAGGAAGGACAAAAGCCTTCTGCAGGATGCTGCCCTATTTAATATTATAATCTGATTGTTTCATCATGTTGTGAGCCACATCGAAAGCAAATTGTCTTGAAAGTAGGTTATTTTCTGTATGCTAAATAAAGCTTTAAAAGTACACTTAAACCTGCCAGTGCTGACCAAGGAGAAGGGGCAAAGGAAGATGTTTGCATGCAGATCTGCATATTGCTTCATGACTGAGAACAGCTGCATGCCCTTTTTCACATCTCCTAAGGACTGCTGAAATGCACGCTACACAAGGTTATCTTTAGATGGTGCTAGGTCGTCACTTTAAACACACTGGTATATTAAACATTTGCAAAACTGACCAGTATGTGAATGCCTTACAGCCCTCCACTCCATTTAGTTATAGTTGGTGTGTGCTAGGTAGCTTATAAAACAAAGCTTATAACCAATAACAGAACACAATGATGCATGTTCTTTAAACACTTCAGTCATATGAAGAACATTGTCCAAAGTGAAGATGACATATGAAAAGAAAGAAAAAAAACCTGGATAAAATGGTTTATATAGAGAAATGCAAAGTATTTAGTACATTTTAATCCACCATGTGTTTACCCTTACCTTGTATTTGGATTTAGAAATAGCAAAAGATGAAATTGCTCGAAGTGGCTCCTAGCGTATGAAGGGAAATGGATAGCAAATAAAGAAATAAAGAACAACAAAGACAGAGAAATGCATTGAGAAATGTATGTACCAAAGAGCTCATTAAGTTTGAGATTAAGAGACCCATCTGTATGCCCACCTTATCATTTCTCACTCCTGAGACTCACCTGAAAACATCTTTCCCTCTCAATTTTTGAGTATACTCATTAATGCAAAGGAAATGCCTAAAGACTGCAGGTCCAATCCTCTTTGCTAATGAACTCACCCAGAGCTCTGGGAAAGAGAAGACTCTGTGTCCTGGCTCCTTCTTAGCCAAACACTATCTGTTATTGTAATAGTTTGCGACTGTGGCGTTGTCCCTTGGAAGCTAAGGGAGGATCCTGCCGTGAGCAGTGTCTTTTTCTCTAAACGAGACTTGGGTAGACTGAAAGCTTCCTTGCAGCAGACCCTCAGGGGTTTACACTAAATTCGTGAGACATGGCTCTATCTTTTCTATCTCATCATTCCAGTGTGATTTAGGAAGAAGGGAAGGCCTTGCTTGTTCTTATAGTTTATATTTTATAACATGTGAATGCCAATCCGGCCAAACAAACCTATGAGGAGAAATGTATAAGTATCCAGTACCATCATACTTAGAAATTTCACATAAGTAATTGAACTAACTGTTTGAAAATTTCTTAACATATTCTATCACAACTCCTATCGTAACTGCAAGAGTAAATCTTTGCCGTGGAATACGATTCCTTGATAGCCAATAGTCTTCATGCAAAACAATATGAAAACATGAAATTAAAGCAGCATAAAGGGATATGTGCACTAGAAAATAGTGTGACAGATACACACCAAATCAGAAAATCACAGCCATCTTAAATGATTTTTGTAATCACTACATGATAAGATCTGTGTGGGGAATGATCTGATAAACAGCTTGGTTTCAATCTTGTAAGCCATCCTGAGACATGATAGTGAACGACAGCATACAAATGTTTTAAACAAACAAACAAACAAACAAACAAACAAACAAATATTATGCCCCATCTACCTTGTGTGACTCTCTAGCCAATCTTGCACACTGGCTTTGCAGCAAAAGGGTGACACTTCATACAACAACCTTTTGCCAGGATAGCAATAATGAATTATGATTCACTTCTGCTCTACTGAACACAGAATACATTTCTCCACTGACATCCATGTCTGATTTCTGGGAGCTACGTACTTACACCCTGGGTTATCCAACTGAATTGTTGTTTCGTTTGATGATTTGATCCATTTTTTGCTGCATTAACTGTGAATCTTGACATCTCCCTTAAATAAAGGTCAATAAAGTGTAAGAGGCAATCACAGCATCCTTTCTCCTCTGCTGCTTTGACCACCTACTTTGCTCAGCTGTGGTGGATCAGTTGCCTGCCCCACTCTGTCTCTGGGCCTAGCTCACCAGACACTGTTTCGTTCACTCAAAGGAAGGATGGAATGAAACAAGCACAAAGAGTTGCTGTTTACAATGCAGCATCCCAAGTGAAAATGCCCCCCACCCACTGAGGAAGGAAGAGCATTTTTTTCCTTTAAAAAGAAGTGGAAAGAATGTTCATAAAGATTTTCCCTTGAGAACTTTGGTGAAACCAGCATATTCAGTTCCTATCAATAGACGTCTCCACAATCACTGCAGAGATGAAGATGAACCTTGTCAACATCACCTAGTAAGGGTAGTGGCAGGAACAGTGTGAGTTTTGCTATTTATTTACTCCATTCCAGCCAAAAGCCAAAGCTCTCTGAGTGATCCACAACCGTTCATAAAAACAACACAATAAAACACCACACAATCTTATGAAAATACAGTGTTTCCAAACAAAAAGGTAAAGAGAGCTAAACCAACATGCAGTGAAGAGCAGCCCTGTAGAAACACCCACATCTCAGGTGAGTGATCTCCTGGAGCCCTTGGATAGCCAAATAGTCTTTAAAAGTCTTGGCACAAAGGGCCATCTTAACCTGGCACTGCAAAAGGCCATAAGGTTAGTGCCAGAGGGTCTCAGTGTGGAAGTCATTCCATCAATGGGAACCAGTGCAGAAAACCCTCCTTCTTGCTGCTATCTTCTGAACCTCCCTCCGAGTTTGCACTTGCAGGAGGACCCAGATGTTGAGCATAGTGTTTCTCTATGACGAGAGGGGTAGGATTACACATCATGGCTAATTACATCACAAGCCACTGTTCTGTGGTACATGAGGCAGTAATGCTACATTCAGATCACACCTGAATGCACTGCGCTGCAATTGCAATGGAAGTTTAAAAACTACTGTAAAACAGCACTTCAAGAAATGCAGGGAGACAACATAAAAAGACAGAATTATAATGGAAATGCAATGGTCCAGATGAGTGTCATCTGGATTTTTAATAAAAGGTAAGTGACTTATATCAATAATGAATACATAGACTAAAGTGGATGGGTTGTAAAAGGAAAGTTGTTTTAAGACCTATGGACAGTGCAAATCTGCATACCATAATGACACTGTTTCTTACTTTGAACTGACTCATAGCACACTGTTCCAATATCTTCATCTGCACACACATTTGCCTGCAAAGCTCTTTCGGTTTTTATTTCATATGCTTAGAAACCAAATGTAGCTGGAACACTTTCAATGCAACCTTTTTTAAAGAGGGAATGGCATTATAGTTGCAAAATCAAATCCTGGGGCCTAAATACCAGGAATGATAACTGCAAGGAAAGATATGGACAATGTCGCCGCCAGTGCACTGGCCATCACAATTTAGATGAGCACCAGCTCCGAACGGTTATGTCTAGTGAAGTCGATGAGCAAAATTGTAACAAGGTGATCCTTTAGATGGAGCTTGATAAGTCAAGGAGACGTAAATATTTAAATACATGCAGGAGTTGCAAAGAAACTATTTTGTTTTGTCCTTTACATGTATCCTTGTCACTGTTGGGGAGAGGAGAGGACAGAAGGCCTACCCCATTCAGCTGATGAATTTGTGGATTATCACGGGGAAGCACCAGATGAATTTTATGTTCTTCTTTCACTTGTAAGAAGCAGAACAGATTGTCACAGTAGTGGCATCATAACCTTGCCAATCAGAATATGGTGTGATCAGGACTAAAAGCCAAATTAAAGACTGTTTGCTGATAAACGTGCTACTCTTGAGCTAGTTCAGGAGGGAGAAAACACAATATAGAAACAGTAATTCCAGAGTCACCAGCTCAAGCGGACTAGCGGGGTCTGTTCAACTTGCTTCTCCATCTGGGCAATTTTCATGAGAATACACAATAAATGATCTCATTTTCCTTAGGTTGCAATCATATTCACACTTACTTGGGAGTAAGTTGCACTGGCCCAGATTGCCTTTACTGCAATTTAGGACTGGTCTGCATATAGCTTAAATCAGATCTGATTTTTTAAAAAACTGGAAAAAATTGCACTCAGTTCCACAAAGCTAATCCCCAAAGTCTGTGTTAGAACCGTGTCTGTCACCTTTGACATTAGACCACAGTTCAAAGTCACAATCGCCTTTATTTCCACTGCATGTCCTTATCCATTTTTAAATTAAATTGCACATCTTCTCCCCCTACCCACAGCCCACAAGCAAGAACTATTCTCAACTGTACTTTGCAGTCATATAAAAAACTAACACACCTAGTAGGGTGTGCATCAGTATTTATGTAAAATATAATTAAAAACATACATCTGTCTCCTGTGCATCACTTGCTGCATTATGAGGATCTGGGTAGTGTTTCAGGAATTGTGCTATGTAGGTCATAATTGATTTTTCATCTGGCTTATCCACATCCACATCTGAAAGAATGACGAAAATCGAAAATTAATACAAAATGAAACTGTCCATATTGTTGGCAGAAACATTGCCATTCCTGCAAATAAATAAACAAGCAATTAAAATGTGAAAACATTCACTCCTTTTAATGGAAAAAATAAACACAAACATTCAGATAATAGAAGCCTGAGGTTGTAATTCAAAATTCATTGAATCACAAATTATACTACCTTCTGGATCAAGGAGTCTGGGTATTCCCAGTTCTGACTCAGCAATTGTAAAGGCCTCCTCCAGGTTTTCCCGGTTTGATCTTGTTTTCACCCTCTCTAAGTCCACTAGCTCCGGGCGGATGGCATGAATAACTGTATGAAAGGCGACACCACTCCTCCAGCTTCGTCCAAAATCCTTGACTTCAATTCCAGCTTGCCTTAACAACAACAAACAACTTTGGAATAACCTGTCCAGACTTTCAAGACTAAACCATTTGTCTTTGTTTGACTTCTAATCCTACATTTACAATTTCTCCATCAGAAAACTTACTTTTGAGTTTATTATTTTATTTTTGTGGACATACATTTAAATGGAAATGCTACAATAACTTTTACAGCTATAATATAAAGTTATATTGTACTGTAAGGTTTCATCAAGTCTTATTCCTACAAACTCAACACTCATGAGCAACTGCCTACACAAGAGATACTTCCAAAAACCTTCTTAATTCTAATTGTAACTGTAGTAATCAAGAAAAAGAATGCTGAATCTTGAGACCAGGGGGCAAATAAGGTTGATGCGTGGCTTCAGAATATGAAGTCATGCAAAAGTTTGGAGAACGTCCCATAAAACAATCTGTGTTTGGTGCCTCTTCTGACATGCTGGTTGGGGTTTTTTTGTTTTTGTTTTTTTAGTGGCACTCCTTTAACCTTCAGCAGACCAAGCAAAAACTAGCTCAAAAATAAATATGGTTCTCAGGCTGAAGCAGATTTGACATCCCTGAGCAAGAGAACAGATGGCACGCAAGCACTGATATAATCCCAGGGAGGTGCATTAGAAGACATTCCATCCCAGCAGCTCTCCAGAGCTCATTCAATTTGGTTAATGGCAACGTTTGGTCTCACTGACTTTCTAAAAGTCCACCGCAGTGGGAAGAGGTCCTGCTAGCCACAGTGTGGGAACAGAGTGCTAGGGCAGTGGTTTTCAGCCACCAGCATGTGGATCGGTGCTGGTCGGTGGGAGATTTCCTGCCCATTCATGGGAGGCGGGGCACATTCTGCTCACCGCAGCCCGGCATGGGGCTGGCTGTGCTCCACCGCCTCTTCCTTGGTTGACATCGCGATCACGGGGGGTACACTAGTACCGGGGGCGGGGGCAGGAAGGGGAGAGATGGCTTGGTGGGAGTTGGCTGGGAGCCACACTGCACCAGTTTCAGTATTTCATTCTCGTTGGCATTTTTTGTTGTTCGGTTTCTGGTTGTTTTGGAGAATATTTTATATTTTTATTATTTTATATTTTTTGGCACTGTGTTGGGAAACTAATGCACAGAATACTGTATTATGTGTATGGTGCTTTTTGTTTCTACCTCAGAGATACCCAAGGTGGTTTTCCTGTTTTCACCAGTCCCCAGCTGTGGAAAGGTTGAAAACCACTGTTCTAAAGAATTTGTCAGGGTCAATTTCAAAAGTCAACATGCAGTTGAATTATACAGAAAAATTATAAAGAAAATGCACATCTGGTACATGATCTTCCAGCAGTCTGTGTACAGAACTTTAAGTCTGCATCTACAGAGCCCCACCTAGAGCACAGCTTTACTCATGAGAAGCCCTGATTTCTGAGGTGGGCACTTCTGTGCCCAGCAACTGGCCAAGCTCTTGAACTCTAGCATCTGTGCTCCCTGGGGCTAAGTGGCTGGCTGCGCATCAGCGCGAGAGAGAGAGAGAGAGAGAGAGAGAGAGAGAGAGAGAGAGAGAGAGAGAGAGAGAGAGCGAGAGAGAGCGAGAGCGCGCGCGCTCATTGCAATATGACAGGGTTAATGGCCATCTCCTTCAAGGGCACAGGATTCTCCTTGATCTGCCTTGTGGATCCTAGACTTAAGTAGCAGCAGCACAAGGTGTGCCAGGTGGGAGGAGTCCTGGTCCTCCAAAACAGAGTTGTCTGTTGTTCAGAGGGACACAACAAAATCTGTTAGTACATACTGCCCCATTTCTTTGCTTATCTTTTAATTCTCCTTCCTTGCCATCTTTCCCTGGCTTCCTGTGTATCCCAAGTTCTTCTAACAAGACAAAGGCAATGACGGGATTTGGATGATATCACTATCAAGAAGGAGAAGAAAAATTCAGATACTCAGGTAGCATTCTTAAAGAGAAGATTGATGGACTAAAGAATCCTACAACACAGTAAAACAATTCAACGTGTTTTTGCAGTATTGTCTCTTGCTGCCATTTTGACAGAAGCCAATTCCCTTCTCAATTTCCACTGATCTCCCTGGCAAGCATTATTATTGCATTAGTCAATCCGTGACTTGCTTACTTGGCTGCTGTGTACTGCACCCATTTTAGCAAAGCCTTCCTTGCATTCCCTTGGACTTTGTTTACCACTTTCCGTTTTGATGGTGGACTGGCTGTCTCGGAACTGACAATACTGTCAACAGATGAGGTACTGCTGGAGAGCGACTGCAGCTGCGGGAGATTGCTCGTAAGTTCCTCAATCTGCATGTGGGATAAAGTCAGTTGAGTAAAGTCAGTTGAGTGAAATGGAAATCATGCTTTTAGCAAGATCTTATTTGTTGCAACAGTTCATTAAAAGAGTTCATGATCTATCACTGCCATGATTGTCAGTGGCTATCATAAAAGAAAGTGTGCACCAAAAGCAAGATCTAGGAAATTCATACCTAAACACTGCATCCTAAGATGGGTATTGCTCAAAGAATGTAGGGCAATTCCCATTTCCACAGGAGTGTGCTGGCCATGCTGTGTGATTTGTATGAATCAGCAGCTTCACAAGCAAACTTCATATGCGGCTGCCATGCTTGTAGGAGCCACCAATATCTTGCAAACTGCAGGTATCATATTCCTTACACATGGCTCTAATTAATACGGATGCATTTTATATATTTCTGCACAAATGTGGCCATTTCTGAGGCACTCGTGAGAGCAAGGGGCATTCTGAAAGGCAAGTTGCTTACCTGTAACTGTCGTTCAAGTAGTCGTCTGTGCATTCACACACATATGGGCTTGTGTGCGATGCACAGAGACTATGAAGAAGAACAAAACCAATCATAGATCTGATACAAACTAAATGGCCTACAGACAGCAGCTGCCATATTTGTGCTCTTCTACACAATCGATGTTCAGTTTCTTCACCCCTGAATTATTCAAGTCATCATGGTTGGAAGTGCCTATGCTAACACAGGCAAGTTTAATAAATCCTGGAAAAGATCCTGAATGCACTCAAAGGGCTGACAATGCAACACTTTGGGATACTTGAGTCTCTGTGTCCTGCCTAAAAGGAAGGGAAGTTTGGAAAATGAAGTTCTGCCTTTCTTATTTCATATTATACTCGGCTACAGGAGGTATGAAGATCTGATCAGCTGATTGCGGCCACTAACCTGGGAGTGAATTCAATTTATTTGGGATTTTATTATTATTGGGTTAATTGACCATAGGATTGGAGCCCAGCTTGGTTGGTTTTCACAAGTTTTAATCCTTCCTAAAACCCTTTGGATTTTCATATATAGCCTTTAGCGGGAACTTTATTCCTATTGCTATGTATTCATATGAAAATTAGGAATGCTCATTTAAATTTGGAAAGGTAAAACAGTTGTTTTTATTCCTAATGTTAGCATATGCGAACATGTGGAATAGGCAGAATCAAGTGTTTTCAAAATATGTAATTTGGCCAATAAAAAGAGAGAATGGGAAGTAACTTTATAGTAATAAATACAGGTCCATCCGATCTAATGCTTCAAAACAGGAAAGTGAGGCTTTGGCAGCTGTACCGATGGCGCAAACACTCTGTTGCTTCCAAAATATTCTGAATGAGAAGACTCGCTGTTTATAATGGCATCTAAATGTGACTAAAGGCCAAACTACACATTAGATTTTCAGCTTTTTTTACTTACATGCAACTGTGCCATGTACCAATCAAGGAACAAGGGAGAGGGAGAGGAGACCAAACGTTTTCCCCATAATGTTTTTCTTCTCTGAATGTCCTCATTAGACTATTTACTTCTCATGGCTCACTGCAAGTCCCATCACAGCATACTAGCCTCCCTTAACAAATCATTTTGGGATTACTGATATGACTACTACATCTTTATCTGATTAAAAACCATTAAAAACTTACCTGAAAATATAGAATTATGGTCCACACCAAGCCAAGCACAATAGAAGGTCTACCATCAGCAATATCAGTAGAATTAATGTTGACAAGCTTAATCTGTTTAGGAGGAAAAAACTACATTATTATCAAGCACAACAGAAAGCCACAAAACTGCATGGTTAATATAGGAGTAGATAAGCTTGCGAGTCTTACTATTGTCAAAACAGAGAACATGCCTACAATTATCCCAGAAACTGGTGACATAATTAACATATAAAAACATACATGCACATTTGAATTTAAGATTGTATATGCCTAGATACGATAAAATGTTCTTTGAGGTAACACAGTGAGTTCATAGTGCTGTGGATGCACCAAATATACCTTTACAACTAAATGAAAGGATGAGAGTACAAATCCATGCCCCTACCCACACACACACAAACACACACACACAGAGAGAGAAAGAGGGCTACACAGTGCTTTACTTTTCCTGATCACAAAGGACATGGGGGTAACATATAGAAGAGGAAAAGTGGGTGGGGAACTACAAGACTGAAAGCTTGAACCAGCATCCATTTGGTGGGCAAGGTCCTTGGTCAAGATGGTTCATTGGCACAACTACTACTATATTTATGTCTGGCTTCTCCCCAATTTACATTTAAAAACGGGTTTCACTCTATACCTAAAATATTCAGCAATCCTTTGGTTACCAGCCAATGGGTATTCAATTTAATTTAATGGAAACACGTTCTATAATTAAATGTTTGATAAATACGTTGTACCAACCGGTGATCCTCTGTAAACGGACTGGCATGAAAAAATAAAATTACACATTTTAAATGTGTATTTTAAAATACCCATTCTAAGTAACTATTAGCAGAAAGAAATGAGAAACCAAGAGACAAGACAAGAATACACATATGACCAAGTATGTTTTTTAACCTAGGTATTTCTTACTCTTGGCATTTATTTATTTATTTTGTATGCCACCCAACAGTCAAACCTATTTATTATAGTTTCAGCCCACCCAACAGCAGAAGTTCTCAGAGTATATTATGTAATATTTACATGGTTGTAAATTCTGTAGAAATGCAAAAAGACTGTAAGGAACCCTACACATTTCCTAATATAGTGAGAATAACCCCGCATCATAAAAAAAAAATCTAGCAAAGCAACACTTTAAACTCACTATTTTCTTCAATACCTGTATTTTAGTTCCTGAGATTATTCATTTTAGTCCTTTGATTTCTTATTATTTGCCCTCTCTTTCTGTAAGAACCCTTGATAGTATTTCTACTTCTCCAAATTCGAATGCCAGGAACCTAGGCTTTTTTTGTTTTGTTTTGTTTCCCTTTTTTTGCATTGGCCACATTTGGGTGTTCCATTAAGCCATGAATTCTGGCTTAATAAACCACAAAGTGAACAAGCAGCGTGCTGTTGCAGACAGCCCCTCTGATCCTCCCTGTACAAGTGGGTAAAGAAATTAGGAAAATAGTTTTGCATCATGTCCTAAGGCAGGATGTGGGCACACTTGATCATAATCCAATCATGTATGTACAGATGGACAGACAGACAAATGGCTAGATGTTTATATACAAAGAGTGGTACTGATATGTAGCCATACAAACAAGCATGCAATTCATATATATGAAGAACACGATGGCATTATGTACATGGATCTATGTTGGCTTGAATCCAACATTGCCATTCTGCTGACACACATATTTCTACCAACAGAACTGGAGGACTGACTCCATCTACTACCACAGCCCTCTGCACATACTCAAAATTTGCTCTGGAGGGCTGGGAGACTCTCTGGAGCAGATCGTTGGATGGGGCAAAGCACTGCAGTGGGGAGAAGACAGGGGAATGCTCCAGTCCAGTCAGCAGACTTCTGCTAGAATCATGTTGGATTTACATATCCTGACTATACACAAGGCATGCTCAGAAGGAGAAGTCAGCAAATGAAGTGATGGTGATAGCTGCTGTGTTTGTATGTATATATAACATATATACTATGTTATATATAGTATATGTGAACACTCTGTTTGTAATTTCTTAATTACTGTTCCTTCGCCCTTTCCCTCTTTCGACCCTTCTCCACAAAAGGGACTGAGAGGATAACTAGCACGCCATTCATTATTTCTCTGGAGGTATGTATAGATAAGAAGAGCTGCTGGAGTGTCACAACTCCAAACTTACCCGCCTCCCTTCTAGGAACTTAAGGGCTGTGCCAATGTTGGCTACTCCATGAATCCTCTTCAGTTTTCGTCCTTGTTCACAAGGCTTTAAAAGTGCATGCAAAATCAATTGGAAAGTACAAATCATTATATCAGCACGGACTGAAACTGAGAGCCTAAACACACTTGCTAAATATCAAACTCACTGCATTCTACGGGACGTTTGCTTTTTAAAATGCCTGGGATATTTTTCCTGACTTGGTACTGCCTGTCTTCCTGTAATGCAAGCAAGCCACTGATGCTGAACTGTGCAAAAACCGCACAATTCCATTTTATTTTGGTTTGTTCTGAACACGTATTTCTGACAGAGAACTTTCTCAGGTAAAATCTTGCAGAATGCAATGACAAACTAAAACTGGTTCTAAAACCAGTCTAATCTGGCCCTCTTTGGTACATGTCAATTTGTAGGTCTGTGCAACCACTTTAATCCAAAATAACCTTCCTCAGTTGTTCGATATGATAAAAGTAATTCCAAAACATTACGGAATTCTGCCACAAGAGGGTGCACTTCCTCATCCAAACAACATAGTGAAAGTGTGATCTCAGAGAATCCTAGATCACAATTAGTTACTTAGGAAGGAAGTTGCACTCAGAACATTCGAAGCCACATCTATAAATAATCTTCAGAATAATCATATCTAATGCTGAAATAATGTATCTTATTTTATGCAGCCTGACTGTGAAAGTTGGACCATAAGGAAGGCTGAGTGCTGAAGAATTGAGGCCTTTGAATTGTGGTGCTGGAGGAGACTCCTGCAAGTCCCTTGGACTGCAAGGCAATCAAACCGGTCAGTCCTAGAGGAGATCAACCCTGGCTGCTCTTTAGAAGGCCAGATATTGAAGATGAAACTCAAATACTTTGGCCACCTAATGACAAGCAAGGACTCCCTGGAGAAGAACCTAATGCTGGGAACAATTGACGGCAAAAGAAGAAGGAGATGGCAGAGGATGAGGTGGCTGGATGGAGTCACAGAAGCAGTCGGCGTGAGCTTAAGTGGACTCCGAGGGATGGTGGAGGACAGGAAGGCCTGGAGAAATGTTGTCCATGGGGTCGCGATGGGTTGGACACGACTTCGCAACTAACAACAACAACATTCACCTTAGTAGGTGTCAGCTGTCATAACCTAAGTCTGCTGGAGTACCACTTAAAAGCTGCCTGAGGAATCAAGCCCAGGTGTTACACACACAGCCTCTGACATGCTGGCTTTCTTCCCTGCATTCCAGTACCACTGTGATACCTCCTTCGACTTGATCATGCCCAGATGGCATGTCTCAAGAGACCTTTACTACAGATACATTTCTCCTGGTGCAGGCCTGTAGAACCTCTGGGCACCTGGCCCACCGAGCACCCCAATCTGGCCTGTGGAGCCTCCTTGAGTTCATCCAGGAAACGGCTCACTTAGAACCTGATGAATTGTTCTTGCAGATTCTCACTCACTCTTTTGATCATCCATACTTGCTCTGCAGCCCTAATTTGCAGCAGCTCAGTCTAGGTTTCTAGTCACTGAACAACTGCACTGCCTGTTTAATGAACCAGTTTGTGATTAAACAGTCTGGTAATGGACATAAAATTTAACTAGTACTTTTTTCCACTGGACCTGATCATTCTGAAACCTCTTGCTACCTAACCTGATGCTGCCAGGGCAGCCGGTTGAGATTATATTTGGAATGTGAAACCTATTCTTAAAACAGAACTGTGCTAAGGGGGAAGTAGTTCAGAGAGGAGCCATAATCTAACACATGTTAAGCTTCTGTGTAAACTGTCCATTTCATTCAGTACAATGGAGAGAAAACCTTCTCACATGAAAACATAGCCCTGACACTCTGTAATGTTAATTAATGTCAAAGTATACACTTTAACCTTTCATCATCATTAGAATAAGACCATCCTTACTTGGTCTTAGGATCTGTACACTGGATCACTGGTGGGGTTTTTTTTTTTTTTAAACATACTTAGATGTTGTCTTCATGTTACTGAAGCAATTGAGAAAACCAAATACAATAAAACTTTGGATTATGAGCATAATTCATTCCAGAAACTTGCTTGTAATCCAAAGTACTTGTATATCAAAGCGAATTTTCCCATAAGGTTCAATGTAAATAAGATTAATCCATTCTGTAACTTTTTTTTTAATCACAAAATTTTGAAGTGGGCATGCTCGGGGCGGGGGGGGGAGGAAGATAGGCACAATCGCGGGCGTGCTCGGGGAGGAGGCGGGCACGATCGCAGGTGCACTCGGGGTGGGGGGAGATGATGCTGTACTCACACCGGCAGGGAGAGAGAGAAGAGCCAGTGATCACTTGTGACGTGACACTTGACAGGCAAAGTGCACGTACACTCGTACTGCAAGACATCGCTCGTTTATCAAGTTAAAGTTTAGAAAAACTTTTTGCTTGTCTTGCAAAATATTTGCAGACCAAGTTACTCGCAATCCAAGGTTTTACTGTATGTCTATTCCATAGCATAATCAACATTCAAGGCAGTATCCTATGTTGCCTTCATGCTCCCACTGACTATGTTCCACCACAGGATCGACTGCCATAGCAACAGGAGGCTACTCCTTCAAAATACTCATTCCTGGAACGGGAATTCTGCTAACTTGCATTTCATGTTCCTTTAGGAAGCAGTTGCTTCCTTTTAGGCTTCCAGAGCATCCACTGGATACTGGATTCTACTGGATCCTGCCCAGTATCATAGCCACTGCTGCCGCTGCTGCCAGTTAGTCTGCTAAAGAGCTGTTATTTACTGTCATACTTGTTGTGTAGCAAAAAAAAAGTGCACTGTCATTCTTCAAAACTGACCACATCCTAAAATATCTGGATAATCTTTGAGAGAATTCTGTGTGACAACATCAGTATGAGATATTTTTTAATAATGCAATAATACAAAGTAACAATGCAAAATAATTCCACAGGGAAATACTTGCCAGCTTTTGTCCTGAAAGAACTTCCAAAAGGGCAATCAATACTATGCCATCTTTGATGTCATGAAACAGATCATTGACTACCATGGGAGGCTTGCGCTAGGAGAGAAGAGTAGAAATAATCCGAGATGCACAAATTGTGTTATGTCTTGTTTCATAACCTGCCAGAGTCTCATCACATCTAACCTGCTCCTGGATGTTGCTGTTATCAGTTATGTACTGGAGGAGCTGATTAGATGGTGTACGATGGTGTATGAAATAGGAAGGTCAATCTAAGGAATTTCAGAATTTAATTCAGAACATTATTAAGGGTGGCACATGCAGAGCACACTGCTTCACAATACTTTTAAATGCACACATGGTCTTCCCACTTATGACATACTCGCTTATTTTCCTTGTGTTGCACACAGAGTTACAATCTTGATTACATTTATATTTTAAAGCCTAAACAGAATGATAGAAAATCCTCTGACGTGAGTATTGGACAGCACTGCTGCAGATCACGTTGCCTTCAAGTTTCATACAAAAATTATTACAAATTCCAACAAAATTTTATTCAGAGTAAGGGTACCCAGTGTGTTTCCCTTGGTACATAGCACTTTCATAGTAAATGTAGACTTATCTATGCTCTGTTATCCTCCAAGTTAGATGACTTCAATGCACCCTACATGGGCTGTGGCTTGTGAAAAATTAAGCAACCAGATTGATAACCGGGATAAAACAGTCTGAACACATAACACTGATTTCTAGCCTGCTTGCACTGACAGCTGGTACCTTGCAAGTCTGATTTAAGGTTTTTGACCAGTAAAGCTTTACATGGTTGAGAAACCTACCCACAGGCTACAATTATTGTCTAAGGCCTGTCTCTAAGTGCCTCCTCCAAAGGATGTGGCAAGAAGGGAGAGGGCTTCCTCACTGGTACCCTCCCCCGCAATTATGCAATTATCTTTCCAGTAAGGTATGCCTGGCACCAACATTGTTATCCTGTTAGCACCAGATTAATTCCTCCTCTCTTAGGCATCTGGCAGCATATGATGGGCTTTTAATCACATCCTAGATTTTTCTTGTTCTTAATTGTTCAACATTTGATTTAAATATATGTGTATTTCTGTGTGTGCTCTCTCTCTTTGCCTTTGCATATAATCTTTAAATGAGGCATTTTAAAGTTTTTTATCAGGGGTCTCAAACTCGGGGCCCGCGGGCCAATTGCCGGGACGGGCGGGGCACGGGGGAGGGGCCCTGCGGCCTTCAAAGCGCCGGTGGCACCCGGGCCGGCCTCCGGATGAGCGGCCCACCACCACCGTTTGATGCGGCCCAGCCTCACCCAGACTCTACTTCCAGTGGCCCCCAGGTAAGTTGAGTTTGAGACCCCTGATGTAAACCATCCAAACAGTGTGGTATAGAAAATCTAATAAAGGAATGCAGTGAAGTGCATCTTGAGTTTATTTTATTATCTGCCATTTGTGCTTATGACAATTGATATCTGTAAAGACAAAACCATTTGGGTTTTCTCCATGGCTCCTACAAACCAAAAGAAGAGGGCTGAAGATCACTAAGCATGTTTTCCTTCAGGATACTAAGATGACAAAATGGGACCCAACAAAAGCAGCACTCCTGTTCCTTAATACTCCCATGAAACTCAAAATATTCTCCTCTTTAGGGCTGGATCGTGTGTTATAGGGATGCCATTATCTGCTGATACCCACTGGTTCTATCCTGCACTGCACCAACAACATAAGGACATTAAAGTCATTGAAAGGTCTGACCATCTGGTTACTCTTCACATTAACTTCTTCACTTCACAGAGAAAGGCTGATAATACAGGGGGAAATAGCTATGTTGTTGAGCCTTCCACATGGTTCCAAAGTTACTGCAGCACCACAGGAACCATCCACAGGGAAGCGGATCCTTTAAGAGAGTAACTCTTCCTAACAGTGCAGTCCTATGCATGTCTACTCAGAAGACAGAGCATTTGTGTTCAGTTGGTACTTACTCCTAGGTATGTGAGAATGGGATGTAGTCTAAATCATTTAATTCAATTTTGTTTATGAATTTGTTTCATACGCAAGATTTAATTTTTGTTCATAAAAGCTTTTTAACTTAAAGGTTTAGTACTGAATTGTCATGAATGTGAGGATAGGAAAAAGCAAATGTACATTACATTTTCCTTACTAGACAAGCAGTTCAATATATTCCATAATAAGGTTACTGTGTAAGCTGTTTTCATTTTATTCCAACAATGAATGTACAAAACAGAAGGCTGAGTTAGCAATGTTCATTTGCTGATCATGCACAGCATTAAAGCTAATATGAACTTAGCTTTTATTGTTATTAATTTTACTGATATTCAAATACCCATTTTTTATTTTACACAGTATACATGGTAACTGACTTAAATCAGTATTTATCATTAAGGTGAGATAACCTCATTTTATGTGGCTTCACATGACAGTGTTGCCACTATTTCAGACATATAAATCAGTTTAGTCCTGAAATCCTAAGAATGTATACTTGTTCCATGAAAGCCAATGGGATTTTACTGTAATAAACATGTTTAGGATGTAAGTATTACAGTGATGTCTGGATCACTATGAACCAGGATCTTAAGACCTACAACTTTTGACCAGGCTCCCTGAAATGCCACATTCTCCCCTATGACTCTGCCCAGTTACAAGGCCTTAGAGAGAGGTCCCTCTCTTTCTCCTGCTTCCACCCAAATGTCATTGAGCAGAGAAGCAAGAAAGGGCCAGTGGCCACACCCAGCCTCTAGGACTCCTTGCCAGGAGAAGCTAGGTTGCTCCACTCTCTGTTATCAATCTTCCATCAGGTAAATACATTTTTATTCACGTGGGCCTCTGCTATATAAGTCGATCCATTGCTGGACGAGGGTTCAATTAGTTGTGTACTCTTTTTGATGGTGTTGCTGATAATTATGATGATGTTTGCAATTGGGTTTATATAGATGTTTATGTTAATCAAGATTTTGTTTTAGCCTGAGTTTTATCATACTTAGACTTTTGAGTGAAAAGGTGGAATTGCTGAATATAAATGTATGTTATAAATTAAAAATAAAATGGCCTAATTCCGTAACTTGATGCATCTAGTTCTAAATGAGAGTTGCTTTGCTCAAATTAGCTTAGAAGTCACTTTTCTTTTCTTTACACTAACCCTGAACACAGTACAGTGGTACCTTGGCTCATGAAAATCTGTTCCACAACTCTGGTCACAACCCAAATTGGTTGTGACCCAAGTCAAATTTCCCCATAGGCTTCAATGTAAATAAGGTTAATCCTTTCTGTAACCATTTTTAATCACAAAAATATGAAACAAAGAGACAAACAACAATAAAGTAACATAGAACAACAAAGATCATGGCCATCTCCCCCCTCCCCCCCGAGCGCAACTGCGATTGCGCCCATGCAGGGAAGATGGGTGTGATTGCGATTGTCCCCCAATGCAGAGTTCGTGACCTGAGGCAAAATTTTTCTGACATTTCTGTTCACAACCCGATTTGGTTGTGAACTGAGGCATTCATGAGCCGAGGTACCACTGTATGTGGGATCCAGCAATAATGTTTTCAATTTTGGTAAATGCCTTTGATACATATCAATAATATCATTTTATTATTTCTTCACATGCTTCACATCCTCTTTTAAAAACAGATCTGGGGGTAAAACTACAGTGCAAAGAAGGACTGAGAATGTGCCAGGCTACTGCAGCATTTTCAGTTCATTTCTGGTCTCTACCATTTACATTCACCCTTATTCATCTGTAAATCTTTTTCATCCCATTTTTGCATTCATTTGTAATTGTAAAAAGAATCCGTAAGACAGAGTAACAGTAACAGAACATTTGGGAAGTGTGCCACCAGGCTGATACCCAAACTCTCTTCTGCTTGTTAGTGAGGGAGCATGATGATTTTTGAAGACTTATCAGCCACTTCTGATTGTATACAGATATAATATCGGTTCTTTAATTTGCATGCTTATTTACTCCTAAAAATAAAAATGCAATGGTGCATGCGTAAAGCATGTATAAATTGGATCACAAGTAATCCTTCCACAGTCACACCACATATGGTTTGGGGTTTTGATTTGGCAGGTATGGTAATTCTGAAGGTGTATGAAGATGCAAAACACTGCTGAAGGTCTGTTGTCACAAGTGATTTCGTGCACATAGTAGGGGGCGTATGAATTACGAAAATACCTTTTTTAAAAGGTCATTGCTTTGGCTTCTCAACTCCACACTGCTCATTCACTTAACGGTGTTAATTCAGAAATGATTACTAATTAAACATATGGCTTGTGACAGTTTTGGTACTGGCGACTCTCCCTAAATAATCTGGAGTTAAGGAAGAGCAATAAAATGGCCAAGTTTGTTAATGACATTAAATAATTCAAGGTGGTAAAATTTAAAGGGGGCTGTGAAGAGCACTAAAAGGTTGTCTCAAACTGAGTGGATGGGTACTAAATTGGGAAATACCATTCAGTCCAAGCAAGACTAAATTTATGAAAAAAATCCCATCACATGGACACCGACAGGGTCTGAGCTGGTGGTCAAAATAAACCTGCAAATAACATAATGTCACACCAAATCTATGGTGTGAATACACCTGGAATATATTGATCAGTTCTGGCATGCTACAGAAAGGATACTGTAGAGCTGGAAATGGTCCTAAAAGGTCAACCAAAATGATCGGGGGATTGAAGCAATTCCTCTAAGAGAAAAGCTTACAGTGTTTGGTACCTTTTAGCATGGAAAAATGGGTAGTAAGAAGGAACGCAGCAGAAGTGTATAAAATTAGGTAAAGGGAAAGGTTTCCCCTTGACGTGAAGTCCAGTCGTGCCTGACTCTAGGGGGCGGGGCTCATCTCTGTTTCTAGCCGAGGGAGCCAGCGTTTGTCCGCAGACAGTCTCTGTGGTCACAAGGCCGGCATGACTAAACACCGAAGTGCACGGAACGCTGTTACCTTCCCACCAAAGTGGTACCTATTTATCTACTTGCATGTGCATGCTTTCGAACTGCAAGGCTGACAGGAGCTGGGATGGAGCAACAGGAACTCACCCCGTTGTGCAGATTCGAACCGGTGACCTTTCGATCAACCAGCCCAGCAGCAAAGCAGTTTAAACCACTGCGCCACCTGCATCCCTTGCATGTGGATAGAAGGTGTAATATTTATTTATTTATTTATTTATTAATTAAAACATTTCTATGCCGCCCCTTGCCGAAGCCTCGGGGCGGCTCACAACACAAAATAAAATACAACAAAATACAAAAATAACAATATAAAATTAACAATATAAAATAAATAACAATATAAAAGAAGTCGCCCTGGCCAGATAAATAAGCAAATATAGTTAACAATTAAAATGACGCTTAAATAAAAAGGTCTTCGCCTGGCGCCGAAAAACAAATAACGACGGCGCCAGGCGGACCTCTCTGGGGAGCGC